GCGGTGGGCCGTTTTTCTTTGGAGGTTCTTTCGCAGCGGCAGGAGCCTTTGGCGGTCCTCCAGCGCCAGCTTTACATTTTACCACAGCCTTCTCGTATGCTTCTTTCACCTTCGCCTTGCGAATATCGGCGAGCCCATCCATCAGAGCGTTGAGCGGTCGCTCCCCAACCATCTTCATGAGGATACCTAGGCAGCCAGCAGCTTCATTGCGTGCGCCCTCAAATCCATCCTCGAGCAAAACAGCGAGCGGATCGGTCAGTATCTTGATCTGGCCAGTTTGCACTGGCGTCGTTGAAGTCGATAGCGAGCGAGCGAGAAACTTGAGAGTCCCTTCCTTTATTTGTGGGTTCTTGTTTCCCAAAGCTGGTATCAGATCAGGTATCATATCGGGTAAAGTGGTCTGCAGAACCCATCAACCACAAAAGTGGAATCCAATCATAACCACGTACCGTTGCAAAAACGGCATCTAATGCAGCTCCGATTGCGTCCGTAACATTCGTTTTTCGTTCTTTCAAGCGCTCTAGCATCAAAGGAACTACGGTCTCCCTGAGCCTACCGAACGGAGACATCATGCCCTTTGCCAGGCCCTCCATGACGTGAGCAGCGGTCATGACACAATTGATGTTTGCGTCTTTCGAGATGCATGCGGCAAGCGACTTCGCTAGTTCTCCTAGCTCAGGGGCGTCCTGGATGCGAGGGGTGGCATTTACAAGTGTAAGCAGCTCGTCCAACACCTCCTTTCTCTCTTTCCATTTTGAAGACGTGAGGTTAGCCTGCATGTTGGAGGGAAATTTTGGAACAATGTTAACTGGCTCTGCCAGAGTGCGAGGATCGGGGAGATCCAGTTCTGGAAAGTGAGAAATTAATCTCTCCTCAAGAATTATTGATAATATTCTGACCTTCTGGTTGCCCATCTGCTTCAGCCTCGCCCCCATCAGCTGCATCGCCTGCCATTTCTGCCTCGCGCTGCTGCGCTCGGGTGAGCCTTTCAGACTTCAAGGTTCCTTTGCCCTTCTCTGCTTTTTCCATCCCTTCGAATGCTTCCTGCAATTCCTTGACCTGCACCGGCTTAAGCTCCGATAACCAAGGATCTATTGCTGGACCGATGTATTGATATAATATATGAGTGAGTTGCGTGCCTTCTGAACGGACATTCTTGTCGGCATGCGCGAATATCTTGGGCAATGATTTTAAAACAGGGGCCGGAGGGGTCACTTGAGTTCCGAAAGTCCTGCACAGAATCAACAGTCAGCTCGCTCGGAAACAGAATTTCAAGGTGCAGGTTAGAGGTGCCATGGTGTAGCAGCAGACAGCTTACCGAACAACTTCTTTCAAAGCAAATACACATCCAGCCACGGTCTTTGGCTGTTTTGCAGAAAGTCCGGGTATGATATCCGCCTGAGTGAATGAGATGCCTGTAAGACCATGGGTAATCAAGAGAAGGCGACACTGCACGCACTACAACACCAGCAGCGGAATTCTCAACTTCCACGTATTGAAGAATAAGCTCTATTGCTTGGTTCTTTGTACCGGCTCTCGCAGACCCAAGACACTTGTCAACTAAGGCCGGCACAACAGCTTCTCTGGTCTTTGCCACAGTCTCTCCAGCAAACTTGACCAGCGCCACGAGACACTCTACACCTTTTTCTTGTGCCACAGCATTGGAATCTGTGGCAATCTTCTTAAGAAGATCAGGGCTGTTGATATAGGGCTTAAATGCGGGGTCGGTGTCGGATGCGGTGGTTTGGAAAGTCTTGATCAAAGATTCGTATCCGCTTACACGGGCTTTCCAGTTCTTGTGATTAAGCCTCTCTGATATTGGAAGGGAAGAGAAATCTTCCTCCTGAGGCGGAGGCCCGTCCATGCCAGCTTAAAAGTTATCGAGAGAGATCGTGACTAGTTAGTCGAACATCACCGAGAACGCGCCCCATTAGGTCACGGAACGTGACGGTGGCGTGACGATCCACATTCACGTGACAGAAATACGCGTGATATTGATTTATGTGTCAAACAGTGTCTATCTAGAGGCCAAGGATTTCCCGATCTCTGTAACTGTATCCCATACCCTCGTAGCCTCCGGATCTGCGGGGTTTTCCTCAAAAGCTTGAGCCAGCTTTGTCGACTGCGTATACCGTTCAAAAGCCCCCTCCTCTTCAGCTGTCATACCAAGATTATGATAGGCAACTACGAGTAGCTGCTGCACTTCCGAGGTGGCTTCTAGCATGGACAAGGACATATAGTCAGCTTCTGCCATAAGCAAACATGGCAGCGCATCTCGAAGGCCTGCTTCTGTCAGGATATAAGTGCCAGGCACCAACGCGTTTGAAAATGTCTTACTTGATGAATCCATGGACGCAATCATGCACCTTGCGAGAGTGTGGTTTGCAAATGCACGGTGCTCCATCTCCTGTCCGGACAAAATCTGTTGCCAACAGGGTCTCAGTATCCCTTGCGATTCGCAGCGCGACAGAACTTACTTGTGGCATGATCCCTAGAATCAATTGCTGACAATGATCTGACATTCCGAACTCCAAGCCAACATCGGCGAGGAGTATAATGCCTAATCTATACAACGGAAACCTGCCTTGAAACTCTGCTTGCCAAAGAGCTTGCAGAAGCGGTTGGATCGCAGCCACTGCTTGACCGCGCCGCTGATACTTAATCAGCAAGAGCCCGAGAATGAGAAGAACAGGCTTACTCGAGCATTCATTACGTCATGCAATTCCATGTTTATGGCGGGAAGCGGAGTCGAGCTTTCATCAAAGAAATATTCCTTGGAGACGAAAGTTGATGACGAAGGCCTTCGGGGTAAGAGAAAGTCGTCAAAGAACCGCCTTTGTCCACTGCCATAAATGTCAATTCGGCAAATATAAGTTCAGAAAAGAACCCAACGGACCGACGACTTGTCCTCAGAGCTAGTATATGCCAAACAGCTTCTGCCCACTGGTGGTACTCGTCCAATGAAAGGCCGCGCCACGTCTCCGGATGCAGTAGCAGTGCCAATGCCTCTGAATACAATCCGTTTCTACCACGCTTAAACATAAAACATCAGCATCTCATTCAATAGTTCGCAATCGCATGCATACCCTATAAGAGCGATTGAGGAGCGTGTTCAGATGATTTTGGTCATCTTGGCCAGCCTTCGTGATGAACAACACGAACGATTCCTCAACATCGGCAAGATCGTAGCATCCTGTAAATGTCAGTTTTTCGGTCACGCTAACTCCAGATGGCCTCACCTAACGTTTGCCACAGCACAGCTTGCATTGCATGGTGACTGCACATGCGCTTGGTGTCTACCCAGTTATTGTGTAGGGCAATAGCCTCAATCAATTTCTCAAAGCATAACGTCAGCGGTTGTCCCTACGCGTGGCATCAGTAAGAGAATCATGCAGCATTATGGGCTGTCATTCACGTATTGGGGATCAAGCAGTTTTGCCACGTCAAACAACACCTCCAGCGGATGGAGGTCAGGCTGAATCTCGTTTAAGACTGGAGTTTCGTTCAGGGATGGCAAGCGATGAAGCATGCTAAATCGGAAATCAACATTTCACAGTCAAACGGGCAGATAAATTACCTGATGCAATGCTGGAGAGTTATACGATCTCCGCTTGTTCTAGCGACTGCAATAGCTTCATGAAGTAGCTGTATGTGAACACTGTGAGAACTGTGGAGAACAAGAAACGATATCGCGGATACCTTGCTGGCAGCAGGATATTCCTTTCGAGTATAGTGCATCCGTACCAGATTCAGCAACGCATGCTGTCGAACACCCCTGCAAGATACCCAGTGAGGTAGGGCGCAGGAAGCTGAACTAACACGACGCACGAATCATTGTGTTCATGAAAATGCTGTTCAAAATATCTACGCAAGTTCTCGGGACCTATAATACCATCTCCCGTTGCCAGACCTTTTTCCCAGCTATTGTCCAATGAGTATCATATAGTCATAGCCTGCTGGAAGGAAGATGTATTGCTTACGCTTCAAATGGTTCAGGTCGCGCCCAAGATTTCACGTCACTCGACGTCTTGAATAGCCATATATCAGAAGTAAGCGGATCCTTCTCTATAGGTCCATAACCTGCTTTGCTGGATCCAGCAACCCACGCCTGGTAGTCTTTTTGCAGTTGCACGACGCCATAGAATGATAGCTTGATGAAACTGACGAAACATCTACGCACAAAGAAACCAAACAGAGATGTTCGACGCTATGGCCGGCTTTCTAAGCTCAGAGCGCTACAGGAGGTAGTAACTGCCTACCAGAACGGCCGGCTGGAGGCCATCAGTTGTCTATTGCCCTCTACCGAGCAATGGTTTTGACTCACTTGGTCATCACTTTTTTCAACAAATATTGAAGGTGTGCCTGGGAAGTATTCATAACTGAAAGGTAAATCGGCATAAAAAACCTACTAAGGAAAAAGTTAGTAAGTTGATCAAGCGCTCGGAGCTGGCTTGCCTGCGATCACATCCGATGAGAGAGGGCCAAGAGCAAATATTACTTATGTGCCTACCACATTCTCCAGAGCGCCTATAAGCCCCTGGACAACCGGTGTATCCGCACTAGGCGCAATTTTGACCATTCTCAACAACTGCTGATGGGACCTAGGTTCAACCACCTGAGGCGGACATTATTGATCGCAACTTCCTTCGGGAGAAATTCCAAACCCACCTCGGACGTTTCCATCATGAGAAATCGATACATATAGAGCAGAAAGTCTTTCGGCAGGGTCTTCTGAAGCTCGAATTCCTTGAAAATCAGCAATAGCATTGCTATGAGATCAATATGATGTGGCCTGAGGACATGGTGAACAGGTGGTGGCGTGGCTCGACCATCCATCGCGCGATGCGGTACCACAGTACTTGTGAAGATAGAAAGCTCTTGAGTACTTATTGAAGTAGTCGATGATCGAATGCTTGAAGCTGCCGCGCCCGAAAGGGTTGCTGCTAGAACGCGTCAGTGGCAGTGTCGCGTTCACCAAGTCTGTTTCCTTTCTGGGGTAGACATATTTTTGATCAGGTTTGCAGCTGCTTCATCGGAAATCCTGCAGGGACTAGTACAACTTCATGGCATTGAAGGGCAAAAAACGAACGGCTCCTACTGCCCCAGTGCGTCATTTTGTGCGAATATTTGCTATGCAATTATAACTGATGGTTGCGCACAGGCACCCTCCAAAAAGCGAAAGCTTCAGGCAAACAGTAAACCAAGGACTGGTACAACACAATCGAAGAAAGGGAAGGAGCGAGCTGCAGACAGAGGCTATATCGAAGTGCCCGGAAACAACGGTGACGCGGATACCGAAGATAGTGATCTCTCCGAAGAGGATGCTGGTCTCCTCGAGGAGTTTGGAGATGGCGCGGGATTCCTAAATACGCTTGATCGCAAAGGCATATCAACGTATGTTCTCCCTTACATGGTATTTAAATGTACATGACGTCTCTCATAGGAGCAAGAAGGAGACTGAGCGTCTGAAACAATTGAACAAGCCAGTCCGCAAACCAAAAATGGATGACTTGCCGTCCATCGACTCAAATGATGAGGACGAAGAGGCCTGGAGCTCTGGTATTGACGATGATATGGAAACTATTTCCCAGTCTTCTGTCGATGACAGTGATCAGGATTTATCTAGTGCAGATGATCTAGATTCCGACGCCGAGATGTCTTATGAACGTGTTCCCCGGAAAGTTCAAGCATCACGCGAGGCAAAGACAGACCGCCAAATCCAAGGGCTACCAATCAAGTCAGCGGATGGGCGAATACATTCAACAGGCATGAAAGTTACAGCTCCTCCATCGTCGGACGAAGAAGGCAATGTCACCGATGAATCTGAGGAAGAGCAAGAACTGCCCGTTGAAGTAAATAGAATAGACGACGTCGCCACCGGGGCCCGCTTTGGTCGTCCCGCCGTCATCGACGTCGTTGGCAACAAATCGCGAACAGCCCGTATACAGGGTGCTAAAGACCAGATTGCCAGCATCTGCCAGGAGATAATTGCAGAGCCAGAAAATAGTGTACGTATTTCACCCGCCAACAGGCCTGCTCTTCCTTTGACACATTTGACAGTTAGGGCTACTTCGCCGGCTTCACACTTTCTCTCTGGAGAAAATTACGTCTCCTTCCCACCCAGAGCCGGTCTTGAATCATATTGTGATACGGAAGTTAGCTATGCTTTCACAGCTCGCCGTTTTCAAGGACACGATACCCGGCTATCGGATACGAGCGTTGACCGATAAAGAGAAGGCTGAAAAAGTCAGCCAAATGGTAGCCCGTACCCGAGATTGGGAGCAGGGCTTTGTGCTTGTGTACCAGAATTACCTCCGCTCGCTTGAGGCTGAACTCAAAGGTGACGCATGCGTTCCTGTTCTGATAGCGGCTGACTGATACTTCCATACAGCCAAGAGCGAACTGGCAGAGCTTGCGCTTAAGTGTATGTGTACCCTGGCCACTGAGGTCACCCACTTCAATTTTAGAACCAACTTGATAACGTGTATTGTGGCGCGTTTGAGCAAGAAGTCGTGGGATGAGGTAAGTTAGTCAATATATGCCGTACCTTCCCCACTTGACAATTGAAATGGCAGGCTTCTGATCTGTGTATGAACACATTGATCAGCGTCTTCCGAGAAGACCAGACTGGTGCCCCTTCCCTGGAAGCCGTCCAGCTCCTAAACCGCATGATTAAAGAGAGACACTTTAATGTGCATCCTGAAGTACTTACGTGTCTTCTGCATCTACGCCTCAAGACAGAACTCAATGTCCGCGCCTCGGACTCCAAAGTTGACAAAAATATCCAGTCGAAAGGCAAGGCCGCGGCCCGCCGAGCCAAAGGCAAGCCGACGGAACAACCTCACCTAAGCAAAAAGGCGCAAAAAGTCCTAAAAGAACGGAAGGAGATCGAGCGTGAGATGCGCGACGCAGAAGCCGAAGTTGACAAGGAGGAGCGCGCAAACACAGTGAGTCTCGTAACTTGTCGACATAAAGTTAGTTTTGACCGTTCCGGCGTAGCACACTGAGACCCTGAAGCTTCTATTTGTCCTATATTTCCGGATACTCAAACATCCGCGTCCGACGCCCCTTCTGCCGGCGGCCTTGCGAGGCATTTCCAAATTCGCTCACCTTATCAACATCGACTTCTTCAAAGATCTGATGCAGGTCCTCAAGGATCTCATTCTACGCGAAGCACCGGGGCAAAACCCCACTGATGATGATGACTCAGAACCATTTAGTGTTGACGCCACTACTGACATTCAACATCGCCTACTGTGTATCGTAACCGCGTTTGAGCTTCTTTCAGGACAAGGTTCGTCATAGTACATCCCAACAATTACCTCCACGCTTCTAATTGCCGTACTTTAGGTGAAGCCCTCAATATTGATCTTACCGACTTCGTCAATCATCTATATGCAATCATACTGCCCGTCAGCATATCGATGCAAGTCGACGCACCTCCACCGAGAGTGTTCGTTTCAAAATTCGGAATCTCAAAACCGGCATCAATTGCGGACATGCTCTTTCGAGCGCTGAATATTATTTTTTCTCCGCGAAGTGCTGGGAACACGGCGATACATTCGAGATCAGCAGCGTTTGGCAAACGCCTACTGATTGCGTCACTCAACTGGCCGCCGAGCTCCGCCCTCCGCGCACTAGAATTTGTGGAAAGTTTGGTCGCCAAGGACCCGAAACTCGAGGCTTTGTTGTCAACTGAAGATAGGCGAGTTGATGGTATATACCTTCCTGAAGTTGACGACCCTCAACTGTGTCATCCGTTTGGGACGAGTTTCTGGGAGCTGTCCCTTCTGCAACAGCACCATTACGATAGTCGAGTACGTGAAGCCGCCCGCAGTTTGTCCAATTATACAAGATCGTAACAACACGTAGAATGACATATTATGGTGCGCAGTAAAGTCGTACAAGGTATCTACATTAGTGTGCTACAAACAATCAATTGAAGATACACGTTTAAAGTCAAGCAAAGCAGATTAAAAGCAGATTGTACGTCCGAATTAACATGGTCCGTGAGTGGCTTCCGCCGCAAGTTTGATACAACAAAACAGTTCAAACGAAAAGCGTACGGTGATAAACAAATAAGGGTCGTCAAGTTCATGAAGACATCATATATGGCGAGCCCTGGAATGGAACACTCATGGGAGAGGAGTTCGTGCTAGGGGGAGTGAGCGCATGTGATAGAGAAGTCGGGGTGGCATGGATGGTACGTGGTATGCAGTGTCCAGGTGTATATGTATAGTTTGGTACGAAGGCGCTGGTAGTTGGCACCTGTGCGTTGTCCGCGTGGCCAGTGTATTTTTGGAACCCGGTGAGCTCCACAGATGGAATATTTTCACACTGCCTTCTGTCGAGATCGTAGTAAATGACTGCGGTGACTTGTTCATCAACGACGATTTTCTGTACAATGCATGCTTGTATATCTGGATAACACACTGTCAACACGAGGCAGCAGACTGGGCTTAACACGTGTACTCACTAGGATCCAACCATCGGCTACGACTCAGCTGAGAATCGGGCAAGAGTAAGGTAATATGATCCAGTACATCAGGTCCGGTGGAATCCGCAGCTGTCACGGAACAATAACTACTTTCCCGAGAGACACACTGGTTTCTTACGAAAACAGCTGTGGAGCATCTAATACTGGAGGTGCGTGGAGCGTTGCATGTAATCGATCCTTGAAAACCGTGAAGTGCCGGAGAGTAAGGAGCTTCTATGGGAGGGAGACGGAGCTTAACACGCAGTGCCACAACCGAAACGTTCAGGTCCGCTGGCTGTGTTCGGGAGGACAGCGCATCCACCGGTACCGTGGCGGGCTGCATGCCCTCTGCCCAAAGCGACAATGCTGTCAAGATGGGCGGACGTGGCGCACCAGAATAGAGCGTTGATGGGTTGTGAATCCGTGGAGAATCCGAGAGGAGGAGATCCGGTAACATTTGGTCAGCGGTGAACATGGGATGACTCGACCGTTCATAGCCACGGTTTAAGTCGAGGTCCGCGCGCGTGGCAGTATATGGCACATTTGGGCATGACTGAGATGCTGCTGTCCGGACCGACATATCAGGGGTCCAGAGTGAAGATGACAGCGGGGAGAGTTGCCGTTGCTCATTGCCAGCAGTCTCTGAAGCGGACATGGATCGCACGCGACGACATCCATCGTCGGCCGTTGGTATCCGACAGCTCGGATATGGCGGCATTGTGGGTTCCATCTTGGAACCCATCATGGGACTTGCACGGGGAGCATTAGAGCGGGACGTACGAGATACCGAGCGACCAGAACGGTCTGATGCTGGGGAGTGATCATCAAACATCATGGATTCCAACAGATGCGAGTCGGGAAAGTCCTCTGCTTTGACCTGGGGAAGACCAGTATCAAGGAATAGTTCCTCGCCACCAGCTACTAAATGGTACTCTACGACATGTGGTCAACAAGACACTATTAGACGCTCAATGAAGTACTAACCTGGCTCGCCTTTCCACATATTGCGAAGTACTTGTATGTGGCTTGCAACCTGCTTCTTGGAACGATCTATTCCAGCGCGCTGTAAGTACTCGACCAAGAATTGGTTTCTCCAACGACTTCTGCCGCGAGAGTAGGTTGCCCAAGGTGATTCCCAGTACTCTCGAAGACCTAGATGGCGCGTCGCGGAAGAGTTAGGGAGTGAAGAAGTAATTGGAGGTGGGGGGGGGGACAAACCTTCAACGAACGTTCGCTCAATCTCTTCTGGCCAGACCTCGCTGGAGCCATCTTTAAGTAGTTTGCGATGTTTCCTTTGAGGAGTGAGGGTGGTAGGTGAAGAGGCATCTCGTTCACGAGAGACAGACTGAGAAAGCCTTGAAGTGCGCATGGTGCACCGTTAGCGGGGCAGTGCTGCGCAAGGCTAGGTAGGATCGTAAGTTGGGATAACGAAGGGAAAGGAGGGAGAGGATGGAAGCTTTATATATCTGAGACCCGGTTTCGGCAGGGTTTCTCTAATGAGAACGAAATCAGCATAGCGTTACAGGATATTGACGACCAAGGCTAAAGATCCGGTTCTGGCATATGAGGACCGCTAGTTCGGATAAACATCTTATTGAAATGGCCCTGGTTAGATAACGGATCGAGGAACTGGCGCTGAGAAAATAAGAACCTTTCGAGGCCCAGTTAAGGTTCTTTACATATTTGGTAATTCACGGCCACCAAAGTGGAGTCAGAGACATTTCAATGCATCTCTGAAATAAGATCTAAAAACTTTGGGGGGATACATCCTTAAAGGTCTCCAACCACAGCCCTCAAATCTTTTAGGGATATCACAATGAAAAAGGCACATCAACCCGGGCCTGCTCCTGGGTTGCCAAGGTGGTGTCGTCGGTCCGATGTTACTACCGGCCACTTGCCGAATTATGCCGATTTAAAGCGGAGTTTAAATTACTAGGACTCCGATCAAGTCCACAACACAGCCACACTACTTCACCGTATACCGTAAGAATGAGTACCGAATCCTTGACCCAGAGATGGTTGCGACAGAACGTCAGCTCATATCCTCAGAAAGATCGCGTCCTGCTTGACTTTGATGCTGCTCTCGTTCGTTTCTCAACTCTACGTCCAAAATCAGACGTGTACAGTTCAGTAATTATCAGATTACATCTTTAAACCCACGACTTAATCTTCTTCAGCCTACGACGATGGTCGCACTCAGCTGCTACTATGTCTACATGGGGTCCTACCCATATCCTTTCGCGGAGCTTCGTACAATATCCCCATCGCTGTATGGGTCACACAAGAGTACCCCCGCCAGCCCCCAATAGTATATGTTGTTCCAACCCAAGACATGCTCGTTAGACCGAGTAAACATATTGATGTGAGTGGTAGATGTAAAGTTGAATATATCCAACACTGGGAAAAGAAGAGCGAGGTAAGTCCACTAGCGACATAACCCCCGATCAGTCCAAAATTCATCCCCCGAGCAAGGCATGTAATCTATCAGCTTTACTCGAAGCAATGCAGCAAGAGTTCTCCCGTGGTCCCCCAGTCTATGCCAGACCAAAGCCACCTACTGTTCCCTCGCCTTTGCCTTCGCAGAGCTCTGGCCAGTCACTGTCACCACCTTCATCTCCTCCTACCCTAGGCAATGATCGGCCAGCGCTTCCACCAAAGCCCGGTTCATCTCCATCGTCACTATTGCCACCGAAGCCTGCAATAGCGGCTTCGCTTCCATCCCCTCAATATGCTTCTACAGTAAGCTCCTTGTTCTTCTCTTCATGTAATTCATTAATGAAATGGATGTTCATAGGCGAATTTGCTCAATCGGCCACCGCCGGCTCTACCCTCGGCACAATCACCCCAAATCCCAGGTCCTCCAACTTACAGCCGCCCTTCAAACTATCAGCACACGGTCAGAAACACCAATGACGGCACTATGATGCGACCACCTGTAGTACCTCCACGCGATCCCGCTCAGCCACCGGATCTTGATAGCCGCTGGTCCGCACCAGTCGCTGGTCCAGCCATATCAAGTCAATTCAATCAATCACGCGCCCGAAACACGCCATCACCTCCGGTCACTTCACAGCATCCTCATGGGCCGCCGCCACGCCCACCCAATTTATGGCACAGGCCGACTGTATCTACTAGTAGTATTACCGCTCCGAACCTCTTAGATGAGGAGACGTCACTTCCTGTGCCACAGCTTCCCACGATAGCACCGCCACGCCCACCAAACCCAGAGTTGCTCCGCTTGCACGCCCAAGTACATGACAAGATCGCTTCGGAGCTTGCTTCTCTGTCTCAGGTCATGCTTCTGGATGCCGAACGTCTGCGAGCGCAGCAAACGGACCTTCTTGCCGGAGAACCTGCCATCCGGGATGAGATGGCGCGTTTAGAAGCCGTTCGAGACGTTTGTAGTAATGTTTCTAACAGACTGCGGAATACTGTTGATCAAGGGGAGCGCAACATCGCTGAATTGCGAAGGAAGGGAGATCCCGAAGTTGATGAGTTGATTTGCTCCACGAGCATCGTACATAACCAGTATGGAATACTGCTATTTGTCCACATCATCGGCCACTGCTGACCGGCGTGAATTCGACTTTCCAAACAGGCTCATCAACTTGGTCGCGGAAGACAATGCCATAGAAGATACTATCTATCATCTACATAGGGCTTTGAATACCGGGCGCATTGATCTAGAACGTTTTTTGAGGGTGAGCCCTTAGGTTTATCACATCGTCACTTCCGACTGATAGCGGCTCTTCTATCTTCTATCTCGCTCAGAGTACCCGTGTACTCGCGGAAGAACAGTTCACAAAGAGGGCACTGATGGAAAAGATCCAGCTGGGCATTCCAATGGGAACGTCTATAGTCTACAGCTAATTCCAGTATTAATAAGGTCGCATACTACTAGAAGTTGATGAGGCTTCTATAGGGTGCTCGATAGCGTACTTGCCTTATTCGTGCTGTTCGAGACCCTTTTGATTGATCTTTAGCTAATCTGAGGTCAAAAATTGGTGTTGGGTTCACGTTTGAATGAGTCAGTAATCTGAGTTATGTGCCTGGCGAGGTGGCATGTGGGCGCAGCGCCTTTGCAAGAAGATCTGGGACCGGGATTCGATTGGAACCATTCCGATTGGTCAGACGACAGTTTGGCTACCAAGTATTGTGAACAAAATTGAGGGCATAAAGACGCTATATAGTTATCAAGCACAGAAACAACCAAGCACGACATAAGAAGCTCGTTAAAACAATAAGTCGATCAACCATCGTGACTAGAACCAGCGTGGTTCACAGGGCATTAGCATTCACTTCATCCTTTTGTGTCTCAAATTGAACCTTCTTCCGAAAGTCTGGTCCGCCTGTAGATCCTACCCATCGCCAGACCCGAAGTTCGTCCCCACCTTGTACTTCTTCAAGGTTTGCCCTCACATTGGCGTTCCCTTCAACCACACGCTCCACCTGATCCCACACTCTTCTTCGAACCGATATTGAGTGTTCATCCTGTAAGATGAGATCACGAAGCTGCAAAGAAGACAAATATGGGTGTGGTGCCGTCACTGGATCCGTATGGTGCGCAAGCTCTTGATTACGCAAAGTATCAAGTGCGATTTGCACTAATTCTGCCACACGTCTTCCCTCGATTTGGCGGTGCGCACGGGACCGCTTTATGAAATAGAACGCGCCCACGCATGCAATGGATGCTGAACAAAGTATCATGAAGCTTCTAAAACTCAGATGGGTTCGTGAGCCTTACCATACACAGATGCTCGCCACTGCTCCCATAGGTCCCGAGACTTGACAGTAAGTTGACAGTTCCAAGTCAAGTGTGGCGTCTTGTGAGCTAAATAACGATTACCACTACTCTCATTCAAGTGATGAACATTAAAAAATTTGGACTCGCAATTTATCGACTCACACGTTGTCCTCCCCAAAAATTACGGAACCCCATTGGACTAGCTGTTGTATGGCTTCATTGAACGTGTCATCAAAAGTGGCGAGAAGTTGCGGCTATCGGTCCAAGAATGAGGTTCAATCATTATCTGAAGGAATGGTTTGAGAAACTTACAGCTGTTTTGCGCTTCATTGTGTTCCTCAGAATTTCGACTTCTAGACCCCATTTCTTGGCCTCGCCCCCTTCATTATCCTTGACGATCTCTCGACCTTGTTTTTCCCCGATGCACACGCGTCTCCCTCGTTCCTGGCCGAGAAGCGCTTCTATGGCCTTACCCAAGGCGCCTATATTCCTTTTTCGTTTCGGATCTTCGCTGCAACGTGGGGGAAACGCAACAGGGCCCAAACCTGGTAAGCCGTTGGTAACGTAACCAATCAAGCTCCATATGCTTTCCACGAGAGGGGTTACGGTGCCGAAAGGTGATAAGATGCCAAGAATAGGGTGTGGTTGGAGGACATAACTAGGGTTACATACCACCGAGTGTCGCGTGCAGGAAGCAAATTCTGGACAAGGAGTACATGTCGAAGGTTGCAAGGCTGGAATGAACGGTGGAAAGAAAATTCCATCCTCGAACAACCCCGTATCTGAAATGACCGACGGGAGATGAATAATAGTCCTATTGTCTTTGTCACCAGCTCGGACTGCCTCCCGCTGCGCTTCAAGGTCCCGTAAAGCCTGATTCGTGTCGCTGCCAGTATCGCAATAACCAATGGCGGATGATTCATCTTTGTACTGCGTCACCAAGTATGATGCGACGACCATCATGATTAGGTAGAGGAATGTCATGAAGCGGGACCTAGATCGTTGCAGCGGGGGGGCTGGACGCCGGCGAATCAATTGGTCACCATCAGCCACACGATTGGGTACGGCAACCTCTAGCGAATCAGGTTCCCCGAAATCGTCGCTCTGGCTTCCATCAGGTGTCTGGTCATCAAAAACGCCCGTGGCATCATCAAACTCTAGACCACGGGCATTAACCTTGCTTATCAATTGAGGCGAGGGAGACGGTCTAGCCCGATGTTCGATGGGACTGAAACGAATCTTCTCAGACGGGGTTGAGATTCGGGGCTGTCGTGATATCATAGGAGGTAATTCTGGTTCAAACTTTGACTGCGGAGGCGAGCGCTGTAGATCTCCTGAGAAAGGCGCTTTCGGAGGAGATAAAGACGGAGATGTTTGAGGAGGTGCTGACATCGAGTGGCGTGATTTCCGAATTGAAATACCTTTGCGAGCGCTTTGCGGACGCACAGGAGACGGCCGAGCAGGCGAAGATGATTCACCACCAGACTGGAAGATGTTATTATCCTCCCATCCGCTGTCATCTGCAAGCTTGAAACAGAGTCAGACAAATACCGAAGAATGAAAAAACATTGTCGATCACCGAGATTCTGCGCGCTTGCGAACCGGCGGCTTGAGACTACACGAATGTTTTAGTGCACCTTACAGTCGAACAAAGTGCTCACTCACACTCTTCTTGTTCCTGCCCACCTTACGCAAAGGAGGATCTTCTTTCTCGTCCTCGGGTTCACTTTCCTCAATAACTGCGGGCTGCACGGCGGCACGAGCAATAGTTTTATGTGCGCCACCGAGGCTGGGTTGTGCAGACGAACGACGGCGCTTCGGCTGAGGAATACAAAATGAGCATAAATAGAGCATGAGGAATGACGTCCATACCGGATCTGGTCGAGGCGGCGGTTCATCATCATCCGACGGTGCACGAGAAACCCTCCTGGAAGATCGTCTTGGCTGATCTTCATTAACAGGAGAAGCGGCACGGGAGTCAAATCAAGAGCGCACCTGAGTGGCACCGCTGAGGGGTTTTCCTGTCATGCCATCGGTTATTCCATTGTCGCTGGCGACACTATTTTCGTTCTTCAGCCTGTCCTTCTTGAATTTGGCTGCCTTTGGCCTAATTTCATCAAGGAAAAGCTGCACTAATTTTGGCTTGGTGTAAGGAGTCGGAAATCTTATGTTGTGATATCCAAGAACACCAAGAAGTTGAGATACTGTAAGAGTAGCGGGATCAAATTCGGGGTTAAGATATTCACCCAGGCCGATGACCTGAGCTGTACTCAAGGCCCTCGACATCGTGGAGCGTGTTGAAGTCGTTGTGGTGACAAGTCACACTAAACGCGAATCCTTGTCACATACACGGTCACATGCACAGTCACGCTGTGCCCAAGTGGAACTCATAATCAAGAAGGAACGACTGTCTTCCTTCTATATGGTCTGGCTAGGGGAGACTAAGTGGAACTCGAGTCAGACATGTGAGTCAGACTTGAATCGTACCCATTCAATGAAGTTTGTTCAATATGATGTGGATGAAGAACGTGAAGAACCGGCGGATAGTCCTCAGACCCGTGTACACACATCCTCTTGGGACGCTAGAAACATCTGTTTCCGATAGGAGATGGTGAGTTCAGGCACCAAACAAAACACCAGAGATCTTGAACAGGTTCTTGCTCGCATTGGGATGGGGTTGTAGGTCCTCGCTGAGGTATCTCAGGGCGATGCTGACAATGCCGCGGAAATAGTCCCCTTTCACATTACTTGAACGGAACAGTGGCCATGGAATGTCACAAGCCGCAACGTTGAAGGGGTTTCAATGAGTCATACATGTTTGATCAATTCATTCATGAAACTGAATGTCAAGCGGTATAATTATTCCCGACAGCTCCTAAATTTGCTCATCACTCAAACTTAGGACGGAATGGTCCTGAGGGGCCAAACCATTTCCCGTCAACCTGTGACGTACGGCGCCGCGGTAAGACGCTCCGAGAGCCCCATGCCAACCGTTTCAAAAGACTCACCATCCGGTTCCAGTATACCCAAGGGAAAACGTCCTAAGTACGGCACAGACAATAAGCCGTGCTCCGTTTTAGGAGCTGCTGCTCCAAATGAGTTCCGTACCTTTTTTAAGTGGTAGAACAATCTGTGGAATTTGGCAGGTTCATTGTAATGACGCATGCGGGAAGCCACAAAGAACCAACCTTCTCCGTTTTGTCTGATCACCCAGGTAATTTGCAAAGCTCTCTTTGGGCTCAAGTCCATACTTGAACTCCGCTAGCATCAATTCCCCATACCCCGTCAAGAGCTAAAATTGGAATTTGGGTCAGCCGCCAATGTTGTAAGGGGGCCGACGGACCGGGCAACTGGTATAGCCATCGTACTTGGCACTGCTCACATTGCCAGTGTCCATAACCGAAAACAAGTTTTCAGTTAAGACAGGGGCCTGAGATGTAATAGCGGCAGCCGTTTTGCTAGTGGGCAGGGAGGAGCAGTCACCCAAGGCAAATATGTTTCCAAACTCGGGCTTCACATGTCTGAGAGTCGCCTGGTCGATTTCTACCCATCCCGCTGGATCAGCAATGGGCGTGCCTTTGATGAAATCAAGCGGTCCCATCGGCGGGGCGACATGAAGGAGGGTAAAATCACGATCGACAGTCGAACCGTCAGCCTTCTTGAAGGTCGCTTTTCTGTTCGGGGCATCAATGGAAATTAGGTTATGTTGGAACTCTGCTCCGATACCCCGCTCAATGCGCAGGGCGTTCAGGGCATCCGAATACTTCTTGACGCTAAACATGGATGGTGTGCCAGTCATGAAGTCAATTTTGATGTTATTTCCTCGACCTGATTTTTGGTATCTGTCCCAGGCCATCCACATGATTTTCTGTGGAGCTAAAACACGGTGAGCAGCTACCACACAGAGAAAAAATTGACCTACCTCCTCCACATTTAATGACACCTGCAGGTTGGGTGAAAATAGCATTTCCAGACCTGAGAGCATCCACGTCATGCCAGACTTTGTCGCAGGTATCATATGAGTATATTGATGAAACGCCAGAAGAAGGATCAGCGAGAGCCTGCGGCAAGCCAGCGATGCCATCCCAGTTTGTCTTCAAACCTGCTGCCACTACAAGCGAATCATATGAAATTGTGCGACCCGACGTTGTCGTGACTGATGAGGTTTCCGGATAGAATGACTTAACATTCTCTGGGATATGCGTAATATGTGGTGGGAATAGGGACGCGAGTGGTCGTCTAAAGTCTGTTTTGGGACGAAGACCAGCACCAACCAAAGTCCTGGAAGATGATACGTCAGGTTTCGTACCGCGAAGTCGATGTATATAAAGTGTCACCAGCCAGGCTTGAAAGGAGGCGCCATTAAGGGGCAGCTCGAATGAGCAAGTTACTGATTCTGAGGGCTTACTTGATAGTAGTGATAGTCTGCTGCGTCAAGGACCACTACATCCCCTGCGTTCAAAGGCTTTCCGGCAGCCTTAAAGCGGTTGTATATCTGGTTGGCGACGGCCAACCCACCAGAGCCTGGAGACTAATCAACATTCATTCAAAAAGCTCTAGCGACTGGTGCACCTGCTCCAACAACAAGCACTCGAAACTTTTCCTTGGTGGTCGTACTGGCATACCTAGCCAGAGCGAGACTCTGTCGGGCATACTGAGCTGTTGCATGCCGACACGCAGGCAACATGATGGTAGTGAAATAACGAGGCGCAAGTTAGGCGCAAGTGATAAAGAGTGCGAATCTGCACATACGCAAGAATTGCGCGTATGTACTAGTAGATAAGGTGCCTGGCCCGGGTGTATAGAAAATTAATTACATAATTAATCACGAGGATGGTTGCTCAATGTCGCTCGATACTCGAGAGTTTTCCTCCTCGAGCGCCCACACAGATCACAGCTTGTGGACACCATGCATGAACATGTATGCATAAGAGTGTTTCAATGAAACGATTTTGGAAGAATTTAATAATTTGTTGGGATCAACTTTAGACAAGTGACTATTATGTAAGCGCCTTATGCTCTACTTTGGTTTCATTGAGCTCGTCGTCTTGACTCTTGTCGTTTATAAGACACACTAAAAGTCGACCACCGACGCTCATTATTTACGTCTCATCCAGCTGGACTGGCCACTGTATACTCTTGTAATTTATTTATTCATTCGTTCCACACATCGCTTGCACGCTAGCCGTCCATGCAATCAAACCGCCCGACCGTCCAGGCTGGAAAGTTCGGCCTGCCAAGTTCCCCCGCATGCACTCGTCCCAGGAGAGACGCGCCTTTCGTGGAAGGTCACTCACGAAATCAAAGTCAGCCTATCGCTTTCAATACTACTCGCCCGTTACGCCCTCGTAGACCCATGGCATCGGTGTCGGTTCCCGCCAGTGCCGTCCATGTCACCCGGGCGTTCACTCGCCCTGGGCCTCATACTATAGGAACCACCTTTGATTTCCGCTCCCAAACGCCTGCAGGCAATCGCGAGTCGAGCACTTCAGCTGGATCTGAATCATCTGCTTCATCCTTCTCATTTCAGGGGAGAATGAAGGGGGCCCATAGTCAGTTCTCTTCGTCCACTAGCTTAGAGGATTTCTTGGACCCATCAAACAAATCCACTGGCCCTGATAAAACACTCCAGACCGATCCTAATCTGTGTTTGGATCCACATGAAGGTTCGCAACACACTGTCTCATATTCCACTGTTGTGTTCTCATTGTAATCTCAGACCCCCAGCATGGTAGATATTTTTCAATATTGGAAAATGGTGACAGCGTATGGAATCGTGTTGCTGCAGCTGCCAGCGTATTGACAGTTAATGTCAATAAAGCATGGTATTCAAGGATTGGCACCTCAGAGGGGGAAGGTGGGTGCATATCAAACATTACTTCTCGCTGTCGTCCTAAGTTCTCTGTCGTAGAAACGGCTCCTGGACGTGACTCGCACTTGATCCGCGTAATGAAAGCCTATCACCTTGCAAAGGCCCGTCATCCGTCAGATCTTCCCGACTGGCTCTTTGACGAGCGCGAACGGAAGCCATCTCTCAGTTCTCGCTTCACAGAGTCGCCGAGAGGCGCAGTATCTAATGTTCAACCTCTGCGCCCTCCAGCGTTCCGTCATGTCTACGACGACGCGGCCTCTCGTGCACAAAATCATCCACAGACCGCATCCCACGTTCTTGTTTCTCCAGACAAGACCTCAAAGGCGGCGGAACGCTTAAAGGCATTCAGGGATGCAAAGCGCGCTGATTTGGGGGTGCGGCACGTTTCCTCCAAGTCAGAGAGCTTGTCCTACTCTCCATCACGAATTCATACCAACGTGGGTGAACGTCATAGCGACGATCACCGGGGCGCATCGTCTTCTCCTACCACCAGACGACCTCTGCTGTCAGCACGGCCGTCTCAACCAGGCGCATTTTGATCTGGCTGGCATGTCAGTCTTTCTCTGTCTGGAAGCGCGAGTTTCTGTGAGCACACAGACAATTATGAATAAACAATTTATATACTCTATATAACTTGGGTGTTAGACATGTATGCACAGGTGTTTTAGCGAAACTACTCATTGGCGGTGTCGAATAAATGAATTCATTTTGTGAGACACCTATAGCTAGATCTTATCTTATCGTTGGCAAATTCCTTCCAAATCAGGTAGTACGTATAAAATTGCGTTTGAGCTCTGCTGGCGGTTGGCAGTACGCTGATAATTGTCCCTCTTGTTGTTGGAAATTCACAAGTCTCTGCCAAAATCATGAGACCTTGGTTGCGATGAAGACTTCACAAGCCAGGCTCTACACAGTTCCGCCGCTTGTGCCGCAGTGTGTCGTTTCCAGAGAGACCAGTTGACACCGAGACAAGTCCGCTTTCAAGCTTTTCAGACGATGACAAGATCTACTGAACGACACTGATCACCGTCCTTGCATTCAGATTACAGAGTAAGATTCACCCGTAATATGTACGTGAAGCAGCTTACGGTGAATAGAAACCGCACTACTGTGGATTAACCAAATCAACTATTGTCTGTTCTTGCCCGTACGATCTGTCAAGTGACTCGCTTGCAGGGCGAATCTACCCCGTTCCACCAGGTTCCACCCCGTTGACAACGGACCATGTGGCAAAACTGTAGAAAACTCTTCGATCGAGTATTGCCTACTCCGAGTTCGATCGAGACAAGTCGCTATGGAGAGTTCAAGTGACACAAGGGCAAGACAGTTCATTTAAACCTCGCCCCTAAGTATTATGTCTCTCTTTACCTTTTCGACCTCTCCTTCGACCCTCTTTCTCATTTCTGTTTTCTTGGTCGAGTTGACCCTCGACTTGTACGCTTCGGGGTTTGTTCGTGACTTTTTTTTTTGCAACTCAAGCTAATCCCCGCCTATGGTGCAGATCGCTCTCTTTGATAGAGGCTTCACTACTCCTAGAGGGAGCACTACGTGCGCTCAGGTCGCCGGCAGTCTTTGAACAAGGAATTTCGTTTCGTCTATTTTCAAAATGGTTTTTATTGCGCCTCTCTTGAGTGCCGCGGCGATATGCGCCACCTTTGTGGGGGCTGTTCCGCAACTTAATAACTTCCCCCGACATGTGGATTCACCTGTGTATGCGTTCTTTTTCCTTGTTTGAAATTTTTCTCACTCAAATGGCAGTCCTGCTTCAATGACCATATCCGCCATGGGCGCCATGAGTACCCTTCGCTCCGAAGGAGGTTCATATGGCGATTTATCGGGGGGCTCTCAAGGTGATATGTCACAGACTGGTGGGGGTTACGGCGGTGGCATGCAAACGTCTATGACAATGCCCACAAGTTCTGTCATGAGCGACTACAGCGGTATGGCCAGCATGAGCGAGTCCTGTATGACCAGCATGATGACAACTACGACTCCTGCCACCACGTCAACTGCCATGAACACCTACTCCACACCCGCGTACGGCTCAGGCAGTTCTGGAGGTGGTGACGGTGGCTCAGGTTATCAAAGCTGCATGCAGGGTAAGTTTTCGCGAACTTGAGTCAGCGACGGCATGCTGACACCTCTATTCAGTGTGCGCTGCGTCCTATGGTGCTCCTACGATGGCATCCTCTGTATGGTCCGCTCCCCCCGCTACGACTACTGCAGCGGGTAGTTCTGGTTGCACGCACACTGTTATTGTTGCTCCTACCCAGGGCGTTTTGCGTTATGTGCCTTTCGCCATCAATGCGTCCGTTGGTGACACCGTTGCATTTGTCTGGAATGCCAACAAACATACTGTTACAAAGTCATCCGAACTGGCGGTAAGTCTGTTGATGAATATCAATTTAAAATAAAATATCTTAGATGCTTTTTAGATCTGCAATAAAACTTCGGACATGCCATTTACTTCTGGGGTGCAAAATCAGAGCTTCGTTTGTATGTGTCTGGAGCCATATCGTTGACGGTGAAACTGACCAGCGCCTTAGTCACCCAAAAGGTCAACGATACCAATACAACATTCTTCTACTGTGGAGTTACTGGACACTGTCAGAAAGGAATGTTCGGTATCCTGTATGTTTCTTTCTTGTTTGACGTGACAGTTATCTAACTCGTGACTCCAGAAACCCTCCCAATGCTATAACCGGTAGCAATGCAACGGTTTCCGGTATGATGCCTGTCATGGCTTCGAACGTGAGCGCTCGCTATAATTTATTTGACACCCTGATCTCAATTATCACCAGAGCTCGAACATGACTGCAATGGTTCAGTACACCCAAATGGTGACGGCGAACAATACCGTGGCTGGCAACTGGGGTGGAAACATCGACATGAGCAGCATGCCTGAATCGTCCTACCAATACATGCTGGAAAATGTGTTGTATGTTTCTGATTTTTCTTTCGCGGCTGACGTGACACTGACGCATCTTGCCACAAGGTATACGCGAACTTTCCTAGCCGCTAACCCTGAAGTTTTGTCAGCAGACGGCGTTGTCAACCTTTCTAGCGCGGGAACTACACCACTCATAATTCCAAAGGATATCAATGTCGCTGCCGCTAATTCCCCCATAGAGCCCACGTCTTCTGGATCTCCCACTTCTGGATCACCGACTGCCGAAACTACCAGCAGCAGTACTGGCAAGCCCTCAACAGGTGGTGCTAGGAGCCTCGGTTCATCAAGCATTCTCATCACTGTTGTTGTCACCTCCCTTGCGTTCGTCCTATGAACGACTTATAGCGGCTGGACTTGAAGTTGGCCATCTTTCCATTTTTTTTACTTGTTCTCACATAGCAGACTGTTCGTCCTCTTACGCTGCGCTCTGCGCCAGCTAGAGTAATGTTGTTCACTGTACCCTTTTTTCACCAGCCAGGCGCTGTGTCCTGTTTTGAAACGTACTTAGTTCTGCTGTCTTTGCATGGCATTAGCTTGCGTAGACATAGTCGTAGAGAAGCTGGAATCCAAATGGAGTCGGACGATATCATTTGAGAAGTGAAGTTCAGCTAAAAACCGAATATATCGTCGATCTCGTCTCGTTTCTCCCTGAGCTTCTTGGACCGCCCTTGGTCGGCAGGAGCAGAAGAGATCTTTCGTTTTGTCGCAATCCTATCTTTTCGAGTGGACAATTTTGTAACTGCCACTTTTTCTACCACTGACAGTTCCGGCTGATTAGATGCAATGTTGTAGGCGCGCCGTGAGGGAGATGGCAACATACCAACTGAAGCTTGCAAAGGATCGAAGTCTATGCTCACAGTGTTGTTTTTCACAATGACCCCAGCACCCACTGGTGTGGATGATGGTAGGTCGACCGTATCCCCTCTGGAAACAGCAGAACCAAAATCCTCCGAGGGAACATTTGGATCGATGGCAGGGACTGGCTGGTCACTCTGATCAGACAAAGGATGTTCTGTAGGCTTGGAAGTCCCCGATCCAGCGATGAAACTCGCTTTGTGGGCCGGCTTGGAGATAACAGTGATAATTAAACAGTGACTGGTAGAGATAGATCAACTTACGTCGATAACACTCAGTACGCGATCACAAGCAGACTCGCAGTCTCGGACACAATCACCCAATTCAGTCAACAAAGTCGCCATTCTTGAAGAAAGTCCAGCGAATAGTACAATTAGCTGAATGAATGCACCAGACTGCATTGCAAGGGCGAAATGACTATACCAAACGTTAAGCAATTGGAGGTGCACGAATTGCCAGTGACCCACTAATAAGCTTCTCGAACTCGCTCAGATGTCTGTGAACGACCATAATTAGGTATACGTCCAGTGATACATACTCACTCACTCTGAGGATCAGGCCAGAATATGCCTTAAATCTCTCAGCAATGAAAGATACATATGACCGACTTGGAACGTGATTCCAAGACCCTCTCATCAATTTTTCGCTGCAAGTACTCAATCACTTCATCTCATTCGCAAGCCCGAGTGAAATACCACACCTCTGAACAACGGTAGCACCATAGAACGACGCTCTAAGGATGTGCACATCCTCAGTCATGTTTACTTCTAGCAGCCGCCAACCATAACGTCTGATCTCCGAAATACGTTTGAAGAACAAAGCCGCTCGATGTTGATTTTTGCTTCTGTAGTAGAGCCTTTCAAGCACCTGCATTTCATCCTGGTAGCTGGCCAGAGCGGCTTGTAACCGACGTGAACATGTCTTCAGATCTTTGAGAATACTGTCAACAGTAGGGTGTAAGGAATTCTCGAGGGAAGCTCTTTGTGAGAAAGAGGTAGCTGTTGGAGCACGACTGCGCACGCGTTGTGCGTTCATTTCGAGCCTAGGATAGTTCGGCGGAGTCTTCTGATGTTATCCATGCAGCCTGTGTCACGGTCGGAAGCAAAATGCAAGTGACAGTATTACGTATACGTAGAAAAGTTGACGAAGTAGTAAATACTACTTTGGGTATTCTCCAATCCACCGAGCTAGTAGTAGTTGCAACCAGGCTGTTCAGAGGTCTGAGGACAAGTTTGCGATGTCCACGCAACAGGGTCAAGATGCCAAATTCTTCCAGCGCGGAAAGATCGAGGTGCGGCACTCTCAGACGGGTCGACAGGAACTCGGTGACGAACTTATTCACGTAGGAGTTCCGCGCTGAACTGCAAGCTGCGGAGGCAAAGGACAAGAAGTACCAGAAACGAAAAATAGTCCTGAAGAAGATTGTAGCAAACATCACGATGGGCAATGACAGTGAGTAACCAAGAATTGCTGTCAGTTGATTGATCACTTGCTCATATATATGCATGCACTCCACAGTGTCACCTCTATTTCACGACGTAATTCAATGCATTTCAACCCCGTTGTTAGAGATCAAGAAGAGTGGGTAGATAAGTCCTTGTGGACAATATTATGCTGATATCGCTACAGTGGTATACCTTTTCCTCGTCAGCTATGGGCGCTCGAAACCAGATCAGATACACCTCGTCATTCCTAGTTTCCTACAGGTATTGAGTTTACATTCGTCACGTCGGACTCACTGCCCTAATATGATATAGGACTGTAACGATCGCAACCCTCTCATACGAGCACTCGCAATCCGAACAATGTCCTATATTCCCATACCTGTGGTCACAGAGGCACTCAGTGATCAACTACGACATTGTCTCAAGGATCGTGACCCATATGTTCGCAAGACTGCTGCGATCTGTGTAGCGAAGGTCTATACTGCTGACCCTCGGAAAGCCGAACGTAAAGGCTTCGTTGAGCTTCTAAGAGACATGTTAATTGATGAGAACGCAACTGTGGTTGCAAACGCTGTGGCGGCATTATCGGAAATTGGAGATCGTCAGGACGGCGTTATCTTCAAGCTCAACTTGACCATTGCAAACAGACTTCTCGCGGCATTAGGCGAGAGCTCTGAGTGAGTGTCGAGTTACTTCTACTCTACAGTGAGGCTTACTATCGGCTTTCAAGATGGGGTCAAATTTATATTCTTGATTCGTTGTTGCGTTATGTTCCAGAGCAGCACGCAGACGCTGAAATGATGGCTGAACGTGTAATAGTGCAATTACAACATGCCAACTCTGCCGTGGTGCTGACGAGCATCAAAGCTCTGCTGTATTTGATGAACTACATGGATAATCGCCGATTGATAGAGTACATCTGCAAAAAGATGGGCCCTCCACTTGGTGAGTGGGATGTTGAGTCTCCTGAGCCGCAGGAACTAACAGAGGGTACTTGAAGTTACATTACTTTCCTCTGGTCCTGAGGTCCAATACGTTGCCCTTCGAAATATTTTGTTAATCATTCAGCGGCGACCTACTGTTCTCAAGAACGATGTCAAGGCCTTCTTCTGCAAATACAACGACCCAATATATGTCAAGCTTGCCAAGCTTGAGATAATGTATCGCCTCGCTCGGGAAGAAAATGCCCGAGAAGTACTAGCCGAGCTAGAAGAGTGCGTTAACATAGCATCTGACATCATCGGGGACTAAGCAGCTGTCACAGGTATGCTTCAGAGGTGGACGTTGATTTCGTTCGGAAGGCTGTCCGGTCAATAGGTCGTCTCGCCATCAAAGTGGAACCTGCTGCAGACAAGTGCATAGAATCATTGCTCAAGCTCATCGACACGAAAGTGACTTATGTCGTCCAAGAAGCTGTAATCGTCACCAAGGATATTTTCCGGAGGTACCCTGGGAAGTACGAGGGAATCATTCCAAGTCTTTGTGAGAACCTTGATGCATTGGATGAACCCGAGGCGAAAGCTGCCATGGTGTGGATATTGGGGCAATTTGCAGACAAAATAGATAACGCCGATGAACTTTTGGATGACCTTGTTTACAGCTTCTTAGATGAACCGGCTGAGGTGCGTATACTTTCCTATTGCACTCCCGAATCTTCTGAGACTTCTGTCAGGTCCAACTCGCACTTCTCACAGCTGTCGTGAAGCTTTTCATTTACAGGTCACAATCCGAGGCTACGAAGGCCCTTGTTCACAAAGTATTGAAGTGGGCAACGGAAGATATTGATAACCCTGACTTGCGAGATCGTGGTTTCATGTATTGGCGTATGCTCGCGATGAATCCAGCGGTGGCTGCAGAGATTGTACTGGCAGAAAAGCCTGCGATCACGACTGATTCGGATCGCATGGATCGTGGGGCTCTTGACCAACTCTTGCTGCATACTGGCTCACTTGGAAGCATATATCACAAGAATCCAGAGGTGACTACGTCTCATGTCTCTATTTATCACTCTGACTCATGTGCACGATGACAGACATTCATTCGAAACGCAGCGGGTAGAGCACTCATTGACAGCCCTGCGTTGAATGCGAACTCTAGGGCGGTGCTCGTTACCCTCGCACGACCGCAACTTCCACAAATGGCCATCAGTGTGTCGGGTCCTGGTCCTGTCGAACCTGCGCGACCATCACAGCCTGGTGAAGCACCAAGCAATCTACCTCTACCGACTATTATGGAATCTTCACTGAGTGATGAACGAGATTTACTAGATGTTGAAGGTGATGATGGCGCAGGTGGCGACAGCGGAGAGGGATACCCGGACGGTGATGATGATGGCCCAGTCACCAAAGCCGCAGATCCATATGCTTCCTTGGGTGGTGCATTTGGTGGTTACGTGACGGATGTGCCACAACCTGTGGCGGGCGGGGGGAGTCGTGGCGGTGATCTGGACGATTTACTCTTCTAACAACGTTTTGTTTAATTGTTTGCATATATCTGTATTGACGCATGGACAAGGATTGGTTGGGTATTCCGCACCCTTTCAAAACGCAAGCGGAGGAACGCCGCATGTGCATCAAGAGAATGCGGACTGAATCTTGCCAGCCACCTGTGAAATGGTAGTTTTTGGCCGTAAAGAGTTGTAGTGCTGGGGAAAGGATTGTCAACATGTACCATTCTCTGATGAAACATGGAACCATACCTCCCCTAGTCCATACATTCTTCTATGGAAACTGATGCGAGCTACCTTAGCAGACGACCGAGGTGACGGACCCGGATTGTGTTCAACGATCCGGGGGACACCACCCTGTACGACATGTATGGGAACATTATATGCTTGACTGAGCGCCAGGATTTCTGGTTCTCCACCCCAAGCACCAGTGTCCTTGATGGACATACAGTACTGCTCAAATTGCCGTGGAGTCATAAAGCCTTCACTTGTTGCTCCTACACCATCTTCCCCAAACGCGGACGGCAGGAAAGGCAAGAAGTGATCTGGATGAGTGTAGATGAAGTTCGATGCAGCAGCACGGACGGTGACGTAGTTGGCTTGATTGGGAGGAAGTATGTTAAGGAGGGCTAGCTGGTCCGCTACAGCAGAGAAGAGACAGTGTCCATCTGGTGGTATCTGTTGGCGGGTGATCGGTAGGGTTCAATAACGACGAACATATTGCCTCACCTCATGAGTCTGTACCCCAAGCTTGTCGCATGTCTCTTTGATCGATATCTCTTCTTCCTTCGCCTCTTTTTCTAGCCTTGAGTCTGCCTCTGGATCAATTGGTGCATGGTTCTTAGCCAAGGCTTCTGCCTTTCTCGCCTACTGACTGTTAGTATGTGACTGACGAAGGGTTCCTGTGATATTCACCTGTCGGGCTTCATGTCGGCTCCTACTATCCTGCTTTTTCTTGGCCGGTCGACAATTGTCTTTAACTGTATTCTCTTGGTTTTCTTGCATCTCCAGCAACACGGTAGCTGATTCTTGTTGTACAGTCTGGTTTCGGGAGTCGAGCTCCGCTAGCAGGTCATCCATGAGGACATTATCATCATCGGTTTGGACCTGATCCGGCGGGTTGTTAGTATGTGATGAGGAGACGAACTTCTTGATTTTGTTCTTTCTTGAGCCTGCCATAGTTTCTTGCGGTACTGTTTGGAGTAGAAGAAGAGCTTGCTGATACTCGGTCTTGACTTGGTCACCGTGCTGAGTGCTCCATGCAAGACCGAAAGCGGGATTGGATATAACATACAGATCTAATCTTATCTACTGCTCCTGCAATGCTTGTGCTAGGCACGATTGCAACTGTACTGTATCAATTCTCGAATGCACGTTGTGACTGCATAATTGTATTGATAACTACCACTCGCCTTCCCAACACATCCCCCGACCCTGTAGTAGGCAATTTCATCTGCGGAAGAGGTCTCGTAACGTGGGCCGCCACTGAGTGCATGGGGAACTGTGGTCAAGTATGGGCCTCTTGAGTCCTAGCAAACACGGTGTCTGTGCATTCAGACTGCCAGCTGCAGTTATCGACATCACGGACATTCCGAACTTGACACTACAAGACCACAGGTTGCGCAGTGTTATCACACGGACACGGACAGAGCCGAGGTCCGGGACAGAATCATGATGCGCCCTTCATCCCGAGAAGTGTCGACTTGAATTAATGATGACCGTTCACGCACGATGGTCAAAAACGGGGCTTTTGTCGGTAACATTGCGAGACCCTTTTTTGATGAGCAGATTGAAGCTGGCACAGCAGGTTTTGATTGGCGAACAAAGAAGTCAAGGCAACTGTTCGAAAGAAGGTCAATTGAGGGCATCAAAGGCAACTTACTTTTGCTCTTATACCACGAGCCAACTGTGTCAGAATATGAGAGGCGAGGTATTTAGTCTACACTCACCATGTTCAAATTGGCGGAGAGTGCACCATGTGACAGACGCATAGCATAAAATTGCACAAGAAGTGAGGCTAGGCTAGGCTATAAAGATATGCATAGCCATGGATCATGGTTGACGTACGCTGAATCAGAATTCGATGGAGAGTTTGTATGCGCTGTACGAATGCTGTAGTCGTGATTGTTCTACTTGCGAGAATTCTAGGAAGCACTTACATGCAGGTGCACTGCCACCTTCGATCTTTTAACATATGGCGCGCTGTCCTTAACCGATTTCCCTCGGTCCACTCTATCAGCTTTCTACGCGAGTAGGCGATTTTTACTTCAGTCAGAGACCCCAAATCCTTTCATTGCATCAAGCCGACGCACGCGATATACCACACCTCCTCTGTCCGCTTCCAGGTCTGCAATCAAACATATGGACACCCCTCCGATGACAGGCTTGACTTGTGCTCAGTGCGCTCGGAAGTTGGGTGATCTTGTGGCGCAACTCCCCGTCAACGATATCGAAGAAACATGGAAAGAAGTCGAGTTGACGGCCCAACAACTAGCAAACGGGCTTCGTGTTCGAGATGGTCCTGGTGAGTGACATGTTTACGGCGCAACTCAGGGGAGATTTATGCGCTGCGGCTGATAGATGATAATCACACGATGTTGGGAAAAACTTTACTGCCTCAGAATCTCACAACTTTACTAAGCAGCGCGTTGAATGGTACGCTTATCCCAGGTGCTAGTCGCACAGCACCTGTCTTTGAGATTCTTCGTGTTGGCGCGAACCTTTGCGTGGAGCATGGTGAGTCTCGTTTCTCAAGAGCTTCCCGCGGCAGGTTATTAAATAAGCTATGTCAAGACCAGAACAGGGGGCACCTGCTCGAGGCAGGTTTTCCCCAGGCCGTCGTATCCTTGCTTGAAGGCTACACAGACACTATTCCCGAGGAACCCCAGATGGATCCATTTCCTATGTCCATTGCACACTTACAGGTGGTGAAGACTGCTGTTGGGGTCTTGTTGAACGCTACACTAACATATGGCATGTTGCATTCTCAACACAATGATGGACAGATACTGACTTGTTCTCTAGAACCAGTGAGAAATCGTCTCACATCGCTAGAGGTTGCGAAGACGATTGTCCGGCTATCCACAGCCCTCTACCCTCCCTCCGCATGGATGAGAACCACCTCTAACCTCCATCCTTCCGACGAATCTCCAGCTGACATCACCTTTGACCGTATCGCCGAATCTTGGACTATAAGAGCCGGACTATCAAGTTGGGCAGGAAGGTTAATATCAGAACTTCAAGACGATGGTGCAATTGCTTTCTGATGCCATAGTTCGGCTAATCTCATTATTCTTTTGCTTTAGTACACCCTCTATTCTCCCAAGAAGTGCTACCATATCTCGTCCAATCCCTCATCGCCTTCACGCCACCACTCTTGGTTGCGCCCCCTCCCCCTCATTTCGCGCAACCTTCTCAACTAAGAACGACTCTCCTCAATACAGACTTTGACCTTCTCTCAGAGTCATGCTCTCACCTCGAGTCATCAGCTCTTGACGTGGCGGACGTGCGTCTTTCGCTAGCTCGCGGCTTTACATTTCCCGCAGAGCATCATGACATTCCCTGTTTTTCTGCGATGCTCGACTTTGTTGAAAAGGGAAAATATCCTCCATTATGGTATGTTCAGTCTGAGAATGGTCTCGAGGGCGGGGACGTCAGTAAGAAAGAGAAGGCTTTCGATGATTGCAAGGCCGCCGTAATCAAGGCCGTCGTAGAAGTCTCTGGAGATGATAGGAATCTCGATGTACTGTGGGACGACTCAGACGATGCACAGCCAGGAGGGGAGTTTGTGTCACGAATGATTGACTGGATCAGAGCTTTCGTCAGCGGCGAGACTTATGGCAATGGGAGAGATGACCTTGTCATTTGTGCCACTTTATCTCTGGGTAACATAACACGTGGAGGCAAGTAACACATAGTAATGTGGATTGCTGACTGACATTGGCTTAGAATCTCACTCAACAATTCTACTCTCTCAGCCATACGACATTGCTCAACTCCTCTCGTCGGACGCTCTGCTAGCTCCGTCCACTGACATCAAATTGAAGCATGGTGTCATTGGTTTGTTGAAGCACTTAGCACAGTCCTCATCTCAGATGCCATCCAATCGTGCCGCCCTAAGCGCCGCTGGTGTCATCCAGCTCGTACTTAGGAGTGGAGTTTGGGACGACAGAAGTGATTTCATGCTTGAAATAGTTCAGGTGAATGCCATCGGTGCTATAAAGCATTTGTGCAACAACAGTGGTAAGCATCTATTTTCGGCTTGCTCCTGTGTTAATCTAGAACGACTGCTTCCTTGCAGTGGATAATGCTTGCAAGTTCATACTGGAACCAGTGGATAGCCAAGACCCTCCTTCGACAGGTCTGTCCCAGTTGCTTGCCCTTATCAAGCGCTCCGACACAGTCGCGATCAAGAGCGAAGGTACACGTATCATTGTGAACTTGATCAGGTCGCTATGGACAAATGAGCGTAGAGATGAACAAAGCAGCGAGGAGGAGCTACAAGCCAGACAACAGAAGCGGGTGAAAGCTATGGATGCTTTGCTTACTGCAGCGTGCGCAGAAGCTCTGGCTGCCCTCATTGGCAGAAGCGCCAAGCATCTCATCCTCATCAACGAGGGTGTAGTGGCATCAAGTCTGCTGAGCATGCATCGTGACGGAGGTGAGCGAGGCGAATATCTGATGTTGACTGACAAATGACAAATATTGCTACATAGGTGCCTTGGTTCTGAATGCCTTGACCGCTCCATTACCAGTAGAAGTGACACCATCCTCGACGGGTTCCGCCCCGGCGTCTACAACGGCTTCTACCAGTAGTGAAACGATGGACTCCCCAATCGTCTTGTCTCCAACGGGCGCTTCCAATAAGATACCATCCGTTCGACATGCCCTCGATCAGCTTGTCGTCTCTCTAAAGAGCGATTCCACTCCTGCCGAGGTCCGAACAAACATATGTGCGTTCTTAGGCCAGATCAGCAAGCGTGGAACCGGAGATGGGCTCCAGAGGCTGAAAGATGCCACAAAACCAATTCTCGAAGAGTTGGTCAGCACTCACGGACCAAGCATGCTCGGGAGCGCTGCGAAGAAGGTGTTGGACATGTGGTCATCGGAGTGAACTTTGCTTGGAATATGAATGGAATGGCAGATGTTATCAATGTATTTTTTGCGTGTTTTCTAGACAGGTATGAGTATATGAGTTGCGTTGTCTTCACGATCATGAGCTGAGTTGCTGAACGTGACCGCTGTAACAAGATGCTCAATAGAGCCTTTTGATCAACCTACAGGTTAGTGGAAGATGAGATCGTATCATTATTATAAGAGTCGGGAAACATAATATCATTGTTGAGCTTTACGCCTGGGACAAGCAGGTTTCGGAAGATGATTATCACATGGCCGCAACATGCTCGGGCATGAACGTTTGAACCTGGACCGGCAACTGGCCCTACAAATCGTGTACCTCGTCTTGCTAATGACGACTCGGACAAGCCTTGAGGCCTGAGGTGGAACTTTGACTCGGAACTATTCAACGTCGGTAGCGATGACTTGGCCCTAGAAATCTGAGCAGCCCTGACCCATGCATCTGCGCGCATCGAACATAGACTGACTGGGTCCAGTATACCCCCCCCCACAGTGATTGTGTCCGCAGTGACACGTAGCTCAGACACAGAAGGAGCGACTATCTTCCGAGTCCTGCCTAGGGGAGACTACTATCAGAGACCCTGCCTCGACTATTTCTCTGACCTCTAGTCCTCTAGTACCTTCAGACCTTTCCAACTTGCAGTCCTGATCACCTAGTACGCACGAAGTTGTCCAACCAACCATGGATTTTGAGTGCTGCTAATTAAGTTTCGGAGGCAGAGTTTATGTTATTTGTGTTCATGAAACGGGACGAACCGAACCCGGTTATGCGTAACCGGTAATCCAGTGTGTTCAGCTGGCATTCATGTGTATTCGATACGCACGACTTATATACCGCAGCTGAGCGCCGAGGTTCCCTCATCCACTTGTGATATTTCTTGGACAACACTGTGTTAACCATGCCTACAAGTAAAATCTCGGTGAACGTTTCTCAGGGCATCGCGACGATAACCTTGAATGAACCTCACCGTTTGAATGCGCTGGCACCGGAAGGTTTGTGGTGTGCTTGAGCAAACTGCGTTTGACTGACCCACTATCGACTTGCAGATTATGATGAATTTGCCAACTCTTTACGGGCCATCGATAAAAGAGAAGATGTAGTAGCAACTGTATGGCAAGGCAAGCAAGCTTTTAACTTGGTGACAGTCTCTTAGACAACTTATCTTGCGAATGCACAGCAAATGGGAAGTGGTTCTGCGCGTAAGTTTGCAGTTCACAGCAAGTGTTTCGTTTCTCATGTTGCTCACTGTTTCGGAAAGTGGCACAGACGTGAAGCAAACAATCAAGAAGACTACTTCAAGCACTCCGACTCGACGCTCGGCGAGAGATCACCTCATCAATGGGGTAGTGGCTGCGAACACAGATTGCACACATGCAGTACGTTGCAATATTTCCTTTTCCATAGTGTCGTCGACCGATTATTCCTACCATGAAAGCTCTATAGTCACAGCAAAATGCTTGTTGCAGCACTAAATGGCCCGGTGATGGGTATGCAACTTCCTTTCTCAATATCTTGCAAACAGGTTAAATGACGGCTTTGAGGTCAGGCATAGCAGCTGGTACGTTCACCATAGATGCTATACGCGCTATCTCTCATAAGTCCCTGCAGCTTTTCTTGGCAACTTTGATTTGATATATGCCGTGCCAGAAGCTTGGTTGAATGTCGGCTTCCCATTCCTGGGTATGCACGTTTGATTGCTTTCTTCGATACACGATGAAGACCTGCACCCTCGCAGGCATTGCGGTGGAAGGAGGAGCTAGTGTTTCGTTCGTCAACCGCAGTGAGTGAAAACATTGTTGTACGATCTTTTCTCAGCCTCGTCCAGTGGGAATCGCCAAGGCAAACGAGGTCCTTCTTCTGAACAAGAAGATCAGCGCATCTGAGATGCTTGAATGTGGATTCATCAAGTGTGTTCCCGCATCCAACTTTTCCTATCCCATATTGAGAATGATTCAGCAAAATTTTTCCATCGAAATCAACGGAAGAATTCCACTCTGCAGTTTACCAGCATCTTGTTAAGGAACTCGATGGCTTAGTGCCTGCCTCTATCATCGCCATCAAATCCCTCATCAAAGCTGGGTTGAATGATAAGAACGACTTCCACGCTGTGAATCTCCGAGAGAGTTATGCCCAAGCGGAAAGATTTAGTAGTGGAGTACCTGCTGAGCGCTTCGGGAAGATTGCCAGGAAAGAAATTAGGCACAAACTGTGATCTATGTGCGTATATTTCCCCTTATCTTGCGAGACTTATTACCGACCGGCGCACCTGACCATGACCAGTGACCACGTGTAAACTTGGTGTATACCTGGCTATTTTAGTCGTATACATACCCTCCAACAGGAATCTTTTGTACCCAAGAGATTGCCAGGAAACGTAATCAATATATTCCCATGCTCGCTTCTTATCTTTTGCAGCAATTTCCGCTCGAGACTACATCATGACCAGCAAACGCTTGAGTCCGTTTGACTCTGAGCACGTAGACGAGAAGTTCTACCATGCCGAAGATCTACAAGACCCACATGAGAGCACGCTGCACCGTGGGCTCAAGGCCCGCCAAATGTCCATGATAGCAGTCAGTTGCCTGCTTTTCGGTTACATTGTCATACTCACTGAGATGCAGCTAGGCGGGACTATTGGCACAGGTTTGCTCATGAGCTCCGGAACTGCCTTGGTTCAGGGAGGACCCCTTGGTCTCTGTCTCGGTTTCTTGTTCGTCGGTTTCATTTGTTTCCTGACTCTTTCAGCCCTGGGGGAGATGACTGCGTATCTCCCACATAAAAGGGGTTTTGCTGGGTATGCAACGCGTTTTGTGGACCCAGCCCTTGGTTTCGCACTAGGCTGGGTATACCTGATCAAGTATCTCATTGCTCCTGCGAGTAACATCAATGCAGCCGGCATTGTAATGCAATATTGGACGCTCTCGGTGCCCATCGAGGTCTGGGCAGGTACGAACGCTATCCAACACGTTGCCCTGAATCTCACTCCAGCGAATTTGTAGCACTGTACATCACCCTCGGTGAGTTGGGTCAACGACTCCTTGAGCCGTCTCCTAATGTCTCCAGTTGTTATCATGAACTTGCTTGGTATACAATTTTTTGGAGAATTGGAGTTTTGGATGAGTGGCATGAAGGTCGTATCCCTCGCGGGGTTAATCCTCCTCGGCATCATCGTCGACCTTGGGGGAAACCCCAAACACGATCGCATTGGATTCCGATACTGGCGACAACCAAACGGACCCATGGGCAGCTACCTCCTCCACGAGGTGCACAACGAACGTTTCGCGATCTTTCTTGGATTTTGGAGCACATTAACCACTGCGTTGTTTGCATACATTGGCAGCGAATTGGTTGCGGTTACGGCCGGAGAGGCACAGAACCCGAGGAAAACGATTCCCAAAGCTATCAAGTCAACATTTGTTCGTATCTTTGTGCTCTATATTGGATGCGTGTTTGCGATAAGTCTTATCGTGCCGAGCACCAGCACTGTAAGTAAGGCTGTCAGGAGATAATTGATATGGCACTTTCAATTTGTCCACTTCTAGCAACTCTTAGTAGCCAATAGCTCGCATGCAGGCGCAGCAGCATCACCCTTCGTTGTTGGTGGGTCATCGCGGGCCTCCTGATCCATGGAACCTTCTCATGCCGCTCAGGCATAACTTTGGTCGGAATCAAGGGGCTCAACCATGTCATCAATGCGATGATTCTCCTCTTTACCATCAGTGCAGCCAATAGTGATCTGTACATCGCATCCCGGACACTCTACGGTCTCGCGGTAGAACGAAAGGCGCCTAAAATATTCATGAAAGTGAATAAAAGAGGTCTTCCTTGGGTGTCTCTGCTTGTTGTATCGTTATTCATGTGCTTAACGTTCTTGAACGTGAGCTCTTCAAGCTCAACAGGTAAGTTCTATTAAGCCAAGTCAGTGACCCCACATTAATTCATATTGCCACCAGTGTTCGCATATGGGGTCAACCTCCTTTCTGCATTTGGGGCCATTACCTGGATGACAATCGCTTACAGCCACATGTGAGTAATCGTTTCTCTTCGGGAACTATCGCGTGAACACATGTATGTAGACGCTTCGTGCAGGCGCTCAAGGCTCAAGGCATCTCGCGCGATAGCTTGCCGTATAAGGGGCCCGGTCAACCGATGGGGTCTTGGTTCGTTCTGGTTTCAACTGGAGTAATTTTACTTTTCAAAGGTAGCCTGGCGTGTTCGGCTGCATCGATGGGAAGCTAACACAATAACGTGTTTTGCAGGGTTCAATACTTTCCTGCCCTTTACGCCTGGATTATTCATCACGTGAGGGTATTCACATTCACGTTCTCAGCGTTCTTCATAGCCGAATCCGATCTAGGTCATACCTCCCAGTACCGCTGTTTTTTATACTCTGGCTCGGGTATAAACTTCGTTTCCGGACTCGGGTTATACCATCGTCCAAGGTTGATCTAATCACAGGCAAACGGGAGATCGACGAGGAAGAGGAACGATTTGTCTTGGGGGAAAAGGCGCGAGAGGCTGAGTTGTCGAGATGGCAAAGACTTGCGGGCGCGCTGTGAGCACAGCGCTATCCGTTTACGTTTGGTGATGGTGTTCGTGACAACCAAACTCACCATGCTGCGTTTAATATTCACGTACATTTATGCAATCCGACCAGCGGCGATGCAATTTCAGGGTGGCCCCCACATAACGACAGATAACAACGTGTTCAGTACTGCTCGAGCTGGACGATTTCCTGAACAAACGTGTCATCTGCCATGGTTGCGTTGGTTCAGTTTGCCCATAGCGGAAAGGGTCTGATGAAGATTTTTTCAAGACGGAGAAGTCTGTCAACAACGTTATCTCGCAACACTGATGGCGTGAAGGGCGTCTTTTCACATCTAGATGTCATGTCCGCTGTCATTGGATGTGCCCATTCGAGCAAGAACTAGGTTCTTCATGTGCAGTTGATGGGGAGATAACCACATATGCAGACTGATGCGACGGATATATGTGAGCTAGTTGATAAACGTGTGCATCTGATTTGAATACCTATCTACTGCCCCGCAGTATCTACGGGATGTGCGCTCCCTTTTGTGAAAGAAGCGCTGGACAATATTAATCCCCGTTCAAACGTTGCATGGCCGTGGGTCGGTGGCAGATTTCCACACAATTCTAGCATTCAATACGTGTGAGGTGCCGTACAGCTTGGAGATTATCGATTATCGATCATGTCCCCAGAGCCGTGGCCCCTCACACGTATCTGCTGATGGAGATGGCGTGCTCACAGGTACTGGTCTCGAAAAGATCCATTTAGCAGCAAAACGGGCTAGGCTACCCCCTGTGCGCACTCTATAAATTTCCATTTCCATTCTGCGCCAGCCTCCGCTCCGAGGCATTGATTTGACTCGTTTTCGCACAGGCCCATCAGCAGACAGTTACATTGTTGGTCGGCGGCCAAAAATGAGTCGCTTGCGTGAGTAATTACGGAGTGCGGAGTACAGTTGATCTGTCATTCAGTTGCGGGGGATGTACGAGCAATTGACACGCCGCAGATATGAATGCACTTCTTGTGCCTGGACCAAACGAGACGATAGCGCACGATGCATTGTTGTATCCCCTGAATGATAAACTCATCGAAGTTCAAAGTAATGAATTGCATCAGGAAATGATTAAATTGTGGTAGTACATACAGAGTGCGTAAAGGTAACTCGTTGTGGGGAATGATACAGATGCGATTATAGATAATCAATCCAGAGGATAGCGAAAACAAGGATCCCAACAAGCCACGGTGGAAAAAAATATCAGTGGGGAGCCGAGGATAAACGGTTGAATGAAGCGAGCTAATGCGATGAAAATGGCATCACGTTCTGATGCGGGTGTTTGAATTCGGCAGGGACACGTCCGGTCCTGTGAAAGTCTCGGGTTGCGGCGCATGCAAATCGAGGAGGACGGTGGCGTTGTCATTCGTATTTAGAACGTCGCTAATGGACTTTTCTGCAAGGGAGCACGTCTAAGCAAGTGGGTCAGCTTAGGAATCAATTACGACAGCGCTTCACTAACTCGGCTGTAACCACCCCTTTGAAGGGTTTGCCGTGACACTGCAATGGCATTGTGGATACTATCATACGCGTAACGTCGTCTGACAAACAAGTCAATGAGAGAGGAACAAGTTCGGAAAACGATGGGCGCTTACAAGACACCCTCGAGCTCGCGACGGGACCGGGGTACGATGAATAGGTCAGAGCCTGAGAGGTAACGCGTGAATGCTTGGTAGGATGCACACCCTGCAACGAGGGTCTCGTTGAAGGAAGGATGGTCTTGATCCCAGGTGAACCAATTTTCACTGAAATGGCAGACAGAAATCAGGTCATGCTAGAAGTATAAAAGGCATTGAACACACGTTAAATGGGTATGGGCCAGTGCCTCTGAAGTGTTTGGGGCGAAGAAGCGATCCATGTATAGTGGAGTGGGGTGGCACTGGTGACTCGGAAGGGAGAGTTGAAGTGTAGGAAAGGCACAAAGGCTCTGTGGTTTATATAACAGTTGATTCTTGGTGGTTACTAATGAAGGCTAGGCTGTCCACAGCAAAAGCGGTATCGTTGGTGGAATTGGCTGGCTCGGGGAACAAACGTGAAGTTTGAACTGCTTTTAAGTGAAGATCATCCGATTTCCAAATTGAGACATGGAGCAGCGCTTCGCCACTTTTCGCACACGTTTGAAAAGTGCGGGCCTAAAATTGACTAGCACTCTGACACAACCGCGGCTAATTGCATCTCCACCATTTGCACCCTCAACGTCAAATTCTATTCCGCACAAGTTATTAAAAAACTGGCACCAAGGACTTCCGATGCACCCGGTGGATTAGTCTAGTCAATAATCCACCGTGCGGATCATCAGTCGTCATCCCAAAGTCAAATACACCGTGCCACGAGTCACTGACCCGCACTTGGCGGTTCTAAGTTCGACTTGGCTGGTCTTCGAGGCGGTTCTTCAAATCCTGTCTCAGGCCTATTAGATTTCTTGGCCCGATGGCCAGCTGTTACATCCACTTTTCTCCGTAGGCTTGGTCCCTCAGAAGTTTCGGGCCGCCGCAACTGCTGGCGAAGGAACTCGCGGCCCCCGAACCAGACTCATCAGTGGCCCGGTATCAGTTCCGCCTATTTGTCAACTACTACTCGGGTTTTCAAACGTCGATGTTCAGGCACCTTGCGGCTTTGTCGTATCGTGACCTACCATGTCACGCGTTCATATTCGTGCCACATCAAGACCATTATCGGCTTTAGTACATATCCTGGACCGTAGGTGAGGTAAGTACTCATGTCCTCCCTGAACTTCGCAGCATAGCCTTAGAATCATTACCAACCGCCTTCTTATCAATGCTCCGCTTCGAGGCTGTTACGAAATCAACAGAAGACCAATCAACCTGCGTCACTGACATGGACAACTCACAGTGCTAGTGCTGTAATTTCATCACTGCGCACGCAGCCATTATTCCCTCACTGAGCGAGGGACAGTCGGTCATCGGAAATGGACACGTTGATGCCATCACATCAACTTGAAGGCTGGTCAAGGTCAAACGTGCGTTACCCAATAGCAAGGAAGGCCTAGTCAAAGAGTGCTAGCGCGCGCTTGGCGCTGTGCGAGGCGCCAGGTATGATGGAATATGGAATATGATCATAGCTTCTGTGAATAGAATGTTTTTCGTTTTGTCACTGCCAAGCTACACTCAAGGACCGCCTAGATTCAAACAAATGTTTCTCGACGACGATGGTGCGTGTCACCTATGTAGTCACCACCGCTGCTGTTGTTCAATTTTGTCACCAGGAACAAGCAATGGGATTGTACCGGGATATAATTATCACCGGACCCTTCCCCTATCAACAAGGAGGAATCGGGCAATATCTCACCTTGCCGACTTCTACTTTTGGTCATTTGTATATCCAATTTCAGTTGCGAAAGTGTACAACGTTGTGTGTATATGTTGGTCCATGGTACGGGAGTTGGTTTTTTTGTGGGGGTGCGCAACGCCCGCAGGGCGTTCGTGCCGCTTACATAATTTTCCCATCAGCGAGTTGCGCAAATACAAGTGACCCAGTGATGTTTCTGTGTCTCACAAATCTCACATGCAACATATGAGCACAAAAATTTGCAAATACCTTCCTTAGGTACTTTATCAGCTGCATTCAAATTTCATAATGTTTGGTGGAGTTGTTGTGACATTATAGGTCAAGAGATCTCGAGGAGTACTGCAGACTCCTACCCAGTCGGCGGGTGTGTGAGAGTCTTCATACTGTTACCTTAGCCACAAACCAAATACGTACAACATTATTTCAAACACCGCAACTTTGGACTCTACACACCCAGCCGACTGGCAAAACTTGTAGTGGCGTGAGGTTTGACCGTGTTTGTATCTTCCCATTTGTGTCAGCTCAACGCGCAGGCGGAAAATAAAATAAAGGCAAGTGGAAGGTTCGAACGCGGATCGTAGGGCAAAAACATAGGATAGATTACCGCTACACCATAGGTGCTTCCCTAGCCTAGGTGAAAGCAGAAATATATCCCATTGGCAGGCCTGCCACAGATACTTGTTTTAATAATGACCGGATATTCAATATTCAACTCAATCATTACACATATACCAGCATACCATACCATATAAATGTAATCACTGGGTGTGTGAGCCATAATAATAATTGACCCTTGTGGTGTATCCGGCTATTGTGATTCTCGTGTGTGAGCTGGCCTAAGGGACACAGTGTGTGGGGATGGGCAACGCCCGTAAACAAAGTGTGACATTATGTAAGCACGATGCTACAGAACACGATGGCAAATATCAAGAATGTATCAAGAGTATGACTAGCGCACGCCAATAACAGCTCCACGCGCGAAGAAATTATAATATCAGCTGTATAAGATAATGTCGAACAACTTGGCAAGAAAATTAACCATCATTCATCCTCAGCTTCGTCCTCCCCATCCCCTAGTTCCAGCAAGTGGGAAGTAACAGCATTATTGTCAAGCACTTGCGGCTGCGACGACGTTAGTTGTCCACCGGGGGTTGCCTCACCACTCAAATACCGTCCGATGGCCTCCAGCAGCACTTCCACCTTCTTCTGTTTCGTGGTTGGTATGTGTTTGGCTGCCGGTACTGCAGGGTCAAATTGACGATGCCAACGAATTTGCAGGTCGATCTCTGGGGTGCGAAGCTTTGTGATATCTTCAAGTGTGAGATGTGGGATGACCGCATCAAGTTTTGCTCCTGCAGCATCACGGCGTGCTCGTTTCTTGATATCTTGCTCCCGGTGCTGCCACACCACCTCTTTATCATACTCAACCTGCACGAACCGCCGTTTACGCTTAGTTTAATCGCGTAAGATGAGCCTTTTGTGTTGGAGAACGCCGTTTTACCGGGTTATAGCGGTCCCTTTTGATGTATCGGGGCTGCATTGGACAGTTAATCCTTTTCTTGACGCGTCGAAACGTGTCGCGTCGCGTCATTTTGCGCTGAGTCAGCACGCTCATTACTGCGCTCAATGATCGACTGGTTCCCAGCAATGCGACCCCTCGTGTCACTTGAAAAATCCGGTGAAATGTATTCTTTTTACTCTATCCTTGTATTCTATGAAAAAAAAACTAAAAAAAACGGTGCACTTCATGCCATTGTAGTGAGTAATCCTCCCAAGGCCAGCACCATTTACACTTTTTTCTCATAGAATACCTAAGTCTCGTTAATTCACACATGTTTCTCCATACAAACTTTCTGTCAGATTGTTGTGGTAGTATAGTGTCAGTCGATCTTTTTATTGGACACTTGTTTTGACTCTATGCACTGCAAAGCAAATCACGGGCGGAGTTTAAAATTGACCGAGCGCTGCCCATCCCCACAGTGTGTGGCAGGCCTGCCAATGGGATATATTTCTGCTTTCACCTAGGCTAGGGAAGCACCTATGGTGTAGCGGTAATCTATCCTATGTTTTTGCCCTACGATCCGCGTTCGAACCTTCCACTTGCCTTTATTTTATTTTCCGCCTGCGCGTTGAGCTGACACAAATGGGAAGATACAAACACGGTCAAACCTCACGCCACTACAAGTTTTGCCAGTCGGCTGGGTGTGTAGAGTCCAAAGTTGCGGTGTTTGAAATAATGTTGTACGTATTTGGTTTGTGGCTAAGGTAACAGTATGAAGACTCTCACACACCCGCCGACTGGGTAGGAGTCTGGGAGTACTGGAGATAGCTGAACAAATAGATTAAAGATACAATTGTGGCTGAAGATTATAGTGGTGAAATGCCCTACTTTCGAGCTTGCAACGTGTTTTCCAACACAACTACACCAAAAGCGAAAGACATGTAAGAGAGAAAGTTTTAGAGAAGACCTCACTATAGGCTTTCTTGAAAACAGATTTTTATTTTCTGATCTTTAAGCCATACAAACAGGTCACTTTAGGCCATTTTTGTCACTGTTCATGCATTTAAGAAGCCAAATTTCAACATATGCGCAATCCCTTAAACAAAATACAGAACAGGGTCTCCTCTACAATTTCCTCTCTTACATGTCTCTCGCTTTCGGTTTAGTTGTGTTGGAAAACACGCTACCGCAGCGTGACTCAAAGTGTGTCACTTTGAATGCACAAAATCCATTCTCACGGCATCGTGGGAATCACGAATGCCCTGTGGGCGTTGCGCACCCCCATTTTTTGCCTCATTTTACCAAGTGGCAGGTAAAACATCAGAGCATGTGAGCTAGCTGACAAATCAACAAACCTGACGTGTCTCTCGGTGGGTGGTACACGTCTGTCAGTTCACGCAGGTCTGCAGGTCCCGTTCTGTCGTGTTGTCTTCGCATCGGCAGAAACACACCTCGCCTGTCACTAGAGGACCTCTTGCGAGCACCAAAACCACTCCATCGACCTTGCCCGGCTTATTATTCGTGCTGTTTGCAAGGTGATTCTGTCAAAATTTGACATGCGCACATGCAAGACGGCGGGTCTTGTGTTTTATATTTCTGTTTACATGTACACCTGTATATACGTACCCGTGCAATATAACAGGGAAAATGATTGAGAGTGCCTGCCCATCCTGTACCTGTTGCTGGCCGTGTTATGGATAACCAACTCTAATTGGGGACCACTGGTTATGCTTCCTTGTCACGGATACTCGAGGATATCCTTCGTTATCCGTTATACATAACCTCGCTCCTGCTGCTCCACAGTACTTGCTGTCCACTTATATACATCTCGATCATGGGATCTGACCATAGTACTCGCTGTCCGCATATATATATATATATATATCGATTGTGAGATCTGAGCATACCAGGGCCCAGGGCCTTTGTTGAAGCTTCTTGAGAACACTGTGTCAATCACACAAGTAAAGATGTTAAAAAGTCTGTATTCGGCATGCCAGTGAAGAGAAGATATGTCAAAATGCAATGACAGTACTAAATGGGAGCTGCGGTTGCCTTGGGATGAAAGAGAGTGGGCACAATACTCCACTTGGTGTTACAACAAAAGTCGTGTTCGAACTGGGATAGTTCAACGAAGAAGACGCGTCTTCTAAGTTATCAATCGGGTGTCGGAATGTCAATATACCCGGTAGCCTTAGCCGTTGGGATATGACTAAAGGATAGGTAAGCTTCTAAGGCGAAGCCGAAGAAGGGTTTCACTGTCGACTGCGAAGTCTAGGTGAGAGATCGGTATCGGCTCAAAGACGAATAGTCTAAGAGAATCAAAGGTAATATCGACTCAAGGATAGCGATCCAAGAGTATAGCAGTTCGTAATCAAGTTCAGGAGATCAGGTAATCGTTCAGGTAAAACCCAGTAGATTCAAGTTAGGGAAATACAGTACAATGGAGTCAACTATATATAGGGAAATAGGAATGATGTTCAGGGCAGGTCAAGGAACCAAAGATAGATATATCAGGAAGGTAGGGTCGAGGGTATATGACCATGAGGTCAGGGATCAGGGTTCATGGGAGGATCAAGGGAAATAGAAGTACAGGCCATGAGGCGGAAGATCAAGGGTTCAATGGAAGTGTCTAGCTTCTGTCACAGAAGGTCAGGGTTGGCGGGGATCAAGAAGTGTGCATCAAGCATCGTGGTGAGTCGTGAAGAGGTGATAGTTGTGATGGTGTGACAGGGTGAAAGGGTGAAAGGGTGAGAAAAAGATAGGGGCCATGTTACTGTAACACTTGGTAAGGAATACATCTCTCATAGACCTGCACAGGGCCACTTGACATTTGGCATAGCCTCGGATGCCTTCCAATGAAGCATCATCTAGGCCTACCCTTTCTGTGGCCACTCATCCCACCACACAGCATGCCATGCAAGAAAAGCACTGACTCACCGCATCTCTTTAAGCAGGAGTTCCACTTCTTTGACCCATCAGTTGGCATGGGCCCTCGATCTACACCATTCGACTCGCAAAGCTAACAAAATGTTCAGCCAAAGTATTGAAGCAAGGGTGATTGCTCACCTTCCGAGAGAACTGCCTCACCCTACATCCCTGCAGTAGCTACACCTTGCACTTTCCATATCCACGACAAGGTGCGGTTCCCGCTTGACTCTCCAAACGTGCTATCTCCTATCCCTCGGATGTCCCCTTCCTCTAACTTTGGCAGCTCTGTCGTCCACGTGTACCTGGCAAGGGAAGGTGCAAGAGTGCTTAATGCGTTCCAGGCTCTGTGATAGTGCTCAGCAGCCACAGATACATTGATTTCAATGTTCTTGATGATAACAGCTGCACATGTATTTGCCCACTGACCATGAATTTGAGCATCTTTCCACTTATGTAGATGTGTTCGAAGGCAGAGGTGCCGGTGGAGATCATCAACCCATACCTGTCGCTGCCAAGCCATGCACACTTTTTGTATCAGCAAGATTCACAGCACTGTGACTTGTGCACGTGCTTTTCTGCTCAAATGTAATGTTACAGCAGTGTTGATGAATTGAGAAGAAAGACAATCACCTCTTGAGGCAGTGTTCCTGCATCCTTCATAAACAACTTGAATCCACATTCTTCGACAAAATATGACCAGCCCCGACTCAGACCAGGGTCAACTTTGTCTGAAGACACATTTTTCCTTGCTAAATGAAAGTTTGCATCAATTGCAAGGAAAAGGGCAAATTTCCAACTACATAAGAGCTGCTGTCAGTACCTTGCAGAGAAAAACAAGTGAATAGCATACCGGACTTCAGGTGGGGTGGGGCGGTTTGCCAGTCATCTGGCATGTTTTTTCCAGGCTGGGGACATGCAGGCTGCAGTGCACAACACTGCGCAGGCACCTGGTGTGGCAGCATGAACACCGGCAGGGTCATGTCCAAGACCCGACTGTTTAAGCAGTGCAAGATTTCACCATTGCTTGATCATTCTCAGCAACACTATATAGTGATCCTGTAATAGAACAGTCAGAATTCGAAAGCCGAGCTGAACATCATCAAAAACTTGCCTTTGTAGGACTCACTCCCATATTATTTGTGAGACGAGCAAGCAATTGTCAATATTCAAACACAGACACCTTGGACTCAAAGGAAAGTATGTAGAAGTGGTGTAGAAGACAAAAAGTAGTGGTGCTTTTGGGAGCAATGGTTGTAGAAGGGTACCACCGTGTGCACAGTAGTTGAACAGCATAAGATTGTGCAAGTTGACATGCACAGAAGTCGAGTGTGACCTTGTGCACACCATTGGTATCCAGCACTACAAGATAGTTGTGCAATGTCTTGGATGAGTTGTAGCAACACTCCCTGCGGGCATGACTCAGCTGTATATGTAGTCCGAGGATTTTGAGTGTTGTATGAGAAAAGTAGCCATTGTTCCAATACTTTGAAATCAAAATTGTAGAATGTATTTCACCAACAACACAGCACGTACCTCAATCATATGTAATGGGTTTTTGCAGTACTTCTCTACCGTGCAGTGTTTGCAGTACAGCTCTGCAGTAAAGCAATCCTTGCACCGATATAGGGGAGGAAAAGGGCAATCTATACCACCTCTACATGTACCTTGCAAAATGTAATCACCACGACCATCTAGTCAAAGCAGTTCGAGAAGGAATGAATCTCGCTCTATGGTGCAGTTCACTAAGTCACCGCCTACTTGGTGCAACCGCCAATTTCATCAATGAAAAATCCTAACCCTAACCTTAGCTTATCTATATAGGGAATAGTGACTTCCAGCTCAAAATCATTCTTCGATATTAGTTGGTAGTCTACAACAGTTGAGCGATCACGCAGTGAAAATATATCAAAATGTCTAACGAACATTGCGCACAGAACAAACCATCATCTATGGGCAAAAAACACCAATATTCCGCTGCTGCTTGAGCCAGAACTGCAAGATGGAATCTTACTGCCAGTGTGCCCCCTCCAAGTCCTGAGGCTGCCACTGATTCAGAGCCTCCAGTCCAGCACTGCGAAGACACGGAACCACATAATTACATTGACATTGAATCTGATTCATGCTCAGAATGTGAGTATACAGGTGGGGTCAATGTTGACAGCTCCGACAGTGATTACGAACCTGGAGATTTGGACTGGGAGACCGAGTTGACTGATGATACTCTCTTGGAGCTCTCAGGTGACAAGTTGGAGGAGAATATGTGCATGCTGCAAGCTGAATGTACTGTTGAAGCAGACGTGCTTACCCAAACTACTGCATTTGAGAAAATTGCAGCAGGAGTCTCGAGTGCAGCATGGAAAAAGGCCGAGAAAGACCAAGGCCTTGGATACAATGGCCAGTCGCAGCGAACACGTGAGTGGAGAGGTCAGCAAGCTTGGGCTGCAGCAAAAGAGCGAGAAAATGCAAAAAAAAATCGTATGTCAGCTCATTTAAAACTGAACGAGTGAGGACTCTTACTTTAAAAATCATGTCAGAGACAATCCACAGGTCAAAATGATGCTTCAAATGTTCACACCAAAGCCATTGTTGACTCCGCAGCCATCCAACTCGACTCCGTTACCTGAGTCAGAGGCTCCCGTGCTGCGAGTGTTGACTCGACCAACAAAGCATGATGCTTTCATGTATCTGTCGGACTCAGATGATGATGGCTGGAGCAGCGACAATGAACTTGAAGAAGACCATGGCATATCAGTATGTTCTCCCACAGCAGGAACAAGTCGGAGCAGTGGCAAGTTGCCTGCAGTGCCACCACCCAAATGACGGAAGCTCGAGGTACCCTATCATGTCCAGTGTGAAAAAGACAGGGCAGTCCAGATGGAGAAGTTGAAGAGTGGACTTTGAGATGTTGACAAGCTGTTGAAATCTGCGAAGACAAAATTTGTCAGTGGAGTCAATGACCTTCAGGCCTGTCGTACATGTGCAATTCGTGCACACCTTGATCTCATTGTCCAGAATGGGCGTGTGTCAGCTGATGCAGCTGAACGTGCTGCAGAAGCAAATGGTTTTGCTGCTGCATGGGGTGGACACCAGCTCCATGGCTGGACACGCCAGTGCATCAATGACCGAAAACTCCATGAATCCATGTGAGGGTGCCATGCGAAAGTCGCCACACTTCTTGCCATACCATCCATAGCCACCAAGCTCCGTGCATATCTTCACTCGAATAAATGGTCGATGAATCCTGAAAAGCTTGCCAAATTCACAAACAATGAGATGATCACAAAAGAAGCAGACCTATACCTGAAGAATGTCGTCGATGATGAGATGCCAAATGCCCTCAAAAGATATATCAAGTCGGAGCTTTTTCCTTGTATTCAACTCAAAGTTGGCCATGGCATCTCGCTTAGCACAGCACGTTGTTGGCTTCACCGTGAAGGATTTCAGTACATGTCGCACAAGAAGGGATTGTATTTCGATGGCCATGACCGGCCCGACATTGTGGAATATCGCCAGAATGTGTTTCTGCCTGCAATGAAGGAATTTGAGCACTGTCTCATCCAATATACCATTGGCGATGTGGAGAAAGATTGTTCAACCACACAATTATGTTGAACATCGCCTTGTTCCCACCCCTCATGATGAGATGACGGCACAATCCAATGACATGAATGACAAAGAATGGGTTTTTGACAAAGAGTTCAAGTTACGGAAAAAAGGAGTCGGTCGAGGCATTCATCGCAGTGACGTGATTTGTTCAACATGTGGACATCTTTCACAAGCAGGTGAATCTATGGAATATGGGAAGAATTATGAAGGGTATTGGAATGGCGAGTGATTTTGCACTCAGGTTCATACCAAGATTTTTGCGAGCATTAATTTCTCACTGAATAAGGTCCCAGATGGCCGAGAAAATTGTTCTGGCATTCGAAGCAGCTCATGGAGCAGGCTATCAGGCTTTATTCATCATTGACAATTCCCAGGGGCATTCTGCATATGCCGAAGATGCACTGTGTGTTGGCAGTCACATGAATATTAATCCTGGCGGCAAACAGGCACGAATGCGGAACAGATGGTTTGTTCATGACGGAGTCCGAGTTGAACAAGAGATAGTGTTCGCAGCGAGCCACCCACAATATCCAAACCAACCTAAAGGTATCAAAGTAATTCTCAGCGAACACGGACTCTGGAAATTGAACTTGCATGGAAAGTGCTCCTCCAAGTGCAAGACAGGTGCAACGGACTGCTGCAACCAGCGCATTCTCTGATTTCAACCTGATTTCCAGGAACAGAGGCCTCTCATTCAAAAGATCATCGAGGCTGCTGGGCACATGTGCATTTTTTTGCCGAAGTTCCACTGTGAACTCAATTTCATTGAGTTTTTCTGGGGAAGAGTCAAAAAATACCTCTGTGATAACTGTGATGGCTCATTCGAGATGTTGAAGACAAACATGCTGAAAGCACTCGAATCTGTCCAGGTGAACACTGTTCGGCTGTGGGAACATCATATGCACAGGTGGTTAGAGGCTTACAGATCAGGCTTACCGACGAAGGAGGCTCAATTACAGGTCCGACAGTTCAGCTCCACGAAGTATAAATCACACAGACGCATTCCGGAGACAGTAGCGCTGTAGGAGACGATCGGGCTGCAGCCCTGTATGGCACCATTTCCCCTTACTGGACGAAGTCACGCATACCTTCCACAGGCCGTTGCGGACCATCACATGAGGTTGCGGAATCCACACACTCATTGCATTGCAACGCACTATCTGTCCATGTCCTGTCTGCATCCGTCCATCCTCACTGGTGCGTTCTCATTCTTAGTTAGTCATTCCTAACTGTTCGCAGGGCCAGTTACATATCAGTTCCCATACACGAGGCCGTGTACCATTACTTACATGTATCTCCTTCCGACTTCGCTTGCATATGCGCCCGCTTATACGGTTCCGGTTTCTTACGGACTCTGTTATATACTACGTCGCAGACTCGTATGGACTTCACTTTCCTACATTCCCTCTCTCTGGTTGTGTGTTGCGGAGTCACTAGCTTAGTCTTACCTTGTCTTTCTTTGCTTGAGCAATCACTTGTTTGCCTTCTCATCCCGCGCAAACGCTCGCATCGCCGTTGACAGTTGACTATTGCTAGTCCTAGTTGAGTTCCTTTGCAAGGTGGTTTCTGCACGTCTTCGCATATACCTGGTACCTAGTTTGCTCTACCCGTTTACCTGTTCTGATACCTGGTACCCTACCCGTTTCGCATACCTGGTACCCCCTAGACATCCACTCGTTTCTCCGCATCCACATACCTCGCATCTCCGCGCATCCACACATCTCCGCATCTCCTCGCATACCCAGCCGTTCTGTCTTCAGCGCATCACTTCCTTCTTCACTGTTCCCCTCGCTCATACTTGAGGAACTGCTCTCAGAGCTATCCCCTTGGGTCGACTACTATTCTCGCACCCAGCAGGATCGGTACGCTATCACTATAGCGGACTTCTACGATTTCTCCCACAGCGCGTCTTTTCGACTGATTATATCACCTTACTGCTACATACCGCCAATTTAACCACTACTTGAAATTTTATCTCACTCAGATTTGGTCCAAATAAAAATCTGTCTTACAGTTGTGTTCTACTCATCAAAAGGAGTGTTTTTTCAAGAGGAAAATGAAATCTGATTTTTTTTCGAGGTGGTGGGAAGTTTGCACAAAGTAGGCGGTGACTTAGTGAACCGCACCATAGCAGCCATGTGGACATTGGATGATCCTATGTGTAGGGCACAAGTCATCAGTTCACTAAAAAATTCTGAACAAAAGATACAAAGAACTCACCCCTGCTGTGCGATTGCGCTTTCTAGGTGTGTCATCTGTCTCGTCAAGATAATCCATGTGACTGGCGTCAATGGCATCACAGGCAGTGTCGGTGAGTGACCAGTCTGAAAACTCTGGAGCCACTGCAGGAATATTCTCTGTGGGGCCTACAAAGTGAGTAGAAACATGTCCAGGGCCTGTGATGGTGTGGGAAATGTGTTTGTGCAGGTTGTGGTCTCCAGTAGTCTGTTGCAGTGAGTGAGCAGCTGATCCTTGTTGTTGTGCAGCTGACCTCTTTTGACGCTGGGAGGCCTGGTGAGCTGAATTTAGCACATACCACTTTTCCTTCTCCTTGTTGTGACGACGGTGACCCATGACTCAGATACAGAAGGTGAGGGATGCACAGAGACTTGATATTTATTGCTGCCACCTTGATGCAGCCATGTGGCTTGTATGCAACAGCCTTCCAAACGTAAGTTCACCGCTTGGTAGAAAAGATTTGAGTCGGTGTGGGTACAACGAACAGACTTCGAGGAATCTGCTCTGATGTGAGGGCAATATGTTTGACCTCTAGGGGAAGCTGAGTCAAGCAGAAGTCAGGCGACTAAGTGCTCTCAAAGTGCGGGAATGCATGATGTAAGCACGAGGGCGCGGGAAGTGCATGGAAAGCGCGGGAAGGTCACACTCATAGAGCGCAAATGCGGAAGGATGTCTAGGATCATGTATGACGCGAGGAATGGATCTCAAGCAATTGTATTATGGATATAGACTGATAAGGGAAGGAGAGTATGACTCCTCTCTATAGATAGGTGCTCCCTAAGACATAGCACAAACTGCGGAGCTCTACTAAGGGTGATTGCATAAGTTCCGAACCTTCCCTCAGAAAGCCCAGTAGATATAGAGGATAGCTAGCGAAGAGTGAGCGAAAAGCGTCCTAAAGTGGCCAAGGAGTGCAGGAACGCGGCCGAGGAATGTCACAGATGTATGTAATGAGATAGCAGCTGTCAGAAAACCAATATATGTATGTAATACTCACCTATGGACCGAATAGACAATGGATGGATGGACCTGAGGAAGCGCGCTGAGCGCAAGCACGGGAAGTGCGCGGAAGGTGTGGAAGGTCACGGGAAAGTCGCGCCCACCTGTGGATAGGGATGAGGTCGATGTAGAAATCAGGGGATACAAGCCTGTAGAGATATCACTCTCTACATCGGACCGAAACTAATAATATTGTTTCTATTGTAGCTACCTATCAAAACAAATACAAGGTCTATGTGATGCAGTTAAGCCTCAAATAAGCTTGAATCAAGGTCCTGGTATACATCATTGCCGACATCGACAGTACAAGAAATCTGTTCAGTAGTCAGACCAAAACTGTACTTTGAACAGCCACTCAACAGCAGTCATACCAAAACTGATAACTATCCCTGACTCCTCACTGAAATTTCAAGAAGCGCAAAAATTGTTCATTTGACATCTATGTAGGTACCGGTAGCATACACAACTATAGTAAGATACATTGTCCAGGCAATATAAGCTCTACATAGTACTTGTGCGGTGATGTTCTAGCGAGATTGCATGTATTTCTGTGAGTCATAAAATGTTACTGGAGATTCAGAGAAAAAAGAATGCATCTTTGCCTCTTCAGGACCCTGGTACCCCCTTGAAATCAGAACAGTTACTGGTGGCAAGCTCTCCGGCGGAAAGCTGAATAGTCATGTGGATGGTACATATGGTTTCAGGGATCTTCGTGCCACATGCATAGCATTTGCAACAATGAGCACGGAAAATGCATGTAGGACAGGCTCCAGGTTCTGAAGAAGGCAAAGGGATGGGCTCAGGACCGTCATCCTCATGTGAATTAAAGATGTCTGCCGCTGAAAAATTCAGTGGAGGCATGAAGAGCACGGTACTAAAACTTACCATTCTGGTTCTTTATCAACTGCAAAGCAGCAGCGAGCTCACCAAGGGTAAAGGTTAGAGGAGTAGACTGTGGAATATGATAAATGGTGTGAATGTTGCGAGTGATTGGTTGGTTGCTTCTCTGACCCTGCATACTAATATAGGTGGTTTGATGTGGCAAGGCAATTTTATTGGCTGTTGTCCCTGTGAATTTAATTTTCTGACTCCAATCTAGAGAGCCTAACCTTGGTTGATCAAATTTTATGATTGTTAACTCCATGAAAGTGTCCACAACTTGAATTACTCAAGACTGACTGCTGTAAGTTATGACACACATTCTAAAATAATGAAAAACTCACTGCTTGAGATGACAGCCAAATATGCCAGGTGCCGCATGGACTACACCTGAACAGAAGGCCTTTCTGGAGCAATACTACAGCACCTTCTTAGAGGTGCAACTCCAGGCTACTGTTAGCCAGTTCTGGATCCCCCTATATGCCAAGTGGTTTAAAAATGGCCAGGGGTCAACAAAATATTTCAGGTTCAGACTGTACCAGTCACATTGTCTGAGGAACAGAATATTGCATTAGGAAAGGTGGTAGATGCCAGGTATAAGGTCAGCTCACCTTATAGGAAATTCATGGAGTGCAACACTGATTTGGGAACCCTAGAAAATTTGCACATGGTTCAATAATCAGTCCCAGAAGAGCAGTAAAGCAGCTGTGAATGCAATGACAAAATTGATGATGAAGATGATGAGAAACAAAGCGAAGGGTACACAAGTACATAGCGAGGTTGAGGACTTCTCGAAAAGATGTACAAAGACAGTGTACAAAGTGGTGAAGAAGGAAATTGAGGCAGGTGCCCTTGTCACAAAAGAAGAAAAGCTCTGCGGCTTGAAGGAACTCACCAAGAAGGCGTATGAAGCTTCCACCAATGAGGTTCGTGCTTCGTGCAAAGCAAAAGTGCAAGAAGAACGAGACTCTAAGGCTCAAGTTATCCTTGAGAGACTTAGAGGGGAAGGGAGTGAGTGTCTTACCAATGAGCGGTATGCTAAGTCAGACTTGCCTCTTTTGGCTAGCCGATTTTTTGCTGACGGAGTGTAAATCAGGGCACTGGAAGAATGCACTGGTCCTATCTCACAGTTTATTAAGGCTATCCAGAATATGATGGGTTTTGAATGAACCATCATTGTTGCAGGTCCTGATCCTCACCTTGGTGGTAAGCTCAATGTGTTGACATATGTTGTTTGTTTCGGTGTACCAAACATTCTGAGGATAGCCTCATAATCGTCCATTATGCATGATCCGGAGCTCACCTGGTCAGGTATCCATGTCCACACCTTATCCGACCTCTTCCGTCGACATCTGTCCCTTCCGGACAACTAATGGACGTGCAAAACATAACGGATACCGCCTTCACCCTTGATCCATGTCCATCCATGTCCATCCATCCCCATTGGTGCGTCATTTGTCTAGTTGTCTGATCAACCACAATCTGTATTACATGTACATTCCCACACATGAGGCCGCTTACTGTCTTCACATATTACTGCGCTACGGACTTGCTTGTGCTACCGCCGCCTAGAGGATTCTGAGTTCTTACGGATCATGATAAATAGTAGTGTCGTCTTCTGACAATAATCACTTCCTTTACTCCCTTGGATTTTATATCTAAGTCCGTGTGATCAAGAAGTCCCCTTAGTCTTCCGCATCACAACAGACCTCATTCCCCACGGATTGCTTCTGGTAGCTCGTTACCTCGAGACCTGGAAACCTTGAAACCTGGAAACCTTGCCACCTTGATACCTTGACAGTCATAGACTTCCTTCAGTGGCAATCCCCTTGGGACGAGCAATTATACTCACACTCATACAGATCGGTGGTCTACTCCAACAGGCTACATGGAATCACTTTTGCTCATCGGTCAAGCTATGATTACTAATTGGCTCACAATATCTTAGATACCACACTGGCGTCAATCGCACAGGCCAAAACTGGCAAGAATATACACCTGACTTCATTGAACACCACCTCAATCCTTACTTGGAGTTTGTTGGAACCATTTTTTGTGAGTCACCTATTAGTTTTCTGTATGAGCATTGCTTGATCTGTTCTGTTTTCAGTGGAACATGTGAGGAAGACATGTGTGCTCAATTATGTCCCTCAATGTTACAACCTTTTAAACAACTTAATGCTAGGGCAGAGACTAGGACTCAAACAAAGGTTGTTATGATAAAAGAAACTGGATTGAGCAAGTACATTTGGGCTGCTACAAGATGTAGAGACGAAAGGTTTGAACTAAAGAACTATTGACTATGGTGCGGTTCACTTAGAGGCCGCTACTTTTGACCAAGCGCCAAATCGAGTCGTGAAAAATGCAGATGTAACCCTAACCCTAATATGACATGCGGATCCTAGCTACAGAGGTACACTAGCGCTAGCTTCGATACTCGTGAAACAGATGTCATTGCTTGCCTGCCAGTGAATGTTCAAAAGTTTGAGTGAGTCGCGACGTGACGAGTAAGAATGGCCAACACACACCAGAAAGCAGCAGCAGCTCGTGCAAGAGCTGCAAGGCTTGCAAGAAAAGCCCCAACACATCCACCTCGTGTTATATCACCAGTCCTCTCCCTACCTGCCAGTGTCACAGTTGAATCCGAGTCTGAATGCGAGTCTGAATGTGAGTATGAGGGTGGTGTCAACCACATCTTGTCAGAGCCTGACTTGCATGCTGCTGAGCCCTGTGACAATGAAAGGATGTCAGACACAGACGAAAGCTTGGAGGAATTGGAAGGAACAGACCTGGAGGAAAATCTGAAGGCTCTCAGAGTTGATGTTGGAAGTGGTGGATATGCAAAGGTAGCTGCACCAAAGACCGTCAAGACCTGGCAAAAGGCAGAGAAGAATCGCGCGCTGGGATATACAGGCACTTCAAAGCGCACTCAGCAACGTCATGCAAAACAGGCCCGTGAACATGAACAGGCCCGTGAATCTGCACAAAAATCGTGAGTCCTCCCCCAACTTTTGACAATCAGAGTACAGCTGCTTACCTGTCTCGTTGGCAGTAACAATCCCCAGATCTTGATGATGCGCCAGATGTTTGTGATTGACAAAAGTGCAAATCGAGCAACAGCGCCGTCACCTTCACCACCGCCCGCAACGGCAAACGTGGCAGTGGTTCCTGAAAGCGGCAAAACATTCTTTGGGTATATCTCGGACCTATCCAGTGACTCCGAGTCAGATGCAGACATCGAGGACTCCGACATTAACTCACTGGATACTAATGACGACAACGAAACGATGCCCACTGGTGATGGCCGGCTGCCAAGAGTTCCTCCTCGCAAACGGCAGAGATTAGATGTGCCACGGAGAGTTCAACAGGAGCACAAGCGGGAATATCGGAGAAAGGAGATGAATAAAGCCTTGGGAGACATGGACAAGTTGCTAAAGTCGAAGAAGACGCAGTTTATTGGTGGTCCGCGAGGTCTCCAAGCAAGACGTACCCAAGCAATTCAAAGCCACCTGAAGCTCGTAGCGACAAATGGAAGGACATTTCTGGATGCCTCGGAGCGTGCAGCTGAGGCACATGGTTTTGCTGCCAAGTGGGGTGGAAGGCAACTTCGAGGTTGGACCCGCAAATGGTTGATAAAACGAGAGCTGCCTGTCTCAAGGCAAGGCCATCATGCAAAAGTCTATTCGCTTCTCAGCGACCCTGCAATTGCGTCAGAACTCAGATCGTATGTTCGGTCGAACAAGTGGGCGATGGATCCAGAGAAACTCACGCGGTTCACTGAAAATCAGCTCATACCCAGCGCAGCAGACAAGTACCTTCAAGAAATTGTGCATGATGAGATGCCTCGTGGACTGAAGCGGTATATGGAGGACGAACTTTTCCCTCGCATTCATCTCAAGGCAGGCCGCAGCATTTCTCTGAGCACAGCACGACGATGGCTCCATAGCGAAGGCTTCCAGTATACCTCACACAAGAAAGGACTCTATTTCGATGGTCACGATCGCCCAGACGTTGTCTCATACCGCCAAGACCACTTCCTTCCGTTCATGAAAAGCTGTGAATCACGACTCGTCCACTTTGTGGTTGGGGATGTTGACGAGGAGTTGGTGGCCGCACCTGATAATTATGTTGAGCGCCGGCTGGTCCTTGTGGCACACGACGAAATGACGGCACAAGCAAACGATTCGAAAGAAAAGAGCTGGGTCTTCGAAGACCAACACGCTTTGAGGAAGAAGGGGGTTGGTCGAGGAATCCATCAAAGCGATGTGATATGTTCAACTATTGGACACCTTGCGGAAGCGAGTCAGACACTTGAATATGGGAAAAATTATGATGGTTATTGGACGGGAGAACTTTTCGTTAAACAGGTACTATGCTCGACTGCAATTTATTGAATGAACCCTTTGCTGATATGTTTTCGTGCGTCAGCTCAAGGAAAAAATCATTCCTGCCTTCGAAAACGCACACGGACCTGGATATCAGGCTCTCTTCATGGTCGACAATTCTCAGGGACATTCAGCTTATTCTGAAGACGCATTACTCGTCAGCCGCATGAACGTTAAACCAGGTGGGAAACAAGCCCATATGCGAGATGGATGGTTCATGCGAGATGGCATCAAAGTCATCCAACAGATGGTTTACCCACCGGATCACCCAGAGTTTCCAAACGAGCCGAAAGGAATGAAGGCTGTGCTTGCTGAACGCGGACTGTCTCAGCAACGTCTCCGGGGAAAATGCAAGAAATGTGAAAGTGATTCTCTTGCTTGCTGCTACAAGCGCATCCTCGAGCTCCAGGCCGACTTTCAAGAACAAAAATCACTCGTGCAAGAGGTAATCGAGTCCATGGGCCACTTGAGCATTTTTTTGCCAAAGTTTCACTGCGAGTTGAACTTCATTGAATATTTCTGGGGACAGGTGAAGAAATATCTTCGTGACAACTGTGATTATACATTCGACACTTTGAAAGACAACATGCCCATAGCGCTCGCATCAGTGCCACTCCAAACCATCCGGCGGTGGGAACATCGCATGTACAGGTGGATGGATGCTTACAGGATGGGACTCGGGACTGTGGACGCACAGCTGCAGGTCAAGAAATTTAGTTCAAGACAGTATAAATCTCATAGACGTATTCCAGACACAGTAGCACAAGTTTTTGACCAGTAGCACACATACGCGCCAATTTGGGGTGTCCCGATATAAAAATCTTGCTCAAATTTGATCCAGAGAAAAATCGCTCTTGGGGTTTTATTCAACGCATCAAAAGGAACATTTTCCCAAGAGGGATTGAAGAACTGACGAAATTTGAGTGTGGGAAACATTTGGTCAAAAGTAGCGGCCTCTAAGTGAACCGCACCATAGAAATGTCCTAACTATATGCAACTATTCAAGAGGAGATGCAAACTGAGTTCTAACTACTAGCCAATCATAACATAGGAAACAGAATTGTACAATGTGATAATGTGAAAGAGCAGCTATGATGTCATAAGAAGCAATGCTGCGGTTGTGAGGTTCTGGAAGGTTCTAGGAGAATCATGTGATGTGAGAGCATCTATGTCTGGTGTTTGGATTTTGGTTATAGTAGTGGTAGGGTTAGGGTTAAGTGTTGGAACGTATGACAGGCATTTAGGTGTTAGCGCGGGGAACGGGCACTTAATACCAACAGTCGAAAGGAAAGAATAATGGTTTGTATTTGGAACTCGTGACACTCAACATCCTCCGAGGGATATCACTACTGCTCCACACTTGACCACTGCTGTCATTCCACCTATCACGGACTTTGTGGGTGCAGCTTCCACCAGTAACACATCCAACTTCATGGGTGCAACTTCTACCAGTAACACATCCCCCCAGTTGGCATTCCACATACTCAAGCACTGGCACCTGCACATATTCCGCCAGGTCCAAGTCTTCTATCTGATGATTTTTGAACCTTCAATTGATCAAACACAGACTCCTTTATCAATGAGACTGAAGTGGTCCTCCCTGCACATCCTGGCACAAGTTCATTTGAGCCCCACACCCCATCACCCTACAACAAATCTCTGTTGATGCCTTATAGTCCGCCTACATCAAGCTCACAGACTGGTACACCAATTTCATCATGGAATTGCAAAGCCTGGAACCAGCAGGTATCATCTCCCCTGCGTTCCTCACCACCCCTTTCCTGAAAGAATCATCACACAGATTCCTTGACCTCCAACTCAGACACTTTTGGGCCAAGTTATATTTTTCCAAACTCTCACCTTCCGGCACTCACATACGGCAGCATGGTATGGTCTGGTTCTGAGCCTGTCCTGTGGTAAACATGCACCCTCCTGCATCACATTCTGGTAACATGCCAGCAGTACCATTGACCGAGCGAGCACACCAATGTTACTCCAGATGTCACTGCTGTGGTCCACTTGCGCAAATCTCACGACCGAAACTTGGGTATTCTCTCAGAAAAATTGTTCGAGTGGAAGGCCAAATACTCCCACTACAAGCCAAAAATCCTGGCCAGAGTCACAATGCAGCTCGACTCAGCTGCTGGCCTTGACATGTTGGATGGTAATGGTGTTTTTTTTGGCGTGATAGATTCAGAGACATTTTTGACTTATGAGTTTGCAGGTGTGGCTCATCCAAATGAGATCCAACATGTCCTTTGGCATTCAATTTACACAAATGATGACCTGCAGCTCCTCATGCACAAATGACAGGGTGGCTACTCACATGTTGAATGTTGGACGGCCACCAAGGCGAATCCCACCCGTGATGATGGCACTGGAAGTTCTTCTGACAGTATTGGGAACTGGGCAATTGCAAAGCAGCTAATTGCAGCTATGCCACACCTTGAAGATCATTGTATGTGTCACACTACATGGTGGATATCTATATTTGACTGTGCGATTGTGGAAACCTCCTCCTCATTTGGTTGTCTGCTTTGTACCTCTTCAAAGCACTGTTAGCATCACTGGGTGGTTTGACCTCCACAAAAAAGACGGGGCTAGCTTGTGCCATTATCAGAAATGTGGTAACAAAATTGATTGACTCGTGTCCTACAGGATACTGGGGGTAGATTGTATAGCCTGTGCTGATCGTGCCAAAGGTGTTCTGAAGAATGTGATTAAATGCATCATATGAGATCTATTCTATTGTTAGGGGTGCTGGCATGAGAGCGAAGTTGTGAATTATTGGGTATGTTGAAACAGGGGATGACAAGAGGGTATATGTTTTGTACACCATGTGCACGCTATGGTAAAGGTTGTGTGGCAAGATACATTTCAACAGATATAAGATAATCCTCATAAAAGACATGGCAAGATTGTAAAAGGTGTGGGGGGGATGCAAACTATGTGTGGCACAGTAGGCTTCATTTGACAGTTCACGTTGCGAAGAAAAAAAGGAAAGGGCTGGGCACAGAAGAAATCAGCAATGGCAGCAAGTTGATGATGACCTTCATGCTCGAGGGTTCACACTGTCAGAAGAAAACACAAAAGTAGGTGAATAAGAGCTGAGATCAAACAGACGTGGCGGTGGCGGTAGACTTTCACACTCAATGTGTCTAAAGGGCTTTAATAGGTTGGGTTCAAAAACAGAAGTGAGATGCAGATTTGAACAGTTGGAGGTGTTTGCTTGTTTCTCTGGCTATCTAAGAATGTAGCAGGAAATAATACAGGATAGCATGAGATTGATTTTTGTTCAGTAAGTCTTGCAACTATTCAGAGCTGATTATGCTCATATGGTCACCACCTGCTGGCTAAGTGTTCTATTCAAAATTAAATCATCTAATATGTTAATATTAAATAATAAGTAAAGATAGGTAGTGTCCCCCTCAATAAGCAGTGTAGTTGAGTGCTCAGGCAGCCTGCACATAAACAATGACATCATCCTTCCATATTCTCATGGAAAGCTATGATAATCTGTTTAGGTCTAGAAGGAAGGGGTGGCATTAACAAAAATCATATTTAGCACTCTTAACAGTGATACAATATCATACATAGTATGTGCTTTATACCATAACATGTATACGAGAAGTGCATTAAAAGATAATTAGGAAAGTGCACAAGGATATATTTCTCACCATCATAAGAAAATTCTTATGTTATTTAATTATATTTATGATTTTCTATCAGTTTCTGTCTTTGCATTTTTCCAAGCTGATTCAGCCACTTGATTACATCAGTAAGCCACCAAGATATACATATTCTTACCAGTCCAGTAATAAGTCATGTTGTCATATTCCGTACCTGAAGCTTCTCGTCCGGTCCGGTTCGTCCGTTCTCTCGGGTCCATTCTAGAATTCATTTCCCCGTGTCCCCATTTGTATATGCTTCTTGATGCCCCTATACGCCCGGATCCTTCTGGCAGTTAATATCCGGGTTCATTCTGATCGGTCCGTTAGTCTATTCATTCCCCTTTCATTTAACTTGTCCCCCCTGTTTCATTTAATCTCCGGCTCCATTCTCGATTGTCCGCAACAGTTCATATCCGTTAGTACATTTTCTACATAGCCCTCTGATCCGAAGACTGCGCTTCGGCCGGAAACCCGTCGGATACACTACAGTATATAAACCCTTTGTAACCCGTAGTATTTCCTCAGTTCGAATATCATCTTAGACTCAGTTCATTCCTTGTGTTCCCTCGGCCCTTAGGATTGTCTTCCTAGTCCGACCCTCCGAGCCTCGGGATTATCTCCCTAAGGCTAAATACCTCCGCCTCTACCTTCGGGTAGTCTATACCTTGTTAGTTTCTACCCGGACGAAGTCTCGGGTAGTCTTCTCTCTCTCGTCCGGCCCATCTATACCCTTCGGCCAACGATATCTAACCCCCTGTAAATTAGGGGCACGTACTCGGGTAAAGAGCGCAGCGCACGAGCTGAAGCTAAGCCCCTCCGGTCTGACCCGTTGAACAGGGTCTTAACACATGTTTAGTAAGGATTTTTTACAGACTGTACATATGAAACATTAATCCTACCAAAATAAATAAGTTTTTTTTTTCCTTTCATTCTTGTCTTTAACTACAAGCACCAGAAGAATTTGAAATATAGGGGTTTTCCATTGTTAATTTTTATTGCTGGTCTGCTGAAAGCCTCAATAAAAAACAATACTACTCAGTAGTGTAAAAAATATATCAGCACTGAGGGGTGCCCGCAGGAATGGTAGCAGAATCAAGATATTCCAGAGGTAATAGAATTTTGCCAGTATCGGAAAGTGCCTTGAGCTTGGCAGCTGTGTTGGGATATTGGTGTCTTGCCACTATCTTGCAAACAGTTTTACTGGAGAATGACTTAATCTTATAAATATCTGAAAAATAGTATGCATGTGAATACATCTTCAAAGAAGAACCAAACACTTACGTAGGGCCTTGCTCAACTGTGCATCCTTGAGTTTTACTGGGTTGCATATTTTCCCCCACCTCCCAAACTGCTCAGCTTCTTTTTCTAGGCTGCACTCACCTATTTGTTTTTCAACTTGGTGTAGAACAGTTCAACCTGTTTGGAAAGTCCTAGTATTATCTGCATCCCTCAACTAGGGAATATATCTAATCTAGTCCCTTTGTTAGCCAACACTGGTTTTCCCGTCATCTGTATAGCTAAGTCTAAGAAAGGCAACCATGTGCACTATACATGTAAATAAATATGCTAATTTCTCCTATTTATCTGAGGATACAAACATGCTATTACTACCCTCTCCATCTTACCATCAAGTGTTCAGCTAGATGGCTGAAGTAAACATGAAGTCCAGCTCAGCATTCATAATATTTCCTGCTTGACTAGACTGGACCATGGCCTAGGAGGTACCAGCTAGATGTGCAGTGTGTAATATTATTGCTGGTTAAACCACTTTAATTGTGTCTAGAGTGGAGTTGGCTAATGATGTAGCTTTACTGTTTGTCATGTGTCAGATTAGAGAGCCAGAGTCTTCTTTAGTAGTATTGCTGTCTTTGCTGACTATAAAGCAGTACTGGCCTTCACTATTGAACTCTGCAGGGTATGCAAGGTCCTCCTTTGTGGTGTGGTCCTTAATCTGGAGCTTTCCCTTGTTGGAAAACTTGAATGTGGTCAAACCACCACTGAGAAGATGGAACATGTTTGTAAGGACTTAAGGACTTAAGGACCATACTTGGATCTTGAATGAGGTTGTGTTCATTAGACAAGGTAAATAAGATCAGTCAATATGTACCAAGCTCAACAATATTACCCTCAAACTCAAATTCATCACAATCTTTGCCTCAGCAGCTAAGAATGAAACTCAGTCCAAAATAGCTTTGGCCTTATCTTCCAATTAGTGTTGCTTTGTCCTGATCACATTTTTGTTCTCTATATTCTGCCTCTGACAATATCTCAGGTCTAAACATCAGAATTACCTCACCCTATTTCACAACAGCATTATTGACTCTATTCTTCTGCAGAAAGATAATGATCTCTTAAGAGACTTTGTAGACAGTATCAGTGGAGGTAGATCCCAGAATAACACCAACTCATATGATGATGAGATAAAGAACCCCTTTCACCTTCTCTCCTAGTGGTGCATGAGTAAAAAAACAGGCAGAGTCGATAGATGACCAGTTGATCTTCCAAATCTTGATCAAGTCACAAATATAGGGTTGACCACATCTTAGACACCATTGATTGAGATATCAAAGTCTCTGCAGAGTGACTTGATAAAAAGAGGTGTGTTTATCAAAAGGCTTAAAGAAGGGCATAATGAGGAAGTCCAACCAGTAGATGAGGTCTATGTGATCATCATCCTTAGTAATGTCATTATACTGAGGATTGATTTCTCTACTTTTAGATAGTCTACCTCTACTTCTACTGTAGAGTTTGACTATAGTCGCCCTAACTCTATTTTCCACACTCTTTCTAAGTGTTTAACCAGTCAATGTCCATTTTCTGCTGGCCCAGACACTATACTTAGCCACCCAAAGTTAAGGACAAGTACTTAGGTAATGGACACAGCACATAAGCTGAAATTAAGCTCTTTGAATCTATTCTTTGAGCATAGTCTTAACATAAGCATATAGCATAAGATAAATAGAATAAACAAGTACTAAATATCATACAGTGACCAAGTAAATGGTACTATCAGAAAAATTACGCACTGAGCACAGGAGCTAGTATAAAGAGAAACAAATTACTAGAAATATGAAGACCAAGTGATGAAAAGCTAGAAACTAGTGCAAAACAAAGTTAATAAGCACTAAACAAACACAAAACAACTCAAATATGCCAAGCAAAATTAGCACTATGCAAATAATGAGCAAGTGAGTGTCAAGAAGGCCAATGACATCATAGCAAACAAGCAGGGCAATAGCAATAAATAAGCAATTACAGTACAAGCCATTACAACAGTGAAAAAGACATCACATATGAATACAAACATCAGTACATTGACAAGAGCCCATCAGTAAGAAATACAACACAATATAAAATATTTGAGCACAAAGTAAGAAAACTACACAATGCAAATGAGTGTGCAGCTAGAGCCATGACAAAACATCATACTAATTTAAAAAGTGCTATGTAATAATGGCATAGCAAGAAAAAATCAAGTGCTAATTAACATAGCAAGAAAACTGCAAGCAAACAGATCAAAGCAAGTAAGTACCCATAAATATGTGATGAAAACATCACTAGGGGATTGCAATATCAACACCATGCTTGAAAAAAAACATGTGCTAACCTATTAAACAACACGCTACAGCAAAGACTTAAACTCAAACACAAAGATTATCACAAGAAAAAGAATAAGATTGAGCAGGTACATTTGAGCTGCTACAAGATGTAGAGATGAAAGGTTTGAACTAAAAAACTACTAACTAGAAAGGTCCTAACTATATGCAACTATTCAAGAGGAGATACAAACTGAGTTATAACTACTAGCTAATTATAAAATAGGAAATGGAATGAAACAATATAACAATGTGAAAGAGTTTTATGATGTCATGTTCTGGAAGGTTGTTTGTATTTTGGTTATTGTAGAGTTAGGGTTGTGACTAAGCATTAGAACATATGATGGGCACTTGGCCATTTCAGAGTGGATCATGAGCCTGTGAATATTGACACGTGAAACATGGCCTTTGTAAGCAGGCCCATGTGAAGATTCTCCAAGATAGTGCTTCGATCATAATCAAGCACATATCTAACTCATCCATTCTTAAGGTCTCACTCTGAGAATCAGATCCTCAATCCTCTTCTCTTCTCCCCCTTGCGCTCATCCCCATTTGCGCGTCACTCGACAATTTTTAGCCATTTCCATTCATCGACAACCACGCAAATCTCCCTTATCTGTCACTTATGGCCTTCATCACTCCCATCGCCGGTCCTTCAACCATTCCACCATCCGCAACTAGCAACTCAGTGTCTGCATCTTCCACCACAGCTACCAATATCCCACCTACTTCCTCCGGACACATGTCCTTAGATTAGATCGTGGCTGATGACCTCAGGCGCACTAATGATAATCAAATTCTTCAACAGCGCAGTGATGCGGGGAAATGAATGTCCCCACAGATGAGCTTCTGATTTCCCTTCCCACTTGGCCTACAGGCACGGCCCTACAGCAATGGCTGTCTGCCTTTGCGCAACTTTCGCGCAACTCCCAGAACCAGGGCACCACCAAATTCACCCCAAAATCCCTAACCAGACCTAACATCCTGGTAGTCGCGAAGGTTCTCTTCGACTCCTCCAAGGAAGCCCCCTCTGGCACTGGTCTGGATTCGACATATAACTTCGGCATCCATAGTTTCATACAGGACCTACTTGTTGCAGGCCAGTACTGTCTGCTCACCCTCTTCACTAACTCCAACACAGGACAATTACACTGCGAGGGACATTCCCTCAAAAGGTCCAAGATTAATGTCACTGGCATTTCCTATCACCTACTTGACCTCTCGCAATTCAAGAAGACACTTAATATGGACCCTTTATCATGGCAAGAAGCATATCAATGTTATCTCACCTGGATCAAGGACATCGGCGACACTGCCTCACAAGAACACTGGACCAAACATTTCACCACCCTCTCCAAAGACGACGCAGTTCACAAAAACTTCTGCACCATCATTGAGTTCGATGTTGAGACTTGTCAAAACTATACTCTACACCTGCACCAGCACGATCAAACCGAATGGAATTGCCGCCTTCAAAATAAGAAATACAAAACCATGCAAGATGTCATGTTTCATACCCAGGAGCATTTCTCTCACAGCTCTCTCCCCGATCAACACACCCACCCTTCTTCCTCTCCCACTCGCTACGAGCCCTATAACCACAAATAGCTCACCCCAAGCACGGGGCAGTCCTTTTAGGACAACAGACCCTCCAAAACAGCTGACCCTATGTGCATCATATGTGGATGCACCAGACACTGTTTCTCTGTTTGCTTTGAAGAGACATCGACAAAAGGAGCACAAAATTATACAAAGTATGCTGACAGCACCCTCTTTAGATGTTCCAATGTATACCCCCTGTGTATCACCTACAACCTTAACAATCCCAAACACCCATGCAAACGAGAGCACACTGACCAACACATTTGTTTCTTCTGCGGACGCACAGTGCACAATGCTCTCTCTCGTGTCTGTGTTTGAGGCCCTAGAAGAAGATTAATTCTTGACGTGTACTATATATCTTTCTTTAGACATCTCTCCACCCCCACGGCATGTGTACAACAACAATCTACAACTTTTTCACTCACAGTACAATACCAACTTCAAATATTCCTACATTAACACACCCTATTCAGCTAATGGCTTTGACACCCTTCTTGAATGCCCGAATCTAATGCAGCAATTCCCAGAACTGTCTTTCAAGCTTCGTCATGGCTTCCCTATCAGCCGCCATCTCACTCTGCTCACCAAATTTTACACTCCCAACAATCTCCCTGGTGCGAACGTCTGCAATGACTACGTCAAGGATGAGCTCCTCAAAGGTTGTTTCTCTGGACCATATACTCATCACGCACACATCACACATGTACAATTAAGTGTACCTACATCAACCCCTCTCACTCTATCTATCTCCTACGGTGACTATGGACAAACCCTTACCCAATCCTGTTGATGCGCCGAGAAAGACAGGGCATATCAGACAAGCTACCATGCGCCTTATACAGGCAAACAACATTGGAGATAATGGAGAGTCCAAAATGAAGTGCAAGGCTCCAATCACAGGGGGATTGCTTTCCTCTTCAAAGAGGTATGTATGTCCTCTACTAGTATCACACACTTCTTTCATTAAATCTTACAATTCACACAGACAAAAATCATGAATACCTTGCGTGTTTTGCATTTGTAGCCTGAGTATTGTACCAAGGTGTCTTTAATGCTGATATATACTTATACATATCGAGTGACTGAACACATTATGATCTTGAACATACATTGCGAGAATAAGTATATCACACACAAGCCTCAAAGACTCGGACTTCAGAGAAAAATCACACTGGCGCCTCATGTTATGGATAATGGGACTTCGTCGTGCCATCACAACCATGATTTATTGATTTGGTAACTGAGACACATCAGATAAGTATTGGATCATTGACCTATTGGTATGCAATGCACCTTAAATATAAGCACAGGATAGTCATAGTGCAAAACAACAACTGAAGAATATATGAAATTGTCTCGAAGGAAACAAGTTGTGGGATGGCTCTGATTGCCTTCATCAAAGCACAATGCAGCTGGGTGCCTCTCAAATCTTTCTGATGCAAAGTTTGAAGGTGCCCAAGTGGGATACACAGCCACAAATGATGGTTTTCACATGAACATTTCAAGCTTGTTCATGTTGGACTGTACATATATAGTGTAAGTTTGGTATTGGTTGAATAAATCTTTGCTTGAAGCTCACAAACACTCTTAGCAGGCCTGGGGTTGGGTCAGGCATAGAACATGCAATTCTCTCTCAAGCCATTAGTACGGTCTTTGGTGACCTCCACATGTGGAACACAACTAACAACAAAGGATATAAGTGCCCTTTGATTGTTCCATTTGCTTTGGATACTAGCTATTGTACCGAACATTCTGACGCTAGCCTCATAATCATCCATTATTCATGATCCGGAGCTCACCTGGTCAGGCATATTGTTAAGACCGTGTTCAACGGGTCGGACCGGAGGGGCTTAGCTTCAGCTCGTGCGCTGTGCTCTTTACCCGAGTACGTGCCCCTAATTTACAGGGGGTAGATATTGTCGGCCGAGGTATATGGATGGGCCGGACGAAAGAGGGAAGACTACCCGAGACTTCGTCCGGGTAGAAACTAACAGGGTACGGGCTACCCGAAGGTAGAAGCGGAGGGATTTAGCCTTAGGGATATAATCCCGAGGCTCGGAGGGTCGGACTAGGATGACAATCCTAAGAGCCGAGGGAAACGAGGAATGAACTGAGTCTAAGATGATATTCGAACTAAGGATATACTACGGGTTACAAGGGGTTTATATACTATAAGGTATCCGACGGACGTCCGGCTGAAGCGCAGTCCTCGGAACATAAAGCTATGTAGAAAACATACTAGTGAGTAAAACATAACTGCGGACGATCGAAAGTGGAGCCGGATATGAAATAGAACAAAGGGGACGAGTTAAATGAAAGGGAAATGAATAGACTAACGGACAGATCAGAATGGACCCGGACATTAACTGTCAGAAGGATCTGGACACATAGGGGCAGAAAGAAGCATATACAAATGGGGACTCAGGGAAATGAATTCTAGAATGGACCCGAGGAATCGGGTGGACCGGACCGGACGAGAAGCCTCATGTATGGGATATGACACATATCTACCTACCTTCATCCGACCCCTTCCGTCGACATCTGTCCTTCCGGACACCCAAACGGACCCGCAACCTGCAACAGATAATATTGATTGTCCTTAGTCCCTGTCCATCCATGTCCATCCATCCCCATTGGTGCGTTATTTGTCTCTTTTTGTTACTCTGATCATCTACAGTCTGTATTACATGTACATTCCCATGTACGAAGCCGCTTGCTATCTTTTACATATTACCACTGTGGGTGAGGAAATAGGAATGCAAACTCTGGGGAGTCACAAGGATATCTACCTCTAGAGGCAAGCTAGTAGAATCGTCCCTTAGGGGATGCTACTGAGGCAATCTCTCTAAATAATGAGAGGGATCAAGAGAATAGCTGAAGCTGAAGATATGCGAAGGCACACGAAGATGCGCAATGTTGGCATGATGGATGTGCAGAACATGTGAGATATGCAGAAGAATCGGAAAAGCAAGGAAGATGCGCGAAGTAGATAATCGGCAGCGGAAGACAATCAGAACCTTTCTGAGAGATGAGAGACAAGTCTTAATAAGACTAGAGATAATAGACAAAGGCAGTGATGATATTAGCGCTCTATGCACAACTAGGCAGGAAAACAGATACTAAGTCCAAGTAAGGGAATAGTAAGTAAGTTCGGAATCCTCTAAGTCCTCTAGATATGTAGGTCGCTACACGTGCTCTCAGGGTATTGAGACGTAAGGGAAGCGGATAGGTATGTAACACTATGTAAGAGACCCTGGATGTGGTCAGTGATGGAGATAACAGTGAGAATACACACCAATGGTACCGGACAGACAGGACAGGACATGGGAGGATATGCCGAGTAAAGCACCGGGATGTGGAAGGGTGGAGAAGGATGCTGATATGCTGCGGAAGAGTGTAGAAGGTTGCATGTGCAACACACGTCTCTATAGGACTGTGCCTACCTGTGGATAGGGATGAGGTCGATGTATAAATGAAGGGATACAAGCCTGTGGAGATATCACTCTCTACACCGCGCTACGGACTCACTTGTACTTGCTGCCGCTTAGAGGATTCCAAGTTCTTACAGATCATGATAAATAGTCACACTGTCTTCTGACAATATCACTTCCTTTTACTCCCTTGGATTTTGTGTCTAAGTCTGTGTGATCAAGTCCCCTTAGCTTTCCGCTCCGCAATGGATCTCAGTATGGACACTTGCACTTTCCGCCTTCCATACTTAAGTCAACTCTCTTCCGTCCTAACAGATCACTTCTGGTAGCTTGTTACATCAAGACCTTGACACCTTGCCACCTCGATACCTTGCTAGTCACAGTTGTACCACTGGACATCTGTTCCGTCAGGTCCGTTCTGTCTGGACATACTCTTCTGACACCAGATTCTCCTGTCCACCATCGCGCATTCGCACAGATCCTAAGCCCGTAGGGTTGATTCCTTCGCATTTATTGCGAAGACTTCCTTCAGTAGCAATCCCCTTGGGACGAGCATTTATACTCACACTCATACAGATTGGTAGTCTACACCAACAGGCTACACAAAATCACTTTTGCTCACCGTCTTCTGAGGGATTTGTGGGTGCAACTTCAGCATATGTGTTGATAAATGCAGACAAAACCTCGAAAACCTTCTCATGAGTGGTCTCCACTCTCTCCTCCTCATTGGGTTTTTTTGTGAGGTAAACTAAAGCTTGCCAGTACTAGATAAGAGGCCCAAATTCTATGAAGTGCTCAGATGTCATTTTTATCATAAAAGTTGGGTCCAGGACCACCCTCACTTTTGTGAAATAGCAGGTGCCCAAAGCCCCTTTGAGATCAGCCTTGCCCAAGGCTTCATAGGCATTTGCCTATGGCAGTGAGTCTCGAGTCCAGGATGGTGCTAGTTTACCGCACGTGCCCCCATACTTTGAGACAAACTTGAAAAATATGTAGAATAATGACTCCAGGTCATCAGAGGACCTGTGTTTGATCAGCCATTGAACAACAGTATTGGCCATGCAATGTCCTTGCTTGTATCATTGTTGTCATGGTGTGTGTGTAAACTTCAGAAACAAACTTACAATACCAGGCAAATAGGTGCTGGTCCTTTTTACTGCTAAAATTGTGGTGTAGTCAAAGTTAATGAAGTAGCCAGTACCTTTATGGATAGAAAAATTATTAGGACTGAGGTCCCTGTGTAGGACTCATTTCTTAATCATTGTAAAACACATAATAATTAGTGAGTTTATGTTCTGCACAGTCAATATGACTCACCAATTATGAAGTGACGAAAAGCCACAATCAGCTCTGTTCTAGAAATATTTCTTGCAAATATGTGCAGTTCGATCAGGCTGCCCCTTATAATAAACATCCCAATCATCAATGAGTGTGACAACATTAGTAATACCCTTGACCATCTCAGGACAGTTGATTCGTGCATTTTCTTCAACTCCTCCACCCAACAATCTTTTAGAGAGTACTCCACTCCTTCCTTGTTTTTAATATGGTAACAGACTGTTTCTCTGCAGAAAAACTCATGAGCCTTCCATAGCAGAGCCATGATTGAATAGAAATTGTACTTGTTGTCTTCCACCCAGCCTATTGCCCCATCTGCAAAATTTTCATGGATGTCATTGCACACAGCATGACAAATATGAATAGTGGGATCAAGGCTTAGGTGATGGCTATTCAGAAGTGTGAAGGCAGCTAACATATTGCAGAGATATATAGAGCTGAGGCACTTATGAATTTGGAAAGGAAAGGATATGATGATGCCCAAGCGGTCAAAATAGTGTGCATGAAGCATATTCACTCAGATTGAGTAGCCATCAGGTCCGCTTCCATCCGGACATCTGTTTTTACACCAGACTTTCTTTTCTGCCTTTACATCAGCCACATAGATCTTAAGCCCATAGGGTTGATTCCTTTATACTTATATCGTGAAGACTTCCTTCAGTAGCAATCCCCTTGGGATGAGCATTTATACTCGCACTTATATGAATTAATAGTCTACACCAACAGGCTACACAGAATCACTTTTACTCAGCACATTGGCCGTTCTGCTTCGCGTATCTCACACATTCCGCACGCCCATCACACCACCTCTGTGCATCTATATACGCCTTCACATAGTCATGGCTCCCCAGCAGTTTTTGATCCTCTCATCATTATATAGAGATTAGACTCAGTAGCATCCCTTTGAGATGATTCTACTTAGCCTGCACCTAGAGATCATTTCTTTGCGACTCCCAGAGTTAACATCCCTATCCTCCAGTACACCACTAAGCTGTGATTCTTGGAAAGATCAGAATAGGTGTGCTCCACAAAAGTCAGGACATTTGCCCATGGCTTATCTTTCTTCAGTAGTGTGAAGTCAAACAGAGATAAATCAGGCCTCTGTGCATTGATTTCATCTGGAATTGCAGTGGTAGAAAACTCTGGAATCCAGTACTGGGCCTCTATCACAAAGATGTGGGGGATGTTGTCCTTCAGTGTGTTGTGCAAGTGGTACTGTATGGTATAAAAGAGGTACTCGCTGCAGGTCTGTCTCAGTAGTGTGCACCATCTGTCATTGTCTTTTTTTTTTATTTGACTTGCGCTAGCATCATTAGGTAAGGGTAGTATTGGGGTTGTCATAGCGGTTTTGGTGCTTAGGAAGGTGCTGGACTCAGAAGGCATGGTATCGAGCGAGGACATCATCGCGGTAATGATATGATACTGACAAAGTAAGGAATGTGTGGTTTGGATTTTCTTTGGGTGAGTTTTATAGCACCCCCAAAGTTGGAATCCCATTTCCCCACCACACCATTCTTCTTCCCCATCATCAACTTTCCCCACAGCATGTTCTTCAAGTCCTGCATTCCACAGGCACCGAGAGGCCACAGTAAGCTACTTGTTCTTCATCACTACAAGTTATTCTTCCACTCTTCAGGACCCCATGTTAATAGGAACCTGAGTGTGAACGCGACGACTCATTATGAGACCCAGAACATAGGAAGGAGTCAGGATGAGAAAGTAACATAGATGAAAGAGAAATTGGAACTTGCCATAGAGAAAGTGGAGCACGGTGAGGCATCGTAGTCACGGCAAAAGGTGGAATGAAACTCTTGGCTATTCCAACCCCCCTTGAGGAGTTCATCTGCTCCAAGGATCACCGGCTAAAGTCAATCCTCATAGTTGAGTTTTGTACCACTGCCATTATATATGTCTTCATCATCCTCATCGTCCTCATCATTCCCATCAATCTCTGTGTCCAATCCTTCATCATCCTCAATTTCTTCATCAAGCCCTTTACTTTGCTTGACTCATTTTCTGTGGTTGAATGTGCATCCCTTGCCAGAGTAGACAGGTGGTCCTGCATGCCTATCATACTTGATAAATTTAAGGCTTTCTACCTTGATATTAGTTCCAGGAACGATTTGCTTTAAAATGGAGTCCTTGAACTGCAGTCGGACTGCTTTGTCAACACCCTATTAGGAGGTGTTTAACAGTATTTGAGGTGTATGGCAATTCACCAACAGGGACACCCATAGAGCTGATTCTATTGGAAAGAAGCCTTTGATGTCTACAAGGGATGAGACTGTGGTGTTGGATAATATTTTTTGGTATGGAGTGTTAGCGGTCAACATTTTAACCTGAGCTCAAGTTGATGTGCATTAGCCTCAATGTGGTGTTTGTTGCTTGGTGCTTGATTCTCCCTCATCATAATTCACGATTTGGTTATTCAAGGTATGTACCATCTATCTTTGAGCATAGTTGAGAATATTGTAAATCTGCTTATTCAAATACTTATTCAAAAAAGATATGAAGAATAATGCAATGAAGTCACTTTCATCAACCACACGTCCACTGCTACCTCAAAGTGAGGAATGAGGTTGATGAATAATCAAACTTACTGGAGGGGAACTAAATCACCCAGAGCACCATTGGCACACTAAATGAGCTAGTTTGTAAGCACATTCAATGCATGTGATGAACCATGCTTAGTAATCTGGCCTCCAAAAATATATAAAAAGAGCCTATTTTGCACCTATGAAATAATACTTTCCACTTTAAATCTATCATACTCAACTGAAAGTGAGATTAGGCAAGACATAGTAAGAGTGGAGGCTAATGAATTGCCTTGAAGTAACATTAGTCACACTGAATTTCAAGTTATATAGTATCTCACAGAGGTTGACTGTATAATCATTGTTTACAGCTATCTGAGCTAAACTTGATATATATGAGAATCCCCCTCTTATAAGAAGAGACATATAAGTTAGAAGAATACAACAAAGTTGAACAGACTTTCATAGGTCGAGATACAACCTGCTAGGGTGAAACATACCTAACAGATATTTTTCCTATATGATGGAATCACAAACACATTCAATATACTTTCTTTCAACAAAAAGGTAACTTATTTACTGTTTGACCACCTATTAATACCACCCACAATACCACATTATCAACCAAGAAGCAAAAAATCTGTTGACTGTGAACTTAAGGAGCTGACAATTTTTGTCTTATCAAAGTGTAATTATGTTGTCACTGCATTTTGCATGTTATCCATATAAGACCCTCAAGCAAGCAGACAACACCATGACTAATAATCCCCCATGAAATATTCAGTATATATATGTTAAACAGTACAACTGATGAATTCTATGCACTAGGTTGAGTGGTGAAGTCATTCTTGACCATAAACCCTATTAGACATCATTGAAAACATCAGAACCATCTACAGGGGTTATTTGAGCTATAGGAGAGATGTGAAGAAGAGTATGAAAATGTTTTTAAGCAAAAATATATAGGATGAATAGAAAATATGTTTATGAGACTAGTAGCAACAATTCAATTGAAGGGAGGAAGCATCAGACATGAGAATAATAAATATTACAGTTGTTAAACTCAAAGTTAAAAAGGGTTCTAATGGGTCATAATAGTAGAATTATCATATCTCTGCTCTATAAGCTCCATTTCCCATGCCACATAACATTCAAGCTGGAGGGTATTACTAGCAAATGTATCTATAGTGCCATATCATATTTCCATGCACTGACTCACTATAAAGCAATTATATAAAACTGGACCAAACATCAAGACACTTTTTTGAGCCACTAAATTTAGGGGGGCTTGGTGGGGTGGGAGAAAATGAGTTTTCCTGCTATGTCATGCAACTATTACTAAACTATTATTCAAGTTAATTAATCTTTGTGAGGAAGGATTCTCTGTAATTCCTTTAAGAGATGCAGATGAGATGAATGAGTCTATAGAATCATAGCACAACCCAATCTTTGTATTATTATACTCTGGCCTGAAGGCTGATGAATTTATCCAACTCCAATCTTGCCAGTGCTGAGTTGCAATCTCCTTCAAGTCTAACCAATAATGCTAGAAAGGAGATTTACATCAAAATCTAAAAGTTTATAGTCCAACAATGAAATTCTGGTATACCACATTGATTTCATCACTAAGAGTTGTACTAATTTCTTTGATAGTAAACTCCCTTGCTACATTGGGCCCATTAGTTTCATAACTGCAGAGGGTCATGCACAGACTGGGCTCAATCTAGTGCCACTAGTGCTGATTAAGTGCCTTGAGATTGCACAAAATGAAAAATTCACAGAGGCCAGTGTATATTATAGATTAGGCCACGAGTCTTAATAGAAGAGTGTGCTTGGGCACTGTTGCTTAATAGAAGCAGTGTGATTTTTAGGAGTAAGAATACAGCATGATTAGATTATTATCATAGATCTCCTATGTTAATATATCTTGTGAAAAATCTCTGAAAGTCCGCTACTCATGAGTGCACACTGCACAGATCATATCACGCGTCATCTGATTGATTAGTCATAGCTAATTTTACAATACTCTCCCTCAATCAGAGGACATTCCAGGACTTGTCAGTAAGTCTTTGGTGATCTAGCTTTGGTGGTGCTTTCATTAGTATATCCGCTATAATCTCTTTGGTAGGACAATAGTTTTCATGTTCATGAATTTTCTCATGAATATAATGAATTGTCACATCAAAATGTTTGGACTTAGCGTGATATTGTGGATCTTTGGCTATTGCCAGTGCCGCAGTATTGTCTCTGTATAATGTTGTAGGCTTATTTTGAATAAAATTTAATTCCTGAAATAAGTTTCGAAGCCAGATAGCTTCATGTGCTGCGTGAGCCATTGCGGTGTACTCAACCTGTGTTGAGGATAATGATATTGTGTTCTGCTTTTTCAAACTCCAGGTAATCGCCCTATTTCCTAATTTGAAAACATATCCGGAGATTGATATCTGATCTCTCAGATCATTGGCGTAATCGGCATCAGACCAACCAACAATTTGGACTTTGTCATTGTAAGTAAAGCCTACATATTTGATCCCTAAGCTACGTGTTCCAGACAAGTATCTAAGTACTCATTTAGCTGCGGTCCAATTTGCTAGCCCGGGATTCGAGGTGAATGAGCTTAGCCTTTGGATCAAGTAAGCTATATCTGGACATGTTGCTACCGCTAAATACATTAAAGATCTGATCAGCGATGTGTAACCATTATTTTGGTCGCCTGCTTGACCATTATCTTCTTTTTCTAGTGTTATCTTGGGATCTAAGGGCATACCTACAGTGTTTGACTTTTGGAGACCATATTTTTGTAGGATAATTTTATTAAGCTGTGTGTTTAATTGAATCATTAAGTCCGCATCACCTCAACCTCACATGATCAATACCTAATTAGGTCGGACTGCACCAAATACGCACACTGCCAGTAAATAGCTGAATAATGTTCAATATCTATACTTCGGCAAAACACAAGTGTGTGAGAGTGTTTGGCGGGGCTCGGGCGTATGCAACATTCCCAATTTAGAAGCTTACGCGCCGTCCGTACTTCGGGAACGTCCACACGTCTTGTGCTCACTGTTGTTGATGATGTGAACCCAACATCTATGCCAGCAACACACAACAAACGAAAGGGAGTCTCCCGTCAAGTCCGCATCGTCAGTGTCACCAGTGATGGGCATCAACGTAGTTCCACACTTGGACTACAGGCAGTAGGACGCGAATGTCTTGCTGGGCAGGCACGCTACCGCCTCAATATTTCAGGTAGGTACTAGGTACTGTGCAATCTTCATTACTTATTATTCATTCTGTAGGTCTCAGTAGTGATTCACTCAATGTTCTCGGAGAGATATGATCTGATGTGGACTCGGAGGACATGACCCTCACGTATGACGGACAAGAAGATGGACCAGCGGGGGAGTGGGAGACTGAGCCTTTAGATGCCAGTGAAACAATTACCACTGCCATCCGCGATTATGTGGAGACACCGTCAGTATTCCTTCTCTCACAAATCAACTTTCATTGATTTTTAGCATTAGGTGGAACCAGCACATCTACAAAGACAATCGAACATGGCGACAGCGTTTAGACCACTTGCATGCCAACTAGATGCCCCTCATGGTGACACTCACAGATACTTATCTATGTTGGAAGGCAACATGCTCTGATCAGCCCCAGCCAGTACCCGCCAACAATTGCCCTTCCATTCCCTCCGATTCCTACAACTTCACCATCACTATCGTTGATATCTTCACGCTACAAACAAGCACTTTCATTCATCGTGACGCGAACAGTCTGTCTGCTGCAATCGACCTTGTCCGTGCTGGCTTTCTCAGTCATGTACCGGTGTCACCCTCAGTAGCTATCTCACTTCGTACTCTGGAGCATTTTCGTCACCTCCGTCTCCGCAAACCTTCATTTAGCATCGAGGCATATGTCAAGGTGATTTGCGATTCATACAAGGTACTACTCTTGTCTACTCTGAGTTTTGCATCACTAACTGGCATTAGGTACCCTATAAACGTCGCTGGCGTACTGTACTAGCCAATGCTTTCGATACTTACTTGGCCATACTTCGGCAGGTTGAGCAGAGAGTCAATGCTGCTCTTGGTCGCAGTACCGCCAACTGGCGTATACTCAACTCATGCCCTCCCTGCACCTATGAGTTGGAGGATGAGCCCTTATTACCATTCACTCGCATGTATGTCCTCGATGGTGGAAACTCGGCCAAACACATGGCAGGGCTAGGAGGACGCGAGCGAGGAGACACGCGGACATACACCAAGAGCGACTACATCATATCACGTGACTTTGTTGATAGCTTCACCAATGAAGTTCGACCATGTCATTCAGGCGCTCCAGACCCAGATGATGCAGACCCAGTTGTGGGTGTTTTCAATACCCCAGGAGAAGAGGACACACACCCCGAAGTCAATGCGGACGATCCCACGACACAGGTCATGTCATCCGACTGTAGTAAAAACTGAAAAGCGGCTGCCAATGAAGAGAAGAAACACATGTGGTCTGTCTTTGATGAAACGGGGATTTTTGTTTCCGCTTGTCGTCACGGTCTTTTGTTATGGGTGACAGACATGGTCCGCAGCGGTGAACTGTAAGATCTCATCTCTACAATGTATTTCATATCTAACGACTTGACAGTGCGAAATATCCTCTCGCGATCATGTCTAACGTCATCGACGTTCTTGGTGAGCGCACTCTGGGAGCATATGATATAGGCTGCAGATTTCAATCTACCATCCGTGCAAGCAGGCTGGGTGATGCATTCGAGAGGCAAAAGTGCCGCATGTGTGTTGATGCCTTTCACGGCTATGCACACAACTACCTGTGTCAAACGAAGAATCATCCAAACGGGATTGTTGGTGCGGGTATTGAAGACTTTGGAACTATTGAACATTTTTTCAGCGCATCGAACACTATTGCCCCCATCATCCGATATGCCAGTTCATACCACCGTCATGTCTTTTTGGACCTCTTTTTCAAGCAATGGGACGAGGATAAGTACTTGAATCTCGGTACTATGATATACAATAACTACAAGCAAGCACTCGACATTGTCTTGACGGAGTCGATTGCTCTTGATGAAGCAAAGCAATCACTTGGTGTCAGGAGGAAATTGAGTATTTCGCACATCTAGGTAAAGAGACTGAGTGGGATGTCCACGCGATGGCATATGTGGAACTCCTACTGAAGCTGAGAGATGCAGAGTTCTTATTTCTTTTTTTTCGCATTTAACAAAGTAACTAACTATCATCTTAGATCTCAGGTGCAGTCTGCATCTACATGTTTTCTATCTACGACTCCAAAGGATTATCAGTTCGTCTCTTTTACAGGCACACAGTCCTATTCCGGTGACATGGCGGCCACGAGAAAACTCGAGACACAATGTTGGTACAGCGCTGAGCGTCTCGCTACAATACAGCAAGAAGTTACCTCCGTGGAAGTGAAGATGGGTATCGCTAATCGATGGCAGCCTTCGTCACCTGAGTATCAAGCCACGCTGAAGTATATGTCGAATCATCAGTATCAATGTGCATTGGACAATCTTCAGCGCTTAGTAGTCCAACGGCTCTTCGAGCTTCAGCGGCTGAATATCTCACAAACTGGTGCGTGTCCTTCTGATAATTGTTTATTTTGTAATCACTGATTGATATTATCAGCTTATAAAATGCACACCCACATATCTAAATCCCTTCAAACTCGATGTCATGCTATTCAAAATGCCGTCAAGACATATAATACAGCAGCTGCGGCACTATCACCCCCTCGTCCCCAGCTTGATTGGTCCAAGGTATCCCATTACAGCTTTCTTGAGGAGTTCAACCTCCTGCGAGATACACGACAAGACATTCGTGAAAAAATGTGGGCCAAACCTGCTATCCGTGCAGTGATCCAACAATGGCTACTGATTGAACGTGCGAAGGAGGAGATAGAACGATGCAACGTGGAGATGCGCCGTCTGCACACCACCATCATAGATGAAGACGCTCTATTTACCCAATGTCTTGCTTCACTCGCAGCTGAACAAGCTATTGAACATGTTGCAGTGTATGAATACTGCTCACATCGCCATCTAATCAACACGCAAGTCCTTCACCGCATTTCAAAGATCCACTCACTTCCAGGATTCTCCGGCTCGATTTCAGCAGGTATAAGGAAAGGATCTAGAGGGCGTACTACAGAGGATACTGCTTTGTCTAGCAGTAACAAAGTTGAGTATGACGACGATGCTGCGCCTGCTGTTGATGAAGTTGAGGAATTGACACAGGACATTGGTACCTTGATAGAATATCTCTCTGACTTAACGCTTCATCATTGAACTAGTGTAACATACATGTAGTTTTCATGTACATCCGTCTACATAAATACTATGATTGCTTGAATTTTCTATTTTCTTTGAGTGAAGAGCCCTTCAAATGAATCACTAAGTAAACACTGTAAGGCACTACATCACGAGTCACACCAAACAGCGCTATCACCAATCATCTGATCACATCAAAAATGTTGCATTTCTACTTCCACCTTCCTCAACATCATCAGTCTTTTACTTTTGCAGCATCATAAATTCTCGCAAGCACTGGGTAGTATTTGGGGGTAAATCTCCAGGAATCTTTGACAAACAGTGAGTGATTTCATGAAGTTATCAATTCACGTTGATCGACTCCTCCAGACCTTTCACTGCCTACAGTGGATCCGACACTCACTACTTTCCCTTGGTAATTCACTGTCAGACCTACACTCAAGCAGAAAAGCTGTTTTCTCTTCACGATCTCATATGTTCCGTGCCAACAAAAGAAGCTATAGTTGTCGCCCACGCATTCATGGACTCTGATGCTGCACAAGGCGTGCTTCAGAAGGAACATCGGGATGGCACACTTCAGGGCTTCTATGGAGTGTTGAGGGGACATGAGATTTGTATCTACACAAAGTGGTGCGTCCAATTATCTATCAAAATAATGATAGATTGCATCTTCTTCTAGGAAAGATTGCCACCAACTGGTGTCTGGATATTGCAATCCGATGTTCAAGAAATTTGAAACTTTCACTGACACTGTTGCTTGGATGATCATGAAAGGAAAGTATATTGACAGCAAACCCATTGGCGGCAAGATAGGTCTCATGAAAGAGAAGGCTGTAGAGTCGCCTGTTGTCAAGGGTATGATCTATGTCTTCTCAGTTCTTGATGTCTATCTGACGGTCATTTACAGTATCAAATCTCTCCCTCGACCCCCCAAAGAGCCCTCCCTCAACTGTCAGCTCGATCTTGGGTGAATCTTCTGCCCCTTGTAAGTTTTTCCATTCATTTCTACTCTACCACTTATCAGTTGGTCAAACAGCACTCGCTTTTGATACCAGCACACCTCAATGAACACGTGCATGGAGGACCCTGGCAGACAATCACCCATCTCTCGCTACATCCTCAAATGCACCAGCACGGGTGTACCAGTACATGCAGGAATTGAGCGGCATTCAATCAACACTCTATAGCCCACCTCCTGCTGACGATACACCCCTCCCATCTTTTGGCGATATACCTGATAGCTATCTTGAGGCCCATGGTTATTCTTCTCGTGCCCTCCTCTGCATTCAGCACGCCCTGGATATTAGTATGTCTGGGCAACAGTTTGTCTATAATCTGTCAGGTAGAGGCCTTCCTGTTGCAGAGGCGCAGTGGTTGTGGTTTATCATCACTGGAGACAACGAATTTTAACTCACGTACATTGTTTTTTCCCCTACGATTTCCATGTTCCCGACATATGTTTGTTAGTCCCTAAAAGTCACGTGTGCTGCATGACGCTAATGTCTGTAAGGCTAGTCGAAAAAACTAGCTGAGCATTCTTACCAGCAACCTCGTCGCCCTTGATAATGGTGAAACAAACGAGCTCGAGCAAAGTCAGCCGTTATGCCCCCAAAATGCGGGCACTTACCACCAATAAACCTCGAGTACCTTGGCGTTGCCGCGAAAAAAACACGATACAAGCGCAGCGCAGCCGAAAAAGCAGTACTGAAGGAGAAGAGGGAAGCTCATCGCATTTCATACTCAAGCACCCTCCAAGCTGCTCGCAATGTTGTCTTTCATGAAGCAGAGAAATTGCACGCTCAATTTAGTGGGCATAGTGTCCAGTACTACTATGAGGAGATAATGCAGCACTCACGCATTGCCCAGTCGTCTCGTGGCATCAATCTATGGAACACATTTTGTCGACAAGAAGTCAAACGGATCAATGATGGTATGGGCAACTGCTACATTGGAAGTTCCACTCACTGATACATAGTTTCTTCTGTAGAACGAGCACCCGGCACTGCACCCTTGAAAGCAACACAATGTGCTGGTGAAATTGCTGAGCAGTGGAATTCCATGTCAAAAAGTGAGCAGGAGGATGCCACTCAAGCCGCTGTCAAGGATCTGGAAGATCACCGTGAAATGAAGAAGCTTGCCATTCGAAACGTCCCCCTGGAAGCCTTCCATGATTGTCAAAGGTCAGTGGAGGCCATTGACCGCGAGGTACATATTTTGTTTCTGTCGCTTATCCAGTGCTGATGCACTATTGACAGGCTCGCACTCTGAATGCCCGCACTGGAGTTGAGATCATCTTCATCGCAACACGCTCTACTACTGACCACTTCAACCAACCACACGTATTTCAAACCTCACGCGCCACGGACTTTTTTGATGCGTGTTTCAAAGTTAGCGCAATGGATGTTGCTTTAAGACTAGAGGCATTTGCCATTGCTGGCATTCAAGGTAAGGCTTATGGGCTTCGTCTATGCAGTGCAACTAACGAGCAATACACGCTGCACAGGTGTGGCTAAAACCTACTTACAAGAGACTCTCGACCTCAAGAAAGCTACTGGGGAGTTAATTTTCAAGAAACTTTGTACGTGTCACTGCTTTCTTGATGTATTTGTCTCAATTTTGAGAAGAACTTGCTGCCGCCCCCGAGAGAGTTTCTCGCATGTATTATCATAACTTCGACCACCACATCACTGCGAAGTATCGCATCATTGTTGAAAACTGGCCGCTCGCCAAATTCTGCTGCCCTGGGGACATCAATTCGCGGACTGAAATATCTGTCCTAAAGTCCGCATGGGATTCTGGTGCCACTAGGTTTCACAAGCTAAGTGATACTGAATTTGAGAAGTGGGAAGAGGAATACTTTCAGGCTGCACTGTGCAACAGGGGAGAGGACGGAGGGCTCCAGAACACGATACTGACCGCAAGCACTCAGTCTTCCGTCCCTTCAAATGACAATGATTCACCTTCGACATCCTCCATGGCTCCAGACAGTCAATCCCAGGTGGCACCCTCTCGCCAGCGTACAGCGCCAATCGCGGCCATCAACATTGTAACCACAGCAAATGGCAACGCTATGCACGTGCCAAAGAAGGCCCGGAAGGAATGATCAGACAAGGGTGTCAAGTGTGGACCTCGGAAGAGGATGATTGCCCCAGCCAACGACACCAACACTGGTGACAATGAGCTCCAACTCAACAACACCATCTAGCACTCCATATACAAGTCTAATTAGCCCCACTACACCCCTATACCTTAGTTCCTTGCTTTTTTTGTATAGCCCTTATATCTACAAGCAATGAATGATTTTATCGTGTTTTTGAGAAAAAGAACTAGCTATTTTAGACGTGTTGTAAGCCTAGAAGCGAGCTCATCGTCGACGACAGCAAGCGCGAGATGTGCGGACGTTCCCGAAGTACGGATGGCGCGTAAGCTTCTAAATTGGGAATGTTGCATACGCCCGAGCCCCGCCAAACACTCTCACACACTTGTGTTTTGCCGAAGTATAGATATTGAACATTATTCAGCTATTTACTGGCAGTGTGCGTATTTGGTGCAGTCCGACCTAATTAGGTATTGATCATGTGAGGTTGAGGTGGTCTGCATTACTGGAAAACAATGATAGATCATCTATCCATGTGGTAATAATCTCTGTATTGTTCTCCGATTGTCTGATGTATACACATGGATCGGACTTAGTACGTCTAAATCCTATGTTGCTCAAACATTTATCGAGCTCAATATTCCATTCTCTCCCTGATTGTTTAAGTCCGTATAGGGTTTTCTTAAGTCGGCATACTCGGCCAGTACCGTTGTTGTACCCTTCCGGTTGTTCCATATAGACTTCTTCTTTTAATGTACCGTTTAGGTACACCTCTTTTACGTCCATTTGCTCTATCTCCCAATCAAGAATAGCAGCTGTGGACATAACTGATTGTATAGTCTCTAAACGGACTACCAGGGAGAAGGTGTCTGTATGGTCCATCCCAGGAATTTGTGAGTACCCTTTCACTACGAGTCTGGCCTTGTACTTGACTACTTCTTCCCCTTCTTTGTTAGTTTTCTTAACCAGGACCCACTTATTCCCTATGATTTCATGATCTTTGGGTGGATCTACAAGGCCCCAGGTACCCATTTCATTCAGTTGAGTAAGTTCCACATCTATGGCTCCTTCCCATTTGGGCCAATCCGCTGATTCTTTTGCTTCTCTCAGTGTTCTTGGCTCATTAGGTTCAAAGCTTCCATTCTCGGCAAGTGCAGCAAGAATTATCTCAGCATCTGTGACCCCTTCCTCATTTTCATGTCCACTTTCGTGATCGAGGTTAGCCCATTCTATTGCTGGATCATTCATCCTTTCATAATCACGTCTAACTACTTTCCTTTTTGTTCTTCTAGGCAGTGTTTCATCTGTGTTTGCAGGTGAGTGCAATCTTTTTCTATTTTTAGTACCGCTTCTATCAGTACTCAAAGCATCATTGATGCTTCCGTTTTCATTTGATCGCTCATTGCTCCCATCAACTTCAGATATTGGTGCAGTTTCCATGCACTGATTTTCTTTCTGGAGTGTATTTGTAGGTGTTGGCATGTCATCTCCCCCTGATGGCTGCGCATCCATACTCCCTACCTCCCCCTTGCGCTGCACATCAGGCACTTGGGGGAGTTGATCATGCAGGAATTTAAAATTCCTGCTTATCCGGATCTGTCTTGATCACTTGTCCTAATAGTGCACCACCTTAGGTCCGTCTTTGAACCCCACAAAGGTGTGTTTTATTGACTTTGCACTTATTTTTGATGGTCTAGGGTTTTCCTGTAAGATGTATACCAGTGCCCCAAACTCATGTAAGTGAGATATGTCCGGTTTCTTGCCACTCCATAATTCTTCAGGGGTAACACTTTCTAGTGCTCGTGTTGGCGCACATTTTCTCAAATAGGCAGCATGTGCTACAGCCTCTGCCCATAGAAATTCAGGTAAGTCTTTAGCTATTGGGTGACTTCCCGCAGGCTCGAATAATGCAGAATAAAATATGTTGGATTATAATTTTATCCTTTAGGAAGGTGCGCCGCGATGCCGGACGTCATTTGAAATTCAATAAGGGTTTCTACCCTCGAATAAATCTGAATAAAACTCAATTCTGTAGAGGGGGGGGGTACCCCCCCTTACAGATTTTACTGGCGAGAATAAATCACGTTTTTGCCATATTCGGACTACTCACACCTGCAATATCCGCTGACATAAGCTACACCGTTCTTTCATCGTGCTGTGTGGTCGATCGATTAATGTTGTTCATCATTCGTTATGGTGTCGTTGGCCAGCCAGATCCTATCATTCACCATTTTGACACCTGCCACTTGTCATTCTATATGTCTGAAAGCAGTATAGCCTGAGCACACTGGATACTCGTCACACCAACAAGGGCCAGGGCCATTGTACTTTTAACCCTCACTCAAGTGGCAGTGGCTCCGTCCTCCTGGCAGCATCCAATCATCAAGTCTCCGACACTGTTTTTAACCTCACTAAATTGGCAGTAGCTCTGTCCTACTAACAACATCCAATTTTCGAGTATCCTCAAGCAATTTGTTTTTCTCCATCTGTGTAAAGGCTGCTACCTGCGCAGGCACTACTGATCGACCACAATTTATGGTCGCGAACTTACAGCTGTTTCCAAGAATAATAAGATTTGTCATTTATTTTGCACGCACCCGTTTCCAAACCCAATTGAGAAATTGTTGTATCTACACATCAAATCGTCTGTCCCGCTCATCCTAGCGAACCATGGGCAACCGTAAAATCAGTTCTGATCTCAAGGAGTGTGCACTACGACTATGGAATGCTGGCTGGGACGTCGAGGACATTCAAAATGCCCTAGGAGTTTCCCGTGCTAGTATTTATCGCTGGGAATCAATCTTCGCAGAGTTTGGCACTGTCAACCATCCCCCGTCGCCAATACGTGGCCAAGAGCTTCGCATCCTCACCCGTGCTCTCATGACAGTCTGTGAGGAGTTGCTTGCTGAAGAATCAGACATATATCTCGATGAACTTGCAACGTGGCTTGCTCTCACTCACGACATCAGCATTTCAATTCCTACACTTTCTCGAAACCTCAAGGAAGCTGGCCTAACGCGCAAGTTACTCCACAGACTTGCTGTTGAGAGGGACGAGGAGCACCGTCATGAATGGAAGGAGTCGATGCGCACAAATTTTTCGGGCGATGGGTCAGAATTTGTGTTCGTTGATGAAGTCAGTAAGAATGAGATAACGTGGGCTCGTCATTATGGCAGGGCTATGGCGGGTCAACGTGCAGCATTGACAGATGTCTTTGTACGTGGAGACCGCTACTCGCTCGTTGCAGCCATCACGACAGAAGGTTATATGGCTGCTCATGTAGTCGAGGGCTCTTTTGATAGCGAAACATTTTATGACTTTATTGCAACACAAGTGGTCCGTGCTAATACATGGAAATCTCTATTCGTGTTTGATCCTGTCCTCTAGCTTCCATCTATGAACCCATTTCCTGCCGAGAAGTCTGTGCTTGTGCTCGACAACTGCCGTATCCATCACAACGAAGATCTCTATGAACTCGTACGTGCTGCAGGTGAGTTAGCATTCAATGCGGGGAGTCGATGTATGACTTTTGTTTGTCAATATCAGGTTGTCTTCTCCTCTATCTTCCTCCCTACTCGCCCGACTTGAATCCAATCGAGGAGTCTTTCAGCGCATGTATGTTATTCACCGTGATGCGTGATATTGAAACTAATAAATTCATAGTGAAAGCATATTTACGACGCCACGCTCATCGCCTTCGTGATGACCATGATCCAGTTGGTGTACTCCTGGAAGCATGTGCGTGCATCACACCCGAGATGTGCAAAGGGTGGTTTCGTCACTCAGGTTGTATCATCAATTAGCGACCTTATATTACAATCTGCAAAGAGCAGTGTTTATAGTACATAGTACAGAACTTTTTATGCTGTCCATGATCCCAGCACCAATGTTGACAATACAGCAATGATTTTACAGTGTTACGTGAATGCAGGTGCAAAAAAACACAGCGATGACGGTATCAATTTCTAAGAGAAAGTTAGACCCATGTACCTGCGATGATTGCGTCGCAGAATTTGCGGTGGTGAGACAAGAAGGTGCGCCAGCTGAGGACGGTGAATCCAGCCAACTGCCAATCACCAGTTGTCAGGGATTCAACGATACGGTTTCCAGGGCGATACTCGAGCTGAGAAAGTTTCTCCGAATCAGCAGAAGATATGAGGTATCGTGCACAAAATGCCTCTAGTGTGACAGAGTGCTTCATCGTAACACCAGGTGAAGGGTATGACTCGGGCTCCGTCACACTAGCAGGTGCAGGTGCCTGAGGTGCCAAGGGTTGCTGTGGTTGTATGACATTGGGAGGAGGAAAGTATGGGTACTGGTAAGGAAAGTACGTCGGATGGTAATATGGTGCGGGAGGATGCAGTCCAGGCAGCCGGGGAAACAATGAAGGATCGGGCATACTGCCAGGCCTGGCATGGGTGAAATGCCCACTCGTGTTGTGGTCTGATATAGCAGAGGAATGTTGATCATGACGGTAGTCATCGAGAGTGCTATGGAAGCGGTCCCGAGAGTCAGTAGTAGGCATGTAGTCCTCGCCCTTGTGGTAGGCTCCATAGGCCGCAAAAGTTGTCATCGGAGCGTCGGGTGGCGGACGAGTTGGTTTGATGGCTTTGTCTTTTGTGAAGTGGTTCGACATCGGGGGCGCGTCGTACGTAGCGCGAGGGTTGGCATGTGTTGATTGACGCTGATTGACATCAGAAAGTGTATCCACAAGTACACATCATAGCCACAACTTACAATTGCAGCGGCCCAGACATCTAGGCGAAGAGGTGTTAGGTCCCAAAATAAGCCACCCTTGGTGTATATGCGTTTGTTTGGGAAAAGAGGGTGGTCGCCAATGGGGTAGCGGTGCTCCAGCTCCGTAACCTCCTTCGAATTCTCTTGACGCAAATGGTTCTAAGTGTACAAATGGTTAGCATACATCCTCGTGTAATCACGATTCAGGTCTTCTTACTATTTGAGCTTTGTGAGAAAAGGCAGTCCGATCTGCTGGTATGCCGGAATCTTCATCATCTTCGTACATGGTATTGTTTCGGTGGCTGGACACCGTGACCTCTGGTGGCTGTTGTTGCCAATAAGCGGAAAAGATTACTCCAAGTCAAGGCAAAAGTAACGCACTGCTTCAAGATCGATAGGCTTCGGAAGGAACAGAAATATAGTATGACCTTTCGTACGTTCCTGTACTGCATCAAGCATCGCTCGGAATCCAACCTCGTCGGTGAGCAGCTTCATCGGCAGACTGGCAGGTGTTTCAAACTTCCATCGTAGACGAGAGACTGTAAGATTCATTGTCGTAGTCTTTGCAGCATCGGCGACAGCTCGAATAAACATGTTGAATGAAGTGTCGATTGTGAATATGAATGGGTTACACTGCGAGCTTTTTGTAATAATGGCTGCTGGTTTCTTGCCACGACTTGGCTGCTGTGATGTGGTTTCGAGGTGCAAATATGCTCGTACAGACAATGCTTGCGGTTCTTCGTCGTCATCATTGTTTTCGAAAACCGCCAGTTTGTTGCGTACTCCTTGACGAGTCTTGGCTTTCTTCGTGACTGTCTTGGATGAAGTTTCTGGCTTTGACGCTGCTTCGATCTTGCGCTTACGACCTTTCTTAGATGCCGGTTGCACTGCGCTAACATCCTCAGATGTGAATTCATTGACGAAGGTGAACTCCGTGGCTGCAACTTGAAGTATCTCAGATCAGATCAATGGCTATGAGACTCAGAGCGCACCAGGCTTGGCACTAGTTTGAACACCATCGGATATGAGTTGATCGAGTTCATCGTCAGATTCCATTGGGACGTGGTTTGAGTCTTGGGACATGATAGTACGGTATGTAGTTACACCAGGGGACAAGTAAACGACACGTTCTATGGGTATTTCCCAAACAGGAAGCATTTGCGGCAGGTCGAAAAAAAAGGACAATTCTCATTATTGTTGAAAACTGCTGTAAATCTTCTGTCTAAATCTTTTTCTTTGACAGGTTACAGCTCCCAAACATATAAAATCCACGTCTCGAACAGCATAAGGTCAGTAGTATTTGTCTATTAATCTCTTCCAATGTCTGACATTCCACCTTCGAGACTTGACTATGACCTGCACTATGACGATGCAGGTAATGCATATGCTCGTGACCACCTCGGTGCTTGGCAGCCTCACCCTGGTATTGCACAAGTGAGTCCTTTGTATTCGCATGCCACAAAATCAATGCTAACAATGTACCAGACTGTAACGGCCTCGTCGCAGACCTCAAGGCCTGATCGAATTGCACACCAAGGCCTTGGTGGTCATGCATCCCTCACTCCGGCCACACCACACCGCACTTCCTCTCTTCACATGCAAAATGGTTCGCGCATCACGGCACGTGAGCCAGTCATTGATCCAGCTCTTCTCCCACTGCCCGAGAGCACTGATCAAGACTTGGTGGATCCCGTGTCCATTGCGGAGGCCCATGGGTATACCCCTGTGACGAAAACTGCTGGCGCTCGTCGCAAGGTCCAAGCATCAAAAGGTAAAGGAAAGGTAAAACGGCCTCGTGAGATCACGGAGGACGACGATGATGCCAGAGCCAAACGCGGGCGGCCTTCTGGCTCCAACAACTACACGTCAGCTGATGTAAAAGCACTTCTTAACTTTGTCGAAGATGAACTCCCGCTCGGTCAGCGAGGCTGGCAGGTGATACACACCAAATTCGCCGAGTGGTCAAAGGCTCGTGGTCGTCCTGATCGCAAACTCAATTCACTCGAAACTAAATTCAAACAGGTAAGTTTCTTATATCTTACTCTGGATCTGTCTTACTCATGCACTGGCGCTCCGTAGCTTGTCAAAACTACCAAACCCACTGGGGATGGGGTCTGCCCTCCTGATGTCACTCGAGCACACTATATCGACTTGCTCATCAACGAACGAGCAGGGACACGTGATCTCAATGATGAGGATTTTGACGACCAAGATGCAGGCAGTCACACGGACTCGTCTAGCCAAGATGAGCCACAGCATGTCGCAGTTGCAAGGGCCACTCGAACCGATGCTCCTGTCCCACGTTGCAATGCACGTGGTGCCGCTGCTTCAGAGCTGCTGACTCGTCTATCGGGTGCATTTGATCCAGTCACACAGCGAGCCCGAGACGAAGAACGAGCAGCTCGCACTCTCGCTAATACCCAACTTATGACACAGGCACAGCAACTGCGGGACTCACAGGCCACCAATGAAAATCTTCGGAACCAACTCTTTGACTTGCGTGCGAGGCTGTACGATGTTGAACGTGCTTGTGACAAGGCCGAGTTGCGTGCGGAGATGTTGGACATGAAAGTATCTGGCTGCCATCAAAGACTGCGTTCGCCCCTTCCCAAAGAGAAGACTATGGTGTCAGAGTGGTACCCAGATGGTGGGCAATCAATAAGGTGGATAACTGATGACGAGTTCGAACCTTATGATGATGTCCCCTCTGGCGGGCCATCACGTGGATATGAGGCCAGGAAGCACTTGTTGAATGATGGCCGCAGATGTGTTGGAAAGGCCAAGGAGGACATTTTGTATGACGAGTCTACTAGTGTAGTGCACCACGAGGTTTCTACGGAGATTTGAAGTATGTTTAATCTACTCGTACTCTAATGTTACATGGAATCTTGTGACACGATCCTTCTGCCTTTGCTCTGAAAAGAGCATATTCTCAAAATCCCACCAAACCTCAATATCTTCATCTGTGGCCTGCCACTGTTGCATGTAGACGGTACGTATTTGGTTGATGCCTACTCGCATCGCACGCAGATTATGCAGTCGCACACATATCTCGATCAGATCTCCACGAGCTTCTTTGTCGGATATATCGAGTAGCACCCGCAGCCTGCCAAAAGCACCTTGAAGCCCTTGCATGCCCCATTCTGCAGTTTGCCGGTACGACAGCAATTCACGATTGAAAGCCATGGATTCCTCAATTTCAGCTGCTGTTCCTCACAGGGTTTGACCCTGTTTGAGAGGTGCACGGATTCGCCCTTCGATGTCATTGCTGCCACGAGGGAATGTGGTGTCTGCCACAATGTAGTAGCCATCGGGGGTGTCGTCTCGAAGAATGGTATATATTTCCCTTGCCACCCGAGAATCATGCCAACTTCCTGGTGCATTAGTTCGAGCAGCAATAATGACACCTGCAATATGCGAGTCGTAAGCCTTCGAGTCTGAAAGTAGGAGTGAGGCTTACCTTGAGCTGAAAACGTGAGGACAGAGCTTATGAAATGCTCCGATAACCAACCATTGAATGTTGCATTCTCAATATCATTATCGTCCAACGTCTGGACAGGAAGTTTCAGTCCGTTGATGCTACCAAATGCTCCAATAAGTCGTGGATGACGAGCTGTAACAAGAGTGTTGCATTCCTTGAATTCGGCTCCACGCAGCCAACGGATCTTCGCATCTGGCATGCCTCGCAGAGTGATAAGAAGTATGTGTAGCCTGAATGAAAGATATCGTGAAACAGAGGATGGAATGATGGCAAATATCTGTTGTAGACTGATTTGATGCATCGTCGAGTTGAGGTAGTGTAAGACTAGGCCTAGGGCCCCACCCGCATCAAGAGATTGGCGCTCTGCACGAGGATTGGCATGGATGCTGATATCGTCGCGAGGAATGGGTCTGTTGTACCACTGATTCGCGAAGCCTGAAGTAAGGATGGAGCTGAATGTCTCAACATCAAACCCCATTGTTGTAATGAATGCACGATCATTCTGGGTGGCAAATAGGACCTGCCATGGGGTGTCTTTCCGTGGGTTCGGAAGGAGCTGGGGACGGCAAAGGTAGAGCCGTCGTGGCTGTCTATTTTCGATATGATCTTGGCATGCGAGCTCAACACCAACTAGGACAGTGGCAGCAACAGCCAGCGCAGCTTCTTCATCGTCGTCTTCTTCTTCTAGCAACTCTGCTTCATTCTCGAGAAATTGAATTGTCAAATCATCCATGGTGGTGGATGTAGCAGATATTCTGTATTATCTATTAGCCCGCGGTTTAGTATTTTGTACAGATTATCCTACAGAGTCATTTGCAAATTTGTTTTCACACTCCAGTATATGATATTCTGGATTATCTAGCCTACGGGAAGTCACCCATTAGCATGGCATGTGCTAATTCAGTTAGAGTTCTATTAAATCTTTCAGACACACTGTTTTGTTCCGGTGAGTACGGCACTGTCGTCTGAAGATCTATTCCTCTACCTTTGCACCACACTTTAAGCTCGTTATTGATATATTCCTTGCTGTTATCAACACAGATCTTTTTAGGTTTATTCTCGCAGTCTTTCTCTAGGTAGGTGAGGTGTTGTTTCATTCTCGTGGTGGCTTCACTTTGTTGTTTCAGAAATTCAACACTACTTCTTCGGGAGTAGTCATCGATAAATGAAATGTAATATTGTGCCCCACTGATCGATTGCACCCACACCAGTCCCCATAGATCACTGTGAGTTAATTCCCCAGGATCTCGAGATCTCTCATCTACGCTGTCAGGAAAAGGTTTGCGCACCTGCTTGGCTTGTATACAAGCCTCACATTCTTTCATAGGTGAGTCTATGTCAATGTCTAATCTGTTGACTAAATTTTCCTAACACAAATGTTTCAGCCCACTATACGAGATATGACATACCTCCTATGCCACAATAGCCAATATTTTTCCAGATTTTCTTGTACAGTTTGTACACAAGTCTTTGGATATAGTTGAGTTCGTGTATCTAACTTGTACAATCTGTTAATCAATTTTCCTTTCACAATAGTTTGTCCCCCTCTAATATGAAGAGTGACTGAACTATCTTTCATTTGCGCGCCTCCTCCTTCTCTATCAAGTTTACTGATTGATATGAGATTATTAGAAGCACGCGGGACATATAGGACATTCCGGAACTTCGATCTGATCAATTGATTGCCTATTTTGCTAACGAGTTCTATAGTACCACACCCAAGTGCTTCAAAGGATTCATTCCCAATATCGTTCACTCGGTGTCCATTTAGTGGCACATAATCAGTCAACACCAATTGAATGGTGGGATGATGCTCCTGAATTGGCATACCAATCATACCAGGAAAGTCGCTCAGATTCATCTGATGGTCTCGTCCTCTTCCACCAGTGCTTCTTGGACTAATTTGGCTTTGTCCTTTTTAAAGCACTTCTTAGCGGACAGCCCTTCTCCCGCTTTTCCACCACCTTTAGCCCAGCAATCCTTCTGCTCATGCCCCGTCTTTTCGCAGTTAGCACATTTCTTGGACTTGTGCCAACAATCATCCTCTGTATGTCCGATCTTTTTGCATACTTTGCACTTCTTCACATTCCCCTTTTTTTTAGTAAACTTCCTTTTCTTTTCATTTACTGCTATCTTGCTAACCACAAACTCGGTTCCTCATTCCTTGCTTTGACAATCTTCCTCAAGAATCATTGAGATGAGTTCATGTGACGTCATTGTCATGTTACTCTGGTGAGTCACTACAAATGTCTCCCATGTGGGTGGTAGTGATCCCATCATTATAGTTTTGAAGTCTTGATCAGGATTTATACTCCCCATCATATGGAGAGTTTCCTGGATCGTTCTCAGCTCAATGATATGAGCAGGGATGTCAGTACTTTCAGACGCAAAGGTACGGTACAATTTATGCCCCAAGTGTAGATACTTTGCTGACCTCATGATTATTTGATGAGTTTCAGCTGGTCTCACATCTCTTTTGCTGTATTGGCTCTGGTAAGGTGCACCATCTGTGCATCACTCACCAACAGCACAATTATTGTCCGCGCCTTCTAATCATCCACTTCCCATTTAGCTATGGTGACCTTCTTTTCATCTGGTACAGGGTCTGGGCCCTTCTCCAGTTTAAGGTTTGTGCTGTCCACATGCCCTTTGTATCCCTCATCTCCTAAAATGGCTAAAACCTTAGTTTTCCAGGGAATCCAGTTTCCTTCTCCGAGATGTTCAATCTGATACAGCAATGATACGGAGTGTTGAGTATCAGTCATATTTTGATTAGATTTCTTTGTTATTAGCAATATGATTTTTATTTGCGCATGTCAGGGCTCATAACCTATTGGAGATTAGGCCATGAGTCTTAACAGAAGAGTGTGCTTGGGCGCTGTTGCTTAATAGAAGCAGTGTGATTTTTAGGAGTAATAATACAGCGTGATTAGATTATTATTGTAGATATCCTATGTTAATATATATTTTGTGAAAAATCTCTGAAAGTCCGCTACTCATGAGTGCACAGATCATATCACGCATCATCTGATTGATTAGTCATAGCTAATTCTAGAAGAGTGTGGATGCACAGAGTCCAGAGATATTGAGAGCACTACATTATGTGACTCAAAAAACTCCAGTAATCATCTGCTAGACTGGTGAATTTAATTCGCAGCTTCATATGTCTGGAGATAGAAAGGCAGTGGTGAAACCTGACCTGTCTTTAGTTGACCTCCACATAAATGAGATACTGCTTGTTATGGAACACAAATGCTTTGGCAGCAGATACAATTATGAACCCCAACTTAACAGTCCTCATTGATTTGTTTAGTGGCATAGTCCATTTGATCCCTAGTTAGATGACCTACACAGCAAAGGAAATTGCAGAATTAGTCTTTGAGGAAGTATACAAACATCACAGCCTGAATAGTCAAAGCTGGAGAGCACAGAGTAAAGATTCAAAAAATCAGTAATAATAGGTGCCTACATCCCACTCAGTATACAATCAAAAGTTTGCAGCACTTAGATATAACCATTTAGAGATGAAAGATGAAAGAAAATATGTATCAATGTCCATAGTCTGTAAAAAGTATGTAGTCTACTATAACATATGGGTCCATGGCAATTATCAGGATGCTGGGCAAGTCCCTTACAACAACATCCATGTGTCCAAGAGTCTTCTATACAATGGCTATAGCTCTATCCTTGCTTGCAGATTGGATAGCTTTGAAGGCATTTTTCTTGAGGATAGTTGATTTGGAGCTTTGCATAATATATTTTTCGGGAGACAGAACCATATAGCATAGGGCCAATAAGGGTCTCCTATGAGGTACTTTTAAACAATATTTGAATCATTATCACTACATATCAGGTATAGTGTGCTTACCTTCATTTTGTGGGAGCCATCCGCCATAGAGTCTATTTGTATATTCATGTGTCTGATTAATGCACACTATCTTTCACAGCAGACTGTAACACATTCTGCTTACATTAGATCTCCTGGGCATAATATAACACTCTCGGCCAAAAATTGACTGAAGTCACATTTGTCACATAGTGATTTCAATGCCTAAAGTAATGACTGGTGACCCTTGGGATCCTTGTAGAAAAACCACACCCAGATTTTCAAACCAATATCTCTGATGACAAATATGTCCAGCCCTTCAGAGTCATGATGTGGTGGAGTGACCACGCCTCCTTAATGAATCAACCCCCAACCATTAACAAGAAAGTTATCTGCATCAACAAATTTTCCTCCCAAAGGACAATCTTGGATAGATTGGTATCAAGCCATAAAGCCATCATCTGATGCACTTAATCTGCATTACTAACTCAATAGATGCAAATGAGACTGAACTCATATCAATTCATCAGGCAAACCAGTATGTATCAGGCAGTCCAGAATATATCACTGCTCATTTGAAGTGAATATACCAGCAATCAAACCTCTTACTATTCTTGCAACATGCTGAATAGATATTTAGAAAGTGAGATGTATTGAAGATTTAAAAAAACACTAGACCACACATATCCACACGCATTGCACAATGGCCTGAATGGAATAACATAACCCAAAGGTCAAAACATCGGATCCTAAGGAAATTGGGTGGCCTGATGTACGGGAAAGTGCGGGAACTGTGGATTCGACGTGTGACGATGGTACAGGATGGACAATGAGCAGATATCGTTGGGAACAGATGCAAGGAGTCAGAATAAAGGAATGGCAAGGGTTCAAGTCGAAAGGAGCGGGTAACCGGGTATACTGGGCAAGGTATCAAGGTATCATGGACCATATGTATTAGATAACTCCCCTCTACAGAAAGGTAAGGTATTCGTGAGAGTCCCTTGGTCCTATAAATTTGGAGTTCTATAGGTGAAGATAGCAGGTAGTCCGAAGGTAATATGTACTGGTAAATGGGAGTTCTTGTGTCTTTGTTATACTGCCTAAGTCTATAAAATTGATTGGTCTGAAAGTACTTAACTAAAATTTATGGGTTATTCCGAGAGTGGCTCACACACATTGCTTCTTGTAGTACACCTATGTCTATCATCCATATCATCCATGTTGTCTGTTATAGAATTACCAGTCACACAGAAGTCTTTAATCTAATCACAAGGAACTGCTATTCATGAAACTTTGTGACCAGTATTCATATCCATACATTTAGATTGTTGATCTCTAGATAGTTGGTTCAGAATTTGAACCACAAATCCAACTTAGTAATGTCCCCCAAGTTTAAATCAAATATGCCTGTGAATTTGTCAATGTGCATTCCTATCCACCAGTTGAATAGAGTACAATACTGGATCTCTCCAAATTTGAGCTACAAATATAAATCGGTAATCCAGGCATGAATTATGTAATTAAAAAAGCCTATGAGTTCAAATCAAGAGAGCTCGTCTACTGTCAGGTTTGCAAGTTGCTGCTGAGTGCTGAGTGCTAGCATTAAGACATGTAATTTTACCTAAATTTACTCAGTGAGGAAGTCTGCCTCAATATAATATTCTACCTCACTTAATCATGATGATATACTCATTCTGAAGTACACTGTAAAGTTGAATGGTCAGAATTGGTGGAGAAATGATACTGACATTTGATCTGATAATCATCAAACACTGTGGCTGTTGTCAAAGCGGTGAGCGGCCAATGCTGGAGATTGCTTTACTCAGACAGCAAACATCATGTCACTACCCCATCAAACATGAGATAATGGATGCCGGTAATAGTCCTCATGAGTCCTGGCCAGTTTTCATATTTGTACATCATTCTCGAGCCAGGAATCCAAAATAGTAATCACTCCCAGCACTTCATGAAATAAATCTGTGACTTTTGTCAAAAGAATGAATGGGCGGCACATATGTATTCAATTTGGTGAGTGCTTATCAAGGAATCCTAGCTCCTGGATCATACACATGTTTGATTGACGGACCTTTCTTGAATTCTTCTGATGCAAGTACCGACTTTAAGAAAGCTGACTGAAAATGTGGTCCAACAGCCCAATTCGCCATCTGAGTAACTTGCCACTCTCTCTGAGTCTTGTCTTAAACTTGGCTACATCTATACACCCCCTTCGAATACAATCAACTACATCTCAGACATTATGGAGTGGGTTGGATATCCAGTATGTTCCTATTTTTATGATATTATCGGTTGACTCACACAATTTCAGCTATTTAACTTTGACAATGTCAAGAAATCATTCTTCAAAGTGGCCTATGTAAGGGAGGACACCACACAGACTTCGGGCGTGGAGACTGGAGTCTTCCGTCCAGTATACGTGGTAATTTGTTCATACTCCAGCCTACTCGAAAATACCTATCAACGCCTTCCACAGAATACTGATGAGCTTGCAATGTTGGTAAGTGTTTCCGCCAAGGGTAATCAAACTGCTAATTCACTCCTTGTTTTTTTTCCCTAGCAGCCAACCAGATTTATCATCCCAGAAGGGTGGAGCAAAGTGTGCATGTATTCAGATAAGGAGGGTGTCCCACTACCAGCCTTACAGGTATCTATGTTTAATGTTGCTACAAACACAACAATTTATTTTTTCGACAGAAGGTTGTGAAGCTGAATGATGCAATAATTCCCTCAAGTTACAGTGCAGATTTCAGCAACAACAAATTTATGTTGGCCATCAGTTCACCGAGTGAAGGGATATGGATGGAAAACAACATGTCAGCATTTGGAGCGCCCTCCCCTGCCCATCCTACTAGTATAGGCTTCGGGCAACTCTCACTAGTGTTATGTGTGGGTAATCCGTGGGTATTTTCAGCTGTACTTCTACCCCTACCCACAAAAACCTGTACCCCTGGCCAGGGGTAGAGCTTGTTTCATGAGCTCATGGACTGCTGGCTCTGCCCATCTTTTTGAGCAAATATCTTCAGATGTGGCTCCCAGGAGAGTGAACTCCTCCAGGAAGGCGTAATGGGAGACTTTGGTCCAATCAAGTGTGGGCTGGCCTATTTCAACCGATGCCTTGTTATACACTTTGACTCCATGTTGGATTGCCTTACATCATGACTGTAGCAATTTCACAATGTGTGTCCTCATTTTATAGCCTGAAAAAACGAGAATACATCAGTTCAAATCCACTAAGTTCACAAACAAACTCCAAACCAGTCTGTGATAGATTAAGTTTGTGAAGCTCGAGCAGGCGCTGATGGTTGTGAAGTGCAAGATGGTATTTGCATTGATTGATGTACTTGACAGTCACAGTGTACCGGTCATCAATGGGTTCCCACCGGCGCATGATTCTCATTTGAACCTCCATTGCGATGATATCTTGCAGTATCATGTTGTGGCGTTCAGCAGCGTGACACCTAGAAGTTTCAAGCCAGTGTGTGCGTGACAGAGTTGTTGAATATGATTTGTCGGTGGTGGATGTTGAAGGGGGAAGAAATGGGTAATCAGTTGGGGTAGCATCCAGGAACATCACATTCGTGTTCTCTGATGTCGTCCTTATTAATTTGATGAAGTTAGAATGCTGCATAATCACGGCAAGATGAACACTCATATCCTTCTCAAAGATGTCCTGTATGCACCCAAGATGGGTGTAACATTGGTCTCCATAAGCCACCTGACAGCAGCAGGATATGTGGTGCTATTCCGCGCAGACACATGCAAGATCTTCAATAAGATGAAGAAGATGTTGGGGGAGATCCCAGTGAACAAGGGTCTATACTATATAAAGGGCCCTAGAAAACTGTTTTCTGGACTTGCAAAGACAGATGAACAACTCACCATGCGAGAAATCCACTCCAGGCTCAGGCACGTTGCCCCAGAGAGCATCAGACTGATGATCAAAAATGGCATCATCACTGGAATCAAGTTAGACCCCTCCGACGCCACAATGGACAAATGCGACTCATGTGAGTATGCAAAGGCCACGCGCAAACCCATTGGACAGATCCAAAACCCTCCACAATGTGAGAAATTCAGCAACAAGGTCCATAGTGATCTGTGGGGCCCATCTCCTGTTAAAACCCCTGGGCACAAAGAATACTTCATGTCATTCACAGATGACTAATCACGATTCTCTCACCTGTGCCTGTTGCACACAAAGGACGAAGCCTTCAATGCATATAAGTCCTATGAGGCCTGGGTGAACACGCAGTTCGATACAAAGATCAAACAGTTTCAATCTGATCGCAGTGGAGAGTTCACTGGAGACAAGTTCACTTGTCATCTCAACATCAAAGGGACAGAATGCAAACTCACCATGCATGACACACCAGAACATAACGGAGTCACTGAATAACTCAATCGAACTGTTGTCAAATGAACATGCGCCCTGCTGCATGCCAGCGAATTGCCCAAGTTCCTGTGGGGGGAAGCCCTCATGTATGTGACCTGGCTGAAGAACTGGATGGTAACTTGCACCCTGGAAAATAAATCTCCATGTGAGATGCTATACCAGAAGGCACCCAACCTGAGAAACTTACCAGTCTGGGGTTGCCATGTCAAGGTCCACTCAATGAACAGCTCGAAGCTCAATATGTGAGCAATCAATGGAAGATGGGTGGGGTTCAATCGTGACAGCAATGGTCATCGAGTCTACCTCCCAGACATGAGGAGAATAGCTGTAGAAAGGAGTGTCAGATTTGATGCACCCACGAAGGGAATCCACGGACGGCTCCTACGAAAGCTGTATGAAGGTGTAGTCGTCCCTAAAATGTTATATGCAGCTGATGTCTGGTGCGCAGGACTACTAGAAAAGGAAGGGGAAAGAAGAACGGAGGAAGAGGAGCGAGAGGATTTGCAGCGAAGATGACGAGAGTTCAGAGAATGGCTACGCTGATGATCACCGGCGGCATGCGCTCAACCGCAACTGATGTAATGGTTGCACACGTGAATATCCCCCCATTTCAACAACTCCTACGAAAGATCTGTCACCGAGCCACTTTGCAAATGTGCACCCTCCCCCCATCCCACCCGCTGTTCAAAGGAATCAAGGCAGCTTACGCGAACTGCGCAACGCACAACGTCAAATCAATGAGAAAGTTCCCATCACCCATACACTCACTTCTGAAAGCGTTTCGCACGAATCCCAACAGCATGGAGAAGATCCTCCCGGCAAGACACTACACAAAATGGCACCCTGACGTGAAGACTGAGATAGCGCCGGACAAGGAAACCGCACTCACAGCAGATGAAGCCGCAACAGAGGACATCAGAGTATATTCGGATGGCTCAGCCATCGATGGGGGAGTAGGAGCAGCCGCCGTGCTCATGAAAGGAGGGGAAGAGATAGACGCGCTAAGGTTCTACCTTGGATCGAACGAGGACCACACCGTTTACGAAGGAGAACTAGTGGGAATGGTATTAGCGGTGGAGCTGCTCAGAGGTATAGAGGAAGAGAACAACACGATGGCACTAGGAGCAGACAATCAAGCCGCGATCTTAGCGACACAAGCCTTCAACTCGAAACCGGGACATTACCTCATGGATATATTCCACGACGACCTTCGCATAGTCCTACCAGAACAAGACCGACGCCAGCTAATCATCTGCTGGTCACCAGGACACTGCGGAATCCAAGGGAACGAAGCTGCCGACACCCACGCGAAAAGAGCTGCTAGGAAAGACACATCAGATACCAGACGCCTCCCCCATTCTCTCCGCTCACACTCCAATCCAATAATCCTTCCCTGAAGCAAAGCAGCCGCCAAACAGCAATTTAGCGCCATCCTGAAAGAGGAATCCAATGCAGTAATGAAGAAGTCACCGAGATACAAGCAGATGCGCAGAATCAACCATTCCACCCCATCCAAACACTTCGCCACCCTCATCGCCAGACTCCCCAGACGCCACAGCTCCCTCATTTTCCAACTACGAACTGGACACGCACCATTAAACAAGCATCTAAACAGAATCAGCAAAGCCCCCTCACCGAAATGTCCCAGATGCACGCGAAACGAAACCACACACCATTTCCTCATAGCCTGCCCAGCGTACGCACGACATAGGATCGTGCTTGTCGACGAGATCGGAACACGCGCACATGAGCTCAAGTATCTTCTCAACCACCCAGACTGTATTAAACCCACTCTCAAGTTCATAGCCAAAACCCGACGTTTAGAAACCATCTTTGGAGACGTGACCCCGCCCCCCGACGAAGAAGACGCAGAGGTATAGAAGAAGAAAAAGACAAGAAAAGAGAAGACAAGAGAAATTCACGGACAGTTACCCAGATCACACCCTATCGCCTTCAGTTGGCCTTAACGCGCCCCAAGTGGGCGCCATTGAGAAGCAAAATCATTTCATCACATATATATCGCATACATACTTAGAGAAACCGCATGTACTGTCTACCATAGGGCAAGGCCCCAGAGGACAATAAACAATGAACCAAAAAAAAAAAAAAAAAAAAAAAAAAAAAAAAATTGATGCAGCAGAGGTAAACATACCTCTTGACCTGGAAAACTGCACGGTACGAGCTGATGATGTCGGTCCATCCAAAGATCAAATGGCAAGAGACGATGATGTTGGTCCACCCGAAAACCACGTGGTATGAGGCGATGATGTCGGTCCAGCACCTCCCAATCCTCCTCCCAATGACCACCTAGGGCCGCAATTTGAGGCAGCCGCCCCACCCAGACGATCTGGGGGAGCAAGAGTCGAGTCAGCATACATCAAGAGCCTAAGAGACAGCACTGGCACAACTGATGGCAGAAGTACCAACTTACCTCGTGGTATGCGGCCCACTAAAGAATCCAGCAACCTGGCTGTTGAGCTAGGGATGGTGGGGGAGTATGGTGAGATGGACAAGGATGGCAAAGAAATCTTCGTGATGGTTGCTGGGGTAGTGGCAGTAGAGGGCACATATCCCACAACGGTGTGCGTAATAATAATCCCGACAACGGTATATGGATAATAGCTACTAAGAGGTAAGCCTACCAAATACCTATGTGGGTCTTGCTTAGCCTAAGGCTAGTTCGACCCTAAAGGGGTCTGCTGTCTGAAATAAGAAAGATAGTTAGTGTCTTTTCGGTCAAAGAAGAGGATAACCCGAAGGTCAAAATGTCGGGTCCTAAGTAAATCGGGTAGTCCAATGCACGGGAAAGTGCGGGTCCAATGCGCGGGAACTGCGGACTCAACGGGTGATAATGGTACAGGACGGACAATGAGCGGATATCGTCGGGAACGGATGAGATGAATCAGAATAAAGGAATGGCAGAGGTTCGGACTATAAGGAGCAGGTAACCAGGTGTATTGGGCAAGGTGTCAAGGTGTCAAGGTGTCATGGACCAAATGTATTAGGGAACTCCCCTCTACAGAAAGGTAAGTTATTTGTGAGAGTCCCCTGGTCCTTATATAAGTAGCTACGTAGAAATCCAGAGTCCTATAGGCGAAGATAGCGGATAGTCCGAAGGTAATATGTAAAAAGACATGAGGTACTGCGGACTATGGGAAGCACATGTAATAGCGCTGTCTACAATGTCAGTCATGAGAATAAATGACTACTCACCAATGGGGGTGCACGGGAACGGACTGGACATAGGGATAATGGGTGTCTGCAGGGTATCGGATAGTCCGAAGCGCGGGAAAGTGCGGGTCCTAAGGTGCGGGGTATCGGGTTATCATCGGGTTGGGTACGGGTGACGTCGGGCATAGCGGGAAATGGATGGAAAGTGTGCTGGCATCCAATATCATCAAAATAGCCAATTGTGAGGCTAGCACCAGTATGTTCGGTACAATGGTCAAAGGAGCCTGCGCAGGAAATGACTGGCCGAAATGGGAAGGTGTGATCAACAAGGAGTTGAACTCAGAAGAAGCACGTACCTGGACGATCATCAAATGACCAGAAAATGTTAATGTCATTGGGTGCAAGTGGGTATTCAAGCTGAAAAGGAACACTGATGGAGAAATTGAGAAATACAAGGTAAGATTAGTCGCAAAGGGGTACTTACAAGTATATGGCCTCGACTACTATGACACCTACGCTCCAGTAGTGCGTCTCACCTCCATCCACACGATCCTCCATCACAGCACAAAACGACTGGGACATAGACATTTTCAACTTCCATAGTGCTTTCCTAAATGGGAAGTTAGATGACAATGAGGTAATCTACATGGACTTACTAGCTGGCCTCAACATCAACATCAAGTTCAAAAATCCCGTCGCCTGTCTCCACATCGCACTCTACGGATCAAAGCAAGGCGCTCTCCAAAGTAGAAAATAAGTGAATGTACTGCATTGGTGTGAAAAAAAAGTGAAAAATAGGTGTGCAAAAGTGAAACAATAAGGATTGAAAAGGTCCCGCCAAGAAGAGGCATCTACTTATTCCACTTATAATTGCCTTGTGGCAAGCTAATGGCAAGTTGGTGTCACCATTCTTATGAGTCACTTGTCTGCTCCTTTTGGCGAAATTACCTGGCGGCAAGTTACAAAAAAGGAAGTTAAGGAATGTGTGAATTTACTGATGAGGGTTGCATTGATGGTACAAGCCCAACGATGTACTTCTGCCTGTTCCTGTGTATGTGCTGACACTGGCATCGTAGAATACATCAAGAATCAAAAAAGAATGAAAGAATTTGGTGAAGAAGTGAGGGATATACATACTGTGCTCGCTATGGGAAACAGCGAGCGGACATGTGGCGGCGCGGTTGATGTTGAGGTAGCTGTAATAGTGAGAGTGATGTAAGCACTGTAAGCGGCGGCGGGGAGGAAGTGGGAACAGCTGTGAATGTGATCACCTATTTTAAGTACTACTATATAGGAAATCAGGCATTATTGAAGGTGGTATTGGGGGTGAGTGGGAACAAGGAATTCACATGCTAAATAGCATGCCAATACCCCCCCCCCCGGGATGGCAAGCTTATTGGCATTAAATTATAATGGCGTTCAAAGTAGATTTTGAAAACTTGCTAAGGCCGGTAAAGTTATGTAAGACTGTCAAAGAATTGTCGTTGAAAATTCTGACATAAGTACGGCTCCATTCGGCATCGCACTTGGACTTTGAAATGAGACCTTGTCTTTTGAATGTTTGACCAAAGGAATCCAAACTCCGCCCCCATTCTTGGACGCACCGCACCGTGCGATAAGATGATTGATAAGCACACCAGTGTCTCTCAATCATCAACCTCGACATGCCCTGTCTCTCCCTGTGCAACCAACTGCTTGATGAACTGGATGAGGCTGATTTAGCCTTAGCCTTGTCCAGGTACAGGCATGCACTTCAAGCCACAGACTTGTCTGCCAGTGATTCCAGCTTTTCTGGTTCTGATTCTGATGATCTTGATCTTGATATGCTCTTCACTCCTCCATCTCCTCTCACCCCAGTCTTATCTGACTTTTTGGGCTCAGACTCAGACTTCTCTGGTGATTCAGAATTCACCCATTTTGCCGTGCATTATGACCGCATTCACGACACTATTGCTTCCCTTCGTGATGAGGTCTTGAGGGCACGTGTCCTTCAAAAGCCAGACGCACCCCCTATGTGAGCCCCTCAGATTCACCTCCTTCATGATTTCAGGGACTCTCGCGCTCATCTCTTCCAGAAGAAACTACATGTCAATCCAGAGATTTTCGATGATATCCTCAATCATATCTCGGACCACCCCATCTTCACCAATCAGTCTAACAACCCCCAACTTCCAGTTGCTATCCAGCTCGCTATCTTCCTCAACCATGCTGGACATTATGGCAATGCCATTTCCTCAGAAGATGTGGGTCAATGGGCAGGCGTTAGTGTGGGATCAGTGATCAATTGCAGTAACCGTGTCATGATCTCTCTCCTTGATCTACATGATACATTCATCTCCTTTCTGACTCCTGACTCCGAAGACGCTGAGCGTGCTCGGCAATTTGTCGAGTCTAGGTCTTGCCCTGAGTGGAGAAATGGTATTTTTGCCATTGATGGCTCTGCCATTAATTTGTATGAGAAACCTGGTCATTACAGAGAGTCTTTTTATGATAGGAAGTCTAACTATTCTCTCAACTGCCAGGTTTTTTTTTTCTTCACTTTCTAATGGTTAGAAACTAAAATAAAAATTTAGGCTGTTATTATGCCCCATAACCTCCTCATAGCCGATTATTCACTTGGCAGCCCTGGGAGTACACATGACGCTTATGCCTTCAAATCCACTCGTGTTTATCAAGAGCATGACACTCTTATCCCTGAGGACCATTGGATTTGGGCAGATAGTGCCTATCCACTTGAGAAGTGGTGCATCACCCCTTTCAAGAAGCCACGTAATGGGAGGTTGACTAGGGACCAGAAGTCCTTCAACATTAGCCTGTCTAGGGTATCTCCTGATTTTTCTGCTAATTTTTTGCAATTTCGCTGATTATTTCATTCATGTAGGTTCGTGTTCGTGTTGAACACGCGTTCACAGCTTTGAAAGGGTGATTCCAGTCTCTTAAAGAACTTCGGCACCCACTTCAGAACCAGAGGGACCTTCAGATCACTTTGCATTGGGTTAGGTGTTGTCTGATCCTTCATAATATGATCATTCGCTTCGAAGAGCTTCGCAAGAAATCCACACTCATATGGGCCATTCGCAAGGGGCACAACACTGTGCACCATGAAGATGAAGGTCCAGATGGTGATGAAGTAGTGGGAGATAGGTCTTATGAGGGCACAACAGGTCAAGCTTACAGGGCAAGGCTGATGGATCAGCTGTTTGATAGCCCCCATTCAGAAGCACACTGGCGGGAAAATTGAGCAAACGAGCACAGGAACATTGTATTGTTTATAGCTAAACAAATGTACTACTACAGCTGCAAGAGGTGACAATCAAACCAGTGATATACTCATGACTTCGTGCGGGAAAGGATATGAGCACGACAAGACCAACAACATTCAAGAAATGAGTCCAAGATGTGAGAATGCGAAAGGGAAACAGCGCGAAAGGGAACAATGTGAGAGAGCAACAATGCGAGAGAGCAATGACACGAGAGAACAACGACAACGACAACGCAAGCACGAAGTGGTGATACAAGAGCGGTGATATGAGCGATGATGCAAGAACGAAGTGGTGATGCGAGAGCGGTGATACAAGAGCGAGGGTCACGCTGGTTTGTTGTTGAGTTTTGCCCACTCAATCTGGAGGCGGAGCACGTCTGCCTCTAAGGCAAGAGCAGCAGTGTCCACCTCCCACAGGCGGATTTCAGTCTCTTTGTGCTCCTTGAAGTGCTGGTGGACCATGGTGGCATCTGCGCACTCATTAGCACGCTCCTCATGCAGTAAGTTGTGCTCCTTCTCCTGTCAACTAGCGTTTAGTTTCACCATCAGCCGCTCATTCTTGAGCTGATAAAGGGATGGTTTCTCCGAATGCATACTTTCCAGATCGTCGTTGATCAAATCCACTTGCTCACGGACCTCCGTCCTGAGGCGTTTCGAGACTGCACTTCCCAGTTTAGTTGAGAGAGATGTTTGCGCAGTGGGGGAGGAGGATTGGGAGGAGGAAGTTGGCTTGGAGTGTGCCGACGAGGTACGTGACCTTGATGATGCCACAGAGCCCCCCCCCCCCCCTTTGCTCTTTTCCCGCATCATCACCTGGCCAGCGTGGTACTTGAACGTGGAGTGATCATCCTGGGCAGAGGTGCGGGTTTTCTGCAGCATTGCAAATGTAGCAGGAGGGGATGGGGATGGGGGGGATGGGGGGATGGGGGGATGAAGGGGATGGAGGGTCCTAGCGCTTCTTGCCCTTGCCAGTCGTCCTTGGTCTCGGTGGGCTGTTGAGGCTAATTGTATTGCCATGAGCATCATCTTCATCTATGCCATCCATACAAAGGTCCTCCATCTCCTCTGCAAGGGGATTGTTGTCGTTGCGACCATGGTAGCTGAAACCGTCGCTGAAGGATGGAGCGGCAGGGGAGTAAGGGCCACTGTTGAAGGATTGGGTGGTGGGAGAGTAAGGGCCACCTGTTACAGCGGCCCCATCATTTTTCTCATCATCATGCTTCTCCGATCTATTCCTGTTATCTCTGACTGCTTATCAACATGCACTGCATGAACATTCTAGATACTTCCGTCTATTCTTGTTATCTTTGACTGCTTATCAACATGCACTGCATGAACATTCCAGATAGTTCCATGATGTTCTTCTTGACTCCTTTCACTTCCATAGTCGGCCTGGTCCGTGCCTCCTTTGTCCATTATAAATACCGCAGTAGTCACGCTTGTATTCCCTAACTTGAATCTACTTGGTTCTCTCTGATACTTGATCATCTTCTGAGGAAGATACTTGATTCCGATCTAGCTCTTATAGAGACTAGTCTATACTCGAACTTCACTTAGAGGGAGAGCCCCTCAAGTGTCTGAACTGAACGTTGTAACACAAAGAACTCCTTTATTGGATTAGTTACGCAAGAACTATCCAAGTCGTAACACCACCAAAGGATGGAGCGGTGGGAGCATAAGAGCCGCCGCCGCCATGAGATTCAGCACCGGTAGGAAGGGGTGGGTAATTGAATATGGGGGAGCCGGCGGAACTGTCGGTGCGAGTGCTTGGGGGTGGAGGTGCATAGTTCCATTGTGAGAGGCTACCACCAGGAGCAGAGGGACCGAAATTATATTGAGGGGAGGCAGCAGCACCGGGGTAGCCAAAGCCCCACTGTTGGGCGCTGCTGGCACCCATTTTGGGAGCGCTGTGAGGGGAGAATCCCATTGAGGACCCAGCGGCACCGCTGGCTTGAGGATGAGTGGGGATGGGCGTAGACTCGAGCCGCATGGGGGAGCCATGAAGGCTGTCTTCCTCACCACCTTGGGCAGAGGAGGCGTGATCAATATTGTATAAGCCAGCGCTGGAGGAAGCAGTGGGACCAATGGAGCCCCCCGAGGGGCGCGTGAGACCAAAGAGGTCACCTGCGTGATCAACCCCTGGCTTCGATGACAAAGTTTTGGCGGTGAATGCGGGATAGGAACCCCAGATGGTATAGAGTTGGTTGTACCATGGAAACTCCTTGTCATATTTTCCTGCGAATTTATTAAAAAATTTAAGATGGTGAGCAGAAGACTCACAATGTAGATTAATGCTTGTCTCCGAATCGACGGGCACGATGCCTGTGCCCGTTGATTCGAATTCAGTGCAAACTTCATGGAATCTATTCTGGAGGCTTTGATGGTCTGGTCTGATCAGCACCAACAGTTGATGTCAACTTCCAGCAGAACAATTTCAAGCGAATTTTCAGAACCTTGGCGAACTTAGCGAGATTTCAAGAAACTATCTTGACCGCCATTTATATAATATGTGAGGTCCAGGTGATTGTCTATGAATGGTCTATGGATTTGGCTCACTTTCCACGAAAAGAATTGGTAATGCTCCTGGATTTGCTACAATTTTCTACACGTAGTCTATGGTAGAGTCTACCCACGTACTCTCAAAGTTCCGCGAACCTTCTTCACCCGCATTTAAATGGTCGGAAAAAATACTAAATCAATATCATGAAGAGTGGTAGCTATATAGTGCTAACGCCGCAATCGGACCAAATATTATTCATTCCCAAGAAGCCTTTGAGAAGCGCACCAACGCGCGTCAACATTGGATCACGAAACATTATGACAAAGGAACTTACTCTTGGTACAGCATTAAGCGTACAATAGTTCTCACATGTTCCCAATCTTGCTCTTCCATGTATGCGCTTTCTCAAATCCATTACGACCTGTTCGATCTGGATATCGATATAGACATTCTTTGAGCACCTTGTCAAATAATCCAACGGACCACTCACAGTCCATCAGTGTCTTCTGAATTTCCTCCTGGTTCGTCATGACGAAGGGACCATACTGGAAAACAGTCTGATCGAGAGGCTCCCCGGCGATCTTTTCCAAAAAACAATTCAGGAAAGATCCTCGATCAAAACAGCGTACATACCAATGCAAACTGAGTGTCGTCGGTTGCAGCGGTTATTCGCACACCAGTCTCACCGTCCTCGTTAGAAAGAACGAGGGTGTGGAAAGCGCCATTGGCAGGACCGCTTTCACCAACGCTCACTGCACCTTGCAACACTAAGGAGAGAGGTCAATCCCTTATAGAGCCAAGGTATTCAGCCAACATACCGTAGATGAACGCTGTCCAACCGGCAGCTGTCGGTAGGGGTGAGTATCAATAAACTGCAGTGGAGTATCAAAAATACGTACGAATGTCCTGGAACATAGTTGCGCCGTTCTTCATTGACACGTGGAAGTACCAGCACCCGCCAAGTGGTCGCACGGGTGACTCAACGCCATGGCTCTTTCCACTAATGACTTTGATGCTGATGTTGCCATCTTTGCCTTCAGGATACGCAACCGGAATTCTGGGAAAACCAAGCGTCAGAGAAAGAACTCTGAAAGTACATATACGATCAACATACGACTCAGGGCCTAGTTCTTGATAGGACGGTTCCTATTTCAAATGTGAAGACCAAGACCACATTCTAAACGCCCTGCTAGACTTACCGTCATCTTGACCTGTAGAACGTTCGTCAATCATATGGTCATGCAGTGGCGTAAGCACACGGAACTTACGTCCTTCGGTAGGTCCACCCAAAGCTGTAATCCTCGAGGCTCAGGCACGTTCTTTCCATGCACGGGCATCTCCGCGTGGATAATTCCCTTTCCCTGCACGACGCGGCAGGTGAGCTTGACTGCGCATACATAATAAGTGATGTTTACTAACGGCACACATCCATTGGACACCGCCCGTCTCAATGGTCCCTGTTAAGTTGTATGTTACATGCATCAGCGATAAATCAGTAGAAATAGGCATACCAGCATGGCCTGCGGAATCCTCATGGCGACTTGATCTTACAAAACATCAGATTACGCCCGCAGCATATGCCCGAAGCAGAAATTGCTTACCCTTCCAGCATATACGTTACGGTTGCCTGACCACGATGGGGATGATCGGGGAAGCCCTGTATGAACGAATGCATTATATGACCTGTTTTGCGCCCACACAGGAAGTTGACTTACAGCACCTTCAGAGACATGGAAGTGATCTAGCAACAAGAAAGGTGTCAAATTGCGCAAGCTCGCGCTTCCGATCGACCGTCGCACGCGTGCTCCGGCGCCCTATCGGTTGGATATGAAGCTTTGTCCGAGATCGATAATTGATAGGGTGTACGCACCTCAGGTGTCTCAACAGCTAGCACCCTCTTCACAACATTCCGAGAAGTTATGTTCAAAGCCATCTTAGGTGAGAGCTTGAGTACTGGGAAAAGAGACAGAATGAATAAGTTGGCGAGGTTTACTATGATGGGCGACAGTGGATCAAATCAGAATATCAGATAGAAAAGATGTCGGATGGGGGGCGAATTTATATGCCCTCGTTCACTCGCTTGGTAAAGGAGCTCGATCAGCCCACAGCGCTCAGCTTAGAAACAATTTCATTTTGCTGGTGGTCTTCACCATTGCGGGGAGATTGTGCTCACCGCGTCGGAGGTGCTGAATAATGTTTTGCTCTCATTGGGAACAAAATACCCACGCATGTCCACAGCTTGCTTGGCATGGTTCAGAGTTCTCACCTGTTTTCACCCATCGTCTATCCCAACCTGGAAGATTATATGTCTGTTTCACCTATTCCCATCGCCCTTTTAGACACCAGTCTCTGATGTAGGGGGTCACCTTAAAGACACATCTGGCTCAATGACCAGTGGAACGTTGATCCTGCGAACGAGTCAGCTGCTCTGCGACAAAAATCACACCATCTTCAGGTTGTACCCCAATGTCAGGTACCTTCGAGAGTCACCAACTCGGCAGGGTAAGCAACAATTCGCAGTGTTGTATAACATGACACGCTGTCGTAATTACTGGTCATAGCAATTCTTTTGGAGACAAACGTCTCAGCGGAATCCCAGGACATTTTCGAGTCTGCCGATTTTCTATGGTATAGGCCCATTGACTCATTCTAACGCCCGCTGAGGGCCGAAATTGACTATTTAATTCGATTATGTCCAGCGTACGGCCCGGTTGTCCCCTGCTGTCATCCGCGAGAACACAGATGAGGCTCAACCTGATTTTGATTCCTCGGCGTATAGACATTCTGTGTGGCTTCATGCTTGGAAATGTGATGCAATTTGTGGAGTCGAGACACGTGTACAACTTCGCTTTGACTGATAATTATCGTAAGCATGCTACTAGCTCATCTGCACTTCTTTTGAGACAGACCAATGATGTCCAGGACCTGGCACCCAAACCAGGTCTTAGACAAATCATTTCAAGGTTCGTTCCTTGATGGCCGTTTGATCGCTTTTGATGGACTCTTGAGATGTTCAGGAAGGTGTGGTCTACTACCCGTCCTTCCGATATATTTGAGTTGTGTCGTGCTGTGGAGAGTCGCACCGTGAATTTTATATTTGTCGATGACTTACAACAATGGCCGCCTTCGAGCTTTACTCGTGGCCTTCTAGAATTCTGTTGGAGCCTTCAGCTGTCACTTCAAAATCGCGAAGCAGACCAAAACTACGGTGATGGCCGGTCAGCGCGCTTCGTGCCCCCGATATCCTCGAATTTCAAAGTTTGGAGTCTACAGCTGGAAGCACTGATTGTTCGGCGCAAACCTCTTCTTGCTTTGATGATCTCCTGTAATATGATGATCTGTCATTAGAAATCGTGCGGTTGACTCTCAAGAACGTTTTCGCGAAGCAGGGTACCTCCTAGATACCGATCGGCTGCAGAAGTCAGTGACTCAGTGATAGCTGCACTGATGCCATGATATGGGAGCGGTGATTCTGCCAGTTGTCGTAATGCCAAAAGAATTAGTGAAATATGTTTATTATACAATCCAGTCGGTGCTAATGAGCACTTGACAAGTCGAGCTGTAAGGCAAGCTTGAGATCTTAATGACTCACTCAGTCTCACTGAGAGTCTGTCCAGAATTCAACGTCACGTGGCGGAGCATAGGCACGCTTCAGCCTTAGTTCAAGAGCGGTCATCTTGAAATCAAAGGAATCTGCAATGTTGGGTATTTGGACTCTATACTAATGTCCCCGCTGATTCCTGAATGAATCCCAGTTGTCGGTCTCACTGGGGGCATCGCAACGGGCAAATCCACTGTGTCCAACCTACTCAAGTCCCGACAAATTCCAGTCATCGACGCGGACGTCCTTGCACGAGAAGTTGTGCAACCTGGAACCAAAGGGCTCGCTCAAATCGTCGCATACTTCGGCTCTGAGGTGTTGCTCCAAGATGGCACCCTCGACAGAAAGAAACTCGGTGCTATCATCTTCACCAGCGAAGCGAAGCGGAAGAAGTTGAATTCTATCATTCATCCTGCTGTCTCGCGTGCCATTCTTTGGAATGTGTTTTGGTGCTGGTTGAGAGGAGAGAAATTGTGCGTTGTGGACGTCCCTCTTTTAATAGAAGGAGGGCTGTGGAAATGGATGGGGAAGGTCATCGTGGTGTACTGGTACGTTTATCCTTGATACCTTTAGTTCTCATCCACAGTTATTACCCACCACAGCTCAGCAGACATTCAACTGCAGAGGCTCATGGCGCGCGACAATTCGTCCCGCGAAGACGCTTCAGCGCGCCTGAATTCGCAGCTTCCAATAGCGCAGAAAGTGCAGTATGCCGACATCGTCGTTGATAATTCTGGCACCTTGCAGGATCTTGAAGAGCAAGTTCGTTTGTGTCTTCTGAAGTTAGAACGGAAAGTTGGATGGTCATGGAGGCTTAGTTGGCTTTTCCCCCCGTATGCTTTGATTTCGGCGCTGTGGACGTTGGGGTGGGGATCTATGAAACGATCGCGACGACGGAGTCGGAGGCCACTCGAAGGAAGCTAGACCCTGAAGCTTGAAGGCTCATGATCTCTTATCCGCTTGTGCTATGCTACATATGTCACGATGCATAGACACTAATGCAGAGTGCGAAATGCGTATCATAAAATAATGGTGTATGCGTATGGTACAACAGGTCCTGCAATTATCCTGCCCAGGAGTGCCAAATCAAGTCCCCATTTTGATACTATATCATGCAGGAAGTCCCAGCAATTGGCGCTTGTCAGCAATCTCATCCCGGAGCATGACAATTCGGCTATCAAGCCTCGAGGACAGGTCCGTCTGCTTTGTGGACAGCGCATATGCTTGATCTAGTTTCTCGCTGGCCCCCGTGAGCACGCCTTCCCACATCGTCATCGCTTCATCCTGCTTCATGTCCGCAGCCTTCATATCTGCCTCTTTCAAATCGAGCACGGCGAGTTCGAAGGCAGAGACGCCCCCGACCCATGAGCTGATCTCGACATCAGGGGATTTCTTTGAGGCATCGAGGAGGAATGCGCGCGCAGGCGCATACTCGGTAAGAGTGCGGTGGACGATGCCGAGGAGCAGCGAGCGTATGGCAAGCTCGTCAACAGTATCGAGGTCATCTATTGCGGTCGTCGGAACTGGTTTCACCAGATACTTGCTCTCGATGTCAGTGATAGCTGGGGTCAGCGAGGACCACTCTTGGATATGCGCTATGGCGACGGAGCTCTCAATACGTGCGTGGGTATTCCAGACTAAGATCATGTCAATGTTTGTTGCCGAAGCCGTTGGTTTGAATACGCACAAATGGCAATCTCTGTGGTAAACAAAATAGTAAGAAAACATACAAGAAACATGCCGTGAAACGAACCTTCTGCGGGACTGATCTTAATAGCCTCTACAAATCGATTCTGATCTCCTCCGAGGCGAGCTTGCTTTCTCTTGTAGAAAGCCACTATTACAACGTGAGGTTCATTGAATGTCAAAGAATTGGTACAGAGGACGACGAACATTTTTTCTTAATGAAGGTTTCTGTGGGCATCTCTCTACCCGAAAGCTTCCGTTTGTCGAGCTGGCCGGGAATTTTGTCCAAAAGCTCTTGAGCTCTATCGTAATGTTCCAACGAGAAGTAGCAGCCTAGTAAGGCAAAGGTAAACAGTATGCTTTGAATGATGTAAGAATCGTCGCACCAGCCGCAATAAAGTAGTACGTCGCGTGACTCCTGGGAGCTGACAAGTTAGTTCAAAGGTACATGAAGAAGGAAAATATAGAGAACCAGCTATTCAATCTAGTGATGTCCAAAAATTGCTTTGCAGTTTCTTCGTAACGACGATGCGAAAGGAGCGTCCAGGCTAACTCAAATGTGAGCTGAAGATGAAAACGTGAATTAGAAACTGGAAAATAACCGTTACAATCAAGATACATACCAATGTGTCAGCCTGGGGAAAAGACTTTTTCCTCTCAGGCTTCAAGCCATCCTTCAAGGTCTCGATCGCGCCTTCGGTATCGTGTGTCATGCGCTGTATCTTTGCCTGGCAGCGGATGAGAATGAAAGGATCTACATTGGATAAAACAAACCTTATTCAGGATCCACAAGGAACCATCAGGGTATCGACCATCTACTCTGGATTCGTGGCGCCTCAGTTACACGGAATGAACTGAACAAGAGAACTACTGACCTTGATACAATCGCCTTGTACTGCTTTATAATGTGCGCCTCGTCGGCCTGGTACCCAGAAAGAAGAAGAACGACTCCGTGGTAAGTCATTAGAACCAACCTTTGACCTCATCAATACAACGAGCATCATGGATTACCGCGGGGCGTACCCAGCAAACACGGAATGAATATCACTCCTTGCGGCAGAAACGGCGAGGGCCTGTAGAGCTAGCATGCGATCGTGATTGAAGCCAAAAAAGCCGACCACATTTCTGAAGCAACGTCAAGGGGATGTTGCTCGCACAGCTGGCAACACACCTAATCTTTGCAGGTAGGAGAGAAAGCACCAGGTTGAACAACCCATATCCTGGCAATCTTGGATTTAATATGATAACGAAGAGGTGTGAAAAAATGTACCAAACGCGGTTCCCGACAATACGAGTTCCTCGACAGGCCCGCTTGGCGGATTTGTGATTGTCCCTGGGGCGGCGACTGAAGTCGATGGAGCGAACCACCTGCCGAAGAAACCTGACTTAGGCACCGTAGTTGGGTTGGATTGTATTACTGAAGAACGCAGGCTTCCAGCAGAGCCTCTACGCGATGGCAGAGGGGTTGTCGCTGGAGTTGCGTAGGACTGGAGACCATTCGGGTAAACAGTCTTGAAAAGTCTGGTGACTCTATGAACATGTATGGTGCATGAATGGCTTATGATAACGCACTTATTAAATTTGGAGTGGGCACTATTCCGACATCAGTCATACATAGCATGTCTCAATTCCAAAACTCGCCTGTTAAGTTCATATCTGTGACAGCGTTAGCTACAAGCGGAACACGGATATGAAACAGGACTCACAAACATTGCAAGTAGCCACGGTATGACTCGCTGTAACCGAATATAAGAGGTGAGCATGTCTTAGAAGGGACAAACATACCTCAGCGCATGAGTCAAGCCAAGCAGAACGACAGCATCAGCATGCATGACTTCCCACTCCATTCCAGCGTCGAATCGATGGTTAGAGGGTAATGATTTTGCCGCTCGTGCTTGCTTCTTAGCGCCTGCTTCCGATGCTGTAAGGCAGCGAGTAGCTTCGTCCATTAGACCTGTCTGCAAAAAAAACCTGTTCATGTGTCTAAAGATGCATATAAGTGATCAACCAACCTCCATACCAAGGGCTGCTTGCAAGAATGCAACGACGCCAAGTCCTAACAAGTGAAAAGGAGCGTCCTCGGATTCAAACACTTTCTGGGCTGCATCGATATCATTTGCAAAGAGGTGATCAAATCCTTGCGTGGCTGATCGTAGCAAATCCTCAGCTGAAAGGGTGGACGGCGCCATGGAAAGTGAATGGCGTGGTTTGAGTCCAAAGTTTGTGCAACACAGGAACGCGATGTCACTGGTCAGTACTTCAGTAATGGCACCGCATCGGCAGGCCAAATGAACGCGTCAGTCGGAAGCCGGGCTCGTGTGGGGAAGTGACTTATTACGAAGATTACTCAGTACCTCCGATTGGCAACGGTCAAGCAGCTTTATAAGTTGGTTTTGATTCAGTATCACCGTTAGTTGCTCATACTGCATTGGCGCAGTCTAAACGGATGACGGTGCGAACTATCACCATTAGCACCCTCAAGACATTGAAAAATTCAGTCATCGGCAATCCCGCCGCCAAACTTGCCCTTGCTCAGGATACAGCGCTCATTCATTTGTACGTGACGCCACCTTATGCATGACGCAGAGCTGATACTCGTCGGGTTAGGCTTGTCAACTGTCTCAAGCAACCTCCAACGTCCTATGCTGATACGCAAGGGTCTCATGACGATATTCGCATCGAATCCGCCCATGTAATCGCGTCTATTTCCTATGGTATGTGCTCATATGATAAATCCTTGTTCAAAGACCAATGGCAAATTGGCAATTCATTCCAGGTTCAGAGGTCGCTCTAGTTAGCTTGATTCGCGCAAATGCTCTTCATGCGTTTCTCCTTGCGCTGTCAAATCTGAAACCCCATGATGCTGTGCAGCTGAAGTCTGCATTAGCGCGGGGTTTACGAGTGTTGTCCGCAGCCATTGCTGAAGTCGTTGGTCCATCCCAACTTGGTCTTCGAACATGGAGCCCCGATTTGCGGAGTGAAGCCAAAGTCGCATTGAGTTATCTCTTCGAGGTGATTCCATTTCCTTCTTCAGTCGAGGCGTGGTTTGCTTATAGGATTGAAGTTTGATTGCCTAAATATATTTCTTCCCCTCCTGGCAGATCCTTCATCCCAAACAAACATCGCTATTGCACAACTTATCGGTACAACTGTTCGCTCTGAAGCTCACCGGAATGTTGTCATAGAATGGCTACCTCCTGCTGAACGCTCCAAAGAGATCAAGGGCAGACGCGGCTGGGAAAAGAAAGAATTGGTAAATTCCAGTTCATTAGCTAGACAAGGTGGATGGGTGGTCCGGCTTCTGGTCAACTTCCTTCAAAAGAAGGACATAAAGGTCAATCCATCATTTACCAGAAGCAAGCGGGTCTGATGTCTCACAGTTACAAGAAGCCGCGCTTGGTGCAATATCATCCTTAGCAATGGAAAATACTGTGGTTGCAACCACACTCACAAGGCCCTGGCCTGACGCAGGTAAGCGCGATTCTAAGTATTTGATTAGAACCAACTTTGATTTCCGGCATGAGTTGACACCCCCTTCAACATCATATTAAATTTGATGAAAAGTAGATCGACCGATGTGCAGCTTGCTGCATCTCTGTGGTACGTGCTTTAGTTTGATCAGACTCTGGCTTCAATGTTGACCATGTTCAGCGCTGCTCATGTTCTTCGAGCCGCTGCAAGCCACCATCCAGGATCAATAGATTACTCAGCCGCTCTGAACGTTATCCATGTGGTTAACCGGGTGATCTCTTCGTCGTCTGAAACTCCACAGAACAAGATTAAAACATGCTACACTCTTTGTAGGAGAACATCACTCTTGCCTCGAGCATTCATCTGATTGCACATTAGATCATTTGGTAAAAGACGATAAGGATTTGTGTCGAGAAGTTTATGAACGCGGAACATTGGAAAAGGTAGTTCTATTGGCAAAGTACATCACTCCACTCGAAAGGACGTCGGAATGGGAAGAAGATGAGCCTGAGAGCACTCTTGCCCTCAGAGAAGTGAGTGTCATCTTTTCATAGGACGCGTTTACCTACTTTCATTACAGGCGACGTTGACCGTAATCGCAGCGATCTCGCTATTTGACAATAACATTCGCCGGGAAGTTGCAGATGACCTCCAGCTCATCCCCACCGTACAAGCCTCCTTATCACACAAGAACGTTGCCATCCGCCACGCAGCATGCACGTGCCTGCGTGCACTTAGTCGCGCGGTGGCTATGATCCGCACAAATATTGTGGACAGCAAAATTGGAATGGAGCTCTTTGCGATCTTTAAGAAGGAAGACGAGGACCCAAGAGTGATATTTGCGGCTTTGAATACTATTTGCAACTTGGTGAATGATTTCTCACCGCTAAGGCCGGTGCGTCCAACATCTTTTCCAAAGACCTACCGCCGAGCGATTCGCTCTTCAGAAACTATTGGACCAAGGGCTTCTTCCGCGATTGATGCAACTTTTTGCTTCTGACGACATCAACATGAGGGTCGGTGCTTTGTGGGCAATCAGGAATACCCTTCGGAAAAGCGACCCAAGCACAAGACAGACAGTAATAACACATCTAGGCTGGCCCCGGCTGGTAGCGTCCGTTTCCAACCCCTCTGCTACTGATCAGCCATTTTGACGTCTGTCCCACAGACTGTGCAATGATTCCCATCCTGAAATTCAAGAACAAGCCATGAGTATTCTGCAAAACCTTGCAGAAGACGAAAAGGGAGTGGACTACGTATTTGAATCTATCGATAGCGAGACTCTCGCCAACTGTATTACTTCTGGCCTGGAATCCCCCAACGAGGATGTGACCCGTCATGTAATTCTCAACTCGAACCCGCTTAGCAATCTTCGCTAACATAGCAGGTAAACAGACAGCCTGCTTTTTGGCGAACATCGCAAATGGCTCGCGAGAAGAACAGGACTTTATCTTCGCGCACGCACACATCATCCACGCCATGCACGATTGTATGACCGACGCCAAATCCGACACCCGTTGTCCCCTGATATCATGCATCCTCTCCCTCGTACAGTCTAACATCCGTCGGAAGGACGAGCTCGCCGAAGCAGGGATCACCTCAACATTGCGGCACATGTGCGACTGGACGGCAGGTGTCAGCGTAAGCATGAGCCCTGGGGGACGTCACCATCGGATACACGTGGATGATGACAAGGAGGCGGCGAAGTTGGCGCGGTTGGTCTTGGATCTCTTAGATCATGGTAATATTGGAGATTTAATGTAGCAGACATGTAGTTTACAATGACATAGCTTTTGGCGTGTTATCTACATTTCCTGCAACACGCCAGGTACTTGACTGTTCCTGCTCATTTCGAAATTGCACGGTAAGTCATGTCCAACAATTGGATGAGGAGGGGGGAATGTACCGTTCTTACGTTACGCAGACATGCGGATAACTTGAGGCGTCAAGCCAGTCTTCAGGCAACCTGTGATTCGCCCAGTCAGCAAGTGCATAGCTGCAGTTTACAGCGCAGTAACTAACAGTATACTCGAGAACAGTGCTTCAGCTTGGATCAGACTGTCAAAGTTTTATGCCTCATGGTACGCGTGCTAGCACCATCGACACCTTGTGGGGTCAATTGATTATGTTTGTACGGAATACCATTCACACTGTGAAACCAACCTTCGATAGACATACCGTTTGCGCAACAAGAATATTATAACAGAAGAGAAAAAGACCGACCGTAATACACAGTAAAATACGTTCTGTCGATATAGAAACTCAAGGAAAAGAAGTCCGCACCGCATGGCTTGATGGAAGAAATCGCAGCAAACATCGCGCTGTGCAGTGTAACATGAGTATAAGGAGGTGATGAGTGCCAAAAATCTATGAGCGGAAAGAAGTGGATGGATGGGACGGACTGGTAAGTCTCCATCAAATAGCCTTCTTTCATTGGCTGTCTGCGCTGTGACAAACAACCCTCTGTCGAGAAGACGATCTGCCTCGATGTCATTGGAACAAGCATAACGCAAAGTATAGTCCTGACCACTAGAGGAAGTCCTCTGCTCGGGCCCTTTTCTTCCCTCTCGTCTCTTCAGCCGCAAAAGAAGAGTCAACGCCAAATGGCAGCATATTCGTCGAGTCTCGAGCAACATAATATTTTTTAGTGTAAGCCCGTTTCTCTTCCTATTATACCCCTCATTAGTTGTACAGGTGAGGAAAAGTTACATCAACTTACAGGGGAAAAGTTCGGGTCTGCATATTTGAGTTCTGTCGGTTTCTTGAAAGGCGCGTATCTCTGTTCAAAGGCCGGGTTTGGCAAGGTTAAAGGAGGGGGCGCTGCTGCTGCAGGGGGTGGCCCTACAGCCACAGCCGATGGCGCCGGAGCGCCAGGTCCAAATCCTGGCGTAACTGGTGGGAACGGTGATGCTGAACCAGTGGGCACAAACGAAGGAGGCGGAGGGAATGGTGGCCGAACACTTCCGGGAGGAAAAGGTGGCGCACCTGGGGGAAGCATGCCCGGTGGGGGCATGAAACCAGGAGGAGGCATCGGGAAGCCAGGAGGGGGATGCCTATATAACATATCAGCAAAAGGTTTATTGCGTAAAAAAAAACTCAATTTACCCTGGAAGGAAACCGGGCATGCCAGGGAATGGCGGAAATGGTGGTAAAGCGCCGGCAGGGGGAGGCCCGCCCGGGAAAAATGGAGGCGCACCTGGTACCATACCAGAAGGAGGAGGCATGCCTGGCGGTGGAATGCCGGGAGATTGAGTAGGAGGGGCAGCATATGCCTGCGGAGGAGCGCCATATACCGCGCCGGCACTACTGTCAGCTGCAGGCAGAGCGGGGGGATTATCACTGCTACCACCCATCAAGGCCTTATGGGCTTCTAGTTGAGCCTTGAGCTCGTCCTCCGATAAAGGCCTCTTTTCGATCTTAGGTCTCTTGGGCTGAGGCTGAGATATAGAACCTGCAGCTAGACCAAGCTCGATTTCCTTGCGGCGCTTATAGTCTGCAACATCAGGTGCAGGAATGCCCTCCATTCCGAAAATCTCCACTTCATACCCGTCACGTCCTGGCATAGCGTTCTCGATTCGTGGAAGGCTGAACAAAACAAAGTCAACAAAACGAACTGAATGTGAATGGACTGTGAGGCACTTTTCTGGTTCTAGTTTATGTACTTGTTGGATATGTACGGCCAAACCGCCAGCAGTGTTCAACCGACGGGGGCACATGTTGCATTTGAAATGTTTGGCCTTTTGGTGCTGCATGAGGACTAAAGGTTCATGTTAATGAGGTTCCATCTTCTAGACGTGTTAGAAGAAGTTACCTTTCTCATCTTCAAACTCCCTTTCACAGTACCAGCACCATGGGCGGATGATCTAAAAACCTCTTTAAGCAGTGTGTATAAAAAGAAGCTGCACACGTACCTGCTTATTCTTTTTCTTTGCCATTTCGTCGACGTCGCCGTTGGATGATGGTGGAAGGCAAAGGAAACTTTTCGGCGACAGCCGCTGATGAGTGCAACCGTGAGAACAAAATACTTAATGGAAGTTCCTTCCCCTAGACCATTCTCAGATTCCTCACCAAAGGACCTTCCTTCCCCCTAGACCGTCATCACCAAAGGACCTGTTTCTTCCAATACTCCAAGTCCCCGAGACTTTCTTTAGCCAGCGCAAATGATTGGCACAAGTCTGCCTGAATATGTCTTTATACTCACCAGCATAGGGCTTCTTCGTCTGGTGGCACCAATTAGCTTTCTGTACGTTGCATACCTCGTGGTTGCTCAACCAGCTACCAGATGGCAAACTTCATTGGGAGGGTACGCTTTCTTGGAGATATTGTTTTATATATTGGTCTACCTGCCTAGACGGCGGTTGTTACAGAAGGCAAGGATTTGTCTGTATCCCTGTCATGCATGACGTCTCAAGCTGCCCCTTTTAGCCTGCAGTGCATCCCACCATTTACACCCGCGAATATCGGCGGATTCTATTTGAACGATGTTCGAGCTATTTGGCAACTTCGGATTACCTCTCCGGATGGTTTTTCTCGTCAGAGTTTAAGCGGGACAATGTTGTAGACTGGCTCCTCTGGGCTTTGTTCTCTGCAACAAGAGACACCTGTCTAGTGGAATGGGAGGAAGAACTAGAGGAATATCTCTCAATGGTAGAAGCTATCATTGATCGAAAGTTAGCCCCTGGATATAACAATGGGGCTCGATGCATGCGACCCACCATCGACGGTGTGTCGATGCTGCACCGTCCATTAATCTGGTATTTGGTAAGTAATCATCAGAACATTATTAGTCTCGACAACCTACTCCATTCAGGTCGTGGGTTTGGTGGATGTTCTTTCATCATTCAGGCTTTGGTACCTGGGATTCCACCACTATGCTGACGGCGACTGGATGGCGTCATTTCCAATGCGCCCATGTTGTGTCATCTCGCGAAGATCGTCGGTAGTCAACCTGCCATACTGGTATCATCCTCATCGATCAAGTACGAAGCTGCCTGTCCTCTTTATACACGGCATTGGAGTGAGCTCTTGAGCAATTAATACGAATGAATCTAATATTTCCGCAGATAGGCTTATACCCATATGCGCCTTTATTCAAGGAGCTCATCGCTCTGCATCCAGATGTTGGAATCTTGGCAATTGAAATCCTTTCCATCAGCATGCATATCACCTCCCCTCCACTCTCAAGCACAGCCACCTGCACCGCCATATCCCAGATTCTGGATGAACTCGGACTCGATCGTGTCGTAGTTTTGTCTCACTCTTATGGGACAGTCATCACTGCGCAGATGCTCCACTCCCATTTGTCTCATCGCGTTGCAGCAATACTTTTCGTTGACCCGATACCATTTCTTCTTCATCTTCCTGATGTCGCTCATAATTTTGTCTACCGACAAGCTCGTTCTGCTAACGAGTTACAACTCTGGTATTTCGCGTCCAGGGACCCGGATATCTCGCGGACCTTGTCGCGGCACTTCTTTTGGTCTGAAAACGTACTGTGGAAAGAAGAGCTAGTGGGAAGACCGGTCGCTGTATGGCTGAGCGGAAAAGATCAAATCGTGAACTCGGAGCAAGTCAGAAAATACCTGACAGAGGAACCAACCCCTTCGGAATATTGGGCCACGGATAGATTAGAAGTGCTCTTCGATCCTGACTTGGATCACGCTACCGTCTTCGATACGAAGGATCGACGCAAGCGTTTATTGGACGTTCTGGACCGCTTTGTTAGCTGTTCAGAATACAGGAATTGACTCACTTTCCGCAGCGTCAAGATCAGAAAGCAACCCATCCGCTAGATCTCGATCTCAAACTCCGCATCTCTTCACGTGCTTGTATTGCGCAAAGGCAATTATATATTAGACTTCAAGAAAACGTGTTGAGAGGATAGGGACTGACTCATGTGGCATCATTATAGACGTGAGAGTCAGGGAATATTCAAGTACGTGATCGTGATGTACTATGTAGTACTAGTGGTCTGCATTTTACCTCAGGCGCTCGGATTTGCAGCTTCCTTCGACACAGACCTTTCGATTCTGATGCGATGAGTGTAAGATAATATACTTAATAGGGATTCTGAGTTGTCTATCGTTGCAGTCGCGTGGCTTCGTCCTACCATGTCTGCTGGTCTGGCCCACATCCGCGCAACGCTAGATGTTCGTCCCCCGTACTGCAGTGGAACTTGCGAAATTGCCGTCAAGCAATCTACGCTCTTTTACAGCACAGCAACGAGTGGTGCACGGTATGCCACACATTATTGACCTGTGGCAACAAACTGAAAACCACTCAGAAAAATTGATTTGCTGTTCCCTACGCAGGACCAGCTTGAGTCACTGCATGAAGCTTGTCAATTTGCAGCATATGGTCATGACCCTGGAGAAGTTCCCAAGAAACTCAGGGTCGGCAGGTTAGACGCTGCCGCATTTGCCACTCAATTTAGCTTGGAAAACACTGGACTAGTTGATGCTGTGGGCCAATCGTTATTGGAGGGCATGACCGTTGGGAGGGACATCAGATTTGAATTGTATGAATTGAATATACATGGTCAGTGATCACATATGGTACTAATTGAAACTAACTTTCGTTGTGATTAGGTGCGGGCAGTTTTGTCGGACCACACAAGAACGCCACGAACAGCGACAAGATATTCGGTTTCCTTGACGTCGTATTCCCGGCTCCGCATACCGGAGGGATATGCAGTCTACGCAACAACGAAAGAGTGTGGCGTGTTGACTTTGCAACGATGCTGTCAGAAGCACAGATCCCTCTTGTTGGTTATGCAGCGTACTTCAATGAGGTCGAACGTGAGATTGGCTTAATCGTATCTGGTCACCGCCTGACGCTGAGTTACAAACTCTACTTCGCGCCTGGCGGGGGCAGTCCATCAGCTACTATCTCCGCACCTGGCCCTTTTGAACTGTCCTTGAAAACCGCCCTTGCTGAATTCGTGGATGATCCCAAGGTTATGCCTCACGGCGGTTATCTCGGGTTCGGGCTTCGCCATCAGTATCCGGTATCGCCAGAGATGAGAGTGGACACACTTAGGTCATGCTTAAAGGGATCGGATGCGATCATTGCGCGCGTCCTGAATAGGCTTCCTCTGCCATGGTCTCTTCGTGTTCTATACAGAGACAGAGGACCTCATTCGGAGCAGACCTTCGTGCTCCATAAATTCATACCGGATATTCCCCAGCAAGACATCGTGTGGAGTTACCCGGGCGCCGGTGAAAAATTGGGTCCAGGAGCTGAATTCGTTCGGTTTGTTGATGAATTTGGGAATGACGACCAGAAGCGGGCTGCGGACTACTCCAAATACTCGGAAGATGTTGTCGACATCATCCAAGTGACAGAGGTGCCTTCCGTCACAAACGTGCATTCTCACTATCTTGCGTTCGGGAAGGGGGCATTGATGGGCAGCCTGTATGGCGACATTTGCCTAGTTGCGGAGGTCCCTGCGAAGATCCTGTATTAGTATAAGATCTAACTCAGTTCCGCTTTGAGTCTGATGTGCGCAAAAGCAGCTTTCTCATCACTGTCAAAGGGGGAACGTGCTTCCGATCACTGACTCACTGAAGGGCGCGCTCCGAGCCTCCGGGTACTAGAAGCTTCTGAAGCTTCAAGTTCTTGCGCCCCTCCAAAACTTTACGTCGATGGAGATATGATCGAGGAACGAGTCAGATCATGTAGTGCGCTTCTTATTGTAAGAAAATTACGTTGAAAGGCTGACTCACCGTGTCTTCTCTTCGTGTTACAATATGTTAAAATGGGAGTCCTTGAAATAAGAGGGGGCCACCATGGGGAAGTTGAACAACGTTCGAGCTTCCATGAAGCCCAGACCACCGTACTGCTGTGGAACGCTCCCTATCATACCAACGAGATGCACCTTGTTTTACAGTACGGGCGTCGACGATCACGCAGGGTATAACTCGCACATCCACATACTACATAAGATCAAACGTGTTAATGTTTGCCAATAGAAAAATCAACTTACTGTCTGCAACATCCGAAGAGCTCCGCCGCTTGACCCGCTATTGTCGTGCTCAGGCTCCGACAGAGAACGACTCTCGCTCTAGTCCAGCACGGCTCAACGCAGTCGAAATCGCCACTACATTCGACGCGGAGCATTATCGTCTCACTGAGGCCATTCGAAGTGAACTACTCGAAGGCGGGAATGCCAAGCGACCATTACAACTTCTTGTCCAGCACCTCAAGATTTATGGTTAGTTACCATGTTTCATTGAAACAAACACGTCTGAACTTAGCATATCAGACGCAGAGTGTCATGAAAATATTTCGTCAGTCCTCCCTGCAACTAAAGAGGACACAGCTGGGCAACCTAGTCTGTTGGATGTCTGTCTCTATGAACATCAGCTCGTCAAGAGTTATGGCGAGTCACGAATGTTTTCCCTCAGCCTCGACGAGTTCTGTGATGTTGTTGGTTCGTGACAAGGGATTCTAAAAAACTGGAATGCCTCATAATTTACCATTACAGGCATTTCATCCGCAGTCGTTCGTCGGAGGGAGTCCGCCAGTCCATGCGAAAACAAGGCCACCCCTAAAGGATTTGCAACTGTTTTAGTTGTATTCCCAACGGACAATGAAGGCGGAGCGTTACTCCTCCGTCAGGGACGTCACGAATGGACCATTGATTTTGCGGAACTGTTCGCAAGGACGTCACAGGTGTCTGTGGCATTTGTTGCGTTCTACGACGACGTACATTTTGCGGTCAGAAAAGTCACGTCAGGGCATTGTGTGATACTTACATATCGCCTGCACTTTCCAACCGAGAGTGACATTCCCCTCGCCACCTTTGAGATGGGTGTATACGACGTGAGCTCGCTGACAGCTGGTATCACCGACTTGCTTTTGGATTCAGGTGTTTTGCCTGGAGGCGGATACCTGGCATTCGGCCTTCGAAATCAGTACATGCCTACGTCTAGGTCTGTAGTCGACGTCGGCAGCCACCTGAAAGGCAGAGATGCAATGATCGCATGCGTTTTAAGCTCCCTTTCCATTCCGTGGTCTGTCCGTATCCTGTATCGAAATGTTGGATGGACGGAATTCAGTTTCTTGGCGAATCATATAGTTGATCTTTCCAGCCACGACGAAGTCCACTACTTGATGGAAACGTTGGGGAATCCCGAAATCGTGCGTTTCGTAGGGGAGCGTGGTGAGCCGGATAGAAAACGGGCCAAGTTAGACGAAAACGTGGTGGAAGGAAAAGATGCAACAAATATCATGTTGGTTAGTACAAGGCCTTCTGCATGGAGTTTCCACTCGCAGTATGTTGCCGCGGCAGGTGATCGAGAGGTGATGATGGGAAACCTGTACGGAGACGTATGCATCATAGCGGAAAGACATTCACTAGCCATGTTATGAGGAGGATAGGATCAAAGAATAGAGAGCTAGATAGTCAAGAAGTAAATGTAAGCTTCGGAGCCTAACCTTCGACATGAACAAGTCACTATCTTGAACGAGCACACAATCGAATTCATGGATACGCGACTTACAGCCACTGTTCCCGTATGTCCAACGTTAATTTGTATCGCAAATCGTCGTTGCTGCGCATGATTATGCACACAAGTGGTATACGCCAGGCTGATGTGCGTGATGGTCAATGTCAAAGTCATGAACACGACAGAAATCACGGTCACATGATGAATATAACCGATACGCGTGACATGTTCAAAGGTTTGTGGCACTGGCAGTTTCCACTCGCGCCTTTTGGCAAATTTATATCTTGACTGAACCTTGTAAAGTTGTTTCATCACACCACTGCCTCACCGCACACTTTGTGCAACAACGAGCATGAGCAACTTTCTCGAGCTGTACGAGCCTCTGGATATTATTGGCAATGGTTCATTCGGAATCATTCGTAAAGTCAGAAGAAAGTCGGATGGTCAGGTCAGTCCGCAGGTGCTCTCCTTACATCACTAGGTCAGATTTAACATTCTTACTGGCAGATACTTGCAAGAAAGGAGCTTAACTTCGAGAGAATGAGCGAGCGTGATAGGAAACAAATCGTTGCCGAAGTGTGGGTGTTCAAGTTCATTTTTGCCGCTACCGTAACTCACTGTTGTTCAGTAATATCTTGAAAGATCTGCACAACGAACACATTGTACGATACCATGACCGTCATGTCGACCGAGATGCAGGCATCTTGTATATTCTTATGGAGTACTGTGGCGGAGGGGACTTATCCACTGTCATCAAGCAGGCACAAAAGCACAACCGACCCGTGCCAGAGGACACGATTTGGAACTACTTCATGCAAATTTTGCTTGCACTTCATTATTGCCATCATCCTGGTGGTAACGGACGAACAGGTAGTGGCATTTCCGAAGGTGATGCCAAGGAAAGGCGGCCGCAGATATTACATCGAGACCTCAAGCCAGATAATGGTATGTCATTTAAAGACCATGTCCTTATCTCGAACCAACCTGTCGCCTGCAGTATTTCTGGACCAATCAAACACCGTGAAGCTTGGTGACTTCGGCTTGTCAAAAGCGCTGTCTCAAGCAAGCTTCGCAAACACATACGTTGGGGTAAGCTTTCTGGCTGGGGCGTTTTCATGACTTAATTCAGGAGACCAGACACCATATTATATGTCTCCTGAGCTGATGCAAGAACGGGCCTACGATTCCAAGTCGGATATCTGGTCTCTGGGCTGTCTCATATACGAGCTTTGCGCGCTAAAGCCTCCATTCCATGAAGCTAAGACTCATGCAGAGTTGAGTATATTTATACGGTCAGCATAGTGGACTTCCCTCTCGCACGGCAGAAGAATCTGAACTCCCGCCTGTATAGGAACGGCCGAATACCTCCCTTGCCGAAAGGGTACAGCCAAGCGTTGTCAAGTGTCATCAAAGCAATGTTGAACCTAAACGTAAGTATAATATCATACGAGGGGTGCACACCGCGGTCCTTGTCTGTTGTATAGCTTATACAACATCCCTTTGCAGCCCGCGATGAGGCCCTCGGCAGCTCAGCTTCTCCAACACGAGCGCTTAGAGCTCGTTTTCAAGGTTTCAGAGACAGAAAAGATGTCAGTTTGTATCGCAAGACTCGTGAATCATTCTAAATGGCTTTTACAGGCTCACTACAGTGAAATCACACAAAGTAGCTGTCGTTACGAAAGAGCGAGAAGTCGCTGCCCGCGAGACAGCCCTCGCAGAACGGGAATCACGGCTAGCATCCATTGTCTCCGAAAAGGACCATGAAATTGTCCGACTCCGCGAGCTCTTGGGACAGGCAGAGGCCCACTCAGAACAACGGCTGCGTGATGTGCGAAAACGCATGGAGGAAGTGATGGCGCTGCGTGAGGAAGAGCTCGAACAACATGTGCGCCAGCGTGATCAGGAGCTATTTGCATGGTGGACGGCAAGAGAGCAGGAGATACGGGCAGGGATGATGAAGGAACTAGAGGACAAGGTGAATTGGGTTCGAGGGAGGGAAGAAGAGCTTAAGGCAGAGCAGGGGAAGCTGGATGAAGCCAGGAAAGATTTAGAAGTGAAGTTGAAAGCAGTGGAGGAGAAGGCTGCAAGCGAAGCTAAAGGTTCAGACTATGTTTTGCACACTGTCCAGTTGCTGATTGCATCAACTATAGGTCGCAAAGACAAGACGCCCCTAGAGGAAGTGAAAAACCTCCTTGCACCTCTCGCGCAGATGGCTCAAGATAGTCGCCTCCGGTCTGCCCAACGGAGGTCGCAGGACTATTCCTTCATGAACACAACCGATACGCTCGAAACGCCGGTTAGCCGCGCCGTGAAACCTGTCGTACCTTTTTCGGCGATGAAAGGTGTCATCTTGACAGACACTGGCGAACCTATAGCAACACCTACTCCAGCTCAGTTCACTAAGCTTTTCGTCAAATCACCAAAAGTGAATATCGAGTTTGCCAAGATATTTGACTTTGACGAGGGGGGTGAGACCGATGCAGAAGACGGGGAAGGCGACGCCGACTTGCCCCCTTCCCCGTCGAAACGAGAACGAACCAGTCCCGAGATGACTGCCTCAGCCTCGTCAGCAAGAGACCCGAATGCTGTCCCCCCCACACGTCTACGCAAGCCGTCCATCCGAGGATCTGTTCGACGCGCACCTCTCCGGAGAACTGCAACTCTACCGGCATCTGCATCCGACCCTACAGGATTCGCATCATCATCACGACCCTCGAAATCAACAACCTCACGAACACAGTCCACAGATGCTTGTATGACCACAAAGACAGCACCCCCCGCACCGGTGGAATATGATCTCTCTGATGAAGAAAATTTACCGAGTCCATTCCTCAAGCGCATTGAACGAGCGATAGTTCCTGCAACATTTCGGTCAACAAAACGTTCAAGCACTGGCAACCTCTTGCGCGTCGTAGCAGCTGCGAACAATGCCAAGCAGGGGAAGCAAGCTCGCACCGCAGGTATGATGGGTCATGACACTCGGCCGTCGCTTGCAGGTGCTCGGAAGGCGAGTGAGGATGCACGGAAGGTATTGTCACGGTCATGACATGTGGTGTGTTGTGGGCTGCTATGGATTGAATTATTATGTTGTATTGCATCGATATTGACGATATTATAACGATAACCTTTGGTTGGTGAGGGTCGCATAGGTAGCCAAGACGAAATTATAACGATCACGATCATCATTTCGCTTAAGCACAGTGCAATATCGAAATCCTGCCTAATCCTGCCCCCTCTGAACGATGGGTAGTACCGATGACCAACGAAGAACTTGCAGGCTCGGCTGGCCACTGCCTGAGGGACAATCACACAAGAGTACGATGTTTTGAATAAGGTATTTGGATAAGTGCGCAGCGACCCCCACTGTTTTAAATAAATTGATTACCTATGATAACACCCCCCTTCTTACCTAATTGTCGACTCGTGGTCTTCGTCCCAAACCTCTGACGACAAGTCTTGAAGTTCGAAGCTTTGAAACGCTTTCGAAAGACCTTTCGCTCCCTCCATTCCCAAGTGCGTTCAAGAAGTCGCGCGATATGCCTGCAGTAGTCAACGGTATAGCTACCAACTCCAATGCCAACGGAAAGGCCATTAAATCCAAAAACCAGCTTCGGCGAGCAAAGGCAAAAGAAAAGAAAGTCCTTGCCGCCCAGACAACACCTGTGCGTTTCATATTTAAGTTGGGATTCAAAACGGTGAATTTATAGCATCGAATTATGCCTGCAGGAACTTAATGGGAACTTTGACACGATGAAGCAAGAGGAGGATGGGCCTTGGGGCAATGTTGAGTACGTGATTGAGCAGCTGGATGTCAAAGATCCGGCTCTTGTGGTCTTCTCCGACATTTTTGCACGTTTCCAGGCTCCTCAGGACTATGCAGAGGTGCGTCGTATAGTGTCCGCCACCTCCAGTCTTGGTTCACGCAAGATACTAGGCAAAGGATTCGGAACCCACAAAAGGGGAGGTTATTTACTCAGACGATGATATGGAATCAGATGCTGGCTCAGACGCAGAAGAGAAGAAACCTCTTTCGAAAAAGAAACAACGCAAGATGGCGCGCTTGACGATTGCAGAGCTCAAGCAACTGGTGGCGAAACCCGAAGCAGTCGAATGGACGGATCCTTCAGCCGCTGACCCAAGATTATTGCTCCATCTCAAGAGTTACCGCAATACTGCTCCTGTTCCTGCGCACTGGAGTGCAAAACGAGATTACCTGCAAGGGAAACGTGGTATCGAAAAGCCACCATTCCAGCTCCCTTCGTATATAGCAGATACGGGTATCGCGACAATGAGAGATGCAGTCAAAGAGAAGGAGGCTAACATGTCGTTAAAGGCCAAAACTCGTGAGCGGGTGCAGCCAAAGATGGGCAAGGTCGACATCGACTATCAAAAGCTGCACGATGCCTTCTTCAAGTTTGCAACGAAGCCTGTGGTTACTGGGTTTGGCGAGATGTAAATTCGTTTGAGTCTTCAATTTCACTTTCACTCATTCCCTTGCTTGCCAGGTACTATGAAGGGAAAGAGTTTGAAACGTCGCTAAAAGAGAAACGACCAGGAGATTTGTCACCAGAGCTTGTTGAAGCATTATCGATCCCGCCACTCGCACCTCCTCCTTGGTTAATTAGCATGCAAAGGTTTGGTCCTCCTCCGAGCTACCCGACTTTACGGATCCCTGGTCTCAATTCACCCATACCCGAGGGGTGAGTGCAGCACATGTCGACGAGTTCGAGGTCATTGATCACATTTTAAGGGCTCAATGGGGTTTCCATCCTGGTGGCTGGGGTAAGCCACCATTGGACGAGTATAATCGCCCTCTATATGGTGATGTGTTTGGTGTGTTGCCGAAAGTCACTGATACGAACGTACGTCAAGAAGTTTGGGTCAAATGCCTTCTTACACTCTTCTTCACAGATTGGTGAGCCAGTTGACAAGAATACATGGGGAGAACTAGAGCCAGAGGAAGGCAAGTTCATTTTTTCATCCATATTGTCACAAATGCTGAGAGAACCTGCAGAGGAAGAGGAGGAAGATGAAGACGAATCGGAAGAGGAGGACGAGGAAGAAACTACTGAAGGAGCACCAGTCGACGGCCTTCAGACACCTTCCGGAATGGAAACACCGTCCGGCATGGCCAGCGTTGTCTCTACCGTCGCCGGGGGACTTGAAACACCCGACTTCTTGGAGCTGCGGAAAACATCAACTAGACATCCATCAGACGCCTCGGAGAGTGGACCACGGTCGTTGTATCAGGTGGTACCGGAGAAACAAACTTCCGTGCGTGGGCTCATGGGTAGTGAGCGTGGGTATGACGTCAGCCAAGTCACCAATCCGCAAAACCTTCCTGTGCTTGGGGAAGAGCGGGGAACGAAGGTATATCAATTATTTTATTCAATATTCTAACAAGAATATTGATCACTATTACAGCGTAAGGCGAATGGTGTCGACATTTCTATTGATGCAGGCGAGTTGGAAGGCATATCGGAAGATGAGCTACGGCGAAAGTACGAGCAACATTCACGAGGTTCTGCAGGCGTGACGGGATCGAAAGAAGACTTCTCAGACATGGTGGCGAAGGAGATGGCGAAGAAGAAGCAAAAGATGGATCGCGAGCGAGATTCAAAGAAGGGCAAGGAATTCAAATTTTAGTTTGGCCTCCCTTGTCTGCGCGATTCCTTGTGTACATTTGCTGTTCTCCTGCAGGCTTGTCTAGTATCAGTTTACCACTATTTCTCTTTGCCTTTTGGCTTCATCATTGTGAAGCTGTTTCCAGCGCCAGGGCATTGATGCCAAATTTGATGGGAGTTGAGTGCGCAGCATAGGTTTATGTCAAGGTTGTGTGAAGTGTAGGCTGTGCTTGAGCGCCTAGTGTACTCTCTGATAAATCTGCTTGCAGTTGTGCGCAAAAGTCATTTGAACTAGGCACGCGGCGCCTCCCCTTCCACTCGTTTCTTTCTCTTGCCTTGGATAGCGTTTTCTTCGAGGAATGTCGCAAGTGAAGATGTAAGTTCTCTGACTCCTACCAGTGCCGCCGCTCAACAAGTACCTTTAGCGCACTTCAGCCACCTCCAAATGTCGATTTTGTCGTTGGTCAGTGCGAAAACTCTTATGCTGGTACTTTTTTTATGACACAATACTCTTAGGCTATCCCGGCATACCTCCGGCTGCCAAAGATCGTCCTCAGGCAGCAGTTAAAGGTGTACGTGCCCACTCTAAACAACAATTAGGTTGCCTTCTTATATCTATTAGGCCGTCGAAGTGCGCGTGGGGCCCCAGGGCGTCAAAGCAAAATGGGTCCGTGTCGAGCTCAAGAAGATCGAGACACTCCCTGGCGGTGGCCAAACGAACTCCTACTTCGACTTTGTTGGCTCAAGTCCGTTAAATCTATGGCAGTCAAGTGAAGAATATGGGTTACTGCAGTCAGTGAGTGGTGTAGCCTGTGTAAATACGTCGGGGGCTGAGAGCCGGCGACAGCAAGACCTCCCGTTTCATATTCGTATTCCTGAGTCTATCCCGCCAAGCATTGCCCTTGAAAGAGGCGGTGAGTGGCTGCGCAAATACAACCCCCTGTTATCTGATGATGTATTGCATAGCTGGCATCCGCTATGAACTTGTCGCGACTGTTTGTACTCTTGGGAAAAAGTGGGTCTTCCAGTCAGACATTCGGTCGTGTGAGTTGACTTGCCATCTGCAGAGGTTTCTTCCGCCGCCGTAAAACTGTTGTAACATCCCAAGCCACGACTATCATTATCGATAAGCACGAACTCCACTCAACGTGGCCTGTATATGCGCAAACAGATACACGCTCGGTCACCCAAGATGGCGTACACCTCACAGCGGAGCGCCAACGAACATGCTTTGGACCAGGCGACCGTGTATCTGTCATGGCTATCCTTAAATCCGACTCAGTGCATCCAGTTGTCCTCCGTGGATTCGAGTTTTCTCTCAAGGAAACAACCATATTCCGTGCTGGAACTCAGGCTGGTGGTACTAGCAAGCGCAGTGGTCCGCAGGTCAAAGTTGGGCTTGTTGGCGAGCAAAAGGTTCCCCTCAATGTCACGTTGTTTGGTGGCATGCAGCACAAGGCAGAAGTCGGGTGTTTGATCCCGAATACACACACCACTACCACGCTCAACGCTGCGAGGCATATTGATATAACATATGCGATCGTAGTCAAAGCGTGGTTTGGTTCGATGCAGGCGGTTACAATGGAGCTTCCTGTCATCGTCTCGAATTGGCCAAGGTGAGGACCTCTATTTATATTTCAATGGTAAATATCTAACTGAATTACAGGAGTGTGTCCGAGGAAGCCATTAGGTATGTGATGCTGGCTGTTCTTAATCTAATCCATACTAAAAGCATCTCAGGCGTATCGGTGTTGCCCCCAGCCTTTGTATGACTACCCCGTCAAGCAATGCACCAACCGGCCCCACACCCACTCGCCCTCTCACCGGCAACTCACAGACGTCCGACTACAACTCCTCCGCTCAGGGGCATGGGCGCAATCCCCTGACGCCTCCGGCCTCATCCATCCAGTACAATACCGCTCCCAGCGCTCAGAATGGCGACAACCAGCATGATGATCTTGAAGTGGACGAGCTCGGCGCTCTTCAGAGCCGCCAGTCGCGTGTGCCAGGCACAGTAGATCATCCAGGCTACGGGTTGCCAGCGCCAAATCCCATGGGCAGTATTCAGGAGCACAGCGCCGCTGCCGCGCGTCCTGTCGGTGGCTCGGGTCGCAGACGGCGTGGATCAGCCACTGCTGTAGGGACACAGAACCGCTTCACAATCACTAATATCAGTGATCGGGATGCAGAGGTACGGGAGGCTGTGGAACAAGCACAGATGGCTGCAAGACAGCAGCAGCCGACGTCGCCGACTAGGGGTCAACGTGGTTGGCTCACTGCCGAGGAGGAAAAGAAGAAGTTGTATGAGAGTGCGAGGGCTAAGGTTGAGCAGGTCCAAGGTAGTGCTGCCATGGCCCCACAATCCAGTACCAGTGAAACAGTGAGTGGATCCTGCTTATATTCCAATCTCCTCCGCTAAACTTCCTCGTAGTCCCCACAGCCGAAAGGCTCCCCTTCGTTCCGTGCTGCCTGGCCAACAGCAGAAGAAGAGAAAGTCCGTCTGTTCGACAAAGCTCAAGCCACTGCCAAACGCACTCAAGCACTTGGCGCCAACTCAGGCCACAGCCGAGAGAGTTCAGAAACTAACGGCTCTCCCGGAATCTCGAAACCGTCTCGCAGCGTCAGTGCTAGTATGTCCGCAGGTGCCGCCCTCTACCAACACGCGGTATCCTCCATGAATAAGAACCCCACGAGTGACACGAGCCCCAATGCTAGCGCGAATGTCAGCCCCGCGCGCTCTCCCCACCCACCGTCACCACCTGCTTCGAGTTCCTCCAAGATCGTTCCACACTACCCGTCCGCCGAAGAGGAGAAGGCTGCATTGCAGCGATACCATCAGGCCAAGCTTGCCGTCGACCGGAGCCAGAACACTCAGTACGCGACTCGCGAAGGAATCTCGTCGTCGTCAGCACCCGTCGCCTACGATACTCTCTACCCCTCATCCAGCATATCTCGGAGCGCATCCTACGGTGCACAGCCAAGTGGGTCTGATATGCCTCCGCCTTTTGATGGGCCGAATGGCCAACCACAATATCTGAATGAAAAAGAGAAGCTGAGGAGACACCACGAGGCACAGGATGCGGCCGCCTTGGCTGCACAAAGTTCGTCTGCTCCTTTGGACACGTCACCCTCATACACCGCCTCCCCATCATACTTCCCACCTGGACAATTAGCTGAAACTAGCGGTCTGTCAGAGAAGGAACTACTCCGGCGAAGGTTTGAGGAACAAGACGCAGCGGCACTTGCCCAGCAGCAGCCTCACTCTCCCCCTCCACGGGCCGTCAATGGCTCACGCCTTCCACCTCCCCCCGTTCCATCGTCTGTGAGTGGCTCCAGACCACTGACTGCAGCCGAGGAGAAGGCACAGCTGCGTGCCAAATACGCTGCCGAGGAGCAACAGGCCAATGGCAACGGATCTGCGTCTGCATCAGGCTTCGTTTCTCACCACCCACCGCCATCGAGTGCCGTTCCCTCGTACCCGCCCCCTCCACCACCACTCATGCCGCGTCCGCCCGCCGAGTATATTCAGGAAACACAGGAGGAGGACGCTCGCGTGCGGTATTACGACAGCATAAGCATGGGAATTGATAATTCGCCTATGCGGGTTGGGTCCCCGCTGGTGAAACCTGGGATACAGCTCGACATCCGCCCGTTCACGCCGTTCAGCGTTGGGCTGTATGACCCTAGCAGTCCCGCAGCACAGCGGCTTCCACCACCTCCCTTGCCGCCGCAGAATTGATTTCTACTTGGAGTTATGACCATCTCAACGTTCTATTTCTTGGATATTATTGCGAGCTATTAATTCATTTTCCTGATTCTTCCCGATTGTGCCACTGACAAGTCGGTCAGTGTATTTCTGTCTATCGTTACATTTTTTCGACGTATTACAGCACTACATATGACAGCGACGATATAATAACACAGTGGTAGCAGCCGTATCACAATAGCTCTACAGAGTTTTGACATTCCTTACACATATGTCACCCATCCTACTATCTATTCATCTTTTCCTCTTAGTCCTACCACCTGTTCCCACTGATGATGATGTCGATTCTGTCGCACCCGAGAGTAACCCAACATCCGCTACGTCTGATTTACGCTTGCGGCCCCGTGTAACGTTCGCATTTTGATTTGTTTGCATCAAAGAAGTAGCCATGTCCACACCGCCATCCTGCGAAGCAACCCCGTCGAGGAATGCATGCACTTGTTCACTCGGCACTTTTTTGTCCACGCCTGCTCCACGCGCAGTCGATGAGTCCAGCTTGTCTGCCAGTCTTAGGCTCTCTATATCTGGGTCTTCCTCACCCTGGCCCGTATGACCAGCTGAACCAGACGCCAAATCCATCCCGTTCAGATATGACCCAATGTCGAAAGAATCCTGCCCCGAGCCTACCCCAAAGGGGTCGTCGAGGTGCTGGTGCGCAGCGTCCGTAGCGTCGAATGTCGTCGGATCAAAGCCAAGGCTCTGAATAAGGGAATGGATATTCGTCTCTAGCGAGTCGACATCTGTGTTGATCTCGTGTGCTGAGGAGTAGGTCTTCTGCAGGTGATCGTCGTGTTCTGCGAAGGGCGCTAGGTCGCCAGCACCACTCTGCGGGAGGAGGGAGTATGAACCAGAGTAATCAGCCTGATACGCGGCAGGGTCGTAGGGCATCAATTGCGCTGGGTTGACGTTTGTGTGTTGCGGCAACTGTGGTTGAGGTTGTGATTGCGGTTGGGGCTGGGGTTGGGGCTGGGGCTGGGACTGGCTGGGGAAAGGCTGCTGCATGATAGACTGTGGTAGGATTCCTTGCGTATGACCGTCTCCCGGAAACGAGAACCCACCCCCACCAAGAGCCGCTATCAGCTTCTGCATTTGCACAGGAGACGAGAGCACCTGGGACAGTGCAGCGTGGATGAGAGCGTCATTCTGCGGGGAAGGAGGAGGGGATGTCGTGGTTAGGGAGGTGTAGGCGGGCGCAGAGACTGAGTGGTGGAGTGGGGCTGGGCGAGGGAATGAGGAATTTGGCGAGGTGGGTGAGGCGGTATTTATATTTGATGGATTTGGGTTGATGGCGTTGGCCGTAGGGGGGCTGTTAACGGGGGCGGTGTGGGGGTGTGGAGTGGTATTTGCATCTGCTGAGGGAGTTGGGGCATCATGGAGAGAGGGTTCAATGGACGCAAATCGGGGTGAGGTATTGCACGAAGGGCCATATTCAGATGGGAGAGCAGAAGGTGTGTCTAGAGATGCGAAAAAATCTGCAAGATCATGAAGACAGGGCGTCAGTGTCGAGGAGCGTATGCAAGGAAAGGACGAACCCATTTCAGACGACTTTGCACTATCTATGCTGGTCCTCGGTTGGTCCTCTATGATCTCAGTCACGTCCATGCCCTTCTTCGCACCACTCCCTACGCCACTGCGTCCATCGCCAATCATCAGCCGCTGTGGTTTCCTCGCTACGATCTCACCCCCCTCGTTGCCACCGACAACCCCACCACCACCACCTATATCATCCTTGCGTATTGGATTGTCTGCATGACCGAATACACCCGCAAGGAATTTGAGGATACGGTTAATGGTGTCCTGGTGTTTCTTGTGCCTCTCACGGGCAGCGATAGCTTCCTGCCAGAGATGTTGGTTGGAGGACTTGAGGTCATTGAGGTCAGCAGAAATGGCAGCTTGGTGTCTTTTTATGGCTTGAATACCATTCACAATCGAATTCATATCCATCAACTGGCCAGGGGTCAAGGCGCCTGCGGGCGCAGCCGCGCTCATATCTCTATTGGGAACTTCAGCAACAGCAGCAGCAATGTCAGAAGCCGATGTTGCAGTCTGCTTTTTGCGCTGGATAAGGCAGAGCATATCCGGTTGGCCACGGAGGAAATGGGGGTGCTCGAAGTTCCAGAATTCGGTATCGGAATCCGAACGGAGCACGCCTTGTTGGAGATGAGGAATTTTGTGGAAGCCGTACATGTTGAGCTGGCGGACGAATGAGGAGAAATTCTTGTGTTTGAACCAGCGTCCTAGGACTTCGCTTGCGAAGCGCTCTTGGTCTAGAACTATGGGAGTGTCAAGTTCGTCGAATAGAGAAAGACTGGCACTAGGACGTACCGAAGAAGGAGTCACCGGCGTCAGACCATCGGATGAGATCGTGGTCTGAGGGGTCATTAACCATCCTATAGAGCAAGATGGGTGTAGGATGTTGAGACCACAGCATCTGGAAGATTAGATTGACGAAAGACGCACTCGTATAGCTTCTGGAGAAAGGCGGGCACGAGCTGACGTGCTGGTCTGTTCAGATGGGACGAGCTGGCTCTGGGAGCTACGGCCAGATACATTTGTTGGTCTGTCATATTGTAGTCGATGGAAAAGAGAACGGAGGGGACTTTGGTTTTGCTTTCACAATCTCGGCCACCAAGGGCCAACACGTCAAAACATTCAAATCATAGCCCTCAATACATAGTCTAACTACATACGTCACACGCGCTTAATTTTTATTGCAAGAAGTTTACAAGAGTTTACAAGGCAGCTGCGTACGAAAGACGGGTACGTGCCAGCAATGCCTGTGAATCATATGTCCTAAAAACCATACGGCTCCAGCCGTCTGATGCACTTGGGCTGTGGTCTCTTCCATTCCCCTTTGTTTGGGTCTGGCCACAAGGGGTCACTGTCCCGTTGGGGAGTTTTGTCGTCATCGGGTCCCGGGAACCCCAAGGGCCAAGTAGGCAAGTAGCACATCTCCTACGCGACGAGATCAGTTATTTCACAAACAAGTTACTCATCGACATTGATTTACCTCAAAGCCACAGGCCGGTCGGCATGTAACCCACACGTTCCAGTCTAACCAGGAGATCAACCTCGTTATATCCTCCTTCCACTCGCCCATGAGAGCCTCTAGGCTGTCAGCTTCAGGGCGTTGGTCTGGAGGATAAAAGGAGTCAACTCCAGCAATCATTCCAGAAGCCCACATCCTCGTGGTGACGCGGCATATTTCACGCGTAGTTTCCCGTACTGCCTGCAGGAGCAAATGCTCAGAGGGCATCATTGTGGTTCCGTGAGCTGCGATGAAGGCCATGTGCGATGTTGCACAATCCCGAAAAATTGGTGCTGCCCACAAATTTGTCGCGTCGGTAGTGACAGTGGTATTGGAAGGCAGGGCTGCAAAAACGATGTGATGCTCCAGCACCGTGCGCAGCTGTCTCTGAACTTGTCGCGCGCGGTCAAAGATCGGCCCATCGTCCAACGTTATGTTCAGAAGGTGCTGTATCATCCCAAGGCGGCTGGCATATCGGTCAACTACCACCTGCAAAACCGTCTTCCAGTCAATGCCGCTGGTTGTCACGGGTGGTCGTGATAACGCCTGAGCTAGCCTGTCTTTGACACGCTCTATATCCTTTGATGAGATCCCTCCCACTCGATGATCCCACCGCTCCAAGCCTACACGGCGCGACACCAGAGAGGGAACAAGAGCGGTGTCATAGAACGAGACGAGCCCAGAGAAGTCAAGTATAATGCGGGTTTCCCCTGGATGACGTTCGCGCCACGAAGCAGAATGCATTACTTCATAAGCGTGATGCACTGATGTCCGAGAATAAATCAGACCTATATCAAAACATGGATAATGGCTCACCAGTAGTGGGGTCCTGTGGCAGATCCGTAGGCGAGCGTTTCCCGAGGCGAGGGCTCTCGAGGTTCAAGAACGAAACGACCTCCATGTGAGAGGTGAAGTCGCAGACCATGATTTCACTTTAAACGTCGTCAATAACGAACGACCAAGGAACTACGTATGGGTGCGCACAAATTCATCTCCATCCTATACATCACAAATGAGCATCGGGCATTGACGAATCTAATATCCAACGAACCTCACAAATCCATTCACGCCATATTTTTGACCCCATTTACAGAGATCTTTAATGCGCTGCTCTTCGTTGTGCAGCCACTCGGGCTTCATTTCCGACCACGCCACGAGATCTTGGGTGTCCATGGTGCCCTCAGGGAGTTTTGTAGCGCCGCTTCCATCAAAATAGAGTACTTTCATCGGCCGAGTGACTCTAAGGGTGAGGTGCCAGCACCCTGTTTCGACTGACCCACGGCAGAAAATCATGGAGTGGTCTGGCTCTACAGCCACCCACTCCAGAGCAGCTGGCATATGGGGACCGGTGATTGCTCCATGGTAGAGGAGAGTGCCCACGGGAACAGTCCCTGGGACTATCGTATGACCTGCATGACGTAGACAGTGAGTCGCAACAGCTGCGCGGTGTTCCGCAGATTCAGACATACCAATACGATGACGTGTGTTTGCCCAGTGTTGAAGCAGGGAGTTGGCCGTTTCAAATACCAGATGGCCAGTCGTATTCACTGCAGGCGCTTCATTAAGATCCCATTGCCCAATATCATGTTCGGCATCCGAACAAGGTGCATGGCTCGACAGTGGTATTTGCGCAGTCAGAACCCGTTCGAAGGCAAGGAATAGCCAAACGACTGCCGCTTTCCTGATAGACAGCATTTCGGCAAAGGGCAAAGAGCCTTTGTGACTTCAGTTGTATCTTTCGCGCTCAGGACTTGGTTAGGGATTAACAATGACTGACTTGAGATTACTGATAAGGATGGTTTGCGCTGTCATGCGTTTAGACTGCATGAGCCACTTTATAGGTTTGATTTCCAGTTGCGACGCAGCTCGGATCCGAGTCACGTCTCGTGGCTATTGTACGGCGAATCAGATAGCGGTCAAAATGCGAGGCTTCCGGAGCAATGTCAACGCGGGCAGAAGACCACCTTCATTCATTCTTCAATAATTCAGGGTTGTTTTGCAGGCTTGCAGCCATCCATGATGAGGATGACGATAGAAAGTGGAGAGAAAATGGACGGAAATTCGAATGTCATTTCCTGCAAACCACCGCAATCATGATGCTGCGCAAGTGGGCGCAAGTGACATTGATAGAAGGGCGACGATCGGAAGAAGTACCTATAAAACCTAATAGTCTTCTGACCTGGATCATCAGAAAGGAATGGTCGTAACGTTTTATTTTGGCCATCCAATGGATCAAGTACGTCACGGCGAACTCATCCTCTACCGTACTTGCCTTTTGCTGACCATTCTCTCATAGCTCCACGTTAGTCTAAGCAGAACTGGAAGTTCTGGCTCTTGTCGGTGGGATCATGTACTCCTGAAGTGCGACGTGCAAAATGCGAAGCTTGCATGTTTGTTCGAACCATGCGCGCACACGAGTGAGTGAATGTCGATGCTATCAGTCAAATCGCTCACATATATTCTGTGCTTTCTGCTCGGAACTAGCTTCCACTTCGTTGCGGCGGGAACTCGGCCATTCGCCAGTCTCGCATGTTTGAAGATGCCTGTCGAGGAAAAACAGCAAGCTTACGACATTACTTACAGCACTGCCGGTTTGGGGCATATGTGCTCCCTCTACTGGAGGTCACGTCGACATCCTTTCTTGCTAACCCTTTCCCTCTTTCCCTACGTAGCACACATTTGACTTTTGCCTTTTTACTTTCGCCAACTCATGCTCAAAACATGGAGAACAATCGACGATCCCCCGGCCCAGCATAACCCCGGAGGCTGCTCATGTGCCTTCCTGCATCAGTACCAATCGGCTTCGATCCTGTCTTGGACTTCTGCAGAAAGAAAATTTATGTTTGCGAGACATAACAGCTAGGTAGTTTTCTAGGTCCCTCGAGGAACTGTTAAGCTCTCGGTGCAAGCATAGTCAGGACATATCAAGCGAGATCATCTTTTGTGCACTGGCCGGGACAACCTCGTGCATCACGAGTTTGTGTTGCCGAATTTGCGATCTATTATTCGCATCAGGCGGCACGTCCGCAGTATCATTTGTTGATTATCGGACGCCCGAAGCAGCCGCGTGTACATGGATCGTTTGAGTTTTCAAAGAACTTCCAATTGAGCAACTCAAATGATCCGTGTACTTCGTACTGTGTCAGATTTCAAGTATAACTTGGTGCAATACAAAGACTCACTGGCAAGATACTCGCACCAAGAAATCGATATCTTTGCCTTATGATCTCCTGCCACCGGTGTATTGACTTATCGCAGGTCATGATCAAGACTTTGGATCATTGTGCTCATCAGATGCCAAGTTCCGGATAAGTTTTGGATCGCGGTATGTCACTGGAGTCTATGCAGACCAAATGTGCCCAAACACCATGGTAACTACATGGTATTTCGAAATTCGACGTACTACGTACGTCCACGTTCGTACCTCTGGCGCTCAAGAGTCTACGCTCGTTCGATATGACGAAAAGGTCAAACTCATTCGTGCGGATATCAGATGCAGTCCAGACTGTGACACCCACGTGCAATCCACCAACGCGAGCAGAAGAGCAGTTTCATTCGTCTATAGTCACGGCGATAATTGTGTTACAGCCATCCATACGTAGTATTTATACACAAACCAACCAACGTAGGAATGCAGATAGAATTGGACAAGGAAAAGAAAAGAATAGCAATATTTCCTGCACTGGCCCTCTGAAAACCACTGCAACTTCGCCCAGGTGCTTGCCCAAATGGGGGGGTGTGAAAAAAGTAAGTAAGGAGCGTGACATTGGAAAGAAGCACGACGAGGGGTATCATCGGAAAGGAATGGGTTGTGATTGTCTGGCAAATAACCTGGCGCATGGTGTGGCAGAAAAATAGATAGACAACAGAAAGGAATAATTTCATTCGATATGCAACAAAGCAAGGTCGTGAGCGGGGTCGTGATAGTTCTTTTAATTGAAGGTGCCCATGCTGGACGGCGGTGTTTGCTGGTATACTTGGTACATATATGCCTGGTAGAGGTGCTGCGGTACATTCTGAGTATTGAATCCTGGCTGACCCATGTTAAGGATGCCACCGGGTGCGAGATTGGGAGATTGATTGCCGTATGGCATGGCAGAGACGGGGGTGGGAGTCATGGAAGGAGGAATCGAGGGAAGTCCGCCATTACGACGAACAGCAGAAGTACGAGGACTGCTAATTTCCGGAGAGCGAAGGGCAAAGGGATTAAAAGGATCTGAGACGGGCGAGAACGCAGACTGGGGCTGAGAAATACGGCCGCGTGGCACAGGAGCTTGACCATATGCAGGATCAATGTGCAGTTGCGGGGGCCCGGACTGGGGGTTCTGCCCACCCATCTGCAACGCAGCCATCATCGAAGCCAAACCCTGATCATTCGAAGGGTAGCCTGACGGCAGGCCAGGCACTCCATAGTGATTCTGGCTCTGACCCTTCTTGCCAGGTGGACCATTAGCGGTGTACGTGGGCTGGTAGTTTGGGATGGGAAGACCAACTTCTTCAATCAGCCGACGATAAGCCTGGGTTGCGATAACCTTCAGCTCGATTAATACACGTTTGGTGGCCTCAATATAAATTGGCTTGTCAACAGGATCGATGAACGGGCTGGTCAAAATCTTGTGCACAACCGCAACACCGTTCACTTGATCACCCAACACGTCAGTAAGAACATGGTCCCCGGGAGACGAGAACAACGCCTGGACGATTTGACGAGATGCTTCGAATTCGATTTTCTGGTTGACAATCCTGAGAACGGTTAAAGATGCCAATTTGTGGGTGCAGAGATGCGATAGGTGAGGCGTGAAACGAGGCGCGAGGAGGTTGTACCGCGAAGGGAAAGAAGAAGTGTCAAGCAACCATGTCAGCAGCAGTGCACCATTGGGGTTAGTCGCCAGAGGAATGGAGTTGAGGATCACAGCAGTAGCAATACGACGTTGCTGGCTCAACGTGATATGAGGGCTCTCAAGACACGCTCTCATGCTGCGCGCACCGAAGCGACCTTGTGCGATCTCCCACATACGATCGACCATAGCGTCGAAGATAAAATCGTTGGCAGGAGCCCCGAAACGCAAACAGCACCTGATAGTCGCTCGGTCATCGATGTTGCGGAAAAAACAAACGATACACTCACTGAACCACATAGTTACCAAACTGATCAAGCAACAAGGGCGGAGCATAAGCCCTCAAGTTCTGCACGATGAGCCCAACCTCCTCGGGAGTCTGGACACACTCGATGATCTTCTGTGCAGCCCAAGTACCGTTCTTGTGAATGCCAATCATCGCCAAATGAGGCGTGATTCTCTCGAGCATCGCGAACCGCGGCACAGCAGAGCACTTTTCAAACAGCTTTTGTACGACCTGCATCATACCCAGGTGAGCCACGGCAACCGGACTCGGCGTGGGGATACCCACCGTGTTGCCCAGCCAGTCCGAGGCCAAGTCGACAATCTCGCCATCCAAAAAGTCACCAGCAACTTGATCAGTTTCCTCCACGGTCATCGTACCAGAATCCAGCCTCTTCCGGAGTTCGCGCAATTTTGAAGCATCCCAGCGCCTGTTGTTTGGTCTCTCAGAGACAAGCGGAATCGTTGTATAGTACATCGTCGGGGGGCGGAACTCTGCGAACGTCACGTCAGAGGCCCCCTGAAATCAACGACCAAAACAGCAGAGACGCACCGGACAACGACTGAATATCATAATCAGCATCAGGGCTACCAGCCGTTAACTCCTTCATGATCATCTGCTGCTCCGTGACCGAAGGCATCCATCCAGCAGGCTTCGACAAACCATCAGAAGCATACGCGATATTGTGCATGCCAGCACCAATCATGCTAAGCAACAGATTCGAGCGGTAGTTTTCCACTTGACCACCAAGCACCTGCTGGTCTGCTGGGATAGTAGACGCGCCCTTGACGCTGCGAAGAGCGTGGATAGTGGCTCCAACACTCAAATCACCAATACCCTGCACCGCAACACTCGGACTTTCATCTTGCGTCCCGTTACCTTCTTGACCGTTCTTGACAGGCACCTTCGCAAAGCCGATACGGATAGCACCGACATCGCTCCCAAGAACATCACGACCATTCAAAGCCTTCCTGGCACGCACAGCGTCATCCAGACGTTCAAAGTTGACTACCCAGACGATTAACATCAGAACACCCCACGGCACTCAACACTCACTGAATCCACAATTTTTGTGCGTCAACACCCTCGCAGATTCGATAGGTCCATAAGGGCTGAAAACACTCAAGATCGTCGCAGGCGTCGTAGTGCTCGGAATAGACCCAATCCACAGCGCACGAGTAGGCGTAGACTGCAGCTGCGCGTCCAATCCGCCAAGGCCAGGGCTGCTGGCCTTACTCAAACCACTAGGAGACGTGGCGCCAGAGCTCGTAACAGTCGTGCCCTTGGCAGGGGCAACAGGAGCACTGTCCGCCTTCCCGAAGCCAATGCGCACGGTCTGCCCGTTCGGCATGCCGATATTCCCGCCTAGACGATTGAGCACATCATCTTTGGCCCGAATAGCATCCGCTTGATCAACGAAATTAACGAAACCGCACTCCTGGAACCAGCCAAATCATCAGCGTCTCGTCATCCAATCAACCTCGATCACGTACCTTCTCCGGCAAAAGCCTCAAACTCTCGATGGCACCATACGGCGCGAAGACATGAATAAGCTGCTCGCTCGTAACAGCACTATCCAAATTTCCAATCCACAACGACCGCGTAGGAGTCTGGATCTGCGAGCTATTATTCACATCGGTCTTCGGGGACACGGCCCTTCCCTGCGAATTGGGCGCAGCGAGGTACGACGACGCACGACTCAATTCGCCATTAGGGAAATGCACCGTCGGCGAAGACGCCCCTCGCGCACTCGACATCTTCACATCGCTCTTCAAAATCCCAGCTGGACTACCCAGATTCGAAAGATTCCCGCTCGCAGCTGCAAGATCGTTGAGATAGGGCGATTGGACTTCACTAGTCGTGGCGCGGCGTTGGAGGGTACGGATGGGATCATCGAGGGTTCCTACGGATATTGCTCTGGGCCGGGATGAAAGTGCACTCGCAGGTGTTAGATGGTCGCCCTGCTTGAATCCCTTTGCTACGTATGACGAGTGGAAGAGACTAGCGTCTGACATGGAGCCATCGTACAGACCCAACCGTTGACGCTCGTACGGCTGATTATCATGACCATCAAAGTACTCCTCTTCATCCTCCGCATTAGGGGTCGCAAGGAGAGACGAAGCACCAGACGAGCGCGTACGATACGGGTTCGAAACCGTGCTCGCCCTCAAGCGCGGTGGATTAGCCAGGTTCCCAGCAATAGCAGCCTGGGCTTGAGTCCTCAGCTCAGATATAGTAGCAGCAGGCGGGGGTCGGTGACTATCATCCAAGCCGAGATAATCCAGGGTATGAACATCAAAATCGTCGACCGAGTCTGCGGACGTAACGGAACGCAATTCGTCCAGAACAGGAAAGTTGGAGCCCGATCCGTTGGCGGAGGATAACCATGACGATGAGAAGATGGACGGGCCGAATGCGTTGGAAAGACCTGCTGAGGGTAGCGTTAACGAACCTGATCTCAAGCGGCTGTTGCGCTCGGAGCCGACTGATGTTTGGCCTGCTGGCGGAGCAGCCACAGGTGCGTTATGTCGGATGGTAGGACGTGTGGGTACGAGGATAGTAGGAGGCGTGTTAGCGGCCTGCCTCTGCTGCAACTGTTCCGCGAAGGATTCCGTTGATGGAGTAGCACTGCTTAGGGTATTAGATGCAGCAGCAAAACGCTGTGCAGCGAGATGAACATCAGAAGGAAGCGTTCCGGCACGGGCTCTCCTAAAACCCGGTGGATAATTAGAAGCGGGAGTGGTAGAATCATCACTGGGAGAAACGACGGTGTTGTTGAAGTCGTTTGGGGGAGAACCGTTCGGAGGAAGAGCGCGCAGCGCAGGTGGCCTATATCTAGCACCGTTCAGCCGTTCTTCCGCCTGGATCTCCCGTGCCCTGTTCACAAGCGTGGTAAACGAAGCAGATCGGCTAAAAATGCCAGGAAAAATTAGACGTACCTCTTTGCATATGCAGCTGAAGGGGCTGGGGGAGGTGTTTTTCCCGAGGAGACTCGTGAATAGGAGCCATTGTTGTCAGAGGCAGATAAAGACATTATAGGGCTTATTTTGGTGGAATTAGGATTAGCGTTGGGTGGATGGGATGATTAACGGAGGACTAGTCCGTTGTTTTTGTCGTGCAGATGATAAGAGTTGATTGCCCAAGCTGGACCTATGATTGAGAGCCTAGAACGAGCAGGGTCGTTTCGTTTTCGCGGTGGCAGTCGCGAAGCGGGGTCGAGACGTGAATTAGCCTAGCCTGTCACCAAAAAAAATCTTGAAAAAAAAGAACGGAATAAGAAAAAGCCAAAAAAGCAAAGTAAAGCAAGGATATTTGATGGACAGTCAGTCCAGAGAGGATGTACTTTAGAAAGCCTGGCGACTGGGGAAACCAGAGAAATATGCAAGTACTAAGTAAGATGCTCGAGTTGGGAGAAACTTAGAAAGAAATCCCACTCATCCTTTTCACACTCCGCAATTCTTCCCAAGCCATTAACATTTCTTTGTTAGTCTTTACGCCCTAGACTAGTTTCTTGTTCGTCCACTTAGCTAGTCACCGCCTTCAAGCGCAGCCATCTGACCATCTGATTGATCATCATTCGTTTAAACGCTTCATCATTATACTGAATGCGTACAAAAAGCGTGTAAACTATGAGTGGGGGGGCTGGGAGCTATAACGTACAAACGAAAAGGCAGGGCGAATGTGTATGCTGCAACCGACCCCTCGCCCGCAAAAGTAGGTAAAGGCGCGAAGCGAGGAGTCGACTGGGGAACCTAGGATACTTGGCGCATCTTTGCGCGAGGAGGTATATGGGTCGATATCTGATACAGCTCTAACGAACGAAGCTAGCAAAAAAGAGCACAAAAAATCAGTCCAGAACGAAAACTTGCAAGCAAGCAGTCAAGCAAAAGAGGGGGCTTGAGACCTGAGAAACCTTGCAGTAACGAGAATGAGTTGAGCAAATGCATATCAAAGCAGGATGGATGTCGGTCGAGTGCCGAATGTCATGGAGTGGCCCGGATGTCGATAGAGGCGGACCGTCGATGGAAGTGGCCCGAATGTCATGGATTGGCCCAAAGTCAGCGTCGCAAACCTCACGCATGTCTCGGCCCCCTCATCCGGGGCCGCACACCACGCGTACGAGCAACAGCATCCGCAACGCGTTTTGACCGTCTCAACGAACGACCATCTTTCAAACTCCTCGACTCCTCTTCCACGATCTCCACGTCCACATCCACGTCCGCGTCCGCGTCTTTATCGCATGAGTTGTCCGCGTTGTCATCACGTTCGCCATCCGCGTCTTGACAGCATTCGCCAGCATTTTGATCCTGTCCATCCATACGCACATCACCCTCACCCACCTCCTTCTCCTCCCAATCAGGACAAACACACAAAACTCGGAACATCTCCGCCTCCGTAGGACTCAGCGGCGGCTCTCCGCTTCCAGGTCCACTTCCATTTCCGAGATCAGCGCTTCCTGGTCCGTAATCGGTGCTTCGGGGTCCAAAATCGGCGTGCCCTGACCCAAGACCGGTGCTTCCACTTCCAATGCCAAGACTGGTGCTTCCGATGCCAAGATCGCTTTCAAGACCAGCACTTCCGAGGACGACCCCCCTCCCAAAATCAACAATCCCGCTCCCAAGACAAGCACTCCCGCTACCCGAAGCAGCATTCGGTCCTAATCCCGACGCAAGCGCTGCCAGCGCAATATCAAATGGAGGAAGCACAGGTTCTGCTTCTACATTTGCTTCTGGCTCGGGGTCTTCGGTAAGACTCCATACTTCGTGGACTTTCAGTATTGGTGTGGGAAGTGCGGGGCTGGTGGTAGACGTGGACAAGGACAGTGGCAGCGACGACAGATGCGACTCCAAAGCTGGTGAGGAATGTGAATGTGACTCTGGAGAAGATGGTGGGGCATACGATTCAGACCTTGACGAGGACGAAGAAGGCGCCGTCGACTGAGGTGGAGACAATACAGGGGAAGACGACCGGTTTCCCAACGATGCCCGTGCCAATGAGGAAGAAGACGACCCTTGACTCCCCACAACCCGCCCACCCTCAAAACACACCCCAAACTGGCCCAACATCCTCCCAGGTTTACTAGCCCTCCAAAAGTCCCTCAAGGCGCTCGGGAACCTCATCACAAGCTCGTCGCTTAGAAACACCTCCACGCTTGTTCTTAGCGTCTCGTCTTGAGAACAAGGCTGTTCTGCAGTTTTGGGACACCCTTGAGCCTGGGTTTCAGCACCCGACTGAGCCCTTGTCCGTAGAAACTCCCGCGCACAATCCAACGATACCCATATCCCCGCCACAGCAGAATTCGGATGATCAAACCGCACAGCGCTCGGTGGAAGAGCCGGGAGCGCACAAGGTGAAAACGCAGCAAGTAGAGGCGTAAGGTTCACAAAATCCGTGTCAAGCCTTCTCAAAAGCGTCCGCGTCGTATGTGCAAGGGGTGGGCGTAGAGGCAGCGTAGTCTGATACACCGGTATTCCTAGGAATTCAATTCAGTGCATGATGTATGCGAAAGGCAAAGAAGAAATGGGACGTACCTTCGACTTGCGTTGCACTCACGGGTGGATTGCAAGGCACGCATGTGTGGACGACTACTACTTGGTCTTTGCGTTCGGGGAGAGGCTCGGGATCCGCCATTTGGCAATCTGGACTTGATGTGGTCTCTGGTGCTGGTGATGCAAATCGTGCCCGCCGAGTTCCCTGTTCCCATTCTAGCTCGAGCTCGGCAATATGGACGCTGTCAGGGCCAAGCAGCTCTGCATCTTGCCAGTCCAACACGCTGTTCTTGCGCTCCAATGACGGTTTTTTCGCGTGCGTGACCCGAGAAGGGGAACCGTTGACTGGCAAAAACGCATCCGATGTATGCGCCTTTGGTGATACAGACGAAAAATGAAACGTGCTCGAACATGGGGATGCTGGAGAGGGTGTGAGTGGCGACATAGGAGGGAGTGGGAATGCGATCCACGGTGCAACCGTGGGTGAAAACGACGGCAATTCTGGAGCATCTTCCTTCTTCACTTCAACCTCGCAAGCACCTGCCCAGCCACTATCAAACTCCCACTCCCACATCTCAAGTTCCTCCACCTTGACCTCCGGTACGGCTGCATGGCGACTTTCATTTTCCCTCGTCACTGCGAACTCCAAACCAGACTCTGGGCATGAATATGAGCGCGCACGATTGAGATCGAGGTCCTCCCAAGCATCTAGCATGTCTCTCACGTTCTTCTCTTTAAGAGTTGCACCGATACTGAGATTCTCTCCCTCGTCTTCTACCTTTACGCTCACACCTCGAGATTCCTCTTCATCGCTTGAGAAATCAAAGTCGATATCCTCCTCGTGGTCAGAATCTGGCGGAGGAGTTGCACTTCCCCTAGATTGGTCGACGGGTGGTGGTGGAAAGACGAAATGAAGAGAGGTGCGTGTTGGAGGGGATACGGGAGTGTAACATGGGACTGCGATTGATCTGCGAGGGTAGGGTGGGAGGCAAGATGGTTCTGGATTGGGCTCTGCTGGTAACATGCCGACGTCTTCATCAGAGGAAGTATCGTGGGAGAGATCGATGATGTCAGTAGGACTTGAAGTAGTGGGAGAAGGTCGGAGACGAAGGGTGAGCTTGACTTTGGGGGGTCTTTCAGGTTCATCTTCCTCTTCGTCAGAAGAACTGGAGGCACTCTCTGCATAACCACTATCTACAGGACTGGAGCTGGGAGATGGACTGGCGCTATCTGAGGGTCTGTCAGTGGCACGACAGCGTCTTGAGATGAATCTTTTGCGTTTCTCTCCGCACTTTTCCATTGGATCGTGAGATTGCTTTCGAGGCTTTGTATTTGAATTGGAAGCGGGGTAATTCGAAAGGAGAATACCAGCACGAGAGAAAGGGCAGGGGACGCCACTAGCTTTTGAAAGATACCATACGATTGTGCCACGACGAAAGTTTGTGTGGCGTCCAGGAGGGACGTTTGCACACGTGGCGTCGAGGGGCTGCCTTTGTAGTGTTGCGCCTCCCACACGGGAATGGAGTGCAGGGACAAGATCGTCGTCTGCAGGTGTGCCAGAGAGGACGTGACGAAGAAGAAGAGGGTGATCTTGTTGAGTTTCACATCGGGAGAGATGATTTCGTATGTAAGTTGTTATTGCTTGCGACGCCGCAGAAACGCTAGGGCGTATGTGAGGGAAGTGAAGGGATAGAAGAAAGGAGTTCATACTTTTGACACACGAGGCCGAAGTTTAGAGTCATTTCCGCAAGGTCCTTGATCGTCATGGCGCGATTGTCCTATGAATGTACACGTGAAGACAGGGACAGGAAGGAGGAACAGGGACTGACCACGCTGAGGAAGCAACGACCGATAGCATGAAAGACCTTGCTAGTTGCGTCTTCTGGATGTAGCATGACATTTGGAAGTGGAAATATTGGGAATTGAGGCTGTTCAGGAGGATTTGAGTCAGGCTGTGGTACTGGTTTGATACGCCTTGGTTGTGGTGATTGACGAAGACGAGCGCTTGGTTTAAGGATTGAGTTATTCCTTATTCTTGTACCGTAATTGTGTGAATGTGAAGTATCAGACATTATAAAACATTAGTTGTAGGTCGACCAGCGAGGAAAGAGACTTAGTGAGTGGACGAGTGTGTTTGGATGGTGGTAAGAGGGAGAGAAGCGTTACACACCAAAAAAACCAGATTACTGCGTATCCCCCCCGTTTCGATCAAATAACGTAACCCCTTTTTTATCATGAAATCTCTATTTTCAGTAACTAAACTTTAATTTCACACGCTTAACAATTACAACCTCTCCGCCAAAGTCACGTGCTTAAAAATGCCGTCATAGCATCGACCTGGCTTATCATTCCCTTTGTTCTTGTCTTACATCCTATGTCACCTTCCACGTTCATCCTCAGCGCCTCTCTCAATCTCCCCTCACGGCGCTCCTCGTCAAAGCAGCAACCACGCCAAATTTATGTCCTTTCCCAATGTCCATAGAGCTATTCTGGCATTGGGCCAATCTCTCTTAGCCACGTTCCGTACACTAAAAACACATACTGGATCATCCCTAGAGAAATAAAGCTCCGGACCCGCATATCTCACACCAGCACAGGTCTCTCAAACCATATCTCACGACCTCAGCATCTTGGCGTGCTGCGGTACCCTCTCGGTGATCTCCTGAGTGCTACAATTAAACGTGTCCATGGGATAGAGCACTCCACGCCACCAAGACAAACGTGCGCAAATGACTCCTTTCCCCATGTCATAACTAGGGACAGAGCTGGGCTAGTACTGTCTAGATCGAAAACGCGAATAGGGTGTGTACTCCGTGTTTCGCTTTTGCACTTGGCGTTGGGGAACGCGGCTATTCTATGTAAGGAGATCATTTGATTAGACTAGTCTCCCTATAGAAGCAGGACAATCGTTCTCTGTATCAATGATGTCGGACCCATTCTTAATATACAAGCAAGGCTAGAACCATACTCAGATCGATATCGGTATATGCATCCTACGCTAAAACACCACCATGGAACTTCGGAAGCCCCTCATCAAAGTCTATGCACGTGCAAATTTATCAAGCACCGCCAGTCAGAGCACGCAACTCATGACGCAGGCCCTGGATGATCATTAAAGAGAAGGTCTCCGGTCTTCGCTTGAACAATAACGAAACTTGATACCGTATGTCCAATCACCTTCAGCATCTGCGCGGATCCCCAGATAGCAACAGCCGCTTTGATTGCTTTGTAGAGTGAAAGCAAATAGCCAGCTAGCGATCAACGGACATTAATATTAAAAACGATAGACCCTGTTGCAAAATAGAGAGCTGTGTAAATGTCATGGTGATGTTCGTGCTTCTGGATGGGCCTCGTCGAACCTTCTGTTCGGTCGCTGTTAAATTCGCTTTCCTGTTACAAGTCAGTACAATACAAAATGCCTAGATGAGTTGTTCCACGTATGTGCTGTAAAACCCCATCAGAGATCTCCGTTCTTCAGATGACTGCGATATCTCTGACGCGCAATGATATTATGATCCGAAGCCATTCTCTTGTATTCCCCACTGAGCTGCTGCACCAGCAAAAAAAAACGCCAAAAGGCTGTCCAACTTGACGCTCGCAAGTGAAACTCCGAATCAAGTGTTTCGTTTCCTCCAGCAGGATCATCCGAAGGAGACAAAGGCTCGGGCTGATCGTCTACGCCCTGCTGCTCGCCTGCAAAATCAGGCAGCTCGAGACCACGACGGTTGCACTGAAGAATGTCTGCCGAAGGGACTTGGAAGGCGCGAATCAGTCTGTCTCCTGTTGATTCGTAAATCTTGCCAAGAGCCCATCTGCCTTGACATCATAGATAAAACACGACTCCTGATCTGCTCCATCTGACATCTGTGAGAGAAAATGCGACGCAACACAGCTGTGGACTGGAGTTCGCGAAACGAGGGGGATTAAGGTTGTCAAGAAGGGGTATAAAGTTTCAAAGCCGCCTCCACAGCCACAGAATCTCGCACGTGGAGGCCGTTTGCATTTCGTCTTCTGATAGAGAACGGCAGCGTACGCGGTCGGTGGAACTTTGTACCATGTGATGTCGGCTGGGAGACAGCTATTGAAGCCGGATTATTTTATGATCCCGTCCAGGGCAGTAACGCCGCCCGACTTAGCGGTGATCTCCTGTAAAAGCCGTCCGAGCGCTTTTTTTTTTGTTCTCGCCGTAAATGACAGATAGATGGATGCCATATGATGAGTACGCAATGCCCCCCTGTAACGCGGTGACACGGCTTGATGTCCACCAGCGTTTCTCACGCGCGCCTGCCATCCCCGGACTGAAAGTGACGAGGGACCGCGCATCTATGCCTGTTGAATTCTCCAACTCCTGCATGATATTGACAGACTCCTTGTGGTTGTGAGAGCGGTCATTGAGGTAGAGGGTCCAATGTGCTTGGTAGAAGAGAACGATGCTGGGGGCGAGGAATTCTTGGACAGTCCATCCTTGGGCGTTCCAAATGCTGTCTGCCAGTGCGCCATAAAGGCTCACATCAAATAGTGAGTGGTTGTCTTCACTGCCAGAGGCTTCATCAATTTCAGGGATGATCGTTCAAACTGTCATGATCGTCAGTGAACTCGTCATTGTCGTGATCTTCTGCGACATGTTGCTCGAGTACGTCCTTAATACACCAGAGGCAAACCTTCCCTTGGACATCTCCATTGACGAGCAACTCCCCATTAGGGGAAATTGCAACGCGGTATGCACGAGCGCCTGTCCTATGTGCTGGTGTGTCTCTGTGCTCCACTGGTGCCGGTGCGACAGAATCCAGGCAACGTGACCGGTACGAGGCTGACCAATTTGCAGGTATCCAGTCGGCGAGTCCCAGAACTTGATTGTATGATGCGGAGACAAGTTGCTGGCCGTCAGCCGATCAGACAATATTACCTCGAACCAAATCTTGGTGAGCGCATACTTCGAGAAGAATTGTGGCATAATCGCCAAACCCAGATGGCATACGGTCAGCTGATCCAGAGGCTAATTTTAGCCCATTTGGGCTGAATGCCGCAACCGTGACAATGACTGTTTCGAGAACAGCGCCAGTCAGACAGAGACTCTCCGAATCCCATACGATTTGTCTTCCAACCCCGCTAGCAACTCTCTTTTCACCGGGGAAGAAGCACACCAATAACGCCCAGCTTCTGTGTTTCATCAGCGATGGGTCGAATGACATCTGCTCGCTCTCGACGTCCCAGATGATAATGCTATTATCACGTCCACCGCTCACAATTCGCCTCTCTTTTCATAATCTTTTGTAACGCACCCTGCTTCGCCACGGCATCAAGGAGGCCTATACCACCTTGCGGGGCAGGGTCAATCAAGTACTGTCAACATTAGGCTAGCCTACGACGACAATAAAAGGTTTTTTTAAAATAAAAAAAAGGTCACTAGTCTGGTTCTAACTTCTCGGCGTTCACAAGTGGCAGGACACGAGCGTCGGACTTTGAAGGAGACATCGTGTCTCAGGGGTGACTAGCAAGTATTCTGTTCTGGCGCTAGAACCTACGTCGGCGCTTTTATAGATAAGATGTATGCGGTCGCAATCCTCCGGTCAGGTGTAGTAAAAAGTAGTGTTGATCTGAACTTGTAGATTTTGCCTGGCATGCCCTGTGGTGTTCCCACTTAGCGACTCACCTGTTTAGAATGCATGGTAATAGGCCACTGGTACGTCCGATCATGTCGTAGAGACAATATCATTCATTGTGCATGCGCAAAACCATGAACGTTAAACTTCCGACTCTGAAGGACAATCACGACACACGAGGCATGAAATGTGTCATTCGGCAGATCTAGGCTTGATCAAAATCTAGGGAGGTCGCAGCACAGAAGTAAAGACTACGCGCCCACTTATCGCGTGTTCTGTACCAATGACTATGCACGCAAATCGGATCCAAACACGTGGAATATGGTACGATGGAAAGGTGGACTTCGTGCGTGGAAAGGCGCCTGTTGTTGATTACAGGATAGCCAATCAGCAGATCGAGCGCTTGATATCACGGCGGGCGTCTGATAGTGTCCTGTCAAAACGATGAAGAGCTCAGCGGGAAATTCATCAAATATACTTGGGGGTACGTACCCATCGAACAAATCAATCAGTATAATCATACACATTGAACATAAACACCTAGCCCGGCGAGCATTAGATTTTGATCAGCCCGATGCCAGGGCTGTGATGTGGATGTAAGTGAGGAGTCCTTGCTGCGGGTCTAGGCACTTGTTTGATTACTGTTCAGGGCTATGGAGCCATTTGAATATCCCGGCATAAGAGGTGTGCGATAAAAAGGATTGATCAGGTCGATTCGCATTTCTGGGCAACACTTCGCCCGCGGCGAGAATTCGAGTGGTTATCGGCATTCCGCTTTCAGTATTTAAAGCTCGGTCTTATGCATTGGCAATATTAATGACCGACATCCAAGACCAATTACCACATACCATCCTGTCGAACATACTATCCGTTACACTCTATTCGTGACGGTCCAATATTTCGTGATTTTGTCTGCAGCACTCAATTTTAAAGTAATTACTTTAGCTACTTCACCATGAGTATATTCTACATACTATACTAGCATATTCCAAGTGAAACGAAACAAATCCGTTGAGAAATGGTGGAGATCGTGTTTTCAGTGTGACAGCAGCAAAAATCACGATTTGGTGTCACCTGCCGTGGCTGCCGACGTCGGACATTAAATTTTACAGCGTGTTTTTGCAGCTGCAATCCGTGAGCACGTGAGCACGGCCAGTGTGACTGCCCGTTACTATTCGTGACACAAGTGTGACTCACGAAATGGTGGACCGTCACGAATAGAGTGTAACGGATAGTATGGCTCTAGCAATTTAATCATTCACCACTCCACCTATATTCAATCTGACTCAACCAACTTTTCACCCATAGATATTAGTGAGACTTACACCCATGGGTCATATTTCAATGAGGCCATTCCTGAGCTTGTCAACAATGGCCATGGCAATTGGATGTTCTCGCTGAATGTTCCCATCCCAGACGAGATGGTCTATCCGACCTTCACGTCGCTTGAATATACCATCAAATACGGCACAGTAAACGGCCAGGCCACATCTATGATTCAAACAAGCATACTGCTCACCAAGACCTCTGGCTCCAGTTCAAATGCTGGACCCGTTCTTGATGGGACTACTACAGACACCCCCTGGATATACATTTATCGCATTGGGGTAGGATTTCCTACACAGACGATCGATAGTGTGACCACCATGCGCCTCTTATCTGTGCAAGCCGTCAAGGAGAACTTGTCGCACTGGCCAGCGGAACCACTATATCAACCAACAGCAACTCCTCCCTCATGTCCGCATCATCGAAGACGCTAGCCACTTGTACTTGTACCTGCACGTTGCTGGATGTCCCTCTCCTCTCATGCAACGCCCACTCATTGCGGAAGTGTCTGCCGCTTGGGTTGAGTATTGTTTGTGCAAGGTCTTGCACGACAAGATCGAGGCAGCTACGGTTGCAGAGAGGAAGAGATCAGAGGATGAACGAGCAAGGTTGCAAGCTGAACGCAAGTCCGCTGAGGGTAAACTGGCGAAATGCAAAGCCGAGGGTGAAGAGAAGTCAGCCAAGAAGAAGTCAGAAGATGATCAGCTGGTAAAAGAAACCAGGCGGAGAAGCAGGCAGACACGGTTGCGAAACAATAAGCAGGAGCCGAAACTCATGGGGAAAAGCTGTTGATGCCGCTGGTCATTGGCCGAACATCAGGCAGGGGTAGCAGCAGCCTGCCGCGAACGCCAGACTCAGAACCCAGAAGGAGGACGAACGGCAGGTCAACAATCATTGAGTAGTTCCGCAAAGTGCGAATAAGATGCTAAGCACTGCTTGAAGCAGCGTACCCAGTCCATCTGCACTATGCTCAAGTCTGTACAGCCAAAACCTCAGTAACAGACATTGCAACTTTCTTGAACTAGGATAAGATGCAACGACGACGGACGAGATTATTCGTGACGACACCGCATCGTCTTCGAAGTAAAATTCAGGCAGTTGCGAATTCGAGATGATGAATAGCGGTCCATCGGGAGAGCCGCGCAGTGATGGTTGGTTGCATGCCACATCGCCAGCGCTTGTCGAATTCGTGGGAGTGGAACCTGGTGGAACGTGACCTGAAGTTAACGGCTGCTTTCAGTAAACGCGTTCAGTAACTTCAGTTCCTTATCAGCAGCAGTTTTCGAGAGTCTCGGTTACTAATTCAAGGTCAATCCTAATTGCTCAGTGTTTGAAGGAGACTTGTTTTCAGTTTCCAATGTACAAGTTCATCATGAAAGCGAGCTGGACCAGCCGGTCGCTCTTGCTAAAAGTTCTGCAGGGTCCAGGGCCGTACTATTTTTAGTACATACCAAACTGTGCAAGCTGCTGCGCGCAACTGCACATTGATTATGCGCTGGCGTCTTCCTTGGATTATTGAACAACCGTACTGATTTCAGCTGGAGTACTTGGTCGAGGATGTTGTCGACGTTTGTTGGATGCTTTATCTTACCGTCACTAGCAGCGCAAGTCCCGTTGGGCTTGTCTTCTGATGGCAAGGCGTTACTGGAACTCGGAACTGCATCTACGATAATTTCATCATATAACCCCGCCAGCCCTCTGGACTCGGATAGCCTCGACCTTTCACCTTGGCAGCTTAATGAGCCACCTCTCGCTAATGCAACAGGGCATTTTGTATTCGAAACTGTGAATTCGTTGCTCCAGCATTGGCCGAACACGCGCTATCGGAACGGTCAGTCTTATTTTGACCTTGACGAGAATGTCTGACGCGTATTGTTATTACTATGACCCTACCAGGCCACACAATCGTTCCCGGAATAATTCCCAAAGGCACCTTGTTGTATCACGGAGCTGTCAGTGACAAAATCCCTACGGTTCCTGAGTGGACGGCCACAGATCCAGAACACTCCATCCTCTTCTGCCAAGGCGCGCCCGATACAGGATGTTGGCACTTGACGCTTGCAGCAACTCGTCCCCTCAAAGTCCTTTATTTTGACGGGACTAGCGCAGCCAATACCATAAATGGTACTCTTGACACTCAAGATATCATTGCATGGGGAGAAATGAGACCTGATTGGCGGTTTAAGGAGGATCAGCGCATTTTAGATTTGTGCGAATGGGGAGCACCATACGCTGTTGATGGTTATGTTCGGTAAGCCAATCTGCCTGGCATTATCTTGTTATGGAGTTGAACTTTTTTTACAGAATGGAAATGGACTTGTGTGTTCTTGATTTTCGCCTTGTCTCTTCAACTGATTTGTTTCCGTAAGTGAAGTTATGCTTTGTGATTTTTCCGCTGGCCTGGAAGTCGTCTCCTGGTCCCACCTTGCGAGCATTGTCGAACCGGCTTCTATAGTCCCAAGAATACCAAATCCTTTTAGCAAGTCTCTGTGTTTTTGTCTTCCTCGTGTCATCCTAATCTATATTTCTAGTGAACCGCATGTTCGAAGTAATGCACTCAGGGTCGTGGCATAATCGATACCCCGGGGATACACGAATTGACCTTGATCTAGCTGGAATCGTCTCACTGTACGACACCACGCTTGCACCGTCACTCGTTGGTTCACGCGACGGCCAGGAACGGTGCGACCACGGCATAGGAACCATATCTTCTGCAGATATCGAGGTGGTTAGGCATAGCGTCTCCCAGGCATTAGAGCGACATCGAGGTGATCTCAGTGGCATCGACTGGAAAACTATTTTTAGAGTTATCGTGGAACGTTACTCGGAGCGCCTCGACTTGATGGACTACCTTCTCAACTCGAAAAATGACACACATATGGACCGAGCAATGAAGGTGCATGCCCAGCTGCGCGTGATGCTCACCCCATACATTTTCTACAATGTTGTCCCCCCCAGCGCATCGTACAATTCATCTCACTCCTGGGCGACACCAGTATTCAAAGCATGTGGGACCGCGCACACATCGCCCATCGTATCATATATTTCGAGCTTGAACCCCTCAGAACGCCTTCTGTTGAATGCAGCACAAGAGACTACACGCGAGATATGTCGCGTTATTACGAAGATGTGGGTCACTGGCGTCCTTGCGGACCTTGATCTATATCTCCCCCGTGATTCTACTCCGGACGCTGCACAAATTGTTCGCGTGATAGACACATGGAGGCATGAATTAAGTGCTCTAATGGCATGGCTAGATTGGAGCGTGTGGGTAAGGTGCCGTCCAGCTTGCGGACCTGAGGTAAGTTTTTGACACTATGTGCTGCTTATATGCATCTCACTCGCGTGTCCCTTAGGAAATGTGCTACCTTCCTAGCTGGCCCATAAATGTGCCAAGGCATGGTCGGCCAGGCCGTCCTCCGTATCCAGGCCGTCCTCCGTATAAAGGCCGTCCTCCGTATGAAGGCCATCCTCCATATAACAAATATGAGATCAGTGATATTACCAATGCATCCTTTCCAGACAGTCCATCTCTCAAGCACGAACTCCTCGTGCAGCTGTCGACTCCACAGGATGATGACTGGAGGAAGCCCCAGCCCAAGTGCATCAGGCGAGTTGCGCCATATGGTTTCTAGAGCTTTTTGTTTTCTGAAGCTAGTATCTAATGTCATCCTTCTGGTGATGACCGGAGACTGAAATCAAGACATTTTGGATATTTTGGATACACACTGCTACTACCTACATGTCGCTTGTTTTTCCTCGGGGGGTTATCACTGTCGCGCTCCCAGAGATTTAGATGGGATGCAGCTATACTGTCATTTGTGTATTCGTCGATTGTATATGCATCACCTATTCGTTCATGTTAATCTCTCCCCGGAATCGGCGATTTTCTCCCCGCTCGGAAACGCGGACCGTATGCGAGTCCTCCTGACATCCAAGCTCAACCTGCTGGTTGTGTTTTCTTTTCTCGTGGACCAATTGCAGAATCCATAAATTTGGGTGGCTTTCAAACACCAGTATATACGTGGTCCCTATGCCTTTATATAAGAGACTCCTGACCACCTCTGACATTTCCTAACCCTGTCTGAATTCTAGTTGTCCACAGCCATGTCGCTCACGGTGAGTTGTAGCCACATTGATTAATACGAACATCACAGCTAAGACATCCAAGGTCGAATCTGTCACTACCCAAGAGGAAGCATGCCGCCTCCCCTCCTTCGACAGCAATGTCGCCTGGGAGATCGGGAACATCATCCGCACCAACGCCCAACAAAACTTCACGCGCCCTGTCGTCGTCTATATCGCACACGCGAACTCATCCCAGCTCCTCTTCTTCGCCACCTCAGGACCTGGTACGCTTCCAGACAACATGCACTGGGTGAAGCGCAAAGAGGCAGTGGTGCTCCGTTGGGGATGCTCAACGATGCTCATGAGATTGAGACTGCAGGCCCGAGCAAAGACACTGCAGGAGTTGTATGAGATGAGCGATCCGAGCATATATGCAGTGCATGGCGGAGGTTTCCCAGTGAAGGTTAAGGGCGTGGAGGGGGCCGTGGGAGTGATAGTGGTTAGTGGCCTCACGCAAGAGGACGACCATGCTGTCATTGTGGATGGTATCAAAGAATACCTCGCGAAGAACCCTTGAGCAATTGGTCCGTATATCGTACGCCACTGGCAATCGTGTCTCGTTGACAAGGCGGTTATTCAGAATGAGGGAGAAATATCGAGGATGTATTATTGTGTTTTTAATTTGCAACTTGAATGCAAAGCATATGTCTGATGGTTCACGGGTGGCTGTCATCCTGGGGAGTGCGCCAGCTAAATAAGAATGCTTTGACTCGTCTCCAACGTGCGTGACAATCTTGCGCCCCACTCAATGTTGCACTACGATTAGAGCGAAAGCTCAATGTCTTCATAGATAATTTGTGTTTTGTCCGAGGTGCAGTATCCTGCACATTGAAAATGTCAGTTCGACAAGGCTCTAAGATCTCCACACGAACGAAAACTTACGTTCGGGATGGAATTGATCGTGTCGGCAGGTAACGATTTATCTGTTCCCGACAGTTCGCTGTCGTTGATGTTGCCCGTCGGAGTGTGATCTGTGAGAGTTGCCTCTAGGACCGAATTTTGTTCTGCATCATCCACCTCTTGGGGTCTCGGAGGAAAACAATCTCCTTGAGGTAAATCGGAGATGGGGGACACTAACACTTCGTCGTGGTCGGTGTTTGGGGAGTTGATGGAGTAAAGGCTATCGCCTTCACCAGTATGAAGCGAGACTACAAAAGATGAACCGTCTGAAAAAGAGTGGCAGCCAAAACCGGCGCTAGAATGTCGTAGCATCTGGGGCACATTGAGCATAAATATTCGTTAGGAACGTAGGGTATCAGACCTTGCCGCTGAATGCTCCGAGCTCTGCGCTGGAGAGATTTGGTGCCGCAATGAGCTCACCAACGTCCTCGATAAAGGACTCCTCGGCATGAACCGAGGATGATGGGTCAGTGATAGGATGCGGGTCTATCAGCTGAAGCTTTAATGTTACGCTAGCCTGATATATGGAAGGGCCTCCATTCCGCCCTTGTACATGTACATGCCTCAAAATTTGTGAGACGACTAGAAAAGTATGAGTACATGTTTATGATGACTTGTAAAGGCCGCAAGACCTTTCGTTTGTGTTGATGTAGGTAACTGCATATAGTCACCAGATGATGCGAGGAGCACATCCTTGCAGAAAGCACGTTTTGCTATCAAGTGGATGCATATAGGCCAGTCCTCTCTCACTGAACTATTGAAGAGGGGACTGTTGAGCTATAAGCAATCACATGATAGGTAATATCCCTTACAATTCAAACGCCTCATTCCAGGCGTACTGCCCGCGGGCAGAGACTCGAGTTCGCTTGCGAACAGCGTCGACACCGACCTCCACGTAGCATTTGTAAGGCCCAGGCGGGCACTCTGGATCGTCTGGTTCTATGGAGGCGCTAATATCTGTGGAGTATTGTGAGCATCCTGAAGGCCTTATCATTGTGATTCACTTGCCAGAAACCTGGATGTGGTAATAGTTTTTTCGCCTTCCGCCATACGATCGCATTGGGAGAGAATCCATCTACAGCAGGTAGCAGCAACTTGTTGCATACGAGGGCGGAGTGGTTTTAAGGGAAGAGGAGTCACATTTGGCCTGACGCTGTGTCCGGTGCTGCACAGCAACGGTTTGATGTCTTCCCATGGTGATACGTTAAACAAGCACAGTTAGTCTAAAAGTTATGCGGATGTGGGCAACGTTCGAAAAGCGATCCTGATGAAAATCCACCTTCAACAGAATCATGGTGTTCATATTTCTCACTGACAGAACGGGTAGGATAACGTTGTGAGAAGCTTCTGAGAAAGCGCCCAACCAACACAGGGAGAAGCTGCCCTAATAAGATACTGCACAAATATGCATCAACACAACGCGCGTCCGCCAGTGCCAGTGCATGCGGTCATGAAGACCCTTTGCTTCAGCACTACAGATCATGGTGGCATCAACAAGTGAGCAAGTGAGTTGTAACACTGCTCACACCGGATTATTAGGATACTTATTCAATTTGCAGTTAACAGCACTTGCTGGAACGACAGTTGGTGAGCAACCACCCCCTCGGATACCCCCACATAGAATTAACACATCCAAGTTGTTCATCCATTGGTCTTGCTCTCCGTTACTGATCACCATGCGCGTACCGTCTCGCGCACCTCATCAAAGCGTGTTGTTGGCGTTCTTCTGGGCCAGGATAACGGCAAGACCGTCAACGTTGCCAATTCATTTGGGATCCCGTTCGAGGAGGACGAAAGAGATAGCAAGACGTGGTTCCTAGACCATAACTATATTGAAGGGATGTATGATATGTTCAAGAAAGTCAACGGTGCGTTCCTCTTCATCTAAGTAACCCTCATAGATGCTTAATGAGATTGCAGCAAAGGAGCGGATGATCGGATGGTACCACACGGGACCAAAACTACGAGCCTCGGACCAGGAAATTAATGATCTTTTTAAACGTTACATTGCCAAACCAGTGATGGTTATCGTTGATGTACGACCACAGGCCGTCGGAATACCGACGGATGCGTACTTTGCAGTAGAAGAGATCAAAGACGTATGTCTTTCCTCCTCTGCAATCTATACTTGTACCGATTCTATGACTTCAGGATGGCACGGAAACACGCAAGACATTCCTTCATGTCCCTTCTGCAATAGAAGCTGAAGAAGCTGAGGAAATCGGTGTCGAACATCTTCTGCGCGATATCAAAGACTCGACCACCACCACCCTCTCAACACGCGTTTCTGAGCAACTCGCATCACTTCAAGGACTGCAATCCCGACTACGAGACGTACACAAGTATCTTCAGGATGTTGCAGCGGGCACGATGCCAGTCAATCACCAAATAATTTACCACCTGCAAGACGCGCTCAACCTACTTCCTGACTTGAGCAATCCGGTGACAACACAAAGCTTCGCATCGAGCACAAATGATCAACTACTCGTGGTGTATCTGAGCAGTTTGCTGCGGGCTGTCATCGCGTTGCATGCTCTAGTGGATAACAAAGCCACGATAGGGCGAGCAGAGCAAGAAGAAGGCGTAGATGAGAAGGACAAGGATAAAAAGACGGCTAACGGCGACGCGAAAAAGTCGGAGGATACCAAGAAGGATGGAGAGAAGGGAAAGGACTCGAGTAAGAAAGACGCAGACAAAGGGCTATGATGAAGTCGCCATTTGTTCAGTACCTACCGTTGCCATCATTCCGGCACGACTACTTCAAGTTGCTGTGCAGAAGCAGCTACATATAGTTTTCCCTAAAATGGTTGAACATGTGATGAGCACGTGCCCGATGAAGTGCCGCTTGATTATGGAAGCGCTTTTCTTTTTTCATTCATCACCTTGAGGCATTTTTTGCGTCCTCCTCCTCTTCACTCCACAATCTTTCGCAGAAAAGTACGTCGATTCTTGTCTAGGAAGTCTACCTTGTCCAATGCACATTTTGCGCTGAGACCATCAACGGCTGCGTGAATCGTGCACGGACCCCTAACCATGATTTTCCTGCGCAGGTTCATTATACAACATGTCTGGCGCTCGTGGATGTTTCAACTGCGGAGGCTGTGCGTGGTGTTTCCGTGTTGTTTGTTCTCAGCTTTTGAGCAATTCTTCGTCGACATGGCGAAGGAAAGGCCCTGTAGCCATTGCTATTTCCTTCGTTCTTATTTACATTTTCGAATTTCGGTGGACGGTGCTGACGTTGATCGCTATGTTCTTTTGCTCATATCTACCGATGACGCATGTTATCGTCGACGGCTCGCACAAAATCGCAATATATTGCATTGCTCGTCATCTAACTCTCTGCCCTGCTTGGTTCTGTACCTCCGATCTTCATGAAAACAGTCGGCCATCAAGCTGCTAACTGTCCCAAGGCAGGAACTCCCACTTGGTAACTATTGATCTTGTTTATGTTGGGCGTCGTCTCATTTCCGCTCGCCTTGTTTAGCTACAACTGTATGTCATTGCTGAGTACATTTCTTTGCGGTGTTCACGATATCTGCAGGTGGTTTGGAGGGTCACGTTTCTCGTGATTGCACGATGGAAGTCAAGGCCAAGTCTTGCTACAAATGTGGTCAGGAGGGTCACATTGTATGTTTTTCAGGAATGTTGGTCAATATTCTTACTCATCGATTCCAGTCTCGTGATTGCCCAGATGGCGGTGCAAGCGGCGGCGGCGGCAGTGGGGGCTATAGTGGGGGATTCTCCAGCCAGGAGTGTTACCGCTGCGGCAAACCCGGCCACATTGCCCGCGCATGTCCTGAAGCCGCGGGAGGCAACACTAGCTACGGAAGTGGAGGCGGCGGCGGCAGTTATTCTTCTTTTGGTGGTGGAGGCTCGAAGACTTGGTTAGTTTTTGTTGTGCTCATCTTACATTTGCACTGATTTGCCGTACGCAGCTATACCTGCGGTGGTGTAGGCCATCTGTCGCGTGACTGTGTTCAAGGTTCTAAGTGCTATAACTGCTCGGGCGTGGTACGTTGTTCTGCATATCAGGTTCTCTGGCTCACATTCGCCGATTTAGGGCCACATCAGCCGTGACTGCCCCCAACCTCAGAGGCGCGCCTGCTACACATGTGGTTCAGAAGGGTAAGTATCTCCACTCGTCCTCGTCGTTCTTCCATTAATCTACGTCCCAGCCATATTTCTCGTGACTGTTCAGGTGCGGCGGCTGCTGAGGGTGCTTGAGTGATGTGATATCATGTATTCCTAGCTGCTTCATCTTGATCTCTTTCTGGTTTGCTGTTGAAGTGTTTGGATCTGAATCTGTTACTCCGTACGCGTATCTGTTGGCAGAATACTAGCAGCTATTCGCAGCACCATTAATATCACTGTACAAGTTCATCATGCATGTCAGAATTTGCAGGAGGTTGGCAGGGGTGTGTACATCCAACCCGGTTCACGCCGATTGCGCGAAATCCGCTGCAGGTGCCAGCCGAGCTTAATTTTTTCCACGGCCTGTTATCCGCTAATTTCCACTTGCTCAACTTCTCTCCTCCGTCTACCGACACTCGCTTTCATTATCCCTCATGCAAGCCATTCGCCTGGCGCGTCCTAGAGTCTCCTTGCGCCGTCTGGCCACAACCGCTCAGGTGCCCACATCGGGACCCTCCTCGTCCGTGACCGCGTCTGTTATCCCTCTCTCCAACGTCGAGGCACAATGGGAAAATATGTCTAAGAGCGAGCAAGCAGTTGTCCACCGGCAGCTCGAGGAGTTGCAGAAGAAGGATTGGAAGACGCTCTCCATGGACGAGAAAAAAGCTGGTGCGTGTTGCTGTCCTTCCGCTCTTCGGCTGCTCCCGATTAACGTGCCTTACTGATGAGTTCTTTTGGCCTGTTGCTCCATTCAAAATCACGCATTATCGTGACGTCGGGGTCGATGAAACGCTATTTCTTTTCGTGTAATGTGTCTCAATAGCATACTATGTTGCCTTTGGCCCACATGGACCCCGGGCTCCTGTCAGCCCACCTGGCCAGGGCCTCAAGGTTTTCCTTTTCACCATGGGCCTTGTAGGTGTCGCTGGCCTGCTCTCCATTGCCATCCGCTCACGAGGTATGGTTTTCTCATTTTTTGTGTGCCGGAGCTCTAATATACATACCCCTGAACCTTAGCTCCACCTCCACCGAAAACGCTTACACGTGAATGGGAGGAAGCAACCAATGAACGCTTGCTCGAGCAAAAGTCGAACCCAATTTCCGGTCTGTGTCTTTCCTCCTATATGTGTTTTCATAGTGCTAATGTCCGATTTGATGCACAGGCATATCATCGGAAGGGTACTCTGGGAAGGGCTTCGTCGTCTCGAAATAAATGCACTTTGGGCTTCGTTCTCTGCTGCTCACTTGTGCGCACTATGGTCATTGTTCCGTGCGTCTGCTGTGAAGAGAAGAGACAAAGACTTACATTATCAGCATATACCGTAGAGTCTGCCTTCCTCTTCTTTACTTTTGCAATTGCAATACTGCATCCGCCAGAATCCTCATTTGTGTATGATCTATGCCATTTAAGTTGTGCAAGCATCAAGAAAGGCACTGCTTACGCTTGGCATGGTAACCTTGCGTTTTGAAGAGCAATACCAATACATAGAAAATAACCAATGTTACCAAACCGCAGGTGCGGCAAAGCCAGGCTGGGCAGACGGGCGCATTCATAGACAGGTAACCGAATGAGTTTCCGTCGTTCAATCATGTTCCGGATCGGGAGCATACGATTATACGCCACCGACATTCAGCACCATAGCAAAGAAATACATTCCAGGGCATCACCATGCACTACGAAGCGATGGTCGGAGGGCAGTGAAAGGTATGTCGGAAGCAAGCCACGAGAAATGCAAGCCGACCAACGGGGAGCGACCTGACAAAGTGCTTCGTAACCGACCAAGGTACCTGGCCAACAGGTCAAATTCACCCATGACGCCTGCCTCCGAGATCTCTGAATGAGCAATTGCAGCCTGAGTGCAGTGCAAGGTCACACCATCTCGACGTCGTGATGCAACTATATTCAGAGGCAATAAAAGAATGGCTGATAGATTGCTTTATAGCCTGTCCGTGGGCGGTATAGCGGCGGCACCAAGATCGTCGTGATCATAATTTGGAAGGCGGAACGATGATCGCAACGGAAAAAGCAGGACAGAACAATGAAGCGAAGAACCTGCTTGGACTCTGAGTCTCAAACATGCTTCTGCAACGGGTGGTTCCGACCTGAGGTGTCACCTCAGTATGACGATGGTGCTAGCCAAACAGTGCACGCCGCACACGCCGCACCATGGCAGGAGTTTGCGCCTGCAAACGTATCCAATTGCATGCTTTGACTCATGTGGGCGCTGTCTCTGTTAGGTGTTATGCTGGGGGCTGTGAAACCTCACCATTGGCACGTATGATGTGATGGGGACCAATGGCGACATACTTCAAATGCGGGGCTGTTGGTGCATTTAGTGATGCACTTTGGGATAGATTGTAGGTCCGCCGGGCGAGGCTGAAACGATCTTAGGCACAACAGCAAAATGCAATCTTGCACCCGAAAACCGGAACCCGCAAACTGGTGACGTGCCATCTGCAATGCAAGGGCAGTGATTGCTAACGAGCGATGTAGCCAAACAAGCATATGCAGGCACATGCCCAGCAGGTTCTAAATCTTCATCGGAGATAGTGAATTTTCGTACTCGCCGTCTTGTGAACTTGTTTCAGATTGAAGTCCGCACGATAAAACCTGCGCTCGCTCGTCGTTATTCAACATATAGTGCCTCTGGTAGTTCATTGTATGAGGCGAGAACGCAACACGTCGGAGTAAGCCATGGTAGTAAGCCATGGTAGTGGTGAAACCCCCAGCGACGAAGCGGCTTGGGCATGTTGGAAGCCAAAAACCCGGACAGCCCACAAGAGGCCCGCGCAATACGCATCAACTCACGCTGAAAAAAAAATTACTTCCCTCGGAGTAGGCAAACCGTTCACTGATCGGGCACCACGGGGGAGAGCTCCTGCAAATCTATTTCGGATATATGTTCACAATGGGAATTTAGGCATCCCCCGCTAGTCAAGCAAGACGCCGACGCTCAACTAAACCGCAGCGCTTTTCTTTACAACCTTGACCTCCTCAGGGTTGAGGTGTACCTGTGTGGAATGGCACATCATCAGAGATGCGCCGGAAAAGATTGAACAGGTGTGAAGAGCGCACCTGTGGTCCACCAACACCATTTTCCCATTGTTGATATTTTAGCGCGGTCGTACCTCGCTTCTCAGCTACGACCCGCTCCGACTCTTTCAACGACTGACGAACAGCCCGTGCAGTGATCTGGGCATATTTGTTGTACCTTCAGAGACATGTCAATGAATGAATTGAAAGAGAATATAGTGAATACCGACGTGAAAAAGTTTCGCCAAGTTGCACTGCTCATTGTGGAGGATGTTGAAGTTCAAGACTCGGTACTGGTCGTGCTTGGTGCAGTCAAACGCTGAGTTCCTTTCCGGAAATGTCCGTTACATCGTGCATTGCCTAAAGCGGCGTCTGTGATTGATATCTGTGGGGGCCGTCACGGTTGCTCATACCTCCACTCTGATTCTCACCCTGGCTTGGTATCATAACTGTTGTATCTGTTTTTCCAGACTATCTATCCCAAACGACACGGAACATATAGAACCATATGGCAGGGATCACTTGGCACTATGTCCTCAAATTTATTATCACAGGTGTGTCACGGAGCGGCACTTGCATTCCGGCAAATGTCTGATTGCTATACAACCGCGGTCACAGGCGATGCTGCAGTTGGCAAATCATCTTTGCTTGTTCGCTTAACAGACCAACGCTTTCTCGCCAACCCTGACCCAACTGTGCGTGGCTTTTCGTATGCCATATGCTGAAGTTGACACACTGCCCGCGTTACCCCTAGCTAGGAGTAGAATTCGGCTCGAAACTGATTGAGATACCCGAGGAAGGGAAGGTTGTCAAGCTTCAATGTCCGTCTCCTCCCCCGTTCCCCTTTGACACGTATTTCATGTAATGGGTCATGTAGGTTGGGATACCGCCGGAACCGAGTCCTTCAGGTCAATTACACGGTCATACTACCGTGGTGCCGCGGGCTGCTTGCTAGTCTATGACGTGACATCTAGAAAGAGTGCGGCCAGTACGACCGATTCATCCCCGGCTGTCAACTAATTGTCGTACACAGGTTTTATAAACGCGCAGTCATGGCTTGCAGACGTGCGGGAGCATGCTGACCCTCATTTAACTTGCATACTAGTCGGAAATAAAGTTGACTTATGCGATGGGGAAGTAGAAGGCTCGTCGATTCGACAAAGAGAAGTCTCGGCAGACGAGGCAACTGAATGGGCGAGAAAGGAGGGGCTGCTATTCTTGGAAGCAAGCGCGAAATCAGGGAGGAACGTTGATTTGGCGTTTGAGCAAGCTTCACGCGATATCCTCCATAAGATCAAGCATGGTGTTTTTGATGACAATCGAGTGAGTGACATTTCAAGTCGACAACCCCCTGACGCCGTCCAACTCTGACATCTTGGTCTAGTCTCCAGGAGTGAAGCTGTCAAACCCAACAAATGGAAGCGTCGCCCTGAATCAAGCCTCAAATAAACAGGGATGCTGTTCATGATGACTACTATATTATGTGCAACATTATACATAAGGTTGCTGTACTCTATTCTACTGTGGTTATGGGACTATAGTTATTACTCTGTATTGCCGACAATGCGCAGGATTATGAGACTCGTACTGTATCTAGAATGTTCAATGAGATCCTGCGCAAGGTATACTGGTCATACAGATGATACAGAACTTTTGCGTGTGTGTGAATGCAAGAGAGTGGCGCAAGTTTCTGTCAACGACCTTCTTATACACGCTTCTGATGGCCGTCGGAATCACATGCGTCCATACTCGCTGCCCTCCGCCACTATCATGATCAACGCCGTAACGAGTCAGCATACTCCTGCAGCTGCTGTACAAATCCAAAATTGGGTTCGGCTGATCTTCGTCTCCCTTTGATGAATTGGATAGCTTGTGCTGGAGTCCAGCCGTACTCTGATATGAGAAACGCGCAGACCACGCTGGTGCTGCGGCTCACTCCCTCCATGCAGTGTACGAGAACCCGTGCGTTGGGATCGTGCAGTGCGCTGCGGATGAAGGCGGTTGTGGATGGAAGGTGTGCAGCGAGCTCGGAGAATGGAAGATCTTCGAGGGGGTATTGTGCACGATGGAGGGGTAGTTCATGTGGTATTGCGACGTATCCGCGCATTGCGGTGAGGATGTGGGTTATACCCAGTGAAGCGAGTGCAGCAGGGTTCTCTGCGAAGCATATGTCTGAGACATATAGCCTTGGCAATATTTCTGATGCACCAGGTGTTCGAAGCTGGTAAGGGGTTTGAGACATGGGTGATGGTGACCAGTTCGACATGCTAGAAGGATGAGCGCCGGTATGTGATGACAGTGTAAGCCTCCCGAGGTGCTAGAATATATATGAGCATAATGGGAAGCAACAGAAGGTGGGACGCAACGAGCAAGTGAGGATGTGCGCATACGGAGGAAGGGCCGTTTAAAACACGACTCACCATGACAACTTTGACAAGCGCAGCAGTTGACGTCGAGAGTACACAAGTTTAGAACCGTGCAATTTAAGTAAAAAGCGACGGAAGAAGTGGTTTGGGTAAGAGGAGGTGTAGGTGTGCGAGAATAGTACCACGGGTTGGAGACCCTTACTACTTTAGCCGGCCGAGATCAATGGACATAGACCTCTTTATGAATGAAGTAGGTCAAGAAGTCAGCAGACAAACAGCCTTGGTACAATGTTCGAGATCTGGGCTGGATTTGCCCGGTCCTGAGCCGATACCAGGATAGAACGGCGTCCTCAGCGGACGTCGGGAAGGCACGGCTCTTGGGCGGGGTTGGGTCTTAGTGAGCTCGGTAAGGGGAAGCAGAGCCTTTTGGTTGGAACTAAAGTAGGACAAAGTCTGTACACTGTGAGATTTAATGGTACAGCCTTGCGCTACCTCGATCATCAAATGGAATTTTATACACACTGGCAGGTTCAGGGACGACTTGAACACGCGGACGAGGCTATGCATGACACCACTGTACCGCTCCGAACCAATGGTCTTGGTTCCGGCTATCGTCGTCTCTCAGTAAGCCGCAAACGATAGTGCAGTGCAACGTGTAGAAATGAGTACCAAATGCATGCAGGCGAAGAGAAGTACGTTGAAAAAAAATGAAAGATAAGCTTGGCAGACCCAGAACATTTTACATGGCATACTGTCAAGAAAATTTCGCGATCATGGAATGGACATAACAATTTCGGAGCGGCATCGTAACAGTAACAGTCTGGCCTATAAAACAGATGACAATCTAAATGAGATCGCTAAAAGGGAGGGCACTTGTTAGTGCATGATCCAATCAATATCGTAGTAAGAAAACTCACGCGACATTCAGAGGCATCTCGTCAATCTGAGTGTTGTAGAATTCTGCCCGCAATCATAGCATCAATCTCACAATAGCAAAATAAATCAATCTACTCACGTTCAATATCTCTCAGCATTCTGACATCTTCGGTTGTCACGAAGTTGATGGCAACACCTTTACGGCCGAAACGTCCGCCGCGACCGATGCGGTGAATGTAGTTCTCCCTGTTTGTCGGCAGGTCATAGTTGATGACAAGAGAAACCTGCTGCACGTCGATGCCGCGGGCCAACAGATCTGTCGTGATCAGAACACGAGATGAACCTGACCGGAACTCCTTCATCAAAACTTCACGCTGCTTCTGCTCCATGTCTCCGTGCTGGGCAAAAGATGCGATCAGACGGTACACAACCGAGATAATACCGCAATTACTAACCATAGCAGATACCGTAAACTCGCGCGAGTGCATCTTCTCCGTCAACCAGTCTACCTTCCGCCTTGTGTTGCAGAAGATAACGGCTTGCGTGATCGTCACAGTCTCGTAAAGGTCGCAAAGAGTGTCCAATTTCCATTCTTCCTTCTCCACAGCGATGTAAAATTGCTTGATACCCTCAAGCGTCAATTCGTCCCTCTTGACAAGAATTCGAACAGGGTCACGCATGAACTTCTTCGTCACTTCCAAAACGTCCGCGGGCATGGTGGCGGAAAGGAGCACTACTTGAGTCTCCTGCGGTAGGAGCTGGAACAGCTCGTAGATCTGGTCCTTGAAACCACGGGACAACATCTCATCGGCTTCGTCAAGACAGAAAATCTTGATGGTGTCAGTGCGGAGAGCTCTCCGGTTGATCATGTCATACACGCGTCCTGGAGTGCCAACAACGACTTGTACACCCTCCTGAAGCTTGGCCATGTCCTCGCGAACGTTTGTGCCTCCGACACACGCATGACACTCGATGTTCATGTAGTCGCCGAGCGCGATGACGACTTTCTGGATCTGTTGAGCCAGCTCGCGGGTAGGTGCCAAAATAAGAGCTTGACACCCTTTGATAGACATATCCAGCTGCTGAAGGATGGAGATGGAGAATGTGGCGGTCTTGCCAGTTCCAGATTGTGCTTGGGCAATGACATCGTGGCCCTTTACAACAGGGACGATAGCACGCTGCTGAATAGCGGAAGGCCTCTCGAAACTAGGAAACATGGATGGTATAACAGTGATCGAAGAATGAAGCTACACTTACCCATAAGCATAGACACCACGGAGAAGCTCAGCTTTGAGTTCCATGTTGTCGAAGCTGTTTGCCACTGCATCAGAACATGATTCTGCAAGATCCGAACATCCGTTTGACGTACTTGTCTACGACCTGGTCCCAGTTGGACTCGATCTCATTTTCTGCAACATCCTGGAGCGCTTCTTCTCTGAAACCACAGAAGTGACATGTATTAGTAAATGAACGAAATCGCAACGGCAGCAGGACGGGATACGTACGCTGACATGAGTATAGTCTAATTTTTTTGTCCAAGGATCGACTAGTGTAGTCGATGATGCTTGGATTGTAGTGGGTTGTGTCCGGTGAGCGTATCGATTGACTTCTGCGAACTGATCAAATTTTCCGACGTGTCTTCCTTGGGTCGGTGGCTGAAGCGGAAAAAGCCGTCAGTTTTTAAGCTCCGATCATCAAAAACGGCAGGTGTCACGATATGTCACGAAAGTGCTCCGAACTTTGTTCATTCACAAGTACTGCATTGAACAAATATTGCCTGGAATTCGTTATGTGAATGATGCACATGAAAGCTATGTACGTTTGTTGTGAAAAGACACGACACCGCAGACGAGCATCGCTTTCATGTCTACGTCAAGTATCTCCTTATGGACTACAATCTCTATGACTCTCATGTTCCGGGACTAGTTTACAGTACGAGCTATGAGTCCAATATGTATCACATGGTGTTCGTTAGATCCTTTCAATCGACCAGCCCTCCCATCCTTCCCTTTTCCCAATACGCGGTCCTTCCTTCAACTTGAGCTCGACGTCGTCCAATTTGGCCATGATTTTCGCGGTAATCACAGCTGCAGCTGGTGGTGCCCAGCTTGCCGCTACGCATTTCAGCTTTCCGTGCCCGAAGGCATACAGCTGGTCCCTCTTTGGACCGGAAGGGCTCGCGTGGAACCGCATAGGATTGAAGGACTCAGGGTCGCTTCCGAAGAGAATAGATTTCTGCGCTTCTTCGACGTCCGCTACATCCAAAGATGGAACGAACGGCTTCTTCCACCATGGGACGACCACAGAGCGGGTGATGTGGCGAGTCGGGGGGTGGAGTCTGAGAACCTCACTGATGATCGCCTCTACGCTAGGCCCTTCGGTGGCAAGGGCGCGGAACTGATCATCAGTAGGGTTCTCGTTATATGAGATGAATGCTTCGCGTAGCAGGCAATTGCGGTTAGAATAAACCACCGCAGTTGCTGCTACGCGCCACATTGTCTCGTACGCGGGGATGATGAGGTTGAGTGGATTGGTTCGGTCTGGAACCCATCTGACGATGTGATCGTTGATGCGATCGAGCACATCTGTAGGCTGAGCAATGCTCGATTTGGATTGTGCCCAACGCTCATTGATGGCTTTGGTGACGAATGCCACGTCTGCTGGGTCAAGATCTTCGATATCCGTACCCAGCAGGCCTGCCAAGACGACACTGAACGTGACAGATTGCACAAAGGTGGCGAAGTCGAGACTCTTTGCGTCAAGGAACCTGTTTACGCAGGTTTCGGTGACATCAACGAGCCTCGACCATCCATCTTTCGCGGTGACGGTGGTGATCAAAACTTTCGCTTCGCGAGTGAAGGCGTCATGGACGCCTGGATCATCACTGACGAATGTGCTGGAGATACCGAGCGCCTTTACAAGGCGCTGGTTGGGTATGGAACGTGCGCGTAATAACGCGGACATGGGGAGCTCAGGTGGACTCAATATTGTCCTGACGGCGGGGACACTTGTGTGTACCCTTGTCTTTGGGGTCATGAATGCTTTGGCGAGGGCTACCGCGACGGCAACGGCAGCGGAGGAAAACAATATGATACTAGCGTGAGGCATTGCGAATGTCAACTGGAAGAACTCGATTCACCTGTTGCCTCAGTATTTATCCTGGTGGCTGGTATGATCTATTCTCCGCTAGCTTTCGAACCACATGCGTGTAACCTTACATTGAGTTCAACACGTTTGTGACTCGAATTCCCATTCCATGCGATCTTTCTCAAAAGATGTTTTAATAGCCGCAGCACGCTCACGCGCCTGTCCAAGTGGGCGCACTTTCAGGGGAACCTTCATTTGTTGTTGCTGTAAATTCAGCCTTGGACTTTCCCGTCAGCGAAACTCTCACGTAACGGAGCTTCCTTGGCGTATTGCCCGCAGCAAGGGCGTCTGTGGTACGTTCTGGTATCTTCCTCCGCAGCACGCAATTGTCACTTGACTATAGTCTCCTGGGGGTTCTGCTGATCCCTAACCTATTAACACGAGGCCAGCTGTGCAAAGAAGCAGTCTAGCTCTATACAGCCATACTCGGTTTCATAATCAGCGCCCCCTTCCCAATTGTTCGCGGCTTTCACGTCAGACTTTCTGTGGGCCCATAGGAGTCAGACCATTTGCCTGTAAAGGGATACACGGTGGGCGTGTTTGAGGCTCTATGTACAATCCAGGAATACTGCTGCGGTAATGGTCACCGTGAAGATAAGCATCAGCGCTCAGCGTTTACATACTCCCCCCCCCCTCCACGTCAAAAAGCTATGGTACCTCCACAAGTCAGCCCCGCATCCAACTCGGATTTAGTCTGACCCATCTACCAAATAGATCCAGCAAGCGCTGACAAGTCGCGGTCGTCAAAAAATAGAACAAGGGAGTCATTATTAAGTCCGCCTTATCGGAGGCGCCGCGCTGCGGAGCGCTGGAATCTGTTGGAATCTGAGAGTCATGTATGTAAAATATGTCTTCTCTATTACATAGCCATACTAGAGCAGCCGGGATGTTGAAGACAGGAAGTAATACTTCCTGTGCCGTCATCCAATCCCCTGCGCTTATCCATTGATTACTTGTTGTGTCTCTTGAATATGATCTAGGATCCTGCCAATGAGGGAGACGTGCTAGAGTTGAGAAACGCGTCCTCTTGCAGTGATATATTGTATTCGCTAACGGGAATACCCAGTTTCAACATGATCTGAAAAGGTACAAGGGTATATCGTAGATCTGCAATGTGCATGCAGGACGCAAGCATCTGGATGTTTATCACGATCCTATGTATCTAACTCCATATAGACACACCGCTATCAAAGGCTGCGGATCAACCTTGAAGTCAGTATGCTCCAGTCAGCTCACTCTGCTTCAGATTCCTCACTTTCCTCTTCTAATCCAAAGATAGCCCATAGCACTCCAGCCTGCCCAAACGGCCTCTCCATGCCCAACAGGGTACTTGCCGCTTCATATCTGTTCTCCGGTTTCCTCACTTCCTCACATAGTTTCGCGTATGCCTTTGTCACGCGAGCCAGAGATACGCGGTGGATGGTGGAATGCAGAAACGGTGATGTCAACGCTGATAGGCGCGGTGAATGCACAACCTCGGGGCTGGAGAGCCATAGAGAGAATCTCGCAAGGGCGGGCTGCAGCTGCAGCGCAGGGAGCACATGGGAAAGCGGATCCTATAATCGAGTTTTAGACATGCATGAATTGTGAATAACACACTGAACTTACCGAAAGTGACTTGGACTTGATGGTGGCGACAATGTCATATAAAGAGGCATCTCTGAGGATGTTCTCGTACTGTATTACAGCTAAGTGAACTTTGTGACAACAAAAAGAAATAAACCTACATGCTCGTCCTCCAAAAGCCTCACCCTTTCGTCGATTTTTTCTTGAATGGTACGACATTTCTCCGAAGTAAACTCGAAAGCCTCCAGCACATTCTACTTTGATCAGCCAGCTGTAAATAGAATGCGACAGGTGCGGAAACTTACTTGGAGATAACACCAACAATTAAGCACGAACACCGCCCGATCCCACTGCGGGCGATACCTCGCCTTCTCCTCGGCAGCAGCGGTACACATGTCCATGGCAGGATCGAGCATCACATCTAGAATGCGGTTGAAGGTTTGTCCAGGCTCTGGAGTGGTGTCATCAAGAAGGGATGAGTCATAAACCTGCATGATTTCGCGGAGCAGCTGTGCATGCTCTAGAATCGGGAGCGGTGGGGTCAAAGATGGGTCGTCTGGGTCCTGGTAATCGCTTTAAATAATTAAACAATTTATAGTAAATAACTCACCAAGGGAATTCTTAGGAGCGCACGGCCATGGGCCTCGATAGCATCGAAGAAGACCTTGTAGCTCACCTCTGTGATTCTACCAAGAAGAATGAGTATGCGCGCAAGTGAGCAAGAGCAAGCAACATACTCGCTCAGAGTCGTCGATAGAAGAGCATCCTCCCCGATAGTACGCCGCATCGTAAGCATGTAGTATTGGAGTAGATTCGCAACTTTGTACGAGACAATGCTACTTTCTTGCGAACGCACAGTCTGCTGCACGCGCACCTGTGAACATATGTGAGACCAATTTATTGTATCACGGATGACCGACAGACCTTGAGCGGCACGCACAACTTCGTTACTGCAGAGTTAAGCAGTTCCTTGACCCACCCCTCTTCTTCACTCCCTCCATACGTCCGAACAGCGCCAACCATTCTCCTTGCTCTGCCTTCATCTTCTTGCCCCCCACCAAGCCCAAACAGGCTTTCCAGAAATTCACATTCTGCAGCGATAGCCTGGTGAACCCACGCAAGCATATCACCAACGTATCTGATGGGATCGTGTGCGTGCAATTCAATAGGACGCGGAAGACCTGACGGGCCACCGCGAGTCAATGCGTCCAAGAATGCACTCAGCAGACCTGTTTGGCGGGCCTGCGTCAGGAAAGCAAGAGCTTCGCTGTGAACGTATATTGAAGAGAGACTTAGAATCCACCAATAATGGGTACATACGAGAGCAACTCTGGACGCTGAGAGAGGCGGCAAATAGCTTGTTGCATGGTCGAGTCAACCTCCAGCTGAATGTCGCGTCCCAGCTGACGGAATTCAAAAGAACACCAGCGATATATCTTCTCGTATCCTTGTTCAAGGTAGGAAGAAGTGGACACCATGATGTCCAGTCTGCAAGAGCGCTATTCACACAACATCACTGGAGGTCACAGAACGCTACTTACCCAGCCTTTGTCGGTCCTTCTTCGCCTGACATGAGTACTCTGCAGTCATTACGGATATGCTCTGTCTTGTTCATTGCCTCGAAGAAGCGGGGGCCAATGGGGATGTCCCGCGAGGTTATAGCTTCAGCCTCTTCATCACTGAGCGTGAAGCGGTTTAGGAAGAGCATGACAATAGATTTGCGCATCTCAACCTCCTCCCTGTATTATCGATCAGTAGAAATACCATCCAAGGCACAAAAATCACACCTCTCACTCCTCAAGCTCTCCGCACGATCAAGCAAAGACCGGCTGGCCTCACTAGATAGCCTCAGCTGAGTCTCCGCTTCGTCACAGGCAATGCGCATGGCAGCGACGTGATTCTGCAGCTCATCAAGCTTCTACAGCTTGGTTAGACGATTCTCGATGATACATCTGACCAACACACACTTGATCCACTTCGCTGAATGCTTGAAGAAATTGTTGGCTTCCTTGTGCAAGTTTGTTCTCCAGATCTCGACGAAGATTCTTGCGTGCCCTTGACGCGGTCTCGTTCAGACCTTCCCTGTGGTCCTCGACGGCTAGCCCGACGTCTGCATCATCATCATCACTCCAATCATCGTCCGAGTCTGGGCCGTCAGTCTGTACTTTGGAATCTGATACCGGTGCTGTAGACTGAGTGCCATACAGTTCTGACAGGGTCCGAAGCGCTTCTGTCGTTGCTTCATCTGTGAAATTCGTACCCAAGATTTTGCGCAGGCGAATTGTTATTGGATTCCGAGTCTGCGACGCAGAAACTGGGGTGCCTGCATTTCGAGGCGGGACAGACAAGAAACTGGGTGGAGGTGCAGGTGAGTGTGCTTGAACGGACATACGGTTTCAGCTCGGCAAAGTCACACATATGAAGTCCGTCATGATTCATTTCTAAGTGGCAATTTCATGAAAGTTTCTTGCCTGTTCATCGAACCAAAACATTCATGCTGCAAATATAGCGTTCATTGGCAAAGGCATCGATGAGTATACCTAACATAGAACGTAGCAAATGATAAAGTCTAATGTATTACTATCGAGAAACCCGCTGATCAGTAGTGGTGCACCTCCTCGCGCTCACGACCACGCATGGATGCTGGCTCCGTACCCTTGTAGTAGATGTCTGTCCAGAGGTCCTTAGTCAATGGCTCAGGGGATTGTTTAGCCTCCTCGACAGCCTGGTCAACCTCAGCCTTGGCGTCCTTGTCAAGTTGCTACGTGAACATGATTGTCAATATAATTCAATGAGAAGCGAGTTCCGACAGACCTTGAGCTCCTGCTCGGTGGCAAGACCCCACTCCTCGATGTAGCGCTGGAGACCGCGGATAGGATCCTGTGTACTACGCATCCGCTGAACCTCCTCACGGGTACGGTAGGTGGTACCGGGGTCGGACATCGAGTGACCGCCGTAGCGGTAGGTAACGAACTCCATGAGAAGTGGGCCATTGCCTTCCGTTACCCACTTGCGAGCATATTGCACAGCGTGCCTGGAGGCAATGATATCCATACCGTTAACCTGAAGACATTCGAAGATAAGTGAATATTCGAGCCCGACAAGGAAGAGACAAAATGTGTTTACCTGGAGACCGGGGATCTTGTCACCACGAGTAAAGTATTCGGTGTTGGAGGAACTGCGCTCGGCAGAGGTACCCATTCCGTATTTGTTGTTCTCACAAACGAAGACAGCAGGAAGACCCCAAAGTTTAGCCTATGTACAATTATTTTGATCAGATTGAGCTCATCCATTACTCAAAATACCCATACCATGTTAAATGCTTCGAAGACTTGCCCTTGGTTACTTGCACCATCACCATAGAGAGCAAATGTTGCGGTGTTCTTGTCAAGGTACTTTTGAGCGAATGCGATACCAGCTCCTACGGGTACCTGAGCACCGACGATACCGTTGCCACCAAAGAATGAGGGAGTGAAGATGTGCATAGAGCCACCCTTGCCGTGAGACATGCCGGCCTGGCGACCAAGAAGCTCAGCAATAACACCCTTAATGGTGCCGCCACGCATGACAGCGAAAGGGTGACACCGGTATGCAGTGATAACACGGTCTTCAGGCTTAATGCCGTACTCAAGACCAACAGAGACAGCTTCCTGGTTGCATGGTCAGCAATACTATGCTATTCAATCGAGAACACTAAATACCTGGCCAATAGCCAAATGGCAGAAACCGCGAATAAGCTTAGCCTTGTAAAGGGCATCAGCAGCCATCTCCATCCGACGCATCGTTTGCATGTCCTTGTACATTTTCAGGAGCTCATCCTTTTTGACCTCAACCTCAAGAGATGGAGTCTCGCATTGATATGAGCGGAAGGACTCTTCATGGAGTTTCACGGTGAATGGTTTCGAGTGGTCCTCGATGGTGTCTTGCAGTTGAGTGGTGTCCGCGGACGTCTGAATGGCTCGCGCAAAGGCAGGCTGTGAAAAGAAAGACCCACAAAGTCAGTTTTCTCATCGAATGATATAGGGAGATTAACTGGACTGACGATACGGCGAACAGCAGGACGGAACCGTGCAAGAGAGGCCATTGCTGAGGACGGCGACGACGACGAGAATGAGGGAAAGGAAAAGAGCTTGGAAGAGAGGGTGGACGTGTCTGAACCGACGAGGGAGACGCGAACTTTGACCTCCCAAAATTGACTACGTAATTCGGGCTCGCGCGGAAGGAAATATTCTGTCGTACACAGCCACAATCCACACCATATCCAGGAATAAACCGAATGCGGCCGCCTGCAACTGACGATTGTATGGCACGATCCAACGCATAATAGATTGAATATTCCACCTCGTCTCACTTTTTTTCGTTATCGTGCATCTCTTGAAGACTTGGACGCTCAGGCTCAACATTCTGACTTTAGCTCGCGAATTATTCTGGTCGTTTAACATTGGTCTTATCAAAGTCGTCACGTCCCTTTTCGTGACATTGCTGGTGAGAGTTGTCGTGCGCGCCATGTGAGTTGGTTTGCAAGCCAGCTGGCGCCCGGTTCGGGAGACATTAGATCACATTGGTCATGGGGTCGACGGAGTTCCATAGCAAGTCTATTCCTCAAAGCCGTCGATGCAGTAGCACTGGCCAGTATTATTGATAGTCACCGAACGTTGAAGCTTCACGAGTGAAAGTAGTGAATTGAGATGATCCATTGCGCATAATAGCAAACACATTAAGCCTCTCGCCGGGTAGGCAGGCACTGTCAATATACAGAGTCCGCCTGAGAACAGATCTATGCATTATATATGTTCCAAGTCTGATAATCGGAAGTTAACCCACGTCCTATGAGCTGTGCATAACATGGACTTACTTTGCGCCACAGAAGGCCCCAGTGGTCATTGATTGGTCCATCAATACCCCATGCCATTGCCCTGAACCACCAGAAGTTTCCGATGATCAAGAATGCGCAAATGCCGAAAGCAACACGCTTTGTGCTGCTCTTCCAGCGTGCGGAGAAAATGAAGTGGTCAAGAAGGTGAGCGAGCATGAGAACGGAAAAGTAGAGAGTGGGAAGCTGTTCGATTGGTTAATAGACGCTTTCTGACTTTAATACAGCCACATACATAGTGATGGACATATGTGACACGGCCCATGATAAAGAACGGGACTGAAGAGCGGTTGTGAGTCCCTAAAGTGAACAAAGATGTTCAAGACTCACAATAATGCAAGAACCATCCAAAACCAGCAATTTTTCCAACATACAAGAAATGATCCCATTGTTCTGAAACGACGAGTTAACGCATACTTGCTATGTATATGGAAAGCGAGCTTACGAGGAGTCATGTCAACGTACTTGCGTTGGTGGCGCAGTAGGTATACGCCGAGGGCAATAACAGAAGCTATCAGGCTGACTGTACCGCCCCACCAGATCACAGGCGTGCCAAGAAGGTAGTACTTTGGTTGGTTGTCGCCCCAGCCACACATTCTGAGGCCTAGCCGCATCCAAGGCCAGTCGGTGGGACTTGACGCAAGGATATCTTCCTTATCCGGATCGGGGACAAGTGCATTGTTGGAAGTCATCATGGCCACATTAAGATGCCAGAAATCACGAAGGAAAGGCGACCTATAAAATTTCGCATCGCCCAGAGGTACTGAAACACCAACGTCAGAGCCATATCGAAGAAAATGGCACTGTGGCTCACAGCGGTCGTTCCAGTGACTCTCCACGTTCCAGTACGTGTGCATGTCATCTGGGTCGTTCTCCTTGATGCAACTGACTTCAAGCTGTTTGAAGCCCCACTGAGGTAGAACTGCATTCGCAGCATACAGGTAGCATCCTAGAGCCTGGTGTTTGAACCGCAATCTGGTTGTGAGGGAATGGATTCTCGTCACGTGCTCCTTGGTGCCCTGTTTGATATCATCGACGACCTCGACCACCCAATAGTCGTGGAAATCTCCAACAGTTGAGTTACCATAGCAAGAGACTTCGTTGTTAAGCTTCGTAACAGGCGCTGCCACCGTGTGCGAGTGCAAGTGTCTTGTTGTCGGTACATGCTGCAATCGGATGACGTCACCGTCCTGGAGGAACTGTAACTCGCCGTTTGGGTTGTATTCAGGCGCTTCCCAAGTGGGAAGGACAGTCCAATGGTTGTTGTCATCTTTATAGTGGTAGCAAGTAACCTGCTGCTGGCCTGAACCGACGGGATAGGTTTGAACGTGGGAGTGCAGGAGACCTCCACCCCAGCCCATGCCTTTCAAGGTAATTTTTGAACCGATTGCAATTTCTGGGTGTCTAATCAATGTCATTATTCCGATGTGAGCAAAGAATCAAACCAACCCCGTGGATTCTTGCCAAATTCGTTGCCGACCAGGTGGGCTTGGAACAGCGAACTCATCGTAGAGTCGCCAGGACCCGAGTGATTGAGGATCAGGAAATGCAACTTGAAGGACAGCATATATACCAGGATGGGGAGGATGATTAGGCAGACCACGCGAGCTGCCCAGTGTCGAATTTGATCTCGCTGTTGAAAGTATCAGCTTATAGGAGCGAATTCATGAAAGTAGCCAGCCTGACATTGGACATGCGAAGATCCCCGAACTTCTCCCAGAGATCCTCGATGGTGTACAAGCCAACCACAGCGGTCACGAATAATCCAATCCATTTGACACTGATATACATTAGTGAGGGCGCAATTGGGAAACGAGGAAGATGCCAGACCTCGTCACACATCCGATGGATATACCTGTAAATGCAAGCCACATCCACCAGTCGAAAGAGAATGACCTGTTACGAGTGTGAGCATCAAGCCGCATGTATGACGTGTAACACATACTGGTATTGTTGATTATGAAATTTGGTGAGCATAAAGACCGTAGTGAAAGTGAAGAAGAGGAGCATGGAATCCAGTAAAATAAACCGCGATATACACAACCAGGCAACATCTGCAGGCAGAACATGAAGCATCGGCGATGTTTACTTGTAGACCTGACACTCACCGCACAGAACCATAAGCGCAACCAGATGGCAAGACCATGAGCTCATTCCCAACTCAACCGCTGTATACCAACCCAGCGGAACCAAGGCCACACCGAAAGTCGCCATCATAACCCGCATAGCCACGTACGGGACATTTTCGTTGTACACTTCTCCGCTTTTAAACTCGAAGTGCCCATTGTAACCCGACAGTAAACCCGCAAGGCCGACAAGCATCTTCCCGAGCGGAGGGTGAACGTCGAAGTAAAACTCGCGTTTGAGGTAATGCGACCCGAACTTGCCAAAGTGCGCTTCGTCCCAAACAACGGTGTTGGCATGACCTATTTTGTGGAAGCGGGTCCAACACGAGAGCAGAGTGTAGATGACAGGCGGGAGGTGCTCTAGGTTCTGAGATATGAATTCGCTCTGGGCGGATGTTCAAAGTCAGGATGTGCAGCACCTCACAACAGTGAGAGGTACGTACTATCGAAGTCGGAGGGGGAGGAGGAGGCCTGTGAACACGACCACTGCTGACACGGCCTCTGGCAGGCTTTAGTTTTGAGTACACATCTTTTCCGCCGTTGTCGTAGTGCATTTCACTTTCATGCTCATCACCGCTCATAAACCCGCCGCTGCTGCCGGGTCCTCTAGCTACCCTCCGCCTTGTCGACGTATCCTCGTTCATGTGGTGTAACGGCAATGATTCTTCGTATTTGTAGTTCTGAGCGGTGTTGGAGTAAGATGGATGCGTGGCAGGATAAGGAATTTCTTCAAATTCAGAAGACGTGCGTAGAGGTGTGCCGGGCGGTGTACCAAAGTCTATTTGGACTTGAGGGGGTCTCATTTGCCCTCTACAGTATTTTTTTCTGACCGAACAGGACCTATGGAGCCTTTGGGAAGTTGAAACTTGACGGTCCTGCGTAAGTGATGAGCTGGCCTTGGTTTACGCGTTCCTGAAGTAACCTTACAACCAGTAACTATTAAAGCAGTGCCTATTGATGGGACACTGCGGGTATCGCGGATTCAGATTCCCAAAAGCTTGTGCGTTCAGATACAGAAACACTTCCAATAATTAGATAAAAGCACAAGTTCGTATCAATGATATGAGCACAACTACTTTTTACGACAAACGATGATACCAGCTAACAAGATGATTCAAAGCAGGCATGCATATTTTATATAACGTGTCTTTGGTATTGAGCTGTATGATCAAGCAATGTCAGGCACAAGTAGCAACCAAAAAGACATGGAGACTGCTCACCAGCAACCATAGCGTGGTCACGCTCGTACGGCTCGAGTGTAATTTGTTCAATAGGCTTGAACTTGTTTTCTCGTAGTTTTTGTACTTCCTGCACAAAAACGGCGGAGGGTGCTGCTGTTGAATCTATACAGCTAGCTTTGATGGAGATGACCACATGGCCACCATCTTTGAGGAAGAACTGCGCATTGTGGATGACAATACGTGCTTGATCGGGTTGTGCAACGTCTGCGAATATAACGTCTACAGTTGACACCAGCATGCGGTACCTGTTAGGAAGGCGGGCGTCCTCCACGATGGCTATAAAAACATTGTTCTCTTCAGCTGCAGCCTGCGGGTTGAAAACACTTACGAATGACGTTTGTTCGCTTTTTTGCCATATTAATCAAATCACGCCCTGATCGTGGCGAGAATTCAACAGCATATACAACACCTTCCTAGAATCATGTTCAACCAGGACTGTTAAAAGATGAAGAGCGCGACTTACGGGACCAACAATATCTGCTACGTGACTGACACTCGTGCCGCTGGCAGCACCGAGGTATAGAACCTTCTTTCCAGGTTCAATGAAAATCTTATCCATACCGCCCAATACACCTGCTGCCAGCTTACTCCGGAAAGGATTCCATACTCGATACTCGACCTTTGTGTCGTCGACACCACCCTCTATGGATATCCGCTTTTCGCCATACACACTTTCTCCCGGGACAAGGTTCTTCGTGACAAGCAGATGGTCTTTCCCCTTCGCGATGAAGACACCTGGGTGTCTATGAGGCTCGAGAATAACCTTCGCACCGCCCCTGGCTCCACCACCGGGGCCTCCACGGCCACGACCACCACCGCGACCTCCTCCGCCACGACCACCGCGACTGTCTCCACCTCGCCCACCACGACTTTGGAAGCCTCCACCACGACCACCACCTGAAGAGATTCAAAAAGGAATGATACAAAGTGAAATACCAACGTACCACGACCACCTCCCCTACCTCCCCCGCGTCCACCAAAACCTCCCCCACGTCCACCTCCCCCTCCCCCTCTACCAAATCCACCGCGATTTCCTGATGCTCCTGGAAGTTTTAGATTAGACACCGAATACCATAGATAGATTCCTCAATCAACATAAAAGATGTACACATACCAAATGCCATTACAAGTTGTGCAAATGACTTTGCAGTTGCCTTGCAGTGTGGTCTTCAAAATTTTCTGCAAACCTTGGTTCGTGCCTGTTTGTGCTTGATCGGTATATACTGTGACTTTCATCACGCTTTAGTCACGCTCGGGTAAGCATCAGTAAACAAGTTCAATTTGATCTCTGTACATCGGTGTACGAACAATAAAAGATCTTGTCCATGCCCTTCAAGTTCTCTTCTCTGCTTTCTGCACAGCGGTCTTGATGGAATGCAACGGACTTGATGTACCCCTTGGACTTGAGTCACGACTTGGCTGTCATTTCGAATATTTTTTTCCGGTTGGCGCGTTACTACCCAGCTACTGCTGTACGGAGTTTAACTTGAAGACGGGCTTGCAGGCGTCCACATTAGCCACTGCCGTAGAACGTGCCCATTGCTACTCCGGTCCTCGATAAATTCCTGCCTCTCGAGCCAGATCAGGAACTGATGGCGGTGGGGGGGGGGTTCATTCGCTAGTGTATTTAACTTCCTCATGACCCATATCCAGTGGTCTGTTCGCCTGCAAAAGGCCTTACAAGGACCCATCCACCGTCTGTGTGAATGTCTAGACGGTAGTGTCGTGATGCATCCTCACCGTCGTAGTGCTCAAACCGAAGCCCTCGAGAATGGCGGATTGCAGGACGCAATTTGGTGCCCCCAACAATTCCCGTGCCACCATTCACTGGGACTAATCCACGGCTTCTCCCTACAACGCATGGGCACTGGTAAGTAGTGCATCATTCATGCCATGGTCCTGACTTTTGTGCTTGGGATTCCCATGCCGTATACTTCATGTCCAACATAGGAGCCCCGAGAGGTCCCGTAGACTCAGTTGATTACCAAGGTTTGTCCACATCAACATTGCTCATCTCCGAGTGCTCGGTGAGCAACTTTTGTGAGATTCCTCGATGGTAATTTCACGACACAAAGCCACTGACGGGCGAGCTGCTGACCTGCAGGAGTTCGCCTTGTCCGAGTCCACATGGACACTCCAGTCCAGTCGGCTGCCCCTGAAATCCGCCCGGAACGAAACACAAAGTGCCGGTCAACTTACATATCTCATCTCGCTTTCGTCCTCTGATCAGACGGGCAAAGGTCAAGTAAAGCAACTACTAGTTTACACAAAAAAGTATAAAGAGCTCTGCGCCCAACATCAATGTAGGAACAAATTGTTAAACTAGTTTATTATGAATGTGGGACGGAGCGCTGATGGTGCTCGGTACCACGCATGAATCATACCAGACCCACTCCTTCTGAGCCATTCTAGAGCACATCCACAACGCTAGATTCGCCTCACTGAACGGCCATTCAAAACTTGCCCCATAGGCGTCCGAGATGGAGGTATCGCGCCACGAGGAGCAATACAACACCAAATATAATGCTGCTACCTGAGCAAGGTCGATTATCACTCAAAGATCGCGCGTGTCATAAACTTACCTGCATAATAACCCGCAGCAGCGAACCCTCCTGTCGCGGTACTGATGACGCCCGATATCGGAGTACCCGCAATGCCTCCAAAAGCAATTAGAGACATGAACATTCCCACTCGACGCCCCGCGTCTTCCATCTGTCCCATTGCCACAAGAGGTGCAGAGTACAGAGATACATATGCTCCGAGGGAGAACCTGGGCGGGTGAGTCGAGTAGCTAGCTGTGAATAAGTGCAACACGTACCCGTAAATGGCGGCTATTGCAATAAGCTGGGATTCGTTTTTAGCAAATGGCCAGGCAATTGTCGCGATTCCCGTCATAGCAGTCAGAACTGCCATGGTATTGGTAGCGCCTGTCAAATAATAACTGATATCACCACAGTCCACAACTGTCGAGACTTACCAATTTTATCTGCCATCAGTCCAAATGACACACGTAACGCAGAGGTCGCATTAGCGATCGCGAGTATATAGAACGAAAAATCTTTGGAGACGCCAATTGCTACGGCGCTCACAGAGATATATGTGAGCTCTGATCGAACCAAAATATCAGGAGCCACAATTATGAGCACAACAGGCCGCACCTGTATAAAGACCTAAAAGTATAATAATTCCTGAGATGCAATACATGGTATATGCTCTGTTGTGGAATGCTTTGAGATTAAAGAGTCCCCCATGAACGTTAACGGGCGGAAGCCGTCGTTTCAGTAACTTGAGGGAAATGCGTCAGAGAAAGAAACATCCACAGGTGCTGCCGACATACTACGTTGGCCGTCCCCAGGGTAGCCGCCAGAATGAATCCAAACACACGTACAGTCCATTTAAACCTGAAATTGCATGAGCGTATGTGAATTGCCCCATGATTGATTGAACAAACCCACCCAATTGATGGGATCAAACTTTGTGCCGCTACCGGGAACACGACGCTGCCGAGCGCAGTCCCAACAGTGGTGAGTGACAAAGCAAGGTTGCGTCTCTTGGAGAACCAATGTGACACGATGACGACTACGGGAGTCCACATGATACCACAGCACACTCCTATACCGACACCCTGCGTTAGGAAGAACTGCCAGAATTGAGTGCATTCCGCGGTTAGGAAAGTGCACGCAACGAGGACGCAGCTAGCGGCGAAGAACGGTATTTTAAAGTATCCCAGATCAAACATTCGCCCCGTAGCAAGCGATGGAAGGCACGCGAGCGCGTACTAGCAGGTCAAGTGAGCTTCGCAGGTTTGCTAGAACAAAAACTGAACACGCCTGCGTAGAACCAATCCATGCTCTGGGGAGTGCAATAAATCAGTTATACAAGGTTGCATCAAACAAACTTAGCAACGTACATAGCTGAAGGTGACGTGTGAAGTAGTAGATTTTCCTCGTAATACGCTTGGAAGACCTGAAGGGCAGAACTTTGTAGGAACTGTAAGTGTATGGTGATCAACCTTACTTACACCCCATGAAAGTATAAAACCAAGCCTGGCAAAACCTTCTTGAGCCAAACTAGAGGAAGAAATTAGGAACACTACTTACGTGGAGAACATGACCAATGCGGCACTGCAAATTGTCAATCCGAATACATCAGTGACTAAGTCAATGAATTAAACGTGTACTCGCGCAAACACTACGAGCCATGCCCTTAATCCTCCATCTGGTGCTTCACCAGGTTGTGTTGCAAGCTTCTGAGAACCTTGTTCATTCGGTATTTCCTGGTCAACGACTGCCTTTGTCTCCCACTCATCGTAGGACAAGCTATGTCTGCTTCCAGACGCAGGGTCAATTTGAATGCCTTGGAAGGCTTCTATGCTTAGTGACTTCTCGGACATGGTATCTTCCGCCACTACAAAGAGAAGAGGTCAATCAACGGGGAGAGCAGGGGAAAAGGAACAACTGTACTGGTATGTGCAAATCATGCTGCCGACGTCATGTACATATATCATTCTCCGAGATGCAATGCTGGCTCCTTCGGAGTCTGATGATGATAGTCATTTGCAAAACTTTGAGGGTCACCGTGTCGGGTTGATTTACTCCGTTCGTAAACCGCCACTGAATAATGACACGAATACAAAGACCAAAACGCGTAATTGGACTTGCTGGCTTTCGCTGGCCAAGGAGCTGGATCCCAGGCAGGCCCACTATATCTAGCCTTTGCTTTGCCAATGAAACTGCCAGGACGATTTGAAGGTTATTCCTAATGATGTAGCCTCAAGTGATCAGTTTCGTAGTGAAAAAATTGTGTCGGCAGTTTCGCCTTTTCAGATACTTTATGGATAAACGGCCACGACTTTCAAGCGGGCTAGCTATCGGATGTATAACACAATATAAGACTCACACTGAAGTTGTCAAAGGCGTTCTCAGGCTTATGCCGAGTTACGTGCTACCGTCAGTCACTCATCATCATATCCTGATGCAATTTGAGTCTCCAGCCAGAATAGTGGACCAATATTACCGACATCGCTGGCGCCTCCCCAACGCTTCCCAGATCAACTCGCTGTGTGGTTGAACGGATTGTCACTATCAGTTATGAAACAAGAAGTGGGACGAGAATGCTATAATCTGTACGTCAGCAGAATGGCTTAAAGATACTCCAGGTGACAGTCGCTCCCTCCTTCCCACTCTTCTCTTGATTTTGACCTTGCTGTGTATTGAAAGCTATGTCGGAGAATTCCCCAAGCTTAACGGCTTTCCAGAACGCAGGACTTGCTACTCACATCGAGTTGATTCTACATTCCGCTTGTCATAATAATATTCTCGGTAGATAGAAAACTCGGTGTGAAGTGAGAACTTAGCAGATACTATGGGATGCCTCTCTTGTCACCTTCGTCTGTGGAGGGAGGGCAGGGAGCCGTCGAGTGCGTTTGGTTGGGAGATGGATGTACAGGCGATGGAGGTTCGTCTTCAGTGTCACAGTTGTTTCGAGAGGCGGCGAGAATCATGTGCAGAGCGTTAAAGTTGCCGGACAATTGTTCGTGAATGCTGGAACTGATGAGTTGTTGTAATATATACACTGTCGTCGTTGTCGATCCCAAGGGGCATCCATTTTCAATGTCATGAAGTAGTCAACGACGAAGCTACTACTAGTACTTACATTTGCATTCGCTTCGACATACTTTCAAACTCCGCGCATCAACTTGATCTCGTTGCAAATTCATTCAAGATCTGCATTGGAATACTACGGGATGTGTATGTTTAAGTGCAACAAGGCCCCAAGTCAGCGCTGCACTAGTAATCTATCTAAGGAGCTCTGGCCCCAATGTTCCACCAACAAAAAATTGTTACCTGAGCTCATTATGAATGTAGCATGGAACGTTGATGCTTGGCACCACGCATGAATCATGACGCATCGCAACGCAAGATTCCCCTGACTGAACTACCATTCAAAACTTGCCCCATAGGCGTCCGAGATGGAGGTACCGTGCCACGAGTAGCAATAGAACACCAAATATAATGCTGCCACCTGAGCAAGGTCAACGTCCAATCAAAGATCGCGCGTGCCATAAACTTACCTGCAAAATAACCCGCAGCAACGAACCCTCCTGTCGCGGTGCTGATGGCGCCTGATATTGGAGGACCTGCAATGCCTCCTAAACCAATGAGGGACAAGAACATTCCAACTCGACGCCCCGCGTCATCCATTTTCCCCATCGCAACGGCAGGTATCGAGCACAGAGTTACATATGCTCCAGTGGAGAATCTGGACGGGTGAGTCAAGCATCTAGCAGTGAATAAGTGCAACACGTACCCGTAAGTGGCGGCTATTGCAATAAGCTGGGATTCATTTTTAGCAAATGGCCAAGCTATTGTCATGATTCCCGCTAAAGCAGTAAGGACTGCCATGGTGTTGAGTGCGCCTATCAAACATCAACTGATGGATCATAGTCCACAACTGTCGAGACCTACCAATTTTATCTGCTATCAGTCCAAATGACACACGTAACGTAGATGCCGCATTGGCGATTGCGAGTATATAGAATGCAAAGTTTTTGGAGACGCCAATTGCTACGGCGCTCACAGAGATATAGGTTAACTCTGATGAAACCAAAATATCAGGAGCCACAGCGACGAGTACAACGGTCGTACCTGTGTAAAGGCCTAAGACTATCATAATTCCTGAGATGCAATACATGGTATATGCTCTGTTGCGGAATGCTTTGAGATTAAAGAGTCCCCCATGAACATTGACGGGCGGAAGCCGTCGTTTCATTAACTTGAGGGAAATGCGTCAGAGAAAGAGACACTATAGGTGTTGACAACATACTACGTTGGCCGTTCCCAGGGTTGCTATCATAATGAACCCAAATACACGGACTGTCCATCTAAACCTGTAATGGTATGAGTGTATGTGAATTGCCCCATGAGTGGTCGAACAAACCCAATTAATGGAATTAAATTTTGTGCTGCTACAGGAAGCACGATGCTGCCGAGGGGAGTACCAACGGCGCCGATGGCCATAGCAAGGCCACGTCTCCTGGAGAACCATTGCGACACGATGATGACTGTGGGAGCGAACATGGTACCGGAGCACAGTCCTATACCGACACCCTGCGTCAAGAAGAACTGCCAGAATTGAGTGCATTCCGCGGTTAGGAAAGTGCACGCAACGAGGGTGCAGCTAGCGACGTAGAACGGTATTTTAAAGTACCCCAGGTCAAACATTCGCCCAGATGCAAGCGATGGAAGGTACGATAGCGCGTACTATGAGGATAATTGAGCTTCGCAGGTTAGCTAGAACGAAAATTGAACACGCCTGCGTAGAACCAATCCATGCTCTGGAGAGTGCAAGACATCAGTTATACAAGGTTGCAGCGAACAAACTTATCACCTTACATATTTGAAGGAGAAGTGTGACGTAGAAGATCTTCCTCGTAATACTCTTGGAAGACCTGAGAGGTATGATTTTGTAGAAATGCAGGTGTGTGGTGAAAAATCTTGCTTACACCCCATGAATTTACAAAACCAAGCCTGGTGGAACGTTCTTGAGCCAAACTAGAGGAAGAAATTAGGAACACTACTTACGTGGAGAACAAGACCAATGCGGCACTGCGAATTGTCAATACGAAGACGTCAGTGACTATTTCAATGTACCAAAATGTACTCGCCCCAAAACGATAAACCATGCCTTTAATCCTCCATCTGGTGCTTCACTCGGATGTGTTGCAAGCTTCTGAGAACCTCGTTCATTCGGTATTTCCTGTTCAACGGTTACTATCGTCTTCTGCCCATTGTAAGACGCAGCATCAATTTGAATGCTCTGAAAGGCCTCTATACTCAGTGACTTCTCGGACATAGCTTCTCCTGCCAATACAAAGAGGAAAGGTTAGAACCAACGGAGAGCCAAGGGAAGAGAACAACTGTACTGGTATGTGAAAATCATGCTGCCAACGTTACTTCGTTCATATAGTACTCAGTGGAGCACATAGTTCCTTCCCATAGCTATTTGCAAAAACTTGAGGGCTGGAAAAACTTGTATTCCATTTGTAAACCGCCGCCCCTGGGTGACGCCACGCATATAAGGACCAGAAATATGACATTGCACTCGCTGGCCTTCGCTGGCGGGGGTGAGGAATTGGACCAGATCACAGACCCGGAAACGCTGCTTTTTGCTCCTTGGTAGATCAAAGAAATTAGAGCGGAAAGACTAGATCAACTTTAAATGATTAATCTCGCAGTGAAAAGTATGCCAACAAGTTCACCTTTTCAGAAGCCCCACAGACAAACGCTTGCGACCTTGAAGTGCGCGCTAGTAAGATAGTCGGTAACTGATGTTGCGTCACGGGTGTTGAAAAGTTGAAACTTGAGCTTGAGGCCTAGGCCCAAGAAGGCCAGCAAATCCTATTACTATTTTTGGTGCTGGTGTTTGCATCTTACGGTACCTTACTTGGGTATTACCGTCAATGTTAGTATAGCACGGGTATACCGTGGGCTGCGGGTCCGTCATCGCTCACACTGGCAGTTCGTAGTATCGAGCCAGGATAGTAGATGAACATTGATGTCGCTGGCGCTTCCCAGAGTAACTCGGCGGCCTTATTGAACGGAATCCCAGCAGCCCTCTGTTTTGCAAATAGCTCGGACAAGAAGTCACTGTGGGAAGTAAATACCCTGAAAGTAAACGTGAGAAACCCTGAATGACATAAGATAGGCCTCACACACCACCAACGTCACGTGATGTATTTAGTCACACTGCTGCAATAGTGGTACTCAAAATAAAAATTAGAAATAGTGGTACTCAAAATAAAAATTAGAAATGTTTGAAAGCTCGCTGAACTCTGACTAAGGCTTTCAACTCGTGGCTAAGCGGCTTCCAACACTTCGGCCGCTGGGACTGCGATTGAAGGTCAGGCCGGCATCGCTGGCGGAGTTTCAAACAACCATGCCTCCTTCTCGCCAACGTGTACGCCGTTCTGCACGCTTGAAAGCTAACCCTCTAGTGTGTTGCTCCAGGTCGATGGACGACGAAGGTCCAAACACTCGCGGACCAGCCAAACCCCCTCCAGAACAGCATGTACCCCGCCTGACTATCCAGTGGCAGAGCGACCGTGCTCTTACCGACATCCTCGTCAACCATCTCTCCACGCACCCCGCCGATTGCAGAGTACTTTTCTACTCTGACGGCAAGAAAGCGATGGCTGCCGTTGATGATGGTGCCTCGGGCTCGGACAAGGGGCAGGTGTATGGTACCCTGGCCAAACTTATTTTCACTGACCACCCGAGGTACGGTTACGCGTTCGCCACCAACGCAAAGAAGTTTCGTGACGGAGTCTGCAACCGCATCCAAACGTGAGTCGTTCCCGTTTTTTCTTCCGTTACAAAAAATACTGAAATTTATGTAGACTTAGGGGGAAATACAAGAAACTCAAGGCATCTTTTGACAGTACTGGCGCTGGTGTGATGCCTGGTGAAGGCACGCAAACGAAAAATCTTTTGGGTGAGTCCTCGTTCCTTATTTTCTGGTCCTTAGCTGATGTGTTTCGTAGATGCAGCGCTCTTAGAGCTCCCATGGTATACGGAACTGGATGCCATTTGGCATTCCAATCCGTCCATGGCCGCGAAGACTCACTCATCAAGACCTGGCGTCGATCACGCCGGCGCGTTATATTCCTTGGTTGGACGACATGCTGGGGCTGGTACCCCCATGCAACTTGACACCAGCGCCGGTCCCCCCATGCACATTGATACCAGCGCCGGTCCCCCCATGCACATTGATACCAGCGCTGGTCCCATGCAGTACCCTCAACCGCCTCCTCAATATCCCCCGCCCGATATCCATTCCTTCCAGCACTCCACCCTCGCATTATGGCCAGCACTACTATCCCCCAGCAATGCCTTATGCTGGGGGTTCACATGGTGATCCCTCCATCGATCCAACACTGCAACATCCTGCTCCTGCTCCCGCATTACCCTCCACTGCCCCTTTGCCCTCCGCTGGCCCTTTGCCCTCCACTGGCCCTTTGCCCTCCGCTGCCCCCCTTACCCTCCGCTGCCCCCTTGCCCTCCGCTGTCCCCTTACCCTCCGCTGCCCCCTACAATCAGTCTTCTCAATTCCATCTCCCTGGCCTTCCAACATCAGACGACGACATGGACATGGACTTTCAAGGCACCGGTGGCCCATTGGATGCCCCCCTTGAAGGTGATGAGAGGGCCGATAGCTCTTCCAAAGTCGCTGGGAAGAAGCGACAACTTCCTTCGTCGCCGTCTCCCCCTCCCGATGCTCCCGAACCTTTCGCTATGCCAGCAGCGTCCCCATCATCTGTCTACAACAGCCGCTCGGCATTTGGCCTGAAGAAGCCACCGAGCCGCGGTAGACACCGCAGGCTGCCATTGGAGATCTCTATCAGCACGTCAGCACCTTCGTCCACGACACGCAATACTACCCCGTCGTCGGACTACCTGATGTCCTCGACCCCCCAGACTTCGCTTCCACATAGCGCCGGCGGCTCGAAGAAGAAAAAGGCCAAGTCGGATGTGATGCAGCAGGTTGAGGAGGTGAGGGATGAGATCGCGTCCATGCAATCTGATGCGATGTCGCGCCACGACCACAAACACCAACGCTATCTCGCGAAGCTCGAGGCGAAGACAGAACACACCCGCGACATCAAGAAGTACGAGTGGCTTCGCGCCACGCGCGAGCACGAGACCTTCCAGGCTACTGTCAGCCATCAGCGTCTGCAGGAGTCGAAGGATAGCGACATCCGCCTTCGCGAGGCCGACATCCGAGTCTACGAAGCGCATTCCTTGGTGCTCGACAAGGAGGCGGAGACTCTTCGACTCAAGATCCAGTTTCAGCAAATGATGCAGGCGAGCAAGGGCCCAGCATCAGATGGAGTTGAGTGAGCTCTCGTCGTCGTTGTCTCGTTGCCGTTGCCGTCTCATTCTCGTCATCATCTCATTCTCGTTCTCGTTCTCGTCGTCGTCTCATCATCTTATTTGCTGTTGTTGTTTCCATTGGACTTATGTGTTTTCAGTTTTGTTGCTACCTTCTGTGATTGAGTACATAGCTATATACATTTGTTGTACAAGTCTGTTAGTAGTATTACATGTTCAAAAGCATTGATCATCCTTCCCTATGGTGTGCATCTGAGTGAGGACTGTTAAAGAGCTCATCCATCAACTTTGCACGAGCAGCTTGACCAGGAGTGCCATCATATGTCCTGTCACCAACTACTTCTTCACCTTCTGGACCCTCAATCTCTTGATCAATGAAATCTTCCCCCTCCGTGCGAGCCCACTTTAGAGAGCTCTCGTATGTTCCGTCCTCCTTGCGATGCTCGATTTCAAAGCGAATGATCATGTTGTGCAGGATGATGCAACACTTGATCCACTGCACAGCAAACTCGAGGTCTTTCTCAGCCTGAATTCTGAACCGTAGCTCTCGAAGGGACTGGAACCGTCCCTTCAAAACAGCAAATGTGTGTTCAACACGAACACGAATCTACATAAATAAAAATCAATTGAAAAGCACTAAAAAAAAACATACCTTAGAGAGGTGATAATTGAATGTCTTCTGGTCCCTTGTCAGCCGTCCGTTGCGAGGCCTCTTGAAAGGGGCGATACACCATGGTTCCAATGGGTAAGCGCTGTCTGCCCAAACCCAATGACCATCAGGCAGAAGATCAGCGTGCTCGTCATAGAGGCGAGTGGATCGAAAAGCGAATGCATCATGGACACTCCCGGGATGACCAAGAGAGTAATCAACAATCAGGAGGTTATGGGGCAGGATGACTGCCTAGAATTAAATTAATTTTTGCACATGAAGACGAAGAACAAAAATGTTACCTGACAGCCAAGGGAATAATTGGACTTCCTATCATAAAATGTCTCACCGTAATAACCAGGTTTCGTGAACAGATTCATAGTCGAACCATCGATGGCTAGAAAGCCACCTTTCCACTCTGGACAAGTACGTGACTCGGCAAATTTGCGAGCCAGGTCAGCGTCCTCAGAATTACCTGCTGGGAAGCAGATAAACTGATCATGGGCATCAAGCACCGCAATCATCACACGATTAGTGCAATTAACTACGGACCCGACACTCACGCCTGCCCATTGAGCGACATCCTCGAGAGAAATGGAATTGCCATAGTGGCCTGCCCGATTCAGAAAGATGGCGAGCTGGATGGAGACAGGGAGCTGAGGATTGTTGGACTGGTTCTGGAAGATAGGGTGATTAGATATATGATCGAGGATGTCATCGAAGATCTCCGGGTTGACACGAAGTTTCTGCCGAAACAAGTGAGGGCGGTGTTCCTCGTGGTGAACCAGCATGTGGAGTTGAGATGCTCGTGGAGGAGGCTCGTCAGGCTTGTGGAGTACACGAGCCCTCATAACCTCATCACGAAGAGCATTGATGGTGTCTTGGAGCCTGTCGTAAGGCAAAGCGACGTCATCAGAAGATACAGAACTGGTATCAGAAGAATCTGAAGTCGCTGAAGTCGCTGTGATAGGGGAGTCGGGGGGACATGGGGGAAGGAGATCTTAAAGACAGACTGATTGAAACATCATCGTCTGAAGGAGTAGTAGAAAGCGAGTCCTCGGAGCTGGAATCGCTCTCAAAGTCTGACCAGTCCTCTAGGATATCCTGGTATCGTAACCTGGCCAAAGAAAGTTCGGCCTGATCCACGGTATTCAGGAGCTCTTTACGAGTGGATGGACGAGGCATAGTTATGGTGGGGGGCTATGGTGCGTGTGGGATCAAAACTCCTATCTGCGTGTATATGTGACGCAGTTTTCAGCGGAGTTTGAAATCTCGGAAAGTTCCGAGGCTTCGTCTTGCACTGAGCACGCCGTTGTCGTTGTCGTTGTCGACCTCACCCTACGAACCTCGATGCCCATCCACAGCGCTGAGAAGGCCACCATCAAATTTTCGGGTGCCATCCACCCAAGGTAAGTCATTTTTGTGTGTAGTTAACTAACATTTACTTTTATTTGATAGGAAATCTATTATAATCCGGATCCCACACAGATCCCACCTGACCAGCGGCGCCTCGCCCTTACCGGCAAACGGCCTGTCCACCTCCCGCATCCTTATCTGTCTCTACGGAGGCACCCTCACGTTGGAGATGGAGTCATCGGACACCATCGACAACGTGAAGGCGAAGATCCAGGACAAGGAGGGCATCCCAACTGACCAGCAGTGTCTCACCTTCGCTGGAAAGCAGCTCGAAGATGGCTGTACTCTCAGCGACTACAACATCCAGAAGGAGTCCGCCCTTCACTCGATCTTGCGTCTTCACGGAGGCACGCAGATCTTCCTCCCGACGCTTTTCATCCCCCCCCCCCCCCCCCCCCCCACTGCTCAGCATCCCCCGGTCCTCAGCGACTACAACATCCAGAAGGAGTCCGCCCTTCACTCGATCTTGCGTCTTCGCGGAGGCACGCAGATCTTCCTCCCGACACTTTTCATCCCCCCCCCCCCGCTGCTCAGCATCCCCCCCCTCCTCCGCTCGGCACTTATTTGGTCCCTCCCGCGCTCCCTACCTACAGCTGATTTCATTCCCGCGGGCCTTGTTTTTTTTACAATTTTATTAATGCTTTCATTGAAATACAATTATGTTGGACCGCTACTCTACCACTTTCCCCTATGTACATAGCACGCTTTGAAAATCACAAGTGTCGTTTTAAAGTCCGACTACATGCCGACGTGTGCCGAGCACATTTCTCTCGGACTTGCGCGAGTTCTTTCAAACTTTAAGCGGGGAGTTGAAGGGAGTTGAACGCAGTTTAGCGATTTTTCAAGAGTTTCAAAATTTATTTTGAGTACCACTGTTGCTATTACGTACGCGGCTGCTGTACCACAACCTCATGTTCGACTCGCGGCTTCCGAATCGCCAACCCCATCTTCTATCCCCCACCCCCACTGCCGCCCCTTCTTCTACCTCAAATTCAGGCGGCGCCTTCCTTATGAGCAAACTCACACTCGCACAACGCACCCAGATCTTCTGGACTGCAACTGCTATTGCTGTAGCCGTATCTCTAGTTCAAGGTGCTATCACCACTCTCGTCGAGATATGCGAGAGCGAAGGTTTATGGACAATCCGGTTCAGCCTCGCCCGAAGGGAACATCTCTGGTGGACAGGCATAGCAATTGCTCTCGTAGCTTCCTTTGGCTGTATGATCCTCTCTTTCCTTGCAGGTAAGCGCCCGTCCATATTACACCTGTATATTCAATGTTCATTCATACAGGCAATAACAACGATTCACTCGGAATCATCTTACTAGCCAGCGCATCATCCCTCGCTGTATTCCGCTACGCATGGCCCGCTTGGCGTAATCGGCACTACTGCTCAAATCGATGGGCAGCATGGACTGGCCCCAGCCGCACAGGAATAGACACAACTCTAGTTCCCCTCATACAAGGCAACGATCCCTGGCCAATCCTAAGCAAAGGCATCCCAGTCATGAAACAACACCCCGTCGACAAACGTTTTCCTCTCTTCAAATCTAATCTTATCGCAGATGACCCCACAGACATCCTCAAAGCCAAGAAGCGTGTGATCGACACCGCAGATAAAGAAAAATCAAAGCCGTCGACGAAACCCCTAGAACGCGCACCAGACGACAAGACAGGTCTCTACGCCCCCATCCACCCAGACAAATCCGCATCCCTCCTCTGGGGATCTCATATCGGATTCTCCCCGCGCGTCAGCCGCGGCATCCTCGCAGTCCCAAAACGCCTCTTACAATCCTCCCCTCTCACATCCTCAGGGCACGACGGCCAACCCGTCTGCCTCGCGCACGGCATCCTCGGCCGCAACAAAGGCCTACAGCCCTTTTCCTTCATCCTGGGCCTAAACCCCAGCAAATTCGAAGAAAAATGCGTCCAATGGCCCCGCCCGTCCAAAGTCCTCCGCACCTACTACCGCGAAGAAATGAACGCAGCCTACGGAGGCCTAGGCGCCACATTCGTAGACGCAGCCACAGAACTCGCGCTCCTCCTAGCCGATTCCAGCCACAGCCTCATCGAAGACTGGCTCGCATCGCGCATGGAACATCAAGATCACGCATTGAACAACCAGCTTGCTCGTCTTGGTGCGAGTGATGAGGAGTTGAAGGTGATTTACCGACTTTCATATGCTGCGATGTTGGTTAGTTTGAGCGCGCATAGGAAGGGGCGGAAGTTTAGGCCTGAGGTGAAGCTCTTTGTGGCGTATTGGAAGAGGTATAGAAGGGTGGAGCTGCCAGAGTGGATGGGTAAGAGAGAGGTTGTGGAGAGGGTTGGGGTGGAGGAGAGTGAGTTGGGTGATACGGATCTGGATGCGTTGATTGATTCTATTTTGTATAAGATTGATGAACCACCTTTTGTATGAGATAATAACCGCGTACACGACGAATACATGTAACAATTTAATGAACTAGACTCGTCATGGCTTATGTCATCCTGAACTTTCTGAAGTGGAAACACAGTGACACTCGGACCTACACAGGTCGGAACCGTTGTCGCAGCTGGCAGTCCCAAGTATCACATCCTCCAACGGAGAAATGGCGACGACGACAGTGATCCCAGTTGTGGAGGAGGGCAAGCTCCTCAGCGAGTCACTAAGCACCGTCAAAATACAAGTCGGCCAGATGAAGAGACATTTGGTGCGTTTCCTGCGCAGCATAACATGTTATATTTCACTAACATCACCTTGATACTTGAACAGGATGGCGATGATATCATGGACGCGCTGAAAAGCGCTAGCTTGATGCTAGCAGAACTCCGGACGTCATCCTTATCCCCAAAGCAATACTACGAACTCTGTGCGCACAACCGCTTCCTCCATCTCCATTCCCCTCTAACCTTGTATTTTTGAGTACAGACATGGCAGTTTTCGACGCTCTGAGACACCTCTCCAACTATCTCTACGACGCTCACACCCAATCCCGACACCATCTCGCAGACCTCTACGAACTCGTTCAATACGCTGGTAACATCGTACCGAGATTGTATCTCATGATCACAGTCGGCGCAGTATACATGTCTATCTCAGATGCTCCTGTAAAGGAGATCATGAAAGATATGATGGAAATGTCTCGCGGCGTCTTACACCCCATTCGCGGCCTCTTCTTAAGGCACTATCTAAGCGGACAGACGAGAGACCATCTCCCTATCGGTGTTGATCCAGGGTACGTCCCATTCCATCTACGTCCCCCGCACTCATGCTCACATCCACACAGACCGACCGGAAACCTCCAAGACTCCATCTCCTTCGTCCTAACCAATTTCATCGAAATGAACAAACTCTGGGTCCGCCTCCAACATCAAGGCCACTCCCGAGACCGCGAAAAGCGCGAGATGGAAAGACGCGACCTCCGTATCCTCGTCGGCACCAACCTCGTCCGTCTCTCCCAACTCGACGGCGTAGACCTCGACATGTACCAAACCAGCATCCTCCCCGCCATCCTCGAACAAGTCGTTAATTGCAAAGACGTGATCGCGCAGGAGTATCTGATGGAGGTCGTTATTCAGGTACGCTCATCCCTTTCCGCCCCACCAATAGATAGAGACCAAACGGAAGAACTGACCCATCAAATCACTCAAGGTATTTACAGACGAATTCCATTTACACACACTCGGTCCGTTCCTATCAGCTACAGCCCAACTGCATCCAAAGGTGAACATCAAACTGATCGTGATTGCCCTCATCGACCGGCTGGCTGCGTATGCTGCTCGGGAGGCTGAGAGTGAAGACCCGGAGGAGACGAAACGTCAAGAGGAAGCTGCTGCTCGGAGACTTGCGGACAAGGTTAAAGTTCAGAAAGCTCGGGTGCGGGAGAATGGTGCGACTGTTGTACCCCCCTCGGCGGAGGATGCTTGGGATAGCGCTGTTATTGATACGGAGAAGCGTTTGGCTGAGATGGAAGTTAGTGAAGGAGGGGCTACGAATGGTGTTTCGACGGAGAAGGAGGAGGAGGAGGATGGATCGCCTGTTCGCAAATTCAGGGGTGTTCCAGAGAACGTCCAGTTGTTCGAGGTGTTTTGGAAGCAAGTAGTGGAGCTTATCAAAGTGAGTTTCAATCTATGCTGGTGTATGCGATTCTCATCCGTCTTTTTTCAAGGCACGGCCAGACTTGTCGATACAGGATATCACCGCACTGCTTGTATCCCTTACCAACCTATCGCTAAGCTGTTATCCCGACAGGTTAGAATACGTGGACCAAATCCTTGGCTTTGCGCATGACAAAATCAAGGAGTTCTCAGAAAGGCATGTTACGTGTCTTCATGACAACCTCGTGCACTAATCAAGCTCTGCAGCCCTGACCTACACGCACCGCAGACAGCTGCAAACCTCGCCGCTCTCCTAGTAGCTCCTATAAATTCCTACCAGTCCGTCCTCACACTTCTCGCAATCCCGCACTACGTTCCTCTACTCTCCCAGCAATTATTCTCGACCCGACGGTCTATCGCCCACTCGGTTATTACGAGCGTGCTCAAGAATGAAACGATCATCGAGGCGCCGGACGATGTCGATGGAGTCTTGGAGCTTTGTCATGTTTTGATCAAGGATCAGACTGATTCCGCGGCACCGCAGAGCGCTGGTGCAAAAGAAGTCAGAAGACAAGGACCTTATCATACTGAGAGGGAAGATCTAGCAGAGGAACAAGGTTGGGTTGCAAGGATGGTGCATCTGTTCCGTGCAGATTCGCTGGATATCCAATTTGATGTGCGAGATTTTGTCTGCGAGAGTCTTGTTTGGACTAATGAGGTGCTGCGCAGCTGTTACAAACGGCTCGAAAACATCTTGAAGCTGGTGGCGAGCGGATGCGCTATACGTTCCCTGCGCTTATCACCTCTAGCATTAAGTTATGTAGACGGTATAAGAACTGTGAACATCTGGTACGTCGTCTTATCGTTATTGTATTCTGCTGCTCACCATTCATAGGAGGAAGGCTGGCAAGACAAGGTCAACACGATCCTTAAATTCGTCAGACAATGTACATCCATCCTCGCCACCCAGGTCGACGCCCCAGCACTCGCGTTGAGGCTGTTCCTCCTCGCAGCACAGATCGCATCCGAGTGCGGCTCAGGATTTGAAGATCTCGCTTATGATTTCTATGTGCAAGCGTTCTCAGTATACGAAGACAGTATTTCAGAAAGCAGAGCGCAGCTTGCTGCTATCACTCTTATCATCGGTACTCTTCAAGGCGCAAGAGTATTTAATATCGACGGGTATGATACGCTGATAACGAAGGCTGCTTTGCACGGTGCGAGGTTGTTGAAGAAGCAGCATCAGGCGACGGCGGTGCACGCTGCTAGCCATCTGTGGTGGCAAGAACCTGTGGAAGAGGAGGGCGAGGCTGATGGACCTGCTCCGAAGGAGTCTGAGAAGGCTGTTTTCCCCCCTAGAGAGGATGGTGAAGGTGTTAAAGCGGTTCGTAGCTTTCAATCCTTACTGAAAAGCGATGACTGATTGATAGTGTTTAGTACCCGCATCAGGACAGTAAACGTGTGCTGGAGTGCCTCCAGAAGTCGCTGCGCATAGCAAATTCTGCTACGGAGGAGATAGTCACCGTCCAGCTTTATTGTGACACGCTTGATCAATATTTGTATTATTTCGACCGTGGCGCACCTGCAGTGAGTACTCGCTGTTCCAGCACCAATAACAATATATTCACGTTCGTATCAGATCGCGCCTAAATTTATAGTGTCACTTGTTGAACTGATCGCCTCCTCCATTGACACGATAACATCGCCATCCTCGTCATCGTCATATCTCCACCCCTCACAAAGAATAGAAGGCGTCGCGACACCCGAAGTGATCACTCGGCACTTCCGCAATACTCTCGCGTATATTCACGGGAAGAAAACGGCGGAGAACCCAGGACAATGGGATGAAGTCGAGGTAGTGGGGGCGTTTCTAAAGATGGGCATCACGCGGTAGCTGCTGCGTGACTCTGAGTGATCGTGGTTCGTTTGTACGTAGCGACAGACGTCGGTACTTGCTTATCTTAACGACCAGGTTGAACTTGGGTTGGATCATGCTTTGTTCTAACTTGCTGTTGTTGTCGTTTTTAGTTAGTGTGTACTTATGACGACTGCTTCTGGTGGGTCGTGGTTTTTGTATATAATACCTCGCGCTTTTTACTTTCGTGGGGTCCTGATTGAAGTGAAGCGCAATGTCTTACGTAACACGATAAACTCTGTTTCGTCTGATTGATCGATCATCTGATCCACTCCATATACTCATGTCAAAACGCAAAATTCAAGCCGACCATGATGATTCCGACAGTGACTCGGAAGACGTATGATTCCATGAGGCTTACCGTGATAATCCATAATGACTAGCTCTCAGTAGACTCCGACGTTCATCGATGTAGATTTCGACTTTTTCAACCTCAACCCAACGTTCGACTACCATTCCATCAAGCGTCTTCTCGATCAGCTCTTCGGTGTAGATGCTGAAGGTCTCAGCACACACGCCCTTGCGGACTTGGTGCTTTCACAGCCTGACATAGGGACCACGATCAAGACCGATGGAGAGGACAGTGGCCCATATGCGTTCTTGAGTGTTTTGAATATCGGCGTACACAACGTGAGTTTCTCTCCGTCCTTTTTGTGTAACGTCTTCTAATAAGGACAATGTCAGGACAACGTGTCAATAAAATCGCTCGTAGAGTACATTCTAGCAAAATCGAAGGGAGACAATGGCTTCCACGAATCACTATCGACGATCCTGCGTGATCCGCAGTGTCAAGTAGGACTCGTTCTATGCGAAAGGTTGATCAATATGCCTGTACCGGTGATACCTCCCATGTACCGCATGCTCGTGGATGAGATCAAGGATGCAGTTGAAGAGGTGCGTCACTGATTCTTACCCAGGAGTGCCTATATGAAATGAGCGCCTTATGGTGATCCCCCCAGAATGAACCATTCAATTTCACGCACCTGATTTTCATATCGCGTGTATACAAGCTTACCCCCGATGAGGAGGACGCAATGACTATCGCACAACAACAATCAGGGAAAGCATCGAAACGACAAAAATCTCAAAACACGAATGGGGAAAACGAGAGAAGCGCGGACGGGGTATATCCGTTCCATCCAGAGGATGAGGAAATTCGAAAGGTGCGTCCATCGATCGACGTGCTTTGACATTGGGTCCACATGATTTTTCCTAGTTTGCCTCCCATCATCTGATTTTTCCGTATTCGAACGCACAGCCGCGCGACGCGGAATCGTTTGGATTAGACACGGCTGGGCGGTTGATGCTTGTGCCAGCAGCACAGCTCACAGAGTTGGCAAGAGTGCTCGGGAATGTATTTCAGCCACCTGGAAATGTGTAGACCAGCGGCATGTGTAAGTCTGGGCTTACCACGCATGACTAGCGACTGCTTGCTGATTGGACACGCTGAAGTGTCATGACGTGTTTGTACTGATTTCCGATATAAACTGTTGTCGGTTGTATCTTATCTCTACCTCTTACCTCCATGTCAAATCTAACTCTCATCTACATTCCGTCTACCGTTTGAGCTTCTAGTGTTCTACCCTCTGGGTAGCTTCTACTTTTATTGAAAATACTAGCTCGAAATAGCCGGTAAGATTGTGAAAAGGGGTCAGATGATATGACCATTTTGACATGAACAACAACAATCAGCATCTACCTTAGCAGAATACACAAGACATCTCACCATGATCTTCCACATATCTTCTCTGACTTTGATACCCTCTGCTGCAATCCTTCTCAACATCACTGCACCGAGAATCACAGCCTTGGAATGTGACTTGGGCAGGATGATGGGGATGTCACATGTGTCTGCAAAGAGCTGCATCATTTGCCTGCCCACTGGACATATACAGAGGTGTGATGTCATGCCCTGCTGTATTGAGAGCCTCAACAATGTGGCATGTTTGAAGGGCGATAGCTTTGAAGGCAAGGTAGTACTTATCAGTGAGGTCAGTGATAGATGATTCCTGAAGTAATCAAGATCACTTAGCCAAAGTTCAGTAATCAGAGTGGTGACTTACTGACTCAAGACTGACAATGGAGCCTCTCATTTGAGGGTCAGCAATTGGATACCTGTTTCTCATGATGATAAATGTAAACAAAGATATTTAACATCAAATTGTAGTCTATCTCACTATGAAAATTGGGATAAAAGTATATATGCTTTTGTTTGTCATCCCCAACCCTAACAAGGCCATTGCTTGTGGTGCTGCCATCGTTTGGGCTGCCATCCTTTCCTGACAATCCGACAATAACATAATGTGCGAGTGAAAATTTCAAGCACTTTGTTCCACATATCTTGTCAGTGATGGAATTGTGCAGATTGTAAGTGTATGATTCAAGACATTCTTGAACTGAATGTGAGCTGTGGCAGTCTCATCCTCATCTGTCCTTTGCCAAACAACTGTCACTGGCAGTGACATTTACAAGGCTTATTGCTCAGACTCGCTGGTATCTCACTCTTGCCACTACATCCTGGCAGTATAATATATCAATCCTTGTCATTAGTGCGCGGCCATGATATATCAGTACCTTTGGTTTACAATGGTGATATATCACACTGTACACTGCGCATTATACCGCTGCCCGCTTACAGACATGATCGTTGTAGGGAGTAATATCCCTACAGGCTTGTATCCCCTGATATATACATCGACCTCATCACTATCCTCATGTATGCGCAGTCCAATAGAGTCGCGCGCAACACGCGCGACCTTCCGCGCTCTTCCGCGACGCACGCAACCTTCCGCGCCCTTCCGCAGACCGGCGCTATCCTCAGCATATCCTCCCATGTCCTGTCCTGTCTGTCCGGTACCGTTGGTGCGTACTCTCACTGTCATCTCCGTCTCTGACCACATCCAGGGTCTTTTACATAGTGTTACATACTTATCCGCTTCCTTGCGCGCTTCCGCGCAGCCTATCCGCTTCCCTTACGTCTCAATACCCTGAGAGCTCGCGTAGCGACCTACATATCTAGAAGACCCAGAGGATTTCGGACTTACTGACTTTTCCCTTACTTGGACTCACTACCAGTTTTCTGTCTAGTCGCGCTTAGAGCGCTAATATCATTGCAGTCTTTGTCTATCATCTTCTTTGTCTTGTGAAGTCTCGTTCCTCATCCAAAGGGAGCTCCTATGATCCTCTGCAACTCTTCTCCCATCGCGCACGTACTGCGCGTGTTCCGACTCTTCCGCACGGCTCGCGCGTTCCCGCGCGCCTTCGCGCACCTTCCGACTTGAGCCTTTCTCTTGATCCCTCTCATCATTTAGAGAGATTGACTCAGTAGCATCCCCTAAGGGACGATTCTACTAGCTCGCCTCTCGAGGTAGATATTCTTGTGACTCTCCGGAGTTCGCATTCCTATTTCCTCACCCACATCGTGATCCGTTTCACGATCGCGATCTTTCTCGGTAACATTTCTCATATGTACCTGGTCTTCTCTTCATTTCACGACCACATCATTTTCAGTGACTTCTCATATGTACCTTACAGCCTAATTAAGATATGTTTGAAAATCAAAGAAACGCATTGTATTCGAATAAAACAGCGAGAGTAAGCTACCAGGATGGAATAGCATCCCACATAGACCTAAAATGGGAAGCCATGCTTCGCCGAAGTGAAGCCTGGCGACATGCATACGCAGCTCCACCTTCCGCTGCCTCTGGCGACGTGAAAGCACGCCGTGAGCTCTGTGCGTCCCACCAGACAGCTTGCCACTCCAAAAAAGCCAGCACCCGTCACATTTCTTCATGTAGTAGTTGGATCTCTTCTTCCCATCAATGTGCTCGTGCTCTGGCCCTGCACCATTCAACACGCAAAGCTGTGACAAATTCAGTGAGTGAAAACAGTCAAATCGCACATACTACTCACAGTCCTGTAGGCCATATTCCGTGTTGGTCGAAACACCGTGCGTTTTCCATATCCATGACACTGTTTGTTGGCCGATAGTTGACCCATCATCTTGTCGCAGCGGGACGGCATCCTTTGCACGATCGAGCGGCTTGAAAGTGAGTTTCCAGTCATCGTCCTTCTGCAATCTCGATGCTAGCTTGACAAGCGCATTCCTTGCTGCATTGTACTTGGCAGCAAGGGCGTCGATTCGGTTGTCCACATTGTTGAGAATTCCAGTTGCACAAGTATTTGCGCGTTGTCCTCGGACAAACACGTCCTTGTGCTTGTACAGATGATACTTCATATTGAGGACATGGTGGATGTCGTGTAGAGCGTCGTTGGCCTGTGCCTCGCGTAGATCCCACTCATAATTTAACAGGCACTCCTCGCAGGGTAGACCACTGGTTATCGCAGACGGGAGAAGCAGATTGATTGAGTGGACCTTTGGTTCGGTAGCGATGTAGTCGGATGAACACAGTCGTGATACACATGGCATGTAGAGTAGTTGCACATGCGACCATGTATCAATACGTCGACGGAGGGAATTGATGCGTTGCCAGAGTGTTGACTGCTGGGAATCTGTAGTGTGTTGTCCGATTTTTTTGCTCTCAAACTCAAGACGCCGCCTGAGAGAAGTTTAGAAAGGTCACACAAATAAGATGAATCAACATACTGTTGATCCTCGAGTTCGAGCCCCGATGAAATGAGCATGGAAGGCGATATGTCATCGTGGAGAGACATGCTCGTGCCACATTCCAGTTCGTCGGCTTCTGCCTTGGACAATGCCAATCGTACTGATGCTTGGCTGATGGCTTATGATACTTGATTAGATAGTTCCAATCACATACGCACAAATAAACTTACTGGTGACCTTGAGTTCGAATGGATTCGGTTTAGAACGATCGGACTCCCAGGCCTCGATGTCCTGCTTCCAACAAGATAGCTGGCTGGGATCGAGCGCAGCCTCGAAGTCGTTTAAGTTGCGTGTGTGTTCGAGATGCTCCGGAAAGGCAGCCTTGAGCTTACGTGCAAGGGTTTTACCTAAATCAAATGAGTCACAAGAATGATTGTTCCAGCTGACATGACATACCCATCAAGCATACTTTTTTCCAGTTCCAGTCGTTGAAATGGTCATCGAGGGTGTCGCGCCTTGAGCCAGGACCCATCTCGCGAGTACTGGTTGCAACAGGATTGATGTCGGCCCATCCGCGTTCCGGTGCTTCACCGTCTGTTCTCCTGACCCCCTTGATGAAGTTGAACGAGTACGTCGTCTGACAGCTCAAGACGTGCGCAGGAAGATGGAACTTGGGGACCAGAAAAGTGATGGTTGTTGTGTTGTGATCTAGGTGGTACTGCTGAGGGAATGCGGACATGCGTGTCCACAGGTTCTTGCTCCATTGACACGCAATGTCGTAAGATATATTAATAACTTGAAGTGTAGATGCCGATTGTATGCTAGAAAAGAACATGTAGTCCATGTTGATGTATCTGTGAATTGAATTAAAACAGATACACCGCGTACAATGGCAAGGCTTACCTTTCGCCTTTTTGCAGGTCACCGACCGAATTCGGCCGCTTGAAGTTATGTCGCGCACAATCTATCGTACCTGTGCCTGTTGCCGCAAGACCATGGGACGCCTTCGTATCAGCCAGATTGACTGCGTTGTGGCTTGAACATGTACTCCTCTAAATAAATTATGTTAATAGACATCTTTCTTAAATAATGTTGACTTACCTCTTGAACCGTTCGTTCATGCGATTTCAAGAAAGATTTGTATGCTGTTTCCTCCACGAAAAATGCATAGCCATGGTTGAGTCCGGGATCGACAGCGTCCGAAGAAACATTGCGCCGAGTAAGTCGAAAGTTGGTGTCGATGGCAAGGAACAGTGCATATAAGAATCTACATTCAATGACTTATAAGGCACGAAAACAACGAAATAACAGACGGTAAAACTCACTTTGACTCAGGCGGAGCACTTGCCCAATCATCAGGCAAGTTCTTTCCTGGATGGGGACAAGCTGGACACATCACCACACATGCACCAGGTTGCGTGGCAGCAATAGTTCCAGGATGATGGCCCTGGCCGGACCGTTTCATTTGCTTTAAGAAGCGCCACTCTCGCATCATGCGTAGAAGTGACTCGTAGCGATCCTGAATTCACTTGTCAATTTTCTAGCAGATAGGTTTGAAAAACAATGTACCTTTGGTATGTGAATGCCTGTATTGTCAGTCAGCCGTACAACAGTGTGATAAAACTCGAGAGCAGACACTTTCGACTCGAAAGACAGGATCTGGAAGTATTCCAGCGCTCGGAATGTCGCAGCGGTCTTGGGTTTGACTGTCGTCGCGGGGAATAAGCGGACTTGCAGAAGTTGAGTGACTTGAAGTTGAGCAGTTTCGCAACCACAGAAATCAAGCCCAACGGTATGAACACCATTGACGTCAATGACAACGAAATCATCATTGGAAGCTGGAGTCGGTTTGCTGCATCAAAGACCAAGGCGATGTCCAAGTTGAATGCGTAAGCCGAGGGATTTGAGTGATGTCGTTTGGAAAAAATTACTGTTCCAATACTGCAACGAAATATGGGATCAGTGGGATTTGAATCAAGAACTATCATACCTCGATTCGGTGATATGGCTGCTGCTGGTGTATGTGTAGGATACATTGATGACACACCAGTTCAGCACCATGGCAATCCTTACATCTATACAGCGCTGATTCGTTGCTGCCACAGAAGCAGCTATCTTGAGTGTGACTTCCACGGCCCTCCAAACGAATGAATTCTTCAAGGAAAATTTCAGCGTTGGACTGCCATACACTGAGAGGATCATCCTATGAGAACAAACAATCAGATTAAAAGATCTTGATCGGTATCAGCCAATCATACCCCTGCTGCTCGTTTCCGTCTGATATTTTCCTCTGATATTTCACCGAGATAGTCATTGGCGATCGATTGCATATTGGAAAAATCAAACTCATCCATCAAATGATCGGGTGAGTCATCTACTGCGTCTCCTTCTTCTCAGTGTCGTTTTGATGGATCAGACAAGGCGTAATAGGCAGTAGATACAGAAAGATGACCAGCCGTGGAACCCAGCTCAAAGCTAGCATGCTTGTGCTGTTGCTTGTGGTGATGATCTTGTGAGATTTCATTTGCTGGACGATGTGCTGCCCTCTTGTGAACATAGATGTCATTTGCTAGACGACGTGCTGCCCTGTTGTGAGCATAGAATTCCTGGCGGTATCGTGCAAGCTCAGTGCGGCGTTTGTTGCAATTGGTTTTTGACATGTAGTAGTGAAAATATTACTTAGCGCCTGCCGCCTGCCGCTGTGTAATAGCTTACTAATTATTTTCAACACCACCGCATTGAAGAAAGACTGGAGCTCATGTTATTTTATGATACAGTATATACATCCACCAATCATTAAATCCTGCTACCTGTCTGGTACATCAGCTCACCCAAAAACTGAGCCTCCGCAAGGCCAGAAGCCCCTTCAAACATTACCAGACGCAAGATATCTTCTATATAGGCGAGTATGGTCCTTAAAAAACGTGTGACCGAGTCAGTAGCCTGCCACTCCGGCGAAATACCACAGAAATTCAGGATTTGATCTTGCGCGGGAATTGCATCGTTCAGAAGCTTCTGAACCTTCGTCATTGTGTTTTCAATGATGGAGACATCCCCATTGGTGGAACAGTCATCCACGAGCAAACTCTGGACATAGAGATGCAGGATGTCCTTAGTGAAAGTGCAAGGGTCATCGCCGATCATCTCCAACATTTGATCCTTGATGTTTTTGATGACGAGTAGGCATTCTTGAAGATCACATCTGTAGAATATTAATATCGTGTTTCATTTTATATCTATTTATAGCTTAAAACATACGGGATATTTTCATCGCCGTCTGATGAGTGATCGGAATCATTGTCGGAATCATTGTCGGACTCTGACCCAGACACACCACCGTCTCTGACTGGCAATGCTTTTTTGAGAGCTTTGCAGAGGCTTTTTGAGAACTTAGCCTCTGCTCGTGCTTCCTTGGTGTTGGAGCTACGGAGCTCTCTGCGTCTCTTAAGAATAGCATCTCTGTGTCTTACCGTGTGATTGGTTAGGAACCGCCGGAAACAATTAATGAAAAAGGTTAAACATACTTGGCGTAATAGCGGGCTCGCTTTTCACGTGCGGCAACTCTTTTTGCCTCGGTTGTTGTGTGAATAAGAGGTCGAGCCATTTGGACGTCTGGAGAGTAGTGGTAGTATTGGTTGAAAATTTAATAGAAGCAATGAATTTGAACGTTTGAATTGAGCGTGGCAAATGGAGTTTTGGTAGGACCAAAACTCCTGTGCAGAATTGATAGTATTATCACAACTCATTGGTGTCGCGACTCTGTAATAGATCTTGGATTAAGTCCATTTAAACAATCAGGAGGTTTATCAATATATTACTTATGAATGTACACTCTTTCTACATGAGACACGATGAATTTCATTACGGTCCTACCGCCATTGAGCTATTGAGCACTGAATTAATCCCTCGTTGCAACACTCTTATGGTCGGACCAAAACCCACACCGATAGAAATCAAACATTCTACTGAACAATTCTCTCAACCACTCAACACATTCACTGTAGATTAGATTTGGGTGCATCAAGTTAAATTTATTCCTACTACCATTAATCTATTGAGAGCTGAACTAGTTAATGGCGTGTTGCAACACCCTTGCGGTCGGACCAAAACCCACACCAATGGAATCAGATATTCTTCTGAGAGATTCCACGAGACAATCACAATCTCAACATTGAACACATGCTTGAATACATTGACAGTATATACAACACGAAGGTGACAAGATACGAGATACGTCCAAAACGCTGATTAAATAATGTCTGCCTCGCATTCAGGAGCCTCTTGGACATCACAGTCAGTTGCTTCCTCACCAGTCCATTGATTTTCCTCCGGAGCGCCTTCTCGTTGTGGAGAAGAAGGTTCTTCATCACTGCTGTCCTTGTAATAAGCGCGAATTTGGCGGGTCTCTGGGTAGCTGATGCCGTCACTCTCCAATGTCGGATTGTTCGCCTCAGTGGCGGGCACATCTTCCTTGGGTGTTACTTGTGATCCGGTATCACGAGTTCGTTGGACTGTGTGGTGTGCTCAGCATTAAGTCCGTGATATGGAGTCTAAATTTAAATGACTAACCGTAAATGCAGCACCTACAATGAAAAGCGTGAACTAAACAATCAGCATCTTGAGGGTTGCGTTCCCAACCAATGGATTGTGGTGAGGTTATTGGTCCCACTGTTGAAGTCCATTAAAATTGGAGCCACAGCAATGTCACTAAAGAGTGAACTTGCCTTGTCCGCTTTGCACGAGATAGATGGCCTCTAGAAATTGCTCAATTGTAAAACATGGGTGCGGTAGCATTTGCACGCAGCGCCCATGACTGCATTTGATGGAGCCGTTGTCTTGGTTCATGTCTGTGAAAAAACGGCTATAGTTGGTGTGTTGGGATGGTAAGGGTGGTGAGAGACTGAGAAAATTTACCTGGTCTAGACACTTCGGAAAAATCCGTCGAGACTCTGATTGGCTGGAGAAATGAAGGCCTCAGTTGAATATCGGCTCGCTCCCAATTACTCACCAATTGGGCGAAAGGGACGAACTCAAACATAAAAATATCTGGTGCGTCATATTTTAATCATGAAAGGGTGGGGCGAACTAACAGTCTTAATTTAGGAGATGGCGCCTCCGAGATGGACAACGTCAGAAGAGCTCAAGTGGCTTCAGAATGAGCTACCTGAGTTTCTAAAAATGCAAAGAGATCAGAAATTGACTTGTTTCTACGAGCTCCTGTTTCCGAGGTGGTTTAGTCTGTTTCCGGAACACTTGAAATATTGGAAACCAACTGGTAATCCTCCGCGCGAAGGGGAGGCAGTTGTTCATCAGAATGATGACAGCAGTGATGCTAATAGTGACGAGAGCCGCCTGCTACTACTCACCCCAGACCAAGAAGCTGAGCTTGAAGGGGGAAAAGAGATCCGGCGGAAAGTAAGTTCATATATCAATTGTTCTGGAAGAGTAGCCACTAAAGGCATAAGCAGAAATTAAGAGAATGGTTCTGGAACCACGCAAAAAGCAAAACAACACTTGGCAACACGTCAACAAGCAAAGCCTTCGCTCAGCTACTGGGCCAGCGTGCTCGCGGTGTTCGTGACCTGAAAGATATTGAGGTATACTCAAAAACACACTACAAAACGAAGATACAATCACTGGTCGAGGACGACATCCAGCAAAACCAGCTCGATTCCAAGAAGAGAATTGGTGTTGTGCAGAAGTACACAAACACTTGTTTTGCGGCTGAATCGGAAGAAGTGAAGGCGGAGATTCATGAAGAGACTGCACGGATCAATGCCTCCAGGAGATTAGGAGGCATTGGGCCAGGTAAGCGTACTAAAGAGGAAATTTACCGGTTTGTTTGTTTTTTGTTGTGTTTTCCATTTGCAGTGAATGTTGATCCATGTCGATCAGTGCTATTCAGGAGCTGCCCATTGTCCTGGGACAGATTTGCGAAGACCTGGCAGTACTGACGGGGGGTTGGCACTATACTCTCGTTATGGGGGGTCCTGACCCCATGTGCCAAGGGGATATAATGACTCTAAGGTACGTACTTGGACATTGAATTAGCGCCAAACTTGTTCTCATCTTACTCCTACAGTTTCCACCACGGCAAAGGTCAAGATGGTCTCAGCTTCAAGGCTTCTAACCTGAACTTCCACGAGCAGTACCTTGCGCCATTTGAAAAGCATCTCAGAACCGTATTTGGTCGGCCTTCAGCGGAGTCATCTTCGTCTTCATCAATTTCGCATCCACGTTCGCCAGCACCTTCTGACTCCGCATCACTGAACGCCCAGAACAACTCAGAAGAACTACCTTCCTCCGTTGAAGCCAACAGCGACCTCAATGCAGGTCCCAATTTTTCTGGAATGCACACCTTCCCTCATGGCTCTCTGATGGACCCCAATTTTCCGGTCTCTGAGGCTGATATTGAGCAGTTCATTACTTTGATTCGTCCACTGACGGTTGATAGCACAGGCGATCAATGGTGGCACAGCCAAAGCCAGGACATGCAAATGGCTGTGCCACCACTCATAAACCCTCCTCTGGCTGAGGCTGGATTGTCTATCGAGTTGCCCATGCAGAGCCAGAACAACTCGTTGGGGAGCCATTCATCCACCCCACCCCGTATTCGCAGACCACGCTTGAATGCCTTCCCATCACCCTTTCCCATGTCTCCTTGACTCCCATCGCCTTTGTCCATGTCTCCTCGACTCCCTCCTGTCGACGCCCTTCACACAGCTAACACTGACAGACATAGTCTACCAGCCCCGCACATCTCTCAATTGACTCTACCAGCCACGCACATCTCTCAATCGCCTCCAGCAGCGGTTATCAGTAATTTATTGGAACATTCCACTCCAGCCGCCGCCAACTCAGATACTCTTCCATCTGTTTTCAGCATACCTACACCTCTCACAGACACCACTGCTATTCCCACCGTGCCGGACACCTTGCTTCATACAGGAAGTGTTCCACCCACTTCTAGTGCTCCTGGAAGACGCTCTGCGCGTACGACACGACCATCAACAAGAGCTGAAATGCCAACAAGATCGGTGATGATGCCAGAACCATCACTTCCAAACGCAAGCGCAAAGGTGTGATGGCAGGTTCCACAGCCCATGCAGTCGCTGCGAAAAAGTACGTATTCCAATTTTTGTCCATTTTATCACGCTAAACATCAATCTGTGCAGGTCTAAAAAATAATCACATTTCTTGCAGTACATACGCCTCAATACTCTAATGTCTTCGTGTCCTATTTACAGTTTAAACCATGTAGTTATTGCGACAACAATTTTTACTTAATGCTCAATGTCAAGTTAATGTTACCCGGTCAAAATATTGTGAACTTCGCCTTGAGCATACAACATTGAACTAGAGATCACGTGAGTTGGACAGTCTGAAATCAACGAAGTTGAACCAAAGTCCACGTGATTTGGACTTTTTTGCATGAGACTGAAGTGAAAATCAACGAAGTTGAACAGAACATCATGTGATTTGGAAGAAAAATTGAAAGCAAAATATATTTTGGGATAGGCCTACAAAGTGGAGAGTACGAGAACTAAGAGAATGGGGGACGAAGCACTATCTAATCCTGATCGAAGATCTACCCAAGAGGTGAGCAGCTATGATTCCTCACATGAATATAGGTAGGGAGATTATGTTGGTCATGTCTACAGGCGCGGCTTGGCAATAATGCGAGGCACACCACGAAACATGGTAGAGTGATGGTGAACAGGGAGTGGGGAAAGGAAAGAGCTCGACGACAAGACACATTGAAGTGGAGGAGCGGATACAAGAGACACCGGCATTTTCCGCTCATCAATAAAGACCAAACTTCACTCGTGCCTTACTATGTCATGGAGTGACAATATATAAGTAAAGTGATTGAGTGAGCAGCGCGTGGCTATGCAGAGGCAAGATGGAGATCTAGATTTCCGCAGATTTCCAAAAAACCAAAGCTGCCCAAATCCCAAATCGGACCTGACCAGGGTACAGGCTAAGAATAACCCAGTAGGTAATGAGTCGCACAGGTGATATATCACTGCCCTGTGCTTTAAGCCAAAGGCAGGGATATATCACGGATGCACTCCAAAGCCAGTAAAATGATATATCATATTGACACTATAGCCTGCTCTTGCGGCTTTTCACTGGGAATGAAAATCAGATCATGGCAGTGGTAATTGGTTTAGGGTTTGAGAGGGGGGTATTGAAGGTTCCTCCAAGCTCACAAATGAAGATGTTGCGCTCACTGACAACTTTATTGTCAAGACCATAGGCAATGGCAGCAGCGGTAGGCTTGTTAATGATATGGAGAACATTCATTCCCAAGATGGTACCTGCGTTCTTTGTGGCTTGTCTCCAAGAGTTGTTGAAGTATGCGGGGACAGGGACAACAGCATTGTTGATGTTGTAGTCCAGGTAGGACTCAGAGGTCTCCTTCATTTTAGGGAGGACCATGGATGAGATTTCTTTGGGGGAAAACTCCTTCTGCCCTCCCTTGTACTCCACTCGGATGTAGGGTTTGAAAACAGTGAAAGGAAAGTGCCTAATGTCTGACTGGACCTGAGCATCATTGAATTTATGACCAATGAGACACTTGGCATTGAAAAGGGCCTTTTGTTGAATATTCTAATGCTCACTACATACATTACATAAGCATGTTCACTTTCACCTTCCTTTGCACACAGTTAGAACCTTTCTCAGTGACTTCCATTAAAGTCCACTGAGCTCGTGTACTCACTACACCTTTCCAGTCAACACTAATACACAACTTCCCCCACTAATAGCTTGCAATTGTTGAAAACAGATGTCGCAGTTTTGTAACTATGGGACAGTGGGAGGGAAAAGAGAGGTAGTATTGTCCTGTTTTATACCAAGTGTGCCTACTGGTGTTTCTTTAACTGCTGATAGCAGCGGACAATCACTAACTTATCTTTTATCACATAAACCTTGTCTCCCTTACAATACGAGAATAATGAGTTAAATGTTTTCCCAAACTCCTTGTGGGCATATATAACTACATCGTCCTTGCTGTCTGCAAAGTTTATTGACAATTGTGGTGAAGTTCATTGCATGGCCATTGACCGAAAATTCCTTCCAGAAATCTGCTGGGGTGTGTTACAGCGGCCCCATCTATTTTCCCATCATCACGCTTCCCTGAACTATTCTTGCTATCTCTGACTGCTTATCCACATGTGTTGCATGAACATTCCAGATAGTTCTTTGACGTTCCTCTTGACTCCTTCCACTTCCATTATCGGCTTGGTCCATGCCTCCTTTGTTCACTATAAATACTGCGATAGTTACACTTGTATTTCTCTAACTTGAATCTACTTGGTTCTTTCTGATACTTGATCATCTTCTGAGGAAGATACTTGATTCCGATCTAGCTCTTGCAAAGAGGCTAGCCTATACTCGAACTTCGTCTAGAGGGAGAGCCCCTCAGACACCTGAACCGAACATCGTAACATTTGAACTCCTTTATTGGATTAGTTACGCAAGAACTATCCAAGTCGTAACAGGGTGCTTTGATGGTATTGAGAGACGACATCCTACACAGATGAGTTAGTTGACAGTGTATTAGTGAATGCATCTACCTACCCTTTAATCTGTCTAGCAACTTTTTTTCCCTGCAACTGGCCAAATTTGCCATAATGGTAAACATCTGGCCAGTATACTATCAGAATAGGGTGTCCTTCAATCATTAACACTGATTCTCCTCCCCAGTGAGGACTGGTGTTGTCCCACATGGCATTGAGACATTGGATATCCTGCATGAATGTGATGGCAACCAGATCTGGCACACTACTAACTGCAAAGCTCACTTCAGTCCTGTCTCTCAGCTTGAGGGAATATGTTTCATCAGCCACATAGGCTATCATGGTGGACTCACTATCAGAGGAAGGTGCTGTGATATTCTCAACACACAAAGAATCTGGTGTGACATCACAGGTGAGGTCCATATTTGCTGCATCCAGTCGAACAATTATTCCTGTGCTAACTTTATGTGCAATCTGAAAAACCATAGTTTAGATAGCAACAAATGATATAGAGTGAATACCCACCTCTGATGTGATTGAGGAAATTGTGCTCTCATTCTGCCATTCAGGTAGAAACACTCCACCGTGACTATTCACAGGCCTAGCTGGCACTGTCTGACTGGTAGTTAGCTTGGACTCAGGCCTGCATGGGTGTGTCATGATGATGGCTTAGGCCTGGCAGGGACCACTATGTGTGAGCATGATTGAGTTATGAACTCGTTTTACCGTCATGCATGAACTATTGCGCTGCATCAAGTTCAAGGCCCAAGAACAATAGAATTGACCTACATTAATATTAGTTCTACTTATTATTACTCCCCACTACTAGCATCAAAGCTTACAGGGAAGGGCAAAGTCATGGTCTCTATTGTGAAATAGTGGTTTAAGATAGATAATTGTCAAAATTTTGCGAGTATAGGTTGCAATCAATCAACTAGTTACATACATGATGAGCAAATACACAGCAGTGAATAGGGGCCTCCATACATCCTTAAACATTTAAACTCAGGCCACCATCATGGGCATTAATGATCTGGATGGTATGGTTGTTCACCCTCACAACCAGTTTACTATATGCTGAGAACTTCATGTAGGTTGTTGCTCCAGCTGGAGAGAAACACTTGCTGCTTGAATATGCCACTTTCTGGACCATTGCTCAGAAGCCTTATTGTGACCATTCAGCAGCTGGGGGGTTGTTCTTGCCCACATATTCACCTTTGGTTTAGCTTGAACTTTACACGAGTGCTTGGAATCAGAAAGGGCTCCCATGAATGTGATTCCCTCACTGCTGGCTATGCCTTTATCTAAGCCGAACTGCAAGATGTGGACTGGACGACTTTTCTTGCAAGGATGAGCAGGGCAGATTTCTATTCAATATAATCCCTACCTCCCTTGTTCTTGCTGGACTATTTAAAAAATGTTATCTACTACTGTTCTCCAATGTAGTCAGTACATCCAGTATATAGTCCATCCAGTATGCATACTATGGTGTCTATATCATAAATGGCATTGGTATAATTAAGAACCATTGGCACTTTAATGGCGACGAAGCGAGGGTGTGTCTACTAATCACATCAACAATTTTCCAGCAAATTTTGTTGGGAGTTTACTGATGTAGTTGGTAATGAAGACACTTGCAGTCAGTGAGAAGTGTGTTCATGGTTACACCACCTTGTCATAGGGCAAACTTCCATCAGAATTGCAGTCTCTTTCCCCTTGGTGTCATTTTGCTTGTGTTTGTACACCACTTGATCATAGGATAGTCAGATTTACAAGGAAATCTACATTTCCATCAGGAGTGTAGTTTTCTTGCAGTCATTTGTATAGGCTAACTATACTTATGAGATATTGCAAATCTTCATCAGAATTGTAGTTTGCTGGTATTTTCTTGTCCCTTTGCACCATTTTGCTTGTGCCTATATATTACATTGTCATAGAATGATCATACTTGCGAAATGTTACAAATCTCTGTTAAAATTGTAGTTTGCTTGTAATCTATTGTCCTTTGGTGCTGTGTTGCTGGTTTTTGCATATTATATTATCACAAGATGTATTAAGATATAATGTGGTGAAATTTTGATCTGATTTTGCCAACTTCATCTATAAAAAGCATGTCCTTCCTAAATCTATGATGATGCATTGACTGAGCATGTCTACTCCTATCATAAAACACTCTTACTATTAAATCACTGTGCCCTTCTTCAACACCATGTGGCTTAACTCACTTCCTTTTGCACCAATATAAACCTCTCAAGACTCATATTCAGCCGTCTTTCCAACTTCCTCTATGACTGAAGATAATCCTTGGATGAAACACTTGGAGTGGCTGAAAAAAGTCATTGAGAATCTCATTTGTCAGAGGGGAAAGGCAGGAGGGCAGCTAATGATGTATGCATTTATGTTTTACAACTATGCATTGTTTTTCATGATTTCAGTTGTCTGATGACCTGCCTTCAAGACCCAAGGTGATATTTCACAACATTGTTGGCAGGTTCAAGCACATCACTCGAGGCACTCGACAGTCTCCCAACCCTGTGGCCATCGCTGCAAGCTCTAGTGCACAGGATGTCCCACCCAATTGTATAACCCGGGTATGTGTAATCTCAATACTCTTATTTGTCTCTTTCGACTCAGATAATCTACTAAGTCTATAATCAGGTCAAACAACCTGACCCGAAGTCTGTGAATGACAGAAATTCTAATGCCACCAAAGATGTCATAGGCATGACAGGCATCTTTCAAAATGTTGCTTCAGTGGCTGGCCACCTACAATCTGATTCTGTTTCTAATTCCAATATGAGCAAAATGGTCTCAGAGCTGCTGCCTAAGTTGAAGCTCTTCAACTCCTTGGCTAATGGGCTTGCTGATGTATGAGCATCTATCTCTGTTTTGTATATGACTAACTTTCATATGTAGGTCCATCCCCATGTGAAGGTGGCATTGAATATATTAACTTGTGTATCCAAGGTGTGCTTCTTGCAATATCATTGGCCTCGCAGATTAATGAGGTTTTTCATGGCAGATAATTCTCAGTCAGCCATTATGAGATGACAGAGTTTGTGGTCTGCTCTTGAAGATCTCTGAAGTGTATACTTTGATTATGACGGAGAAGGAAGTGGCCAAAATTGAAACAATGTTAGAGATATATGATGCTTTGACCAATCAAGGGCTAATCATTGAGAAGCTTTGGCTAGGTGTTGATGTGAAGTGAGTGATCCCTTGTATTTTCAAAGTCAGAGCTCACATGCGGCAACCATTAGTCTTTGGATGGCTGAGAACCAACATATCCCTTACTGAGGTCATGCTCAAGCTGGAGTGAATGCAGAGTTCAAGTCACTGTTCCAAAAATTAGCCCACTGTGCCAAACATTTTGGTGCTAGCCTCACAATAGGCTATTTTGATGGGTTTTGACACCAGTGCACTAACCTGATAATTCCTCGGCATACCTGACATCATCCGCACGTAACCTGATACCCCGCACCTTTGGACCCACTACTTTCCCGTGCATCGGACCGCCCGATACCCTTCAGGTACCCCTTATCCCTATGTCCAGTCTATTCCCATGACTGACATTGTAGATAGTGCTATTACATGTGTTCCCATAGCCCACAGCACCTCATGTTTTTTTTACATATTGCCTTTGGACTACCCGCTGCTATCTTCACCTATAGGACTCTGGATTTCTATGTAGCTAGTTATATAGGACCAAGGAACTCTCACAATTACTTTACCTTTCTGTAGAGGGGAGTTCTTCAATACATTTGGTTCATGACACCTTGACACCTTGCCCAGTACACCTGGTTACCCGCTCCTTTCGACCCAAACCCTCGACATTCTTTTATCTTGACTCTTCCCGTCAGTTCCCAACAATATCTGCTCATTGTCCATCCCATACCATTATCACCTGTTGAACCTGCAGTTCCTGTGCATCAGACCACCTGATTTCCTTAGGACCCAACATTTCGACCTTCAGTGTAGAGAGTGATATCTCTACAGGCTCGTATCCCCCTATTTCTACATCGACCTCATCACTATCCATAGGTAGGCACAGCTCTATAGACACCCGTGCAGCACGTGCGATCACCCGCACTCTCGCGCATTATACACGCAGCTTGTACACATAGCCACTTACCAGCGCCCTACTCGGATTACCCTCCCTTGTCATGTCCTGTCTGTCTGGCTCCATTGGTGCATATTCTCACTGTTATATCTGTCACTGACCACATCCAGGGTCCTTTACATATAGCCTTACCACATATCCACTTCCCTATGCACTTCCACGCAGCCTATCTGCTTCCCTTATGCTTCTGCACCCTGAGAGCGCGCGTAGCTACCTACATATCTAGAGGACTTAGAGGATTTTCGGACTTACCTACCTGCTGTTACTTGGACTCTCTATCAGTTTTTCTGTCTAGTTGCACATAGAGTGCTAATATCATCACTGCCATTGTATATCATCTCCCTTGTCTTACTAAGACTCATCTATCAGCTCTCAGAAGGATTTCTATTGACTTCCATCGCCGGTTCTCTACTTTGCGCATACTGCGCGCTTTCCGACTCTCCTGCATATCTCGCGCATCATGCGTGTCCATCGCATCGGCTTCATGCATCTTGCACACCTTCGCATATCTTCAGCTTCAGCTTTTCTCTTGATCCCTCTCATTATTTAGAGAGATTGTCTCAGTAGCATCCCCTAAGGGACGATTCTACTAGCTCGCCTCTCGAGGTAGATATCCTTGTGACTCCCCAGAGTTCACATCTCTATTTCCTCACCCACAACTGGAGCCCACCGCGAGGGGATCAAATCTGAGAAGACTGGCTGAAAAGTCCGATAGAGTGCTTAGGCCCACCAGATCACGCTTAGCAGGAGCGGCTGTTGTAGAAGCCTTCCAGCAGATATCCATTCAAGAATCATTCATCACTCCCGCCGCTAACCCAGCGCGCGCCTCTGTTCCGCCTCCGCGCCACTATCTGTCACAGTCTGCTCGCCTATGAAAGAAACCACGCCATCAGAAGGCTCTTCTGACACATCACTACACCTCATGCTGACATCACCCATCACGCTGTCAACCAAGGACTTGACAAAAGAAGATTCATTGGACAACTTTGAATCAGTAGACCAACCCTGCCAAGTCATCCCCAGTACCTATTTCACATTGCCCTATCATGCAAAACTTCAAAAAACAGATTCACCTTCAACCGCTAGCTCACTAACCGCTAGCTGAAACCTGACCCGACAGACCACTCCTATTATTCCTCCGCCGTGCCAGCTACCAGACACAAGAGACTTCGCCATCAACAAAGAAGCGCGCTTCTACAACCTAGACCCCATAGTCCCCAAGAAGGAAAAGGTGTCATCGCAACCAGAAGCGCCGAAGATCAAAGAAGAGAAGTCCCCACTCCCTACCATTGCTCCCAACATGCCTGTAACACCCCAGGTATATAAACCATATACACCAGTTCCTATTCCAACTCCCGCTGTAGAGAGTGATATCTCTACAGGCTCATATCCCCTCATTTATACATCGACCTCATCCCTATCCGCGCTGTAGGTGCAACTTTCCTGCGCCTTGCACAGACTACGCGCAGACTCCCGCGTGCTTTCCCGCGCTTCCATCGGCTTTCATCAGGTCCATCCATCCATTGTCTATTCTGTCCATATGTGTGTATTACATACATATATTGGTTTTCTGACAGCCGCTGTCTCCTTACATACATCTGTGACATGCCTTGGCCGCTTTCCCACGCTTCCGCGCTCTTCGGCCGCTTTAGGACACTTTTCGCTCGCTCTTTGCTAGCTATCCTCTATATCTACTGGGCTTTCTGACAGAAGGTTCCTCACTTATGCAATCACCCTTAGTAGAGTTCCGAGTTTGTGCTATGTCTTAGAGAGCACTTACCTATAGCCAGGAGTCATACTCTCCTTCCCTTATCAGTCTATATCCATAATATATTCACTTGATATCCATTCCTCGTGTCATACACAATCCTAGACATCCTTCTGTGTTTGCGCTCTACAAGCGCCGCTTTCCCGCGCTTTTCCCGTGCCCTCGCGCATTCCCACACATTCTTGTGCTTCAAGCGCACTTAGTCGCCCAACTTCTGCCTGACTCAGTTTCCCCTAGAGGCCGAACATATTGCCCTCACATCAGAGCAGATTCCTACGAATCAGTTTCGTTGTTCCCACACCACTATCATGACCACTAACCCCGCACCCATTATCATGGCCGCTGCCCCAAGTTCCACGGTCAGGTGGCGCACCTCGTACGCTTCTTTGAAGATATTGAGCAGCTGTCCAACAATGCGGGACTGAATGATGTTGAGCGCATCACAGCGGCAATGTGCTACATCTCCCTAGAGGAAGCAGAGATTTGGGAAGTCCTCCCAGAAGTGATGGGTTCGAGTTTCAGTGACTTTGTCATTGCTGTCAAAGCAATTTATCCCAGATGCAAAGGAGATTGGCACTACATGTGCTTGGATCTCGAGACGATGTCAGCTGAGCAGTCAAGGATGCCGCTGTGCTCTAAGATTGAGCTCGGGGTTTACTACAGGAACTTCCTGAAGGTATCCACGTACCTCCTTTCGAAGAAACACCTGGCAGAGGCTGAGCGCGATAAGTTATTCCTCAACAGCTTCCCTTGGGAAATTCAGACTGCGATTCACAACCGCCTCCTTAACAAGGAGGTAGACCACCATCCAGGCGATCCCTATAGCTGGAAGATTGTACTGACCATCACTGAATTCTTGCTCCCAGCAACAACCCCAACAACACCCACCACCACAACACCTGCCACACCTCGTGTGCCTCAAGTGCAGTATCCGCTGGAACAGTGACCAACTCAGGTCACCTGGCGAGCTCACTCGAGAGGCTCAAACCTCAAAGCTAGCACACAGACAAAGCTGGAGCAAAGTGGTGAAAAACCCTAACCCTAAAACATGGCTATATATGTGCTATCTACGACTCCAGACACCTCACTAGGACCCCTGGCACCGCACTCGAGAACCAGAACACCAAACCCTAACCGTCACACCGCCCGCACATCAATTGCCTGCGCCAGGTACAGTAACGAGGCAAGAGTACCCCGCACCTCGCTCATACCCGCCTCGCAATATGGGCAACTGTCATTTCTGCGATGGTAGCGACCACAGAGTCTACCAGTACTTAGAAAAAGAGGTGTACATCTGTGCCAGTAAGTGCAAGATGGATGAGACCAGCCGCGATGTGGTTATGCCCAACGGCAACCGCATCCCAGGCCGCCAGTCTGAAGGTACCATGAAGTACCATATTGACCGCATCACCGTGAGTCAGCCAAAGGCATCCGCCATGGCTGGCCTATATATTCTTGCCGCGCCAGAGACAGAGGCTGTGATAGAGGTCAAACCCTCCACAACTCTGAGTCCAAAGAGGACAAAGACGAACTGGCGGTGTGTCAGAGCATTGCAGCTCTTGCCTTTGCGACCACTAAGCAGGACGAGAAGCGCACAGCCAAGGGAAAGACTGTCCGTTTTGACAGGGTTGAAGTACCAAAGTCATCATACTCGCGTGCAGTACCGAAGCCGTCAGTTGAGATGGAGGAGATTGTATCTCCTGCCGTCAAGGCCTCATCATCACCATCATCATTACCATCCACAAGTAAAGGTAAGGTGCCAGCAGTCACGCCAGTTATTCCTATGCCTTTGGCAAGCACAAGCAAGCTGAAGGTCCTGTCATCTGTTCCAGTTCCCGCTAACAAACCAAACCCCATCCCCACGACCCAGTACAGATACACGCACGCGCTAGAAGACGAGGCAGCTCCTTCACGTGTCGCAGCATCCATGCTTGACTCAACTGTCAATGTCCCTATATGGGAATTGATTGCCATCGCCCCAGAAGTCCGCAAGGCAATACACGAGCTGACTGCCAACAAGCGCGTCACCGTAGGCGGCATATCTGTCAATGAGCTGATCAGTCAGCCACAGGTAGAGTCCAACATGCAACAATATCAAGGTTGCAGCAAGCGCAACGAAGAAGGCAAAGCCATCACCAGTCATCACGAGCCACTGTGCTGTATACACGCAATCACCATCAATAACCGCGCTCTTTCCTGCGTCCTTGACCAAGGCGCAGAAGTTGTAGTCATGCCAAAGGCGGTATGGCAGTTGCTTGGCATTGGCCTCTGCTCTGAGTATCAGTTGAGCATGGAGAGCATCAATACATCGAAAGACACAATGCTCGGTGTAATCGAGAACATCCCGCTGGACTGTGGAACAGGGCCGATGCTTTTCCAAGTCCAAGTGGTAGAATGCACACACTTCGAAGTGCTCCTCGGCTGGCCGTTCTTCAAGCTGACGAGCTGCCACATGCAAGATCTCCCCAATGGGGAGCAAGATGTTACACTTACCGACCCCAACTCCTTCAAGGAGATTCATATCTCAACGACGCCTTGGGTAAAGCACTGTGTGCACTGTACCATGGAGCAGTTTTTCCCCAACCACCCTTCTAAGTTGGAGGACACAGGTTTTTAAAGATCGATGATTCGTTTATGAAGCGAGGAGACACTAATTGTACTCTCACCGCTTCGCGCTCAGCACACAAAAGTATTTTGTTCTGTTCTCATTTTCCATCTGTTACCACTCATATTGTGCAACTTGCACATGACGTGCAATCCATTATGTCACTCTCAAGGAGCTCAGCCGCCGCAATATCTGTTCCCAAGTATCAGTTCTCCACATCAGAGCGCAAATCAGCACATTATCCATTTCTTTCATCATCCTGGACAGCTTTTGATCAAGCGTCTATCGACACATTTAATGCTGTTTACAGTTATGATTCCGCAGTACATGCACTGGTATACAAGCCAGTCGTGAAGAAAGTCCGCACCGTACCAACTACTATGCCACCAGAGTATAGGGTTGTGCGCCAACTCCCCGCTGATCCATTGGCTGGTATGCCAGAACTACCGCCCCATCCCCCAGATTTTATACCAGGCGTCCACTTTACACAAGAGTGCGCGGATGCGCTAGATTTAGACCCTGCCAACTGATTATGGTTGGACGATGCACCGAACATACTGGCGCTAGCCTCACAATTGGCTATTTTGATGATATTGGATACCAGCACATTTTCCATCCATTTCCCGCTATGCCCGACATCACCCGTACCCGACCCGATGATAACCCGATACCCCGCACCTTAGGACCTGCACCTTCCCGCGCTTCGGACTATCCAATGCCCTTTGGACACCCATTATCCCTATGTCCAGTCCATTCCCGTGCACCCCCATTGGTGAGTAGTCATTTATTCTCATGACTGACACTGTAGACAGCGCTATTACATGTGCTTCCCATAGTCCGCAGTACCTCATGTCTTTTTACATATTACCTTCGGACTATCCACTATCTTCGCCTATAGGACTCCGGATTTCTACGTAGCTACTTATATAAGGACCAAGGGACTCTCACAAAGAACTTACCTTTCTGTAGAGGGGAGTTCCCTAATACATTTGGTCCATGACACCTTGACACCTTGACACCTTGACACCTTGCCCAATACACCTGGTTATCCGCTCCTTATAGTCTGAACCTCTGCCATTCCTTTATTCTGATTCATCTCATCCGTTCCCGACGATATCCGCTCATTGTCCGTCCCGTACCATTATCACCCGTTGAGTCCGCAGTTCCTGCGCATCGGACCCGCACTTTCCCGTGCATCGGACTACCCGATTTACTTAGGACCCGACATTTTGACCTTCAGGTTATCTTCTCCTTGACCGAAAAGACACTAACTATCATTCTTATATCAGACAGCAGACCCCTTTAGGGTCGAACTAGCCTTAGGCTAAGCAAGACCCACATAGGTATTTGGTAGGCTTACCTCTTGGTAGCTATTTTCCATATACCGTTGTCAGATTATTATTTCGCACAATGAGCTTAAGCTAATTCGCTGGCTCGTTTGTGTGCATGAACTAGCATTTGCATGGGGCGCTCCTGAATGAGGCCACCTCAATGAAACCTATTTTCCGCCATACAAGATTCCGACCATGCCGCACACTCCATGGTCACAAAGAAATATTCTGATTCTGCCATCTACGTTAGGTGAAGTTATCCACATCATCAAGGATAAGATCAACTCAGGCATCTCTGAACCGTCAACCGCCGCATACCGCTCGCGCTGGTTTTGCATCGTCAAGAAGGACAAGAAGTCCCTGTGCCTAGTGCATGATTTGCAGCCACTCAATGTGGTGACCATTCGCGACACTTTGGTTCCACTGTTTGTAGAGCACCTTGCAGAATCATTCGCGGGTTATGCAGTATATGGCATGATGGACTTATACTCCGGATATGACCAGCACGCGCTCCACAAGGAGTCACACGATCTAACTATGTTTGGCATGCCTCTTAGGCCGCATAGACTAACCATGCTAACACGGTCCAGGTTTATCAGGGTGATACCGCCTTTATCTTGCAGCATGAGATCCCAGAGTATACCTCGCCTTTCGTCAATGATGTACCTGTCAAGTCTGTAAAGACGCACTACCAGAGTGCGGATGGTTCTTATGAAACTATACCTGCCAACCCAGGCATCTGCCGCTTCATCTGGGAGCATTGCCAGGTCATTAACTGCATCCTACAGTGTCTTGAGAATGTCGGTGCTACTGTGTCAGCTTCGAAATTTGTCTTAGCCATGCCGACCGCAGTCATCGTCGGGCACCTATGCACGTTCAACGGCCGAGTTCCAGAGGACTCTAAAGTCCAAAAGATCAGAGATTGGCCCGAGTGCAAGAACCAGTTGCATGTGTGCGGTTTCTTAGGCACATGCGGTGTCCTTCGCATTTTTATCCATGATTTCATGCACATTGTGCACCTGCTGATTAACCTCACCAGGAAAGATGTCCCATTTGAATTTGGAACAGAACATTGCGAAGCAATGCAAACACTCAAGGATGCCATTCTAGAGTCACCCGCTTTGCGGTGCATCAACTACGAGTGCAGCCGCGAAGTTATCCTAGCGGTTGACACTTCAAACGTCGCCGTTGGCTACCTCCTCATCCAAATCAGAGAGGACGGCAAGCACCACCCCAATCGCTTTGGATCCATTGCGCTCAATGAAGTCGAGAGCTGCTACTCTCAGGCTAAGTTGGAGCTTTATGGCCTCTTCCACGCCTTGCGCACCGTGCGCATATACATCTTCGGCATCACCAACCTTACAGTTGAAGTTGATGCAAAGTACATCAAAGGTATGATCAATAATCCGGATTTGCAGCCTAACACGACCACCAATCAATGGATCGTGGGCATTTTATTGTTTTCATTCAAACTTGTACATGTTTCCACTACCAAGCACGCCGGCATAGACGGTCTCTCAAGGAGGCCGCGCGCAGACGAAGACCCAGATGAGGAAGATGATCATGAGGATTGGCTTGATTGCGCATACTCATTTGGAGTAGCACTCATTAATGATCAGATGCATATGGTCGCAGCCGCTGGCACATCATACACCCGCAATCTGTATATCAGGCGCGATGTGCAAAACCCTAACTGAACTCCCGCCCTCCTAGTGTTTCTAGATACCATCTCCGCTCAATCTGATGAGCCCCCTATCCCTCGTTCCGAAGCGGTGCAAGCCATGGATGAGAAGATGCGCGAGTATAAGCGCTTTCTAGAAAGTCGTGAGAGACCCACGGATCTCTCGGACAACGACTTTGACACTTTTGTCATGGAGGATAACCTCTGGCGCAGAGAACCACATGGCCGACACCAGCTAGCAGTGAGAGGAGAGCGGCGCTATCGGATCCTCAAGGAGGTGCATGACGATCTTGGGCACAAGGGTATTTATACTGTTCGTACACGCCTCCTCTCGCGCTTCTGGTGGCCAATGATGGTCGACAATGTTAAATGGTACACAAAAACCTGCCACGAGTACCAAGTCCGTCAGAATATTCGCCTGCACATTCCACCCACTGTACCAATCCCGGGCGGTCTGTTCCGCAGAGTACACATAGACTGCATGATGATGCCCAAAGTGAGCAGATTCGATCACATAGTGCATGCGTGCTCACCGCATATCCCGAATGGCGCATGTTGCGCATGGAAACCACAAAAACCCTCAGAGTGTTCATATTTGAGGAGCTCCTTTGCAGATGGGGGCTGATCACCGAGATCGTGACTGACAACGGCCCTCTGTTCAGAGCAGCAGTTGACTTATTAGCGGCGAAATATGGCATTCACCCCATTCACATCACACCTTATAACTCACAAGGTAACAGAATCATCCACCTGGACCTCACGTATTACTTAACTAATTAGCTTGGTATTCCCAGGGGGGAGTGGCAACCTAATTAGCTCGGAATCCATCATTCACATACACTGCCAGTATATAGCTCAATAAATGCTGATATCTATACCTTAGAGAAAATAAATCCCTTCAACCGTGAGACTATATCAGCAGGCTATTGGGTACTGCCGCGAACCCGCCCCATGTACACAGATAAGGCAATACCGTTAGTCATACATGTTAGCCATCATCGGCAATGTCCGCAACCGTTGTGCTCGTCATTGACGACGACGAGCTCGACATCTTACTCAAATTTACTGCTTTTTTTCATTCATGCATGTGGATATGTTCCTGTCACCTATCCCAGCCTCCACAACCATCACAACCATGCAGGAACATTGACATTATTGCCGACCTTGTGTATGACACACCTCATCGGTTGTAGAGGCTATTTCTACTCCATTCCCTCCTTCACTACCCACTACGGATGGCACCTGCTCCCAAACGCTTTAAAGGACTCTCCCGTACTGTCCACATCAAAGAAGGACATCGATATGCGAGGTTCTCAGAACGATACATCAAGCAAAGCAGTTTTGCACTGGAGAGAGAGAATGGTCAGGCTAAATACATGTTGGATATCAGTGGTAAGCCTAACGGTCTCATTGTTGTTTTCTCTGAGCTCAATCTTAGTAGGTCTTGCTACAGAAACACTCAGCGCATTGAGTGAATTGCGCTCAGACCCTCCAATGGATGACACACCATCCGACATTATTACAGAAGACTTTGGTATGGAGTGGGAAACACTTCCCGAGCATTTGCAGGAGAACGAAACCATTGTCTGCGCGATCCGGGACTACACAGACGCTCCGTAAGTCACCCGCACTAATGTCAACTCGTCTTTTCATCTGAAGTATACAGTTGGATTGGCCGTCACTACAAGGATTCGAGAACATGGCGTCGACGACTTCACAATCTTCACGCCAACTGGGCTACGCTCATTCCCTTGCTTGTTGATGCCTACCTCCAGTGGAAATCTTCGATGAACAGGCTTCCTGCACCAATAAGTATGACTTTACTGTCAACACCATTGATATTTTCACTCTTGAAACATCAGCATCTATCTCACAATCTGCAGTTTGTCTTTCACCATCTGTCGCCCTCATGTCTCGTGGCTACATAGGCAACGCTCCCCACCAACCCTCATTCGCTGTCGCTATTCGGACCCTTGAACTCTTCCGTCTTCTTTGGCTTCGCAAGCCCTCGTTGAGTGTAGAAGCATTTGCTAAGGTGATATGTGATACTTATGCGGTACATATGTTCTCTGTTACTTGGAGTCTTTTACTCATGTCTTACAGGTCCCTTACCGAAGATCTAATCGCACCACTCTTTCTAGCACATTCAACACATATCTCACAGTTTTACGTGTGGTCGAGAAGAGAGTCAACACAGCACTCCAACACGACACTCCCAACTGGCGAGTGCAGCATGCATGTCCCCCCTGCTCCTACGTACTGGCAAATGAGCCCCCACTCGAGTTTGGACGTATGTATGTGTTTGACGGGGGCAATTCAGCCAAGCGGATGTTGACGCCTGGTGAACGCCAAGTGGGGGACTTACATGTATTCGAAGACAGCGATTATCTTCTCACCCGTACATTTGTTGACGGTTTTGCAAACGAAGTGCACCCGAGATCGGACCCTGACATTACAAGACCCACCGAAGCTGATGTCATTGCTGAGACAGATGATGACCTGCCGGTGTCCATCTCCTCTCAAGCCATTGCTGCTGAGTGCAGTAAAAACTGGAAGGCCGCTGCATCTGATGAGAAGAAGAGAATGTGGAATATTTTTGATGAAACAGGGATCTTTGTATGTGCCTGTCGCCACAGCTTCATATTATGGTATGCTGACATGGTGCGAAGTGGCGAGCTATAGGTCGCTTCTTTTTGGTTTACAAAAGTCGATGCTTAATAATAGTACACAGTGCGAAATACCCTCTCTCCATCATTGCGAAGGCTCTTGAAGTCCTTGGTGAATGTTCTCTTGGTGCGTATGACATTGGGTGCAGATTTTCATCCACCATAGAATCCAGCAGTCTCGGCCCACTGTTCAAGCAAATGGACTGTCGCATGTGTGTGGATGTATTTCATGGGTTTGCGCATAACTACAAGTGCCAGACGAGGCACCATCCTTGTGGTATCAAAGGTGCAGGTTTGGAAGACTTTGGCATGGCTGAACATATATTCTCAGCGTCCAATGCACTTGCTCCGATAATCCGCTATGCCAGCGCTTACAATCGGCACGTTTCTCTCGACATGTTTTTTAAACAGTGGGACACTGAAAAGTATATGAATCTCGCCACAATGATCTTCAATAACTACCATCAGGCCCTCCATATAATCACACATGAAACTGTTATGTTAGCTGAGGCCATGGTGTCGCTTGGTATTGTGGAGGGAGACTTTGCACTGTGGCAAGAGGAAGAAGTTCGGTACTTCAGTACACTTGGGCAGGAGCCGGAGTACGATGTCCATGCCATGGTATATGTCGAACTCCTCCAATCGCTTCGCGATTTGGAGTACGTGCTATTTTGTTTATATTTCTTCTCACCACTAATTTTATTTATAGATGTTGATCGTCTACCGCATCATCTCTCTTTATCTCCAGCGTGCCTACCAACTATCAGTTCCAGCCCTCTCGAGACTCGTACGCAGCTGAATTGGCTCACACTCACAAACTCGAGACTCAACGGCGCTACACCGCCGAGAAGCTTGATACAGTGCAGCGTGAAGTTCTTGCGATGGAGGTTTAGATGGGCATACACCGACGCTGGGAACCCTCTTCACCAGAATATCAAGCTGCTATGAAGTGCATGACAACACGGGAATATCACCGCACTCTAGACAGTCTGCAATGGCTTGTGGTGCAATGACTGTTTGAAGTACAGCGACTCAATGTCGCACAAACAGGTAAGTTGTAGCATGATTTACAAACTCTTTATTAACATAATCTACAGCGTATAAAATGTGGACCCAAATCTCGAAGTCCCTTCAAACACATTGTCAAGCTATCCAAAACGCCATCAAGAAATACAACGAGGCTGCTGTGAAGTTGGAACCTCCATGACCTACACTTGAATGGTCCAAAGTCTCACACTACCAGTTCCTTGACGAATTCACTCTCCTGCGCAACACACATCAAGATATTCGTGATAAACCATGGGCAAAGCCAGCTATATGTGAGACCATGCGCCAACACCAACGCATTCAACGAGCGCACGAAGAAGTTCTCCGCTGCAATGTAGAAATCCGAAGACTCCATTCTGCCATCCTGGATGAACAGCGCCACTTCAAAAAGGTTATCAGGGAGTTGGAGGCGGCTGCAGGATCACCTTTGCTTGTAGCAGTGCAGGAGGCTGCTAAGATCCGCACTCTTGTTAATCATCAACTTCTCATATGCATCACTCAAGTCTATTCTCTTCCTGGTTTCACCGGAAACCCCTCCCCTGGCATCAGAGAAGGTGCGGTTGCAGAGGAGGACCCTGTGAATGATGACCTTGAACCTCATGACGAGTTGAATGAACCTCACAGCGATAATGAAGCTGATGCATTGGAGGAGGATGACCTCTGCACAGATATAGGAACTGTTGTAGAATATATCTCAGACTTAGCTCGTACTTCGACATGATTATTTTACGGACATTTGAATTCAATGAATGCGCATCAGTTTATGTGGCCAAGATTTGGGTGTGTGTGTCTTTGAATTCAATGAATGCGCATCAGTTGTTGCAAAGTCATGTGGCCAAGATTTGGGTGTGTGTCTATGCGTTGAATCAATTACTAATTGATCAGCGTCAATCAGCATTCATAATACATATCACCATCTCTCTCAAATCTCTCTTGCAAACTTTCCATATTTCACTAACTATAGATTCTCAAATCTTTCTTGTGCACTTGCAGAGCTCTATGTGGGTGATAATCGGAGGAAGGGCACCAGGGATCTATGACGAACGGTGGGCTTTTCTTGTGAATCAACATTTCACACACCGACTGACAAGGCCGTTCATCACCTGCGGGTTTAGAAGCCCGTCTTTTCCAATTCCCATCAAGACGGACGTTGAGAAGGAAGCAGACACCATCTATTCATGCCTTCAGCCCATCGCAAGCCAGCTTAACGACTCAACAACACCAATCCACGCCGCTCGTGCATACTATCTGTCTGAGAGCGTTTGAGAACTTTTTCTTGGTCAGACGAGAAAGTTTTACGCTGTTGTGGTGGGCCATGAATCTGGTATCTATTTTACTTGGTAAGTTTCAACACATCTACCCTATTCCTTCTAATCTTTGTTTTTAAGGGCTGAATGTCAACTCGCGGTCAACGGCTTTTCCAAACCTGTCTACAAGAAACTCGCTTCATTCTCAGAAGCTTTAGAATGGTTCATCACAAAGGGGCACCGTGTGGGCAATGCCACTAATCAATGTTCTCGCAAGTCCACACCAATCGCCCAAAGGGGGGCAACTTTGAATTCCGGTAAGCTTGTACTTCGATTGGACGCTTCATATTGCTCACCATCCAAGCTCTCATAGCTACGTTTGACACAACTGACGTACCACAGCTGCAAAACTTGACACTCAACGTCATGACGGGTGAGTTCATACTACTTTGATTTTCGAGCTAAAACACAATTATTAACAAACACTTCGCCCTAGATACCCATCCCGTGTCTACAGTGCATGTCCAGATGCCTTCACACTCCTGCATGGGTGCCACAACAATGGAGCAAGTCCAGACGCCTTCACGCTCTCGCACGGGTGCTGCAACAATGGAGCAAGTCCAGACGCCTTCACGCTCTTGCACGGGTGCTGCTCGTGCTTGGCGAGTACCAGGGCAGGGACAAAGTCAACAGCCAGGTCATCGGCAAGTCTACTAATATGTACGAGAGATTTCGGGCATCCAAGACAGTTCAATCCCTCATCCAATGCTCCTTATCCTCCAGTAGTTCCTCCTTATCTTTGGGGATCATGCGAGTCAAGGTGTCGAGATGATCGCGAAGAGCGGTCCAGTCACAGTCAAGCACATCGGCCTCAGTTTCAATGGGCTCCTGAGGAGGAAGCTCAGCAGCAGAGGGCGCAGGCGATGATGGCGGGGTGTTGAAAAGGTCTTCAGCGGAGAAAGGTGCCATAGCAGGCAGAAGAATCAAGTTGAAAAGGCAAGATCTAACACATAGTGGAGATGGATAAAAAGAAGAAGAAGCAAATGGACATGTCCAAATTTCAAGCACCAAATTCCTGATTTGGACAACAATACCACGACACATCACTGCACGTGACACATTGCTTTCCGGCGCCGGCTCATCCACATCGGCCATTACCAAACCCCACATGTCATTTTTACAGAATTTTCACTAAGTCCATTCCACGTCTGGAGGACTGACTGTGGACAGTCAGTTTAAGAGTACCCCGCAGGTGTAGAGAGTGATATCTCTACAGGCTCGTATCCCCCTATTTCTACATCAACCTCATCACTATCCATAGGTAGGCGCTGTGTTAGGGGGTGTGGGCCAGGGGTCTTACCTGGTTCTCGAGGCCTTAGATACATACAGCCAGTGCATGTCCAGTAGCTAGTCTTTGCCTATGCCATCAGTCTGCTCCTCCTGCTTGGTCTGAGCCCATCTGCCCCCAGTCAGATGCCACCCTTCCAGCGCAGCCCTATAGACACCCGCACGGCACACGTAATCACCTGCGCTCTTGCGCACTATATGCACGGCTTGTGCACATAGCCACTTACCAGCGCCCTACTCGGATTACCCTCCCTTGTCATGTCCTGTCTGTCCGGCTCCATTGGTGCATATTTTCACTGTTATATCTATTGCTGACAACATCCAGGGTCCTTTACATATAGCCTTACCACATATCCGCTTCCTTATGCGCTTCTGCGCAGCCTATCTGCTTCCCTTATGCTTCTGCACCCTGAGAGCGCGCATAGCTACCTACATATCTAGAGGACTTAGAGGATTTTCGGAGTTCGCATCTCTATTTCCTCACCCACACCATATATTAAATGGAACAAAGGGAACAAGTTAAATGAAAAGGAAATGAATAGACTAATGGAAGGATCAGAATGAACCCGGACATTAACTGTCAGAAGGATCTGAGCATATAGGGGCAGCAAGAAGCATATACAAATGGGGACTCGGGGAAATGAATTCTAGAATGGACCCGAGGAACCAGATGGACCGGACTGGATGAGAAGGTTCAGGTATGGGATATGACAGTATCCAACCTCTGTCTACTAATAAAGGGTTGTTTTAAGTGCTTGTGAGTGTCAGAAACACTGGACTTACTTCACTGTTGTTGTGGTGGGTTCTTCTAGTTCCTGGTAGATCACCACCTCATCTCCCACATGACTGACAGAAAATCCTTCCTCGCCAGGAGGAGGAATCATGGAGTCGATGTCCATGGAGTAAGGAGAGAAGTCATCTGATAGTGTGGGTGGCGATGAATTGGGGCCGCATTGCTGGGTTTCAGAGGTCAATAATCGCTCACGCTCTGTCAAAGGGAGTTCTACAGTACTATCAATGGAAGTAAATTAGATGACAAAATTAGAGAGATGAACTTACTCTTGAGGAGGGAAGCACAAAGTTCATGGGCATCATCTTGGCATTGGCAAAGTACTCCTGTACACAAAGTCCTGGTCCTTTTGCCGCCCACATGGACAGAGCATTTCCGTTGGAGTGGGCCATGGGGGGACGAGCCATGGGACTCAGACCAAGCAGAAGGAGCAGACTAATGGAATGGGCAAAGACTAGCTACTGGACATGCACTGGCTATGTGTATCTAAGTGCCTTGAGGACCAGGTAAGACCCCTGGCACCCCTGGAAGACCCCTGGCCGAGCCCCTAGCCAAACCTCCTAACACACTGTGATAAACCGCCCACAGCATTGAGTGTCATGGGGGACACATAGGAGGGAAGATAGGCAGCTTGGAGGTGAGGGTGCATGGTGGAATGTCGAAGATAGGATGATTCTCATGCACTCTGTTGATTTTTGGTTGACATACCTGTATGCACAGAGTACGAACCTAGGAGCCTTGTAAAGGAACACTTATAGGTAGTCTTATGATGTCCTGTAGTGAGATATATATTTGTAAAATAAAATAAAATAAAACACACCTTATACAAGCTCATCATCAATGATGATGAGTGCGAGTGTGGCGGCATTGTGCAAAGTTGTGCGCTATGATATTATTCAAAAGGTGATGACACAAACAGTGGGAAAAAGACTGTAGAGTAAATTATTCTAAGTACAAGGAAACTGCCAGTGCTCCATAGGAAGGTACAAAGGCTTTATTAAGTGGCCAGAACATTATGGTAAGGTCACCTTACTAACTAGGATATGTGGGAAGTATGGGTGCATAATGTGGGCTGTCTGCAAGGTACTGTTATAATTAAAAATGCGGTGTTGGCCTCAAGTTCAATGGCACAGCCTCAAACCTCATGCATCATATGTGGCTTTTGCTAAAGGCCAAAGGGACAACTCCATACTCCATATCATCACAACTTCATATAATTAAAAACACAGTGTTCAATGACACAGCCTCAAACCTCATGCATCATGCATGGCTTTTGCTACAGGCGCTGAAGGTACAACTCCATACTCCATACCATCACAACTCCATACTGTCCTCATTTGCTGGAACCCTATCATCCAACATGCCTTCTCAAACTGTTTGGGTCAGAGAATGGCACCCATAATAGTATCTTGTCAACTTACTGGAATCAATACTGTTGATGCAGCATGTTCATGGTATGGTTACTACGGTACAAAGTAAGTGGTGTGATCAATTTAAAGTTGAGGAAGCCTTACATATAACTTTCAGAATAATTCGCCATATTGAAAATTTGCACACTAGGCTGCCATTGTACCCTGCCATGGTGCACACTTCCAAGAAACCCAAGTCATGATTTGAGTGTTTCATTCAACCATCCTTCACGTCAACACTGGCAGTCCAGCAAATGCAGAAATATGCATTCACTGATGAGTATACTACACTATAAACAGGTTATCTTTTACTTGAGGCCACACTCAAGAGTAAGCCATCTGCTAGTGGTTCACTATATATATTGCATATCATTCAGGATTGGCCAGACTATGACAACTGGGACGAAGTTCCTCCATGTTATGATCCTCCAGATATTCTTCCAAATAAGCACAAAGAGCATCCCACAGTAAGTGATGTGTAGAAATATGAATGATTTATAGTATACTCACAAATTTTTGTAGGATAATCCATTTCTGGTTTGGCTCCTCCAATGCCAATCCTTCTTTGATGAAACCATTTTCTTGGAGGGCCATGTTCATGAAGCCCAGTGAACGCCCTGCTACTGCGGCAATGATAGACTCAAGTACCGCTGTAGCGACTGCTTTGGAATGGAGATGTCCTATCAGTATTGTGTTGTCAACCACCATTAATACAGCCCATTGCATACTATTGAGGTATGTGTTGCCTAGATATACAATCTATATAGTACCAACCCTACACAGGAGTGGAACAGTTCATTTTTTTAACACATCAAACTCAAGATTTTTGGTTTGTGCATACAATTAGGCCATACTCCCAGTAACCACTATTACAACCCATGTTCCTCAATGGGCAATGATTTTGTCATCATTGGCATTAATGGAATCCATGAAATTAGATGAGATTTTTGTGACTGCAAGACTACACAAGTGCGCTACAAACAGTTATTATGAGTGTGATGATATCCAGCAACTACAATAGACTTGCACAAACAGGTGCTACATTCAATGTGCTTGAGCACTTCCACTTTCTCTCATACGAGTCTAAAATTTCCACCTACAAATTTTTGCATGGTTTAGCCAGGCACACTAACCATAGTGGATTGTCACCCATCAGGGTATGTCTCAAATTTAAATGCTAACATAATGGTACTCAAACTTGGGCTGTACAGGATCATTATTCTGCATTTATGCAGATTGTCTATGAATAGTGGCACCTTCAACAACCCAGGCACAGTGGGTGAGGTCATGACTCTAGTAGCATTGCAGAAAAAAAGCCAGTGAGCTTGCAGGTGATGTATCCAGCATGCCCATATCCAGGCAAAAACTTACCCAGCAGTTGGGAGAATTTGCCCCCAGGAATAGGGTAAGTCCGGATTTGATGGTTGAATGAGGATATTTAGCTCACCCTGGTTGACAAATGGTTGTATGCCCTTTTCCTTACATGTGAAGTCCCTTTTCATGGTTTCCAGATTCATTCTATGTTATTTGATCACTATCAGATTACTGATAAAGCCTGTAATCTCTTCATTGTTGATGACTTGCCTGATCTCAGAACTCCAGTTGCAAAGCAATGAGACAAAGGTAGTCAAGAGTCTCTTGTTTTTCCATAAGCTCTTACTTGACCATTTTGATTTTATCTTAGAGTTATTTGGCCTAGCATGATCTTACCTACTTCAATGGTTTTAACCACCTCTGTGATCATGTTACTAGTTGACTTTATGTGGTCAAATGGACCACTGTTGTAGTAGGGGGCTCGAGCATTAGAGTTCACCTTAGGGGTCTTTCCTAGTTAGGTCTTGGGGTTCTGGAGGTCTTGGACCCTGTTGGCAGAGCATTTAGTAGCGGTTTCTCATGAATAAACACATCATCATCCCATCAGCCAGTTGCTCCAAGTGTCGAGGCTACGCCTCTCCACCGTGCATGTTGGCACCCTTGTCACAAATTGCTTTGTGTAGTTCACATGCTGTCACTGTGGTATCACGGTGTGAGAAAGTAATCTTGAGTAGTCTGTAGAAAGAGACTACCGATCCGGATGAGTGCGAGTGTGTTTGCTCGTCCCAAGGGGATTGCTACTGAAAGATACTCTCCACGATAAAGTGAAGGAATCAAGCCTGCGGGCTTATGATCTATACGATCTGCTATGGATGTGGGACAGGTGGTCTGAATGCAGATGGGATCTGGTGCGAGGACGGATAACTCTGGGGTGGATGCCTAGCGGTATGGCTACGGATCCACGAGGTTTCGAGGTGTCAAGGTGTCAAGGTGTCAAGGTCTTGATGTAACAAGTTACCAGTAGTAAACCGCAATACAGTTAAGGAACACAAAGTACGGAAGACTGAGAATGCAAGGGTCTGTGCTGAGATCCGTGAGGCAGAAGACTTAAGGGGACTGTAGATCACTCGAATTTAGACACTGAGTCCAAGGGAGTAGAAGGACGTGTATTGCCAGAGATTCAGCGCGACTATTGAACATGATCCATAAGAACTCAGAACATCCTAAATGTAACGGTAAGTACAGGCGAGTCCGCAGCAGAGTAGTATGTAAATGATGACAAGCAGCCTCATGTATGGGAACACATATGTAATACAGACTGAGGATGATCAGGATGACAGAAGAAGATAAATGACGCACCAATGGAGATGGACAGGCAGGACATGAATGGACGGAATCTGAGAGATCCTGGTGATATCCACTACAGAAAGTGTATCTGCCAGGTGCAGGATGGGACAGATACCGACAGATACGAGCGGATGACCATGGAAATGGTATCTGACCAGGTGAGCACCAAATGATGGATAATTGTCCATTGTGAGGCCACAAAACGGATGGTTCCTACAACGGTAAGTAGTGTACATACATTAAATTCAGATGGGTGCAACACTCACATGCTGAAACCTTTTTGTAAACCTTCTTGTTTTTGAAATTAGTTCAGCTATGCTTCATCAATTTCAGTGCAACATCTTGTTTAGCTTCTGTAAATGCACTGATGCTCAATGAGAGGGTAAGGAAATAATCCAGGTGCATGGACCGTCACTTAGTAGGAGATTTAGATGTGTCAGTCTTGATCTCTTTGGAAAACGATGTGAGCACAGCGGACAGATATGCACAGAGTGACACATAAAATATGACTACTAGTTCTAAGGGCCAACCTCCAGAAGAAAGCTTCTATAATGCTAAGCCTGTCTGTTGATACAAGTGAAGTTGATGGACAACAAGCCAGAATGCATCAATGCATTTTTCAGGAATCCTAATCTAAGTACATTGGATGTTGGTATTCATATGAACTTGAAATATTTACCTTTTCATCTGTATTGCCCACTAACAATATAGCAATATTATCCTTAACAACAATGGACACACTGTAAAGTAGAATACCATTGCTGACAATTACAGGCCATGGTTTGATGTCCAATATGATGGAGAATAATGATAAGGATGACATTGCTGCTAAATGGTAGGACTCAGTCTTTGAGTGAATAGATGACATTGATTAATGGCTGCTGGTCATACTCAACATTCATCAGCAATGTAATCACTGATGAGTCACACAAATATCTCATGGTTAGAGCATCTATCTTCCCATCACCATCACCATTCCAAAATAATGCTCTCATGTAATCATTTGAGGATGAAATTCTTGCTGGGTCACCTGATCTTGAGGTCATGGATGACACTCAGGCCATGCAACAACCACCAGAAGCTAGTCCCAGCATCACAAAGGCACTTTAGCATCAAATGCATATGAAACAACTCACCCTGCAGCAGAGCCAACATCATATCATTCTCATTGCTATCACACTCAGGTGCAATCTGTAGATTTTATGCACAGATAAAGCATTTGTGTTGGTCATAGCCAATACACCCCACCAAAGGCACATTCACTTATAGGCCCATATGTACCGCTCACTCTAATTCAGAATAGAGATGCAAACATTATAAATACCAATGAAGTTGTCTCAACCCAGGATTTGTGCTATTCTGTTGTTGACATAGTCAAGGATGCAATTATTATATGTCATTACTATCTACTGCCAATAAATGAATTGCATTAACATGTTTGTAGTGCTGTATCAATTGTCATAATATCGGGTCAGTATGAGTCATCGTTTTCTATCTCACGTAGTAGAGATGCAGACAAGATCTTGGATGATTTATCTATTCAGTGAGTGTTTCCTGATCTTTCCACAAAATATAGTAACATTTAGCACTGGTTCTTGTAGCTGAACACTGTAACTGGTACATGGGCTCTATTTCTTGCCAGAACAACATTTTTTCAACATCATGAGCAGCTGGTTGGCAATTGAGTCCACATCTTTTTATGTCTTCTTCTTTGTAGCATTCATTTTCTGATGAACTGTCATATCCCTCGTTCCTGAACCTTATTTCTGATCCAATCTAACGGCCCGTCCCTTATCTTGATCATGCTTCTTTCTCCATCTGTATAGTCCCTTTGTCTTAACCCCTAGATGCCGGGTCCGCTTGACAGTTAATATCTGTTTCCATTCCAGATCATAATCCCTATGCCCATATCCACTCAACTCTTCATCTCCATTCCATTTCTCGATTGTTCCTGTGGAATTTTCCTTATACCTGTCAGTTTAGCCTTTCCATATGTTCCTCTCCTTGATCCAGATCCCCACTTACTCCATCCCATCGCACATGTCTATAGTATATAATACCTTGTGTACTCGTAGTAGTTTCCTTAGTTTGAATATCATCTTAGACTCTGCCCATTCCCGTCCTCCGTCCCTTTGCATGTCTAGGGAATTGACTTCCCATAAGACTATACATCCGGCTCTACCCTCAGGTAGTCTACCTCCATCTGTGTCTACTGTAGATCCATCTATAGTAGTACATCTCTGTTTCCCGACACCCGGCTAAGCTAACCCACCGGTCCAGACCCCATAAACCTACCATCCGAAGTTAAGGGCAAGTACTTGGGTAAGGGGCGCAGCGCACAAGCTGAAGCCAAGCCCTCCAGATCTGCCTTTCAAGCACGGTCTTAACATGAACGCACATATGGCTATAAATTGTAGTCATGATATCCCTAGTTTAAATAGTAAATATAGTTTAATTATAGTCAGCCTCCGCTGGATTTCAGAATAAATGATGACATAAAATATCAATGGACTGGATCCATATGTCCAGTAAGAGCTCAAGTCAGCTAATTGTAATCTAAACATAGCAGAGTTAAATACCTAATATGTCTGTGAATTGTAGGCTCTGACCCAATGGAGTGTTTGAGTATATGTCACTACTGCTTAGTAGGTAGTAAGTATTGGCAGCCCTTTTATTGACACTCTATAAACTGTTAATAGTATTTAATTTATTAGAGTTCCAGTGCCCTGCAAATTTCCCTAATTTGCTAAGTTGTATCAGTGCTTCTTCCCTCATAAAATAACCTCCTAGCATCATAGATTGTAGATATGATAAGTAAGAGTCCAAAAAATCAATATAACTAGGAGAAGTTGAGTTAAAGATGACTGTGTGGGGAGAAATACAAGATAGGTGAATATTTGCCTGGCATATATTAAAACTATATGCAAAAGGATAAATTCAAAGGGCTTGACTTAGCTTATGTACTATATGTCTTAACCAAGGTGGATATTTTAAAGAACATACTGTGCTTATATTTTGTGTTGCTCTGATTGATACACACTCTTGTTAGGCTTAGTCAACCACTCATGAACTGTGATCATATTAATAACTCAATTTTTTAGGAAGCGCTACCTGTTATTAAGACGATCCTCACATGCACACGTAATCTGGCACCTTTAGTTCCTTTGCCGTTTTTCCTGGGGGCATTAGATATCCTCCTAGGTATATGGGGGGCGTGTGAGCAGCTTTCAGTAAGTTATTCTATGGCTACTTGCCCTCATTGTTGCTGACATAAAAAATATTTTTCCCTTTACCGTTGTTCTGCAGTCAAATCGATTTTATTGCCTTCTTATCGTCAAGTGCTATGCAGAAATGCTTCACTGGATGTGTGAGCAGATCGAAGGGGTCAATCCAATCGTCAGCAGGGAACTCAGTATGGCCATCCGCGACTTTAGAGCAGTCATTTTCCAAATATATTCTTTTAAAGAGTCGATAATAATAATAACTCTAAAGGTGAGTTATATGAAGATAGGCAAAAAATAAAACAAGGCAGATAAAAATGACATGACTTAAAATAAGGCCATTAAAAAACCTAATATGATAGGAGATATTTGCTTTCACTTGTTGTGCTAGAATATATTAAATTACAGTCATCAACATTTACACAATAAAACCTTCAATAATTTCATTGATATTTTCTATTTCATAAACCTCCATAAAATATTTAGAGATAGTTTTTTAGTAAGTTAAAAGCTGACCTTCTTGCTCTTCCATACATTAACTAATATTTCAGCCTTAAATATACTAACAAATATGCAAGGTAACTCAAATACTATTATCATTTTATTAACCAATCTTCAACTACTATAACATACATCACTAACTTAAGGAGGAAGAGTCAGATGACACAGACTTCAGATTTTTGATTTTTTATAATAACATTTCTACCACTATTTTGAGCAGCTAGTATTTAGTGACTTTTATTTCAATGAAATTACGCCTAGAGTTAAAATTATTAAAGCAACTCTTTGAATGTAATAATATCACTGAAGGTTATAATTAGATCTATATGCTCAGAAGTCAGATTTTGAGATAATTAGGTTGACAAACTTAAATACAAATAATCAGTTGGTAGTCTATAAAAGTGATTAGTATATTTAACAACTACCAAAAGATTATATATATATATAGAATAATTCTAGCAAAATATAACTAACTACATATTAGCCTAATGTGCTACTGGTGGAATTTGTTCAGCTATTCATACAATACAGATCATTGACCTTTAGATACTTGTTGGAATTATTAATGATTTCCTAGGGCAGTAGAATCATGTGCATATTTTGAGATAGTTCATAGATGATTAATACAACTATAGCCAAAAATGAAGCTTAAACTTACTTATATATAACAATATCATACTTGACAAGACCAACTACAACAACATAGTGTCAGTTATCTTGTGAAAAAAAAAATGATTGATTTTTTAGAAAATATAGCATAGGTTAAGATATTCCAAATAATTATAACAAATAAAATCATACCATCATAGCTACACAATAATAGTGAGACATTTACTAAATACACATTCTAAATTGGAATTCTGGGTGATTAGATCAGAGCAGTTATTCAATATGAGCTTCTAAGTATTAAAGTAATCTGGAAGGTAATCAATTTTATAAGCTCAAATACTCTGTATTCTGCTTTCTACCAATTTCTGTTAGTCTTTATCCATTTTCTGTCAGTCTCTGTCTAGTTTCTATGAATTTGATGAAAAATATGGGTTCTATGGTTTCTGTTGAGAGTGGGTTGATCCTGTATTTATTGAGCAGCCTGAGCAGAGGTGAGGGGTGACATTTTCAACCATTGAAGTTATGTCTAGCGCAGAACTTGTATGCGGACACTATTCCCTTGTGCAAAGGGTGGGAGGAGTGTAGGGTGACTATCCTTAACGTGGCTCAATGGCATATCTTGCAGAGTGTCTGCTGAAAAGGGAGAATATTAGCATGCACTTTGAGTAGATTAGTGGGAGTAGAGTGCATTGCGCCTGTGATAAGTAGGGCTGCCATTCTCTGAACCCTAGCCATGTTTATAGCATGTCCTCTCATGCCCCTTCCTCTTGCATTATGGCCCCTTCCTTTGGCTATGAGCCCTGCCACCCATATGTCCACCGCATATAGCATCTTTGATATAACTTCCCCTTTGTATAATCTCTTCATCCAGTGTCCTCTTATTCCCTTAATTGTCCTCATCATCCTGTTGCAGGCTAGCGTGTACTTAGTTCCCTTAGCGAGAATGTAATTAGTGTGCTCTTTGAATCTTAGCTCTTCATCAATGATTACACCTAGGAATTCGTGTGAGTGTGAGGGGGCGATAGTGTGGTTATGTATTGTGATGGCTGGTCGTGGTAGTGAGTATGTTTTTCTTGGATTGTTGGCACTTGCTTCACATGTTCTTGAGAGACAGATAAGAGCCGTCTTCTCAAATTTAAACTCTGCATTGTGGTGGCGACTCCATTCCAGCGCTCCCCCGGGTTTCTCCATCATTATTACCAGCTTCTTGTTAGCTTCCTCATAGGATCGAGCCCTGGCTGCGATCACCACATCATCCAGGAATCCTAAGCTAAATTCACCTTTTCTGGGGTTTGTGTCTGTGATTCTCAATATGTTAGAGTTGTAGAATATGAATGTGAGTGGGGAGAGTGGACAGCCTTGGTCCACTCCGTCTGTGATGTTGAATGGTGTCGATCTGAAGTCATCAAAAGACAGTGTCGTTGTTCTGCCGTCGAGTCGGCGACTATACCAATCTATATATTCTTGAGGTATGTGTGCCTTTCTCAAATTGTGTAATAGTTGGCTGACTATCACACTAGGGAACACAGCTTTCACATCCAGGAATAGGACCAATACAAAGTTCTCTTTCGAGGCCCAAGCATCGGTGATGAATTTGGTGAGTAGATGGAGTGAGTTGGTGGTTGAGCGGGCCGGTCTGCCTCCGAAGTGGGTGGATAGGAGGAGATTGTGTTGTTCTGCAATGTATGTTAGATCGTCTGCTATACATGATGATAGAAGCTTAGCCATGGTATCCAGTAGGGTGATTGGTCTATACGCTTTCAGTAGACTGTAGTCCACACGTCCGGGTTTTCATAATACTATTGTCGATGATTGTTTCCACTGGTCGGGGTATATTCCTAGTTGAAAGGTGGTATGGAAAATTGGTCCCAGATGAGGTACGAGCAGACTCACGCACTTCACAATGACGATGTTGCTGATTACATTGGGTCCAGGTGCCTTATGCAGTGTGAGCTTAGTAATTGCTCTAATGATCTGTTGATAGGTGATTAGTTTAAATTCGCATATGGGAAGCTCATAAATGTAGTTAGGATCAATGTAATCATCTTCCAGTGGGGGTCTGAAGAATGTTTCGTATAGTAGTTTACTTTTGCGAATGTTGTCTTGCGTGGCTCCACTGTTTGGATTCTCTCTTGGGTTGCGGAGGGTTTTGATTCTTGTATGTACTTGGTCCATTGGGTTGTTTGCTGCGTACCGGTGGAAATTCCAGACATCTGTTGAGGTTAGTTTCTCCATCCATTCCATCTAATGTTCCTCTTTGGCTTTCTTGATCCGTTCCAAGAATCTGTTGCGAGTGATTCAATGTTCTTCATGCACGGGGTGATTGCACTGGGTGATTTTCTTGTGCGCCCGTTTTCCTAGTTGTTGTACCATTTTGTGGTCTTTGTTGAGCTCTCTCGACCACCATCATTTCGAATAGGGAGAGGGTTTGACTTTGGAGACTTGGTCACTTACGGTTTCAGCTATGATTTGCATTATCTTCTTGAACGTTCTGTGGAATTGCTCTGGGGTTGTGATTTTGGATGGGGGAGGGATGGTGTTAAGTCTCTGCGCTAGCACTTTGTTGAATTCGTCCCAATCTGCTTCCCTGTAGTTAGGCCTTGAGGAAGTGTTGATTTGTTCTGGTTGAAAGTCAATGGAGCTAATAATGGGATAATGGTCAGTAATGACAGGTCTTAGGTGGTACTTCACTTCACATTGAATAAACAAGTGTTCTAGCTCTTCCAAGCAGGACATGTTGTCCGGTCTGGTATGATTCTTTGTATTGGATGCTTCTAGGGTGGCTAGTCCGGGTGGTAAGACCTGCATTAGTTTGTACAGGGCAAGGAGGTTGATCAGTACACCCATGGCATCCAAGTTTGCCACGGTAAATAAATGGGAGTTATTTGGGAGTTCCCACATGGGGTGATGACAATTAAAGTCGCCCAACCAGATTATATGTTCGTTATCCGTCTGTTCGCCTTGAGCAATTTGAGGTGTGCGATTACATCGAGTGTTTTGGTCGTTTTGCATGTGCCATTCCAGGAAGTGGAGAGTGGTGTTGTTGTCACAAGCATTATATATATTATATACATGTACCTTTCCCATGGAAGTGACTAGCTTTATGGCCATAATGTTCGCAGAGAGTATGTTGACGGCATGTCAATTATTCTTCAATATGTGTTGGTTGACCAGCATGATTGTCTGGGTTCGGTCTGGGCTTGTTTGATTGTTGGATGGGTATAGTACATCCTAATATCAACTGAGGCTGGAGGCGTTGGTGAGGTTGAGGGAGTTGAGGAAAGGTTCTTGTATACAAGCGAGGTTGTAGGTTTCATGATATAAATTGTGCAATAAGTGTTCCCAGGCACTATAGGACTTACATAGGTTCTGTTGCCAGACCTTGAAGTCTTCTCTATCATTGGCTTCATTGGTTGTGGCAGACATTAATCCCAGCCTGTGGTGTCTTTGGCGCTGTCAATGTTGTGTTGATGGTAGGGGGAGGTGTTCCACGAGGTTGGCGTGCTTTGATTGTCATCTTTTGGCTCTGTTGGGGGAGGTGTGTTAGTTTTTGTTAGTGTTTTGGGTCGTTGGTCTATCCACCCATTGGTTAAGCGTGATTGCATTCCAAGAGCAACACAATTGGATTTGGTTGTGTGCTATTCTTCTTGCTGTGGTTGACGATGCTGGTGAACCGTCTTCCATTCTCTGTTTGATGCCTGGTTCAAGGTGGGTTGATGTTGAGAGTTCTGGTTGTTTGTTGTCTCTGAGTGACCTTCAACCATGTCCCATGTGAGCGGATCCTCTGTGGGGAAGTATGTGTACTTGGTTTCCTCATTCCTTGCCTTGTGCACTTCTGATTTCTCAATGAATGTTGGGCATTTTCCACTTCAAGCTGCATGACTGTTTTTCTCGCAGTTGACGCAGTGTTGTTGATATGTATTCTCCACTGTGCAGTTGCTTGTTTGGTGTTATTTTCCGCATGTACCGCAAATGTCTTGGTCGCTTGGGCAGTCCATTGATATATGGCCTCCATCAAAGGTGTGACATTTAAGATACCTTGTTGGTTCCTGTAGAAGGTTACGGCCATATACCTTCTTTCCAGCTATTGGTAGGCCAAATCTAATGATCTGGTTGGTGTCTATCTTGGTATTGAGTGTAAGGGTTATGTGGGCCGTCTGCTGGTTTGGGCTTCTCTGTGCGATGGGTTTGATATACCTTGCCTTGACTATCGATTTTTGTTTCAATCCTTCTTTGCGCTCCATTTCGGCTAGTGTTGTTGGTGAGAATGGGTCAAAGGAGATGGGTACGTTTTCCATGAGTGGGTTGTATGAGTGATCCTTTATCACGATGCCGTATCCAAAGTGGGTGAGGAAATTACTTCAATTTGCAGGGACACTGAGCCATTTTGCTGATTCTGGTGCGTTAAGTTCATATAGGACACCACTATGTGGTAGTTTTCTTGCTGAGAGTACTGCTATGTTCTCGGGGATATTGGCGCCTTCTTTGTCTATGAGTTCTAGAGCTAGTTCTGCTTTAGCGACAAGTTGCGCCTCTGTTAGTTCCCAGAGCGAATTGGGTGCAAGTATTGAGCGCCTGTCAAGTAGGATCTGTCTTGCCTGGGCTTCTCCTCTAGCCAGTATCTTTGTTAGTGGGGTGGGGGTTTGTGACTTTGCGACAGTTGCATATGATCGAGATCCATTAGATCTCACTGGGGTTTGTGCGTTCATTAAAGTCTCCACCGCTTTTCCTATGTCCTCTGCTGATATGTTCAATTGTTTGTGCACCTCTTAGACTGCCTTGTCTAGTGCAGTTGTGTGGTTTTCCGTTGCCGCAGCTATGGTGTTCACCTTCTTGTCCATCATTGCTATTGAGTCATCTATTAGGGCTGATATCTTGTTTAGGAGATTGTTCGTGTCTATGGTCTGTTCCACTTCATGGAGTAGGATGGCTATGGATCTTTGAACTTCCGTGTGCGTAGCTCCCAGTACCGGTGACAGGCTGAGTTTGAAGGTTGCAGAGATGAGCTATTTGATGGTATTGCCAGTGGATGATAGATTCAGGCTATTGGTGTTGAGGAGTTTTCTTGCTGAGAATACTGTAGTTATGTCGGTTCTGATGTCTGCTCCTGCGATGTGTTCGTCAATCTCTTTGCTTATTGTTAGCAACATCTTGCTGGTGGCTTTCCTTGCTGGTGGCTTTCCTTGCACCTCTTGTTTGAGGTGTGGTTAGTGATAGTGAAGTAATGGTGCTGTTGGGAGCTATTTTAATGATTATTGGATTTGATGTTTATATTAGATGGAAGAAAGTAAGAGATTCTGCGGTTGTTGAGGGGGTCCATTTGTGACAGGTTGACGCCTTATGGACAGTTATATAGTTTGTCAAAATCCTACAACATGTTGGATTTATACACACATTTTTTTATCTACTAGATCAACATAAAAATTCAATTATACCACTAAGTTTGATAGGATAAACTCATAGACATGTAGCTCTGTTTTTCTCAATGTAGCATGCAGACATTTTCATGCCAGTTGAATATATCATCATTGAAAATAGTCTGCAAAGTATAATAGATCATTTGGATGATGCAGCTTGTTAGTCAATGGACCCACCAGATGCTCCACCAATATAGGCATCTTATGTGGTGCCAACTGGGCGACCAGGATGCCTCCGTATCAAAATCAAGCCATCTATTCTAGCACCTGCTATTGAACTCCATGGTCTGACACACCTTGCAGTAGTATTTCAAGTATCAGCACAAACAGTGGACATTTGCATAAAAAAAGTGACTTTGTCAAATTTGTATAGGAAAGTGTAATGTTTGGTGAGGTGGACACTTGACTAGGAAAAGTGATTTTGCCAATTTTGTATAGGAAAGTGTAGTGGCTCAGCTAATTATGTAAGCTTTGTTGGGGATGCTTTGCTGGTCCTCATTGTTATTTTCTTTTAGGTCACTTCTGTGCTCCCAGTGCCCTAGGGGAGGGTATAGACAGTCATTTAAGTAATGAACACATACACCTCATTGGTTCAAGATAGGTGGACGCAGGTCTCCTACAACAAACATATACTTACTACAGTGTTTTTTTTCACTAGGTACCTTCATAATTATAGGCTATGTTTTTACACATTAAATTTACATAGGAGCATCTCTTCCATCTGGTTGGTGAGTACCCCTTCAAAAACCATTATTTTACCACAAAACTTACTTATAGTCAAGAATCAAACAAAGAAAACATATAACTGTTATCAACATTTGACCTAAGCACATATATACCTTACTAATGGTAAGGCTGTGGAGCAGACACACTAAACTTCTAAATCAAAGAGTCTAGGGTGAGGTCTTCATTATGTGCTGAAACTAAGGTAGCTGAAGACTAAATCATACCGGAAGATTTTGAAGATTTTGTATATTGAAGTAATGAAGGGCAATTAGTTTAGTAAACCTAGATGAGTTTTATACTACTCATATCCTTGACTATTACTGATACTTTCTTATCCTGGTCCTTTTGATCCTGCTCATCCTTCTCTGATGTCACTTCCACCTTGCCATCTTCTGGTGCCCACATTATAAAGATTGACAACTAACTTTATTGACATGTCGCTACCACACTGACCTTTGCAAACTGAAATCCTTTTGCAAAGAGTCTCTTTATGGCAGAGAGATTGTGCAACAGCAATTGATTTCTCTCATCTTTGAAAATAATCTACTCTTACAGGAACAGAACTTTAAGTACTAGTTGAAAAACAAAATGTGTTAGGCAGATATTGGCAACAAATTGGAAGGACCTGAGCAGGGTGAGATAGCATATACTTAGTTGTCGTGTGTAAGCTTGACCTAAAGCCTTCCTTCAAGTCAATCTACAGCTTAGCTTTTGAAGAGAGTAAGAAAATGAGACTAGATTAAAACACATTGATGTATTAATAGAGAAACGGGGGTAGGTGGGTGGACAAATTCCTCGTGCTAAAGGAAAGTGCATAAGGACCAAGGCAACATAAGATGCAGTCCTAGGCAGTTAACTAACCTAATACTAAAAGACTTAGGCTGAATGAAATGCAGATATATAGTTCAGTTTTGAGCTAGGAGATAAACAAAGTGGTGTGGGAGTGAGCTGTGAGCATCCAGAGTAGGGTTACAAATGTTTGAAGTCAGCCTGTAAGACAGAAAAAACAATGTTGGGATTACCTCCTCCTCCTTCTAAGTCATTCAGAATAATTGTTTGGGGCATAGCTCAAGTATTTCTGGTCCAGGAGACAAAAAAAGCTGTGAGTCTGTAGAGTACAATAACCAAGAATTGAGGTCAGCTGGTGCCATATAATAAAAGATATGGTGGGATCACCTCCTCCTCCCCCTCTAAGCCACCTCAAGTGAAGTTTTTGGGTATAGCTCCAGTAGTTTTGGCCCAAGAGATGAATAAAGTAAAATAAAAGTGAGCTATAAATTTATAGAGTTCCATGACAAAAAATTGAGCTCAGCCAGTGCAATAGAAAAAAAGTTATAGTAGGATTGCCTCCTCCTTCCTCTAAGCTACCCAGAGTAAATCAGTATTTGAGCATAGCTCAGGCAGTTTTGATATAGGAGAAAAAAAAAGTGCAACAGGAGTGTGCTGTGGGTGAGATACATGAAGTGAAGCGAGAGCGAGCTGCAGGTCTGTAGAGTATGGTGACAAAAGTGGTGGTATGATGAAAAATAGTTATAGGCGAATTATTTCCTCTTCCCCCTCTAAGCCACTCAGAGTCAGAGTTTCAGGTGTAGCTCAAGCAGTTTTGAGCCAGAAAACAAAACAATATTAAAGTGGGATGGGTGGAAGAAGGTGGTTGAGTCAGTGTGAGAACTTAAGATTGAAGTAGTACCTGAAGTCAAATTTTACTCAATTATTACTCAACATTAAGGAACTGGACTTTTCTGTAGGAGGATCAGTTTTTCATAGGTCAGTTCACTTCTTGAAGAATGATCTGATGGTCTATAATCTCTTGGGAAGTTGCCCGCATATGGTAGATTTAAACCACCCCTCCTCATAGTCCTTAAAAAATTCAACCAATGTGGTGGGAGAAAAAAAGACATTGCTAATGCAGCTAGGTGTGATATCATTCACATCAACACCTTAAAGAGGCTTTTATTTACCAATCCTATTATACAAATCTCCTGATAAAAAGATAATAACATCCCCTGGAACATATCTGAGCATGGCAGTGAAATTCAAGCTAAATGTAAGTTAAAGGGATGCTGACTTTAATTTCAGTTTCAGATCTGTGAAATATGCCTCTCCTCCCTTATACCTACCAAAATTGAATATAGCAGTAGAGCTAGCATCCAGCCCATCCCCATGAGGAAGTACCTACAGCTTCTAGACAATGACACAACCTAACCAAGGACCTGGATCAGCTTGAATCCACCATCCAACTTTAAAAGCTTTCATATAAATCTTGTAATCATCAGGAAAAGATACCTTGAACATTGCATCTAGCGCAATGGCAAGCTCAACTATATATTGAAAGTACTATTTCACAGCCTGATTGCCTGAGGTCATGTGAACCATATCACCAAATGGGTGAAATACAGCCTATTGAAGAGGACATAGATAAATAACTCACAGTCAAACAAAGTAGATATACTCATAGCATGTTTTTGCCCTTGCTCTGGCCAGCAGTGAACTAAGTGGGACACACCACAGTGCTTAGAGGCAATATATGGTCATTAGAAAGTATATAGACTGTATTATCCAGAGCAAAATCCTGTACTACATCCTGGAGAGTAGCATTGAGGTCCTTTTGGTACTACATTGGAAAATCAGCCTGATCATAACAGCCATCTTGTTCAGCCTTGTGAGGATGAAGTAATGATAGAGGGCCTGAGTGGCCCACAAAGCCTTTTCTAGCATTTCAGACTGCATCTTGTTGCTAGATTGTAATACAACAGGGCATGCAAATGTACTGGGATACCATCATATATCCACAGTTTCCATGCATCAGACCTGTATTTTTCTGCACATTGGACTACCTAATTTTCTTAGGACCTGATATCTCGACCTTCAGGTTATCTTTTTCTTAGACTAAAGACACCAACTGTCATTCTTATATCAGACAGCAGGCTCCTTTAGGGTCAAACTAGCCTAGGCTAAGACCCATATAGGTATTTAATAGGGTTACCTTCTTGGTAGTCATTTTCCTTATACCATTATGACAATCACATTTTACATAGCAGTCACATATGCCAACTAGATAGGAGTTTTGATTCCCTCAATCTCCATCATGCTTCATCAATTCAAATATGCACAGATGCTGAATGACATTGACCAGGATGCCCTTGTGGTAGCCAGGGCAAGATACCAGCACATTGCAGAAAATGATGACTCTACATACTCTATCTCAAGTTTTGACTCTTTGGACCTTACCTGCAGCTTGGATCTTGATATTTTCTTGAATATTATGCTCTCCCCCCCTTCGCCTCTGTCTCCAGTCTTCTATGGCTTATCTCATTTTTCTGATGAGGACACCTTTTTATATGATGATGATCATATTTTTGCCCTCTATCATTGCCTTTAAGACTCTATTGTAGCTCTCCAGGATGATGTTTTGAGGGCCTGTATACTCCACAGACCTGAGGTACCTCTCCTATGAGCCCCACAGCTCCACCTTCTAGTTCATTTCGGGAAACATTACCCTCTCTTATTTTGTCACAGATTGACTTGCTGGCCTTGAAGATGTCATTCAACACATCAACTAATATTTGATAGATCCCATGGTATATGTCCGAGTTGAAGTCTCGGTTGAACTTTTCAGAGGAGTACTGCATAATGATGGAGCACACCTTCAATTGTGTGACTGATTAATACATATAACATATCCACAGCAATTAAAACATACCGCAGTGCTAGCAAGTGCCACCATCACAATAGGCAGCTCAACCTCGTCAGAATAATCATCAATTGTTAATGTCAGATGATCATGCCACTTTACTTCCACTGCGAGCTCGTCGCTGAAGAAAGCATCCTCAATAGTGTCCAAAATTGCCGGCACTTGAAACAGTTTGGTTTGGTTAGGGTCCCTCTATAATGTATGAAGCCACTGGCATCAGCTCAAACATAAAAATAGACAATAAAGGTATTTCAAACCTTTATATTCACAGGATAAATGTAAGCATTGTTTTTGAGAAGGTTCACAACTCTATCATCAGCACCTTTTGTGGGACCATAGTAGCTTGCATGAATAGTGCCAATATGATCTTTAGGCTGCAAATGAGTTGAAATGATGGTAGTAAACTCAAGCCAATATAATACATATACCATGAAAGATAACACATATATATAATTTGCATCCTTTATAAGCCATTTTCTTACATCTACAAATTCCTCTCCATCTTTTGCACATGACAAGAGTATGTTGGCCATGATTTTCCTCCTTTGCTGGAGGTCCAAGTATGTGTTTTCGAAGAGAATGTGTTTATGAAGGCAGGTAATTGAGGCCCACAGCATGTCCTGGATGTGGGGTTGCTGCTCAGTGATATTGACCTTTCCGGACCTGCTATATATAATATGACAAAAAGGCAACCAGTTATCTTTGCACAAATGAATACATCAGCAAATGTGCACCCCACTGGAATAGTGATGGATACTCTGGATACAGCTGAGCCTCTGGGTAGAATGCCCCAGCGCCGCCCAGCGGATCATACAGACCTATGCCAGACAACCAGATGATCAACAAATGATAGTTAAAAATTTCACAGAGCCCAGTGAATCACACAGACCCTACCAGCCCCTATGCCAGTGAACCAGAGGATACTTGAAAATTTCACCAGTGTTGCGAGACTCTGAGTTGGAAGCCAGTCATTAAGTTAGTACAAGTACACACAATTACTAGACTAGTTTCCGTATGCCGTGTGCCACCAGTTGTACTTCCAAAAGCTGTGCCTTTCTCGCCTCCTCACACCTTTTGACTTCAGCATCCCAATGATCAGCAATAAGTCTATGCAAATAATTCTGAGAGACTTTCACAGGTGGCGGAGTTTGACGGTAAGGTGGGACAGGTGTTTGAGGGTCCTCCGGGTCCACAGGCAAGGGAGAGCTTTGATTGACATTGTAGCCATACTTGGACAAAGCAATCCTCCGGATCAATGGTTTTCTATGACATGATTAGCAAAGATCGCGGAAAATGGTTGTCTCTGAGTACTCACTTTTTGACTGGTGACAAGCCCCGTACTGGCTTTTCGCCATCCTCCAGGGATAGTGAGTGCAGGCTAAAAATCAGATCAGCATCGAGCAAGTTGACTGCTGTATGTATGAACCGGTGCTTGCCCAAATTCTCTTTGTCAGAGTCCTAAGGGTTCATCAGTTACATTCTGTAGCACTAGCATGTCAAAATCACGCACCATAAATATAATATGAATGTCAGTAGACACTCGAGTGATAAGATAGAAGATGAAGAGATAGAATCGAGCCAATGAAAAACGTCACATGAAGACTCAACCGTGAGAATCAAACAATGCTTAGGTAAAGTTGCATTGAGTCCTCCTCCTTGGTCAAATAAAGAACGAGTTTATTTCCTGCCTTCTCTTGCTTTGAGCTGCCTCCATCTGTTTGCCTTGCCTGCCAGCTGGTAATACCGTGCTATGACGACTGAGACCACAATATCTATCCCTGATGGAGGCTTTAGACAAGCTGGTGATCTTTCTGGAGGAGGAACCACGGTTGGACATTGAGTAAGATCAAGCTCGCTGCCTGTAGAACAGCAGCGAGCAGCTTGATGTCGAAGAGGACGAGGAGCGGATGGAGTGGGCGTGGAAACAGTTCGTAGGAGGAGCAGGAGGTGTAGCGAGAAGGCGGCCGCCTATAGAACAGCGGCGAGCAGCTTGACGTCGAAGAGGACAACGAGGAGCGGATTAAGGGGGCGTGGGAACAGTTTGTAGGAGGAGCAGGAGGTTTAGCGAGAAGGCGGGGAATGCCGGATAAGTAATAGGACAGAATGGGGACGGAACAGAACATACTTACCCGAATTACCCGTGCCGAGCCTTATACTCGAATTTACCTTAAGGGTGTCCTGCATTTGGGGCAGGACTTATTGCTGGTGTTGGGATTTAGGAGAACTGACTAAGTTAATAGTTAGCGAGCCACATCATCGCCCACTATAATTATAGTTCCTTATTGGGAAGGTCAGGTGGTTCAATTTGCTGAGCGAAAGTGATTCTGTGTAGCCTGTTTAGAGTAGACTACCGATCTGTATGAGTGCGAGTATAATAGCTCGTCCCAAGGGGATTGCTACTGAGGGAAGTCTTCGCAATAAATGCGAAGGAATCAATCCGACGGGCTTAAGATCTGTGTGGTGGATGTGCAAGGGGAGTCCGATGTAAGGAGGAGAATGCCCGGACGGAAGATGATTCTGACAGGATGGATATCTAGCAGTATGATTATCAAGGTATCGAGGTGGCAAGGTTTCAAGGTGTCAAGGTTTCAAGGTCTCGAGGTAACGAGCTACCAGAAGTGATCCGTGGAACGGAATGAGGTCCATTGTGATGCGGAAGACTAAGGGGACTTTTTGATCACACGGACTTAGATATAAAATCCAAGGGAGTAAAAGGAAGTGATATTATCAGAAGGTAGTGCAACTATTTATCCTGATCCGTAAGAACTCGGAATCCTCTAAGCGGTGGTAAGTGTCCATAGTGCGGTAATATGTACAAGACAGCAAGCGGCCTCATGCATGGGAATGCACATGTAATATGGACTGTGGGTGATCAGAGTGACAAAAAGAGAAAAATAACACACCAATGGAGATGGATGGACAGGGATGGACAGGGACCTAAGGCAGGGACGGTATCCGATACGGATTGCGTGTCCGTTAGGTCTCCGGGAGGGGCGGATGTCGACAGAAGAGGTCGGATGGATATGGGTATGGATACCTGATCAGGTGAGCTTCAAATCATGCATAATGGATGATTGTGAGGCTAGCGCTGGAATGTTCGGTACATCGCTGTTGGGTGGGATGTGTGATGAAGTTACAGTCATAACTCTACAGTATCCTGACATATGATTGATGGCATCAGAATATTCAACATGTCATGTGATGTCTGGATTTGGTTATTTTGGTGATGATCAATGGGTTTTCTCTGGGTTATTCATGGCAAGGTTGTACAGTAAGTATAGGACCAGTCCTTTACCCACCACATTTTGAAATGCATCCCACTTCACAGTGGCTTGTTTTTTCGAAAATTGTATTAGACAATAATATTATAATATACATGTAAATACTACAAACCAACTTTTAGAGCTATTGGCGATTGTTACAACAATGGTCGTAGTCGGACTGGGATGGGTAAGCGAAGGACGACAGTCCTAAGCTATCTGTCGTGTATCGGTTGAACGTCAATATACCTGGTAGCCTAAGCCGTCAGGTTGTGACAGAACGGAAGGGGAGGTAAGCTTCTAAGGCGAGAGCCGAAGAAGGGTTTCGTGTTCGACGGTTAAGTCTAGACGAGAGATCGGTATTGACTCAAAGACAAACAGTCTAAGAGAAAAGAGGTATTGACTCAAGGATAGCGATCCAAGAGTATAGCGGGTTCGTGATCAGACTCAAGAGAGTTAACTCGAGAGAATATACAAGTCAAGGTAAAACCCAGTAGAATCAAGTTAAGGAATAATAGTACAAGTGGATCGACTATATATAGGTAAGGATCACAGTGTTCAGGGCAGGTCTGGTAATTGTACAATGGTCAAGAAATGATATATCGGGTAGGCAGAAGTCCATGAGGTCAGGGATAGGTATCAGTGGGAACATCAAGGGAAAAGGAAGTAAGGCCATGAGGCCATAGATCAAGGGTCCAAGGGAAGCGTCTAGCTTCTGTCACAGAAGGTCAGGGTCGGCGGGGATCAAGAAGTGCGTCAAGCATCATGGTGACTCGTGAAAAGGTGAAGGTGTGACGTCATGACGAGGTGAAGAGGTGAAAGGGTCAGAAAAAGATAGGGGCGTCATGTTACTGTAACATTAGCTCCATTTCAAGATGTGAAGTCACCGACTTCTACAAATCAAAGTCGTCCAGCGAGGGGCACATCTCTGAGAAGTGACCTGGAGCGGAGGCTCGACAGGCAAAACAGACGTATGAGGTGCAGGTGTTCGTATGATGACCATTTAAATGGCCACAAAGTCGGCATCGTCTGGATGGTTCTACTTCGACAATGGGGGTGGAAGGTCTAGTGGGAGCTAGGGCTCGACCAACTTCAACCAATCTATCATGAAAATCTCCTTCATCAAGTGCGTTCATCAAGAACTCGGCTTGAGTGTTCAACATTAGGAGGATGTCGTTCGAAACGTGGGTGGGGATGTTATCGTTCAGAAGAGCGCAAGTGATTCTGGCATTCTGCACATAGGCGTTCCAGAGAGCATCAAGCAAGGGAGAGTCGTGAAGTGTCTCTTTTAATGCCTCTAGGGCAAGAGGGTCAAGGAGGTATTGGTGGTAATTCTCATGCATGTAGGGGACGATACGAGTCGTGAAGGGGATGTTGTTCTGGTGGAGGGGGTTCATGCTGATGTTTCTGCTGCTAGAAGATGGGAAAGTCGAAGTCGTTCTTTATAGCCTTGGAGAGTGTCAGCTGCATTTGTAAGTTCAACTTCAGGGAGCCACGAGTTTTCGGAGCTTGGATAGCCTTTCCATGATACAAGGAATTTGCGGCGTCCCTTCTGTCCTTTATGAGCGAGGATGGCTTCGATTTCATATTCTTCTTCGTCATTAATCAGTTCAGGGGGTGGTTCTGTGAAGTTCGGACCGTGGATTTCTGTCTCTTGATAGGATGATAGCTCGGAGGCGTGGAAGACAGGGTGAACTCTCCATGATGGAGGTAATCGGAGTTTGAACGTGATGGGGGATAAGATGTCAATGATTTCGAAGGGGCTGTGTCGTTTCGGAGCGAGCTTCTTGGAAGGGAGATGGGTAATAAGGTGTGAGGCGGATAGCCAAACCTTGTCTCCACGTTTCCAGGGTTCATACTTCTGTCCATGTGATCTTTCGGCCATGCGCTGCATTGCAAGGTTGTGGCAGGCAAGGGCTTCTTCTCTAGCTTTCTGAAGTCTAGTCAATCGTTCTTCTGCAGTGGGGATGGTAGATTCAGGGAATGCGTAGGGGATACCGCGTGGTTCATAGCCCATAGTGAGGAAGAATGGGGATGCGTTGCGGGCATCATGCTTGCGGTGGTTGTGGACAAACTCTGCCATAGGGAGATGTTTGGCCCATTCAGTCGGGGTGGTGCGGCAATAGATGCGCAGATAGGTTTCTAGTTCTTGGTTTAATCGTTCTGTCTGGCTGTCTGTCTGAGGGTGGTATGCGGTGGAGAGGGCAATATCGTAGTCAAGGAGTTGTCCAAGTTCTTTTGCGAGTTTTGAGGCAAACTGGGGGCCTCTATCGGAGATGATCTTGTCGTATAGTCCGAATCTGAGGAAGACTTTTTCGAAGAAAAGCTGAGCTACTCCTTCTGCGGTGATCGTTTTGTTGCAGGGAGCTAAAATTACCCCTTCGTAAGACCATGGTCTACCACGACCATGACTGAGTCATAGCCGTCGGATTTGGGGAGGTCGGTGATGAGGTCAACAGAGACCTGAGAGAAGGGATGGGTTGATGTCGAGGGGGTCGGATGCAAGGGTGGGGTCGTTGGATGGGTATCAGACTTCATTTGCTGGCATGTAGCGCAGCCTTCAACGTATTTTCGGATATAGGTGCCCATTCCGGGCCACCAGTGGTTACGCTTAACCAGTTCTTCAGTCTTGAATCGTCCCGGGTGACCTGTAGTTGCATGGTCATGATGGAGGGAGAGGATCTTGGGTCGGAGTGCGGGGGGAGTGTATGCGCGGTCTTTGTAGAACAGCACACCGCTGTCTAACTTCCAGTCAGAGAGTGCAGACTTCATAGGCGGGGCACAAGTGCCATCTAACGCCTTAGTCGCAGTGTCAATGATCGGGTCAGAGTCAGGGTTGCTTGCTTCATGGAAAGCGTCCGCTAGTGAAGCATCGAGGAGGTTCACAAACAGGTTGTCGGGGAGGAGTGTCATATTTTTGTTATCCGGTTTGCCGTTGGAGTGATCGGGTCTTCTGGAGAGAGCGTCTGGAGTGATGAGTTTGCTTCCAGCGACGTGATGGAATTCGAAGTCAAAGGTGGCGAGGTTGAGTTGCCAGCGGGCTTGCCGTCTGGTCAACTTCTGAGCGGATTGGAAATAGAGGAGATTCTTGTGATCAGTGAATATAATCACGGGATGTGGGTTTCCTTCTAGAAAATGTCTCCATGCTTGGAGGGCGCAGATCACGGCAAGGAGTTCGCGGTCGTAGATCTGGTAGTTTCGTTCTGCTGCGTTCAGGGATTGGGAGAGGTATCCACATGGATGATACAATCCATTTTCGTCGGTTTGGAGGAGGACTGCTCCGGTTGCGAAGAGCGAGGCGTCAGTTGCTAATGCAAACTGCTTGGTGGGATCGGGGTTCTTGAGCACTGGCTCAGAGAGGAAACATTCTTTCAACTTCTGGAATGCGGCTTCGCATCCTTCTGTCCATTGGAAGGGGACATCTTTCTTTGTCAGATCGAGGAGGGGTCGTGCGATGTCGGAGTAGTGAGAGATAAAGTGGCGGTAGAAATTGCAGAAGCCGAGGAATGATTGGACTTCTTTAACTTTGGTGGGTGCTGCCCAATCGCTGATGCCTTTCAGCTTGGCAGTGTCCATCGCGACTTGTCCAGGGCGAATGATCATGCCGAGGTAATCGATTTCTTGTGTGTCAAATGCACACTTTTTGGGTTTCAGGAAGAGGGTCTCTTTCCGGAGGATCTCAAGCACTATTCTAGCGCAAGTTTGGTTTTCTTCGACTGTATCAGAGAATATCAAGATGTTGTCCATGTAGACGATCATCCAGCCTTCATCAATCTGATGCCTGAACGTCTGGTTCATATAGGCTTGGAACATTGCTGGCGAGTTGCAAAGTCCAAAGAACATGACTTTTGGCTCAAAGAGTCCGAAGGAGGTTGTGAAAGCGGCTTTATGGTGATCTTCAGGGTGGATCAGGATGTTGTTGTATCCAGAGCGGACATCCATCTTCATGAAGTATTTCGTGTTTCGAAGTTTCACAATCAAGGGAGGGATGAGGGGGAGTGGGTATGCATTCTTAACCGTCCATTCGTTGATGTAACGGTAGTCTTGGCAGGGTCTCAGGGATCTGTCTTTCTTTCCTACAAAGAAGAAGCTGCTTGCTTGAGGCGACTTCGATGGTTCGATGAAATCCTTGGCAAGATGTTCATCTATGAAAGCCTTGGCGGCTTCAGTTTCTTTCGGAGAGAGCGGGTAGTTTCAGGCGGATTTGGGAATGTATCCTGGCTTCGTTTCAATGTGATGGTCGACTCCCAGTCAAGATGGAGGGAGTTTGTTTAGGCCGTCTTTGGCGAAAATGTCACAGAAATTGTGGAGGTGTTTTGGTACGAGCTCCTCAAAGCTCTTTTTCTTCTTTTCTTGTTCTCCTTTCATGGCAAACTCTTGAGCTTTATTGCTCATCTTCGTGTATTCTTCTTCATGGGATTCTGCTAGAACCCATACGTTGCGAAGTGGGGAGCGGCGAGCGGCTCGTCGGGTTTCTTTCTTAGAGGTGCCGTCACGAGTGGGAGGGGAATCAAAGATCAAATTCTCGATGATCCTTACATTGGTGCCATCAGCGGCATACTCAATGAGGACTTCGTCATCTCGAAGGGGATAGGTGGCGACTTCGTTTACCATTGGTGCGAAGTCTACGTTGCCAACCCATACGTCTTTCATTGTGTCGAAATCCTTTGGATTGATCGAGGTGGGTTCATCAGGGGTGGAGACAGGGACCTTCCCGCTCTTCCTGGTCTTCTTCTTCTTCTTGTCAGTGCACTCCATGACATGCTTTGCATTCAGAGGGAGGCACTTCAAGGGAGAGAAGTCTTCATCATCAGTGTCTTCAACCGTTGGTTTCTTCCCCTTAGGCATAGGAGAACTCTTGATTGCATGCTCAGAATCGTTTTGCGGTTGAGCAGAGGCTGAGCTAGCCAGCTCATTTGTCTTTTCAGATGTTCTCTGTACCTTAGGTTCGGGAAAACTGAACGGTTGGTAATCTTGCGGTTCCGTGTATCCAAATGGCAGATATCCGCTGATCATGTTCTGGATGAATGAGAGCGGTTCCTTTGCTTCTGCGAGCTTGAAGGGGTTCCGTGGTGTCTTTGGGCGAGCTGTTTTCTATGCTGCTGCTGCCCTGTCAGTGTCCATGACTTCGTCATCATAGTCGGATGATTCATCTTCTACCTGAGGTTCAGGTTCAGGTGGTGAGGGGGTGTTGTCGAAGTGATCATCATGATCTTCAATCATGGAAGTGGTGGGAGGTGTAATAACGACCTTCTTTTTCTGAGGTTTTGCACCTGTCTTGGTGGTTTTCTTCTGCGTCTTTGCAGGTGGTGTCGAGGGGGTGGTTTTACTTGTCAAAGCAGACCGGTGGTACTCCGTTCTTTTTCCTTTCATCGTTGATCTCCTTCTCGACAGAGAGGGATCGGGGAGTGGGCAACATGGTGAGAGTGTTGTTGGCCCAGTCGATGTCGGGGGTGTCACGGTCACGGCCATTCTACATAGCTCACGGTCTTTT